ATATTTCCTTAGGCATACTTAAGCGTGAGGACACGCTAGGCTGGAAGGGGGATAGTGTCACGAACCAGGCTCAGTCTTGGTACAAGTCACGGGTTGGCACCATAATACTGATGGTACTACCAAGTGGATGGCACCAGTCGGTGTTTGGTACCAAAGGGTTGATGGTACCATTGAGAGAATGGCACCAACAAGAGAATGGTACGAATTAGCGAGTAGTACCATACTCCACGCTCGTTGTCATAATAATAGTTATGTTGATCACGGTGGACATGGGTCACGTGATGTGCTAGCTTGCTAGACGGGCTTGCGGGCTTGCGCGCCCTGCAAGACGTCTTGCACGGCTTGCACAGGAAGTCGGAAGTTCTATATAACGAGTAGGTAGTTTCCTAGATAGTAGAGCTTCGTGCTCAAATCAAATAGCAAGTTTACACCTAGTTTACCACTGCTTGTAACGTCTCAATTCCTATTGAGAAACGAGCGTCTTGTTACCTTACTTCATAGCTGATACCAACCGACGAGTCTGTACTCACGACACCGACCGAGTTAGAAACGTTACACTCCTGTAGAACCTTACTATCTATCCTTAGAATAATTTCCTATTATATTCCGTCCCCTACGTAGTATTAGTTTAAATATCGAATATATTATTATCTAACTTTCCCTTATATTCTATTCCGATTCTAAACGTTATTCTATTACCTTCTATATATTATAGATATCAGAGGAGAGGTTTCGTATCTTAGAAGTAAGATTTAAAGGGATTTAATATATACCGCGCTAGCTAGCTTATTATATAAGTAATATCAGGTCGTGTAAAGTTTAAGAGGTATATTAGAGAGCTGATAATCTACTAAAATAGTAAGATCTCTTTAGGGGAAGCTAGTATAATACCTTTATCTTTAGCTAACTCCCTTAGTACTATTCCAGCGGCTATAAGTAAGGTATTACCTCTAGCTATAACTATTCTAAACTTTTCTAGTAGCTTTTATATATAAGCTATTTAATAAATCCGTAGAGTCTTATTCTTCCTATCCCTCTTAACTTATAGGCCTATAAATATATTAATAGCTCCGAGGTCTTTACTTTTCTAAGTCTTTAAGAGCTATTTCTTAAGATATTCGTAGTTAGTAGGGTTACTTATAATTAGTATATTATTAACGAAGACTAATATATACACTCTATTCTTAAAGATAAAGAGATTAGGATTAGCTTCTAATACTTCTAGACCTAGCTTTTCTATCTTATCTTTAATAAGAAGCTACTATTCCCTAGGTACTTATTTCAAGCTATAGAGAGAGCGTAGGAGCTTTAGATATATATCTTTCCTTCTATTTAGCTCTAAGTAAAGCTTATTCTATATCTCCGGCGTCTTATTATTTAGAATTATTATATATATATCTTCTTTCAAGTATACGTTTAGGAAAGTAGTATTGATATCGATATACTCGATCTCTAGGTCTCTTTTAGCTGTAATAGCGAGTAGTGCTTATAAAGTAGAATAGTATATAATACTCGCGAAAGTATTAAAGTAGTTAAAGCTATGTTTTTACTTAAAGCCTCTTACTATAAGCCTAGCCTTTCGCCGTGCTATAGAGCTATTAAAGTTGATTTTATTACGTAGAACTAGTCTTAAAGATATTAGTTTTAAGCCGGAGGGAGGCTTACTAAAGTATACTCTATAGGTTCTAGCGCTTTATATAGCTTATAATTCCTTAAGAATAGCGGCCTTCTATTCCACTAGATTCTCCCTTAGAGCCTCTACAATAGTTATAACCTTAAGAGGTCGTATAAGTTTACCCTCTAGTACAATTAGCGCTATTTAATAGGTTAATACCTTATTAAGGATTTACTAAGAGTATAGCTTCGTAGTTATCACCTAAGTAGCTTACTCGAAGTATTATTTTCTATACTATTTCCTATTATATCTTAATAGTAGAGTATTATTAGACGCGTTTACTAGTTAAGTCTATTTAAGGAGGTGTTAATCAGACGCTCTCTTAGTATCTTTTACTATATTTTCTATAGCTAACCTTCCCTTTAAAGGATTTTCAGCTTCTATAGCTAGCCTCTCTCCTAGAGGTCTTTTAGCTTCTATAGCTAGCCTCTCTCTTAGAGGTTTTTCTAAGTCTTTAGTACCCTTAGCTAGCCTCTTAGTAAGTACTAGACTAGTAGCCGGTAATAGAGGTCTTTCTACTGCCTTATTACTACCTTTTAGTATAGTTTCCTTACTACTAGTGTATATAAAGTATATTATATACTCGTTAAAGCCGTAGTCAGCTATTTCTAGTTCCTTAAAGGTTTCTACGTTCAGAAGCTTATAAGTTAAGGTATTAGCTATACCTACTAATATAAAATACCCCGGAATTATCCTTTACTTTATTTTGCCCTAATATAGCCCTAGTAGATATAAAGGGTACACTATAGAGCTAAATACTCTTATTTTAGAGAGGTTTATAAGCTATCCTTTATACGCTTCAATTAAAGTAAGTCTAGTAGCTGTTTTATATAATAAAGCAGTAGTTAGGCGTCTATTCTTTAGCTTTACCGCCTATTTAATAGTATAGTACTATATATTCTCAGGTATCTTCGTGTTATAGAGGATTAAGCGTGTAATCTTAGCTAGTTTATATATCTATCGCTCTACGACTTTATTTAGAGAGTATTTATATAAAGAAGAGAGTTTAGGAACAATTCCACTCTCTTATAGCTAGTTAATAAACTTAGGACTAAACTCTCCTTTACTATTATTAGTCCTCTAGTAGATAATTATACGGAATTTACTTTACCTTTAAGTTTTAAGCTATAGCTTTAATTTCCAAATAACTAGTTAAATAGTTAATATAGACTTATTAACTAAGAGATCTACTTAACACGTCCTCGTAGTATTATCTATTATTAAAAGGAAGTATTTATAGCCGCGAATTAAGCGTAGTAAGATACTAGAGATATTAGTATATAGTCGACGAATAAGTATATTAGTTCTACTATCTGACTTCTTATTAAAGTGCTCTTTTATATAGCTTATAAAATAAGCCTTATAATACCTCTCTCCCTTTAGCTCCGGAACAGAAATCAGTCTTATTCTATAACTATTATAAGTAACTAGTTTCTTTAAATAGGCGTAATTTATATAGCTTAAACGCTTATAGAGTAGATCTACCTTTATTTCCTCTGTACTAAGCTAACTCTCTATTCATTCCTTTAGTAGCTTTAAGTCTAACAGAATTATATTATATATAACTTAATATTAAGGATTCGTATCTAGAATATATAAACCTCTATTTCTTATACTTATAAAGGCTAGTTCATTATTCTAGTATCTATTTACTAATATCTTAGTTAGTTCCGTATTAATTCCTTTATCTAAGAGTTAATATATTAATACTAGCTTTATAGCTCCGAAGTTAGGTATATATTATATATCTTTAAGAGTTAACTTATTAATAGTAATATCTCTATAACTTTTAGCTATTAAGTACGAATTAGTCGCTATTTTAATATATTTAGCATTACGCTAGCGCTTAAGTTACTTAAACTTAGCTAGAACTCCACTAAAGTAGTAAGTAGCGCTAGAGTCGATTTTCTAAATAAATTCTATAATAGAGATTATTAATAAAGTATATTCTATATCTTTAGTGTAGTAAATCTCTTCTAAAGAGAACACAAGATAAGTATTATTATCTTTAATTTCCTCTACTTTATTAGCGCTATCTCTTATATAAGTATTCTTAGCTTCCGTGTAATCTACGTACTAGTAGCTATAGCCTTTATACTAAGTATACTAATTTTAGCCTAATTTAGAGCGATTTCCTCTCTTTTCTACGCGCCCTTTATATCTCTATTAGCTACTACCCCTGCTATTATTATTCTGTCTTTCCTATCCTCTCCTATTCTTACGTATATTACCTCTCCCATGTGAGTAGCCTCTACCCCTTTAGCCTCTACTATCTCTATTACCTCTCTCTCTATTATAGCCTCTATTCGTGTAGTTCGCAGCGTTACTAGTAGCTACAAGTTAAAGCTATTCCTTCTATTAAATTTAATATTTATTAAGCTTTCATATAATATCTCTAAGATCTAGGTCTTACGATTCTAAGGTAAGCGCTATAATAATCTAAGCTCCGGATACTAGTAACAACTATAATAGCTTAAGATATATATCCTTATTAGTAAGAAGTTTACTATTACTACTAAGCTTTACTTTAAAGAGTAAGAGCCTTATAATATAGTTCTAAAGTATTTCCTTTCCTAGGATAAACTTTATCTTAAAGAAATCGTCTCTTATATTAGTAAAGGTAAGACTCCTTTAAACTACTTTACCTTCGTCTGTATAAATAGCTTCTTAGAGAGGCTTAGTGTTATTTAGTTTAATAATATCTCTATACTTAGGAAAGAGAAGCTTAGAGATTAAGTTAATAACTATTTTAAAAGCTTCCTTCTTTTCCTTAGCGTAAGTATTCTACTAATTAATACTATTTAGCACGCTAACTTTAGTAAGAACGTGATAAAGAACACTAGCCCTAGCTAGCTCTTATTTAGTCTTAAGCTCCTATTTAAAGAAGTTATTAAACTCTAGTAGAGTTTTACTTTTTAAGGCTCTAGCGATATAGGGAATTAGTGCTTTTAATTAGGATAATATTATAATATAGTAGTAGATATATTAAGAGTTAATAAAGTGGAGATCTTAATAAAAATAAAGTTTTAAGGTCTTTTTCGATCGATTAGAATTACTACTATATTATAATTACAGTTGTATAAGGAGCTACTACAGAGAGAGAGAATCTCCTATATAAAGGGGTAGCGTACTCAGTAGTACGGCCTATAGTACTGAGTCTACGCCTACAATCCCCATATTTCTAACAGAGACACCCCCTTTCATTGACCCACTTGGTTACCTTAGGCGAGCTCGCGAGCGCGAGCAAAAGCAACGGAAATTGCAAGCTGCTAGCGAGCAGAATCAAAACACAGAGAGGAAAATGGAGAATACAATAAATAATATGTACTTTCAATGGGTATCAATTTTGCTTGCTAGCGCTGAAGAGTGTCGTCAATCATTACATCACCCACTCAAGAATACAAATTACCATTCCTATCAAAACAAGCGTCCTCCCGCCCCTTCCCCCTCAGCGGTATCAAACTGTTTTCTCGAAATGCTCATTATGTTCTGTAACACCTTTCTCTTCACCTCTTCCCGCACCCAATGGCGCCGCAATCTTAAGTTTTCCAGCCTCGATATCCTTCTCCAGTTGGTCGAGTCGCGAACCTTTCTTGACGCCCTTCCAAGGTTTGATACCGCTGTCAAACACGTCGTCCATTTCTTCGAGCGTTTTGCCTTTTGTTTCAGGCGCGGTGAGGAACATGTGTATGAATGCCATGCCGTTGAATGTCCCGAAGATCATGTACATCTTCCAGTTGCTAGTGAGTGATTGATCAGCTTGCTTCGACTTCTGATATGGGCATGGGTGAAAGAAGAACGTACATATTCCATAACAATGGGGGCACGGCGAACGCGAGACAGCAATTGAAAAACCAATTGCTGGCCGTTGCTAGGGAAACAGCTTTGGCTCTGATCTTTGTGGGGAATATTTCAGACGGGTATGTCCAGGATGTTGGACCCCATGTTGTGGCGAATGTGCAAACGAATAGGTAAGTCATCGCTACAATGGCTTTTGAAACTGGCTTATTGTCGTGCACAATCCACGAAATGTCCGAGTTGTTGGCATCCTTAAGGTCACCTACATTTGGCTCTCCGTAGGTAGCCTGGAGCGCACCGACGATGAAAAGGAAGGTCATCATGAGGAAGGATCCGGTGAGCATGGCGGGTCGACGACCGAATCTGTCTAAGTAGAGGATAGCGGGGAGAGTGAGAGCAACGTTGAGGATGTATTGGATGGAGGCCGTGATGAGCGGGGAAGCGATGTTGGCTCCCTCCATGATGTCTGATGGTTGTCAGATCAAGAAATAAAGTGACAGGGAAAAAAAGTGTAAATACTAACAGACAATATAGTACATCATTATATTCATACCACATAGCTGAGACCAGGCCTGTATTGACATTCCTAGTAATACACGCTTCAGCATGCGCGGCTCAACCAGTTGCCTGTAAGAGCTGGTCGCCTCCTCCCTCTCGAAGCGAAGAGCCTCCTCGATTTCCTGGTATTCAGCAAGTACTTTCGGATGGTTGACATCTCCGCCTCCATGAAGATTCGCCATGATCTGAATAGCCTCTTCCCATCGATCCTGCGAAGCTAGCCATCTAGGTGATTTCGGCAAGAAGAACATGCCAAAAAATAGGATCACTGCTGGGACAATCTGAACACCCCATGGGATTCGGAATGCTGACGTCGGTTGGTTGGCATTTTGTGGGCCTCCTCCAACCCAAGAGGCACCGTATTGGATGAAATACTGGATGAGAATCCCCCATGTGATCGCCCACTGCTGCAGAGAGACAACACGACCTCTAATCTCCTTTGGTGCAATTTCCGCTTGGTAGACCGGACATATCGAACTTGCTATTCCGACACAGATACCAGCAATGACGCGACCAACGACAAGCATTCCAATATTAACAGAAAGACATTGAATTCTAGCACAAGTTTAGCCATGGACTATTATAAGTGTGAGGAGACTTGGGAGAAGGTACATTGAACCCACGATCCAGAACACAGACGCGATTTGAATACTAGTCCGACGTGAATACTTGTCCGCGATGAAAGACGATGCTAAAGCTCCAACGAGCGATCCAAATGGCATGGCACAGGTGATTCCTCCTTGGCGGTAGGATTTTGGACCGCCGAAGTATCGTTTGTATGCTTGAGTGCCTAACACACCCGACATACTAGATATATCGAACCCGAAAAGTCCGCCGCCTAGAGAACGTAAGTAAAGTTTATGATTGATTGAAGAGCGTGAGCTGAAGACTTACCGATGGCGGCGAACGAGCAAATGAAGTAGACATTCGTAGCTTGCCACATCCTGAATCTCTTCCCGGTTCTGATAGTCGAGCTCAAGGTCGTGAGTCTACAAGTCGTCGGTCTAGCTAGACCTCAAGACCCATAGCTGGAAGCACGAAGCAAGTAATGTGAAGTGAAGTCAATCCAGCATGTCACGTACAAGAACAGGAGGCAAGTATATTTCCTGCACGTCAGCGGAGACCTACCCACATATATAAACGCATGGCGCAGTGCCGCGCCGCACTTCCTCCCCCTCCTTCAGCAAGCGCAGCCCAGATATGTGCATGACCTGGCCGCTGGAAGCACCACACCCATGCAGTACAGCTTGCACCCACAATAATAATGACAAGCCATGCACGCAACCTGCCGAGCCCGTCCCCTCCCTTCCTTTGTCCCACCAAACAAGAATAGGGCTTCTAACAAGTGATTCGTGGCGTGGCTTGCCCTTGCTCAGCACCCCGGATTTGCTTACCGCAGGCACTGGACATTTGGTGGTCTGACTACTGAGATAGCGAGAGTCGTATCGTGAGTTGCTGTATTGTAACTTGTTCTAGTCGTGGCTATTGGTCGCGGGATGTTCTGGACCAGGATAGCTACAGCTTGAACGTTACGCCCCCCAGGCTCTCTTTTAGAGTCCCACGAGGAGGATGATCTTCCCCGCAAAAGGCTTATTGTGTACCCACTGAACGCGAAAAGTAGGAGCTCCTTACAGTAGATTACCTAAATTCAGATCAAGTACTGTTCCCGAAATATAGTTCAGCCTTGTTGTGATTTACTTACCTTACCTTACCTTCCCTTGTCATCGTTAATCCATCTTTAGATTATCTTGCAGGCCAACAGAAGCAAAATTACCCATCAACAGCAAAAGGTAGGCATGGTATGGTAAATTTACAGTACCACAAACCTTTCCCTCGCTTGCTGAACTCACTCATTTCCTTACCGAAAAAATCAGGAGATGCAGGAGCGGAGCAGGTTTCAATTTGCGAAGTCGTCTCCTTCGATTCTGATATGCTTCCCGTACTTCCCGTAGCCATAAGAATAACAATTATCCCGGCTGTTCGACTTGGCAGGCAGAGAGAAAAACTGAAGCCGTGATGCCGCCGAAGGAAGGCCGCCCCGTTGCCCGATTTTGCCCACCCCCGCATTCTGCTAGCGAGTGGCTTCAGGGGGCTTAGGGGGGTTTTTACGGGCTAGGTACAGCAGCGCCACCGCTGTCATGGGTCGCTTCGTGGGGCAGGAATACTTGTAGGATCTTTGAAGGTCTGGAATTTGAAGGGAAGATGAAGGTGGAAAGTTGAGCGATGGTAGAAGAAGTCCCTTATTGTGTTGATTGGAGTAGACTGAATTTGAGGATGGGTCTTGTGTTGTTCTGCACTTGCCGCGTAGGGAACGGCTTCAGGTCCCGCTGTCAATTCCAAATGATGAACCTTCTGCCGATGTGCGAGGCATCATTCCGGGAGATTGCACTCCAACATACTCCGTGTTGGCACTCTGATGATAATACGAAAAGAAAGACCAAAGTGGACCAAGCCGAAAAAAACTGCACCTTGCGCCACATGTAGATGGGGCCTTGATGCAAGCTTGAAGAACTACTTGTGGTACAACAAGATATGGGTGGCTGCCATAGCGAATGGACGGGCTTGTGACTTCGTGAGGTTGTGAGACGTGGAGAATTGCAGATGATTATGTTGCACGCGTACTCGTAGAGCCCAAGTATCGACATATGATGAATGTGAACGTAGAGGCAGGTATGATAGGGGCAGGCGTAAAAGCGCCGCTTGGAGTACGACCAGCGCCGCAAGTGTGCGAAGGATGAAGAATCTCCACGGGCAATGATATCCCTCACACATCGCTTTATCAACAAATAGAAACATGATAAGATGTTCGAAAGCCGCAAATTGCTTGATCCGTCTAATCTGATACGTATAAGTCCAGGTCCAGGCATATCTACTCTCGGCTCATTTCTTCTCATGAGGTGACAAGATCTCAACGATGTTCTCAGGATGTTTCCACGCTTGAGCAACATATCTGCGAAAGTATGCAATGATCAGCAAGTTTCTGTTGAGGTTCTCTTTGTGTATGTATCTCATGCAATAACTTGCTTTGTGTGACTTCCTCTCGCAGCTAACTGCCCCTTGCCGTTTGTGAACTCGATGGATGTGTATGCTAGGGTCTTGCCGACTTGTTTGTTGTTAGGAGAGGGGATGATGGCAATGAGCTGATAAAGGGAACTTACACTTATCGCACTTGACGACTGCTTTGAGAATGTCTCCAACCTGACCGCCGGAATTGAGGTAGGTGACTAATAAAAGTATTAGATAGATGGATGATACTGTGATGGAAAACTAACCATTGAGATCAGTGGAGACGCCAGTTGCGTATAATCCTCTCGAAGCTACAGCCAGTGATCCGCCAAGATCAACTGTTACCCATATTAGTGAGACATTCAAGACTTGAAGAGGATTGCTCACCCATGCTCGCTATTGTTCCACCATGGATGATATTGAGGCGATTCTACGATTTGTTAGAATATCAAGAATTAAGAGGTCACGAGGTCTAACCGTGTGCTCTTTCTTGATATCTAGCTCAAAGTCCACTCGCCCAGGTTCGGCGGCCGTAACTCGTATCTATAGTTTCTGGGATCAGAACTGGCAATATTACAAGCGGCTGAGATCAGAAGTCGAATTGCAATGTTAAGAAGTCCATACATTCTCTCCGAACAATCTGGTTTAACCACATTAGCATTGTAATACAACGTAGAAGGAGAGAGCCAAAAAAGCAGCTACTTCCACCTCTAATCTCTATAATCATGACAATTTAAGAACATAATCTTCGTATAAGTCCCAAAGAAATGTGTAAACCCTCTGGAGTAGAAGCTCAAAAGAATTGACTGAAATATTAAAGAAAAGTGACTACCTCGGCTCTAATCCAGACTCTGCCTGGAAAGACTTCAGAACCTGCAACTCAATTAGAATTTTCAAGCGAGTTGATATATTTCCAGTACTTACAGATCTGACAAATCTTAACGCCGCCATCTTGCAGTATATATTCACGACCTGCAGATGAAAGAAGCTCAACGAGGAGGAAGTCCGACGTCACGGGAAATTCAAGGGGGTCCGTGCACATCGTCCAAGATTCAAAGATCAGGCTGCACGCGAGGCTTCGAAAAATAAAGCACTGCATTCACGAACAATGATCAATAGGTAACAACTCGAGTCCTGAGATATAGACACCTTCAAGATGTCTGTCTCAACACTTGCTTCTTTCGAGTACCTGGAGAGACTTCCAGGTACGACCTTCCGACGACTGTATGAGCAGCCATCAACAGCTCTCGCCATCTTCAGGCGCATGTTGCCGCATTTGGGTATGGATTACATTCTGCTTAGGAGTCAGACATCTAATGAAAAGCAGCAAAGACATTCGTTATGGCTATGCTGTATATGACTAAGCCTCTGCCACTCTCAGATCTCGAGCTTTGGGTTCACCCAGGAAGCAAAAAGTACGCCACTCCAGTCCACCCGAGTCGAGCTCTGCTAACAGCCCACAGAGAACGAGATCATGCCCTTTCCCTCCTGTCTCGACTCCACGTCGTAACCATCTCAGCCCCGAGTCGAGAAGATCCCCAATCCGTCTCCCTGACGAAGAATTTCAGTGCCTCGCTACGGCTAGCTTTGACAGGAGGAGGAGAACATCAATCGTTCGGTGTGCCGTCTCACAATTCAGCTGTTGGTGGTTTGGATACGGAGTTTCTCGATGGCTTTGCGAGAGAGCAGTGGGAGGGCATATTACACTATGTGGTCAACAGTGTTGGGGATCGCGCAGGACAGGATGGTCAGGGACCCCAGGCATCTGTGAGGCAGTTGCTGGAGGCGGGAAAGCTGGTTACGGCTGGTAGGAGGGCAGGTGGAGGAATTACACAGGCTGGATTCTCGTTTTTGTTGCAGGAGGTTAATGCCCAAGTTTGGACACTCCTCTTGCTGTGGATCGAAAATGCAGAACATGTTGGTAGCCTCGTGTCCCCTTGCTACAATGGCTAACACATACAGATGGGATTGGAGTCCGTGGACGTTCTCTCGTTCCTGTTCATGCTTGGATCTCTCGAATTGAGTCGCGCTTACAGCACTTCTACACTTTCACAATCTCAACGGCAGATGCTGAAATATTTGGTCGATTTCGGTCTGGTGTATATTCCGCCCTCGGCACCTACTCAATTCTACCCTACTCGACTAGCTACCACCCTCACTTCCGATGCCAGCGCACTTCGAAGTGTCTCTGCTGGCTTTGAAGCTGCTCTCGCATCTGCTAGCGGCTCAAAGGGATTCATTATCATCGAAACCAACTATCGAGTATACGCATATACCGACTCTCCTCTACAGATAGCTGTTCTAGCACTCTTCACTCGACTCGGAGTCCGCTATCCAAACATGGTCACAGGCCGCATAACACGAAAGTCCGTCGCAAACGCCATCTCACATGGTATCACGTCCGATCAGATAATTTCCTACCTCGGCACGCACGCACATCCACAACTAGTAAAGGCCGCTGCAGTACATGGAAATCCAGTGCTTCCTCCTACAGTGGTGGATCAGATCCGACTCTGGCAGATTGAGAACGAGAGGATGAAAGCCACAGCAGGTTTCCTATTCAAGGAGTTTGACAGCAAGAAGGAGTATGAGGCTTGTGTGAAGTATGCGGATGAGAATGGCGTGTTGATATGGAAGAACGATCCGAGAATGATCTTCTTTGTTACTAGGCACGAACAGTTGAGAGACTACATCAAGAGTAGAAAGAGCAAGTAGGCCGGGCCTCTCGCGACCACAATCGAAACTCGGAAGGGAAGGTGGGGGAAGGCCGCATAAAGGGTCTATCCTCGAGTAGGCCTACTTGGCAACGGTGTCCTGGGGCGAATTTGGAAGCAAGCATAGCGCGGCGTTAAGGATTGGGCTTGGGATATGGTTACGGAAAGCCAGGATCTTTGATCCTAGGTTTTTGCTGGTCTCATCTTTGAGTTGGTGGGGTAATCACTAGAGTAGACGGAAATGCTACCGAAAGTAACGGCGAGGGGAAAATGTTACAAGCAATTCCCAGCTTGTCAGGGTATCATGGCCACGAAGACACCTGCCATCGAGCAAGTCTGCTTACCATCTTGCTTCCATCACAATCTCTGCTGTCTTCTGGCCCTGTAATCTTCCTTATTTGTCTCCATTCTTCTACGTTGCACTTGGCATCGGCCATCGTACCTTCAAGAGAATGGGTGCAGACTTACAGACCTCCACATGGGGGGTCTAGTCAACTCTCGCCCTGCATAAATCTCTCCATATCTGCAGATGCCCTGATGATCGAAATTCCCCGGTCCAAAAGAAGGCTTAGTTTGACGTTCGGCCCTTGCCTGCCTTGACAATTCTTGGGAATGCTGGGAAAGCTTCGGCCCGCTCCATTAGATCTCCATCAAAACCCAATGCACTCCATTTTCGGGCGCCAACATAGCCAGCGGCAGTGCCCGAGTAGTACAAATTTGGCATATAGTTTTGTAAAATAATAACTTTTATTTATACAGGAGGCGCAATTGGTACCGTGCGATGATAGGAGCCTGATGTTTCTTTTTCTCTGCCCCACTACTTGGTTGGGCTTGCTGGCTACGTCATCGCATGGTTGAAGCGGTCTGGACAAAGAAGGGAGCTATTTATGAGAACTTCACATGCGGAAGGATGCTTCTTATTGATAAGGTAGCACTCAGTTTTTTTCTATCTACTCACTCCAAAATAGAAACAAACCCACCTTCTCCTTCAACTATATTTATCATAGCATCCAGGAAGTATTGCCAGCGGTGGATAAGAACCGCAGCGGAATCACGTGGATATCAACAGTCTCGGATTCAGGCCGTGGCTGCCCAAGGTGCCCAATCGCAGCGTGCAGCGTTCACCCCTGCATGTTTGCATCGTCACTCAAGTCCCGGTTTCTCGACTCGACTCGACCAGACTCCAACCCTCAACACCAATCTAACACCCCACCACCACATCCCTCCCATTCTTACTGCCGACGATAAATCTCTTCCCTCACCACCAGCCTCCTCCATTTCCACCATCATCACCTCTTCGCCTTTATACAAAGTCGCAAGACATCCACGATCAGCTATCGGGTTTCCAGCCACTTCACTCGCGAGAAGCCGTAGCGGGGTACTAATCAAATCACATCTTCACCACACCCCCGAGGCACATTCAACCATCCACGCTTCGAGATAAATAACAATCTGCGAATCTACAGATCCGAAGTAGGAGAAATTCACCATGTCCCGCGATCCATACCGCTCTTCGGGACCAGACCTGCCATATGGCGGTCGTGGCGGACAACGCTGGGATAGCGAGCGTTTCGCACAGGAGCGGGAGCGCGCACGCTTCGGCGGCGGTCCTCCTGGCCCCGGATACGGAGAACGCGAACGATTCGAGGAACGAGAGTCTAGTTTCCTGCGGGCTCCCGGAGGACGAGTGCGAGAGCGGTCTGTTGACGAGATTTACGAACGTCGGGGACCGAGAGGCTTCGAGGAGGATCGATATGATAGCCGACAGTACTATGACGAACCGCCGAGACATGCGCTTGATCGACCATTCGGTCGTGAGAGGGGACAGAGCATCACGATTGAGAAGGAGAGGGAGAGGGAGCGAGAGTTCATCGATCCCGATCCACCTATTCGACGGGGAGGAAATCGACCAGCTTTCATGAGGAGACAGTCGAGTTTGGATACATTTGACCGAAAGCCTTTGACTCGGTTCGTCGAAAGGGAGGAATATGGCCCTCCTGCGAGATATAGAGAAGAAATTCGCGCTCCACTTCCTCCACCTCTGACACCTATCCCCCTGCCGAGATCAAGGGGATTGCCGCCACCAAGACGATATGCTGAGAGAGAATACGAGGATATCGAGATTGCTGAGCCGGATTACTATGGCGATGACTCTTTCAGAGGATATCCCGAGCGAGTCCGAGAAAGAGAAATCATTAGACGGAGAAGGCGAAGCAAGGATAGTCGTGCAAGTCACAGTGTTAGGGGAAGTGTGAGGAGCAGCAGCTCTAGCTCCTCCAGTAGCGAGGAGACAACAATCAGCGTGAGAAGCGAGTTCCCGAAGAAGGGTAAGACGAGGATGCCTGCCAGACTTGTGCATAAGAGGGCTATCATTGAACTGGGATATCCATTTGAAGAAGAGGTATGTGCTCTTCAATTGTTGTCATTACCAGGCTAACCAAATTAGGGCGATGTAATCATTATTCAGAAGGCTCTTGGCCGTGAGAACATTGACGAAGTGATCAAATTGAGCGAGGATTTCAGAAATGCAGAAAGTGAGTACTCCTACTTTTCTTTGGCGTGCTTTACCTCCACTGGTCCCAAAATTGCTTTGGCTTAATACCGGTCCGCTTTAGCTGTGAAAGAAAGAGAAACAACTCTAACAACCTACCTCGTTGGTCCAGAAGCGGAAATGTCCGGAGCACGCTCTGAAGCCGGTACTGTCGTTGAGGAGAGACATGAAGTTTTCACCGTTCCCCCACCACCTCCACCACCAGGAAACTTTGCTCCACCACCCCCTCCACCCGTCCAGATTGTGCAAGATACGAAGATTGTCGAACATGTTGGCCCGCCACACCACCACCATCACCCCGATCCCGTAATTATCAACACTGGACCTGGTCCTCGTGAGGAAGTTTATGAAAGAAAAGAAGTCTACGAAACGACTTCCGGCCCTGTTGGCCCTCTGGCACTCGCGGTTCGACCTCACGATCACCGAAAGGACGAGCGGGCCATTCGTGCAGAGATCAGAGCTCTAGAGGCCGAGAAAGAAGCTCTCCGAGCCGAGAAGCGAGCTGAGCGAGAACTCCGTAAAGCAGACCGCATCCGCAACCACGGCCGTTCTTCAGAGGGCGATCTAGTCCTGTACGAGCGTGAGCGTATTGAGAGACCAGGTGAAGAGGTCACTTTGGTTAGGAGGGAGAGGATCGAGGAGCCAGAAGGTGGTGTACGGATTGAAAAGGATCGAAAAGGTAGGATGGCTATCAGCGTTCCGAAGTACTATTGAAGTACTTTCGGCTACCCTCTGGTGGGTTATTTACCCTCAAGGGGACTTGTGTGAACATCAGTGCTGACTTATCTCCCTTTTTAGTACCACCGCCGAAATTGGTCAGAGCTATGCTTGCCACTCTTACTTAAGCTTCCCTTCGTACAAGTATTCTCCGATCGATCCAACGACCGAGCTGCGAAGTATGCATTCACGCGGTACGCCCGCTTATTCCACACGCGGGCGTATGGATGGGCGTGATTTTGATATATCTACGTTATCTATCTTCTCTTCTCACATTTCTCTATTGGAATAGACTGGGCATTCGATGAAATGAGATATGACAGGACAGGACAGTTCTGGACAGGTTCAGAATTTCAAAACGATCACTCACATATGGAGGTCGCCTCGTCAGCCAGGGATTGGTATTCTGAGTGCTTTTTGATTTGTGCGGGATATGGAGGTTTTGCTGGTTGCATTTGGTGGAAATTTTTTCCGTGCTGGATGGGGATAGGGCGGGGTGGGGTTTTCTATCGAATTCATCTTCAGGTTTACGTTTTTTGGGGGGGAGAGGTGGCAAGGATTAAGATTTTAGTAATGAGATACGAATTTTCTTGATATTTTCTCAGATTTCTTGGTCTTTATTTGGGCGAGTCTTGCGAGAGGTTCGACTGAACTGAGAGTGGCAAGTGCCGAAATATGAATGTAGCCTTACCTTATGTTTGCTCTTTCCTGAGTTGAGTGATGGCTAGGTAGGCAGTCTCTTCTGGAATCAGGTGATGGGTGTGGTAGGCTCAGCATTCTACACGTCCACACTGTTAGCATCAATACTCCCTTCTTAAACCGCTTCATTTGTATCACATACCTGACAAAGGCGATAGATTGTCGATGAATGGTACTCCTCTGAGGGTTTGGTTGGAGGTCCTCTCACCTACCCTTCCGTTCTCTCGTCGACGCCATGTTGCCCCCAACCACAAAGAAACACTGAATAACACGCCTCGGGACACTCTGTGCAAGTCTCAAAAGCACCAACGTCCCCCGAAACCCCTTTTCCGCCGCCATGTTGATACCGTTGTTGGCACACGGACTTGAACTGTGCATGGCTATTTGGTAGGACTGTCGCTTATTCGGACTTTATTCGGAGTGTTTTCGTCTCATGGGAACGAGATACCGTTACGTTTGGTTGCACGTCGTCTGACTATCAGAAGGATTCTGTGGAGCGAATAAGTGACAGATCTGATTAATTCTCTCAGACACCTTATTTGACTGATAGCGTTCGAGCTGCTAGTAAAGCAAGGCGACTTGTCGAACGGCTGTGCTCTGAAAGGTGGCATCGGTACAGGAAGTCCGTATCGTACACGATCTCCTGTAATCGCAGGTCGACCTTGGATCGGAGACGACTTAGAGTCATCGGTCCAGTCAACTTTTGCGTTTGGAGTCTGCTTGGAATGTTCTCGATATATCATGAGGAGTTGTTCAAAGTAAGTCGTCAGCTTTGCTGTACGAATGACGCGAATATATTGCTGCTCTGCTAATGACTCTGTGAACAGTGTTAGACTGGACATACACCTTGACATCTTTCAGATTATTGGCGTCTGTGGCGAGGTAATAACAGGTACCTAGTGGTATGCTCACGAACTATTCCGCGATAGGCGCATTTCAATTCTGTACGACGATTTGGCGAAGGAGGACTACCAGGAATTTCATGCAGAACGAGACTTCAGGATCAGAATGATACCAAATCAGACTCGCAGTCCTCTCAGCCTAGCAGTCACCATTTGGTTCCCACCGATCCGTAGGGTGTTTCTTGACACCTTTGTTGGGCTTCTGGGATCTGGTACATGTCGACTTTCCAGACTTGGTATGAATTCAGGCTGATTAGGGTCAAGGTACCAGATATGTCTCACCAGGAGCCATTAGAATGCCACGTCTTTCCGCAAAGGGTGCCGTTTGGTTGTTACCTGAAAGGAGGATTCGGTGGTCACTTCTTCGTCCGGGTGCTACGGACGGCACCGACAGAAAACTCTAAGACTAGATTCGGGTCACTACGCAGTCTTCAGATCCAAGACACTGTAACTGTCAGCTTGATACTATGGACGAAGTATTGGAATCGTCCGAACACCTAGGATATCATTTCTTACTACGAAAGCAATGGTACTAGTTATTCTTCTCTAACTCCATAACAATAGTGGTGAGAACGTTTGGAGACCGCTCATAGAATTTTCGGAACTTGTACTTTGTTATCTTGGATACTCTTCTGCAGTCTTGGAATGCTTCATTGATGTGGAAGGTTTGACCTTAGGTGATCGATACGAACATTCAACAGATCAATGTTACGTTTCCCTGCTCTGGCCAATACTATATACCCCAATTCGAATATTCGTTACGTCACCGAAGTAACTATTCTGCTCGGAGTCGCCGCTTGTGGTGAGTAAATACGAGATTTCCAAACATTGTGACAGCTCCAGTTGTGTACAACAACCATGATATACCGAGATCGTAGGGGCAAGTCAACGATCGAACCGATCGACAGCTACCCACAGCAACAAAGTCGATGAGACCCTGAAAAGCATATAAATCTCGATCTCTACCGCTTCAATCGACGACATCGATCACAGATCAGCAAGGAATCGATTCTCACCTTCTCAGAGACCAGTAAATTCATAAGAACACATCCAATCATCATGCAAATCACCTCCATTCTAACTACAGTACTCACGGTTGCTACCTTTGCCGGTGCTCTTCCCAACCCGGCTTCGACTGTTTCCGAAGGTGGTGCTGCGAGAACTGATACAGTGGCACCTTTTGCATCGAACTCGAAGAATTATGGCAGGTATGTTGTGGATCCCCCCCCCCTCATCTCCAACAAATGTGAGCCTGCTGTGGCTCTTCTGTATCTTGCACTTCACTCTTATTGCTTAGGATTAGAACTTTGGCTGATACGGTTTTATTGTCCAGTGCTCTAGCGACATTCGATGTCATCTGGTGGTGGATCGGTCTCGGTCTCCCTACCATCGAGTACTCCGCTTATGGGAAATACGAACAATGCTACAACCTCCCTGGCTTATTCGCTCACTTAACTGGTACGAATTTCGTGCTTCCACCAATCTGCTTTCTTAAACTCATCACTTTGCACTCTCTTGTCTTGACTTCAACTTCAACTTCATTCCCAAACCTCCCTTCCCCCATTTCAAACTCCAGCCACCATACACACACACAAGATCTTCTCCAAACCATTACTCTAAGTAGTGAAGCTGACTGATGCTTATCTGCTTAGGATCCATCAAGATCATCGCCCCCACCCCCGGCTGCTGGATCTACCCAGCTGCCAATTGCCAAGGGAACTTCACCGTCGTTGGGCCCAAAGGCGATGCAATCTGGGATGGCGACAGCCAGAGCTTTATCTGCGACAAACCAACCTGAACATCTCTGTCACAGGCTCAATAGTAAGTTGTCTGGGTTAGGTGGTGCGACAGTGTGGTGTGAGTAGAGGAGAGTGTCAAAAGGTGGAAGAGAGTGGGGGGTTGTTTGGTGGGTGGGGTAGAGGTGCTTGGTATTTATTATCGTTTTGTGTTCTGAGAATTCGGTCGTCTTGGAAGGATTATATGTTCTGATTAGCGTGTTCGAATCTTCTCTTACTCTTAGATGTCCTTACCGGCTCGAATTTCAAGTTTTCGTTTTTAATCGCGTGGTGTTGCATAAGTAGCCTGGCATATGCACGTTCCTTTGTTGTTTTCGCTTAATATTTGGAAGTCTTTGGAACTTTAAGTGGCATCACTGTTTCATACAGCACACCGTACCTAGGTACCGTGTTGTAATACTGGTCTAGACCTGCAAAATATGTCATCTCCGGTCCTCTCTATCCTCTCTATTTATTTCAAATCCTTTCACGTTTCCGAGGAGTATTCTCCTAACGTGGGTAGATTCCTTCTTGCCTCAAGATATTCTAGCTTCACATGGTCACAGCAGCACCCAGCCAAGCATCCATTCATTTCAATGCTTTTCATTTCATTTCATTTCTCTATTCCTACATGTCTTTATGCTGTCCTTTAGACTGGTTTGGGTATCTACTCTGCGAAAAGGAAAATATGTCGTTATGGTATCATGAATTCGTTCATTCCCATCATCCCAATGTCATCATGAGTGCCGTCAGCAATAACCGTTCCGACTTCGCTAGTATCAATCAACCTCACAATCATCATCCTCTTGTTAGGAAGATCGGGTTCGTGATTTCCATCTCTTCGTCGTTGTGGTATCGTATCATCATGGCGTATCAATCGTCATGTATCGTTGTCGTCGTAATCAGAACGGAGAAAAGGAAATATTCGTACACCACAATCAATCATACGTCGTCCTCTCCTTCTTCTTCTTCTTCTTCTTCTTCTTTTTCTTCACTCTTTTCGTCCAATGGCTCGGTTGACCCGAGACATGAAACCACCAGAGCTCTCCTTACAGCAGGCAGGCAGGAGCCACAAAGCATTGTTAGCTCTAGCCCAGGCCTCCTGGTATTTCCATAGACCTAGCGGCATATAATCAGCACTGAAAGTCGAAGAAGAAGTGAGCCTGAGAATGGATTGACTTACTCTCCTTGACTTCATCGCCCATAGCGCGACTCTCGAGCGTCATGAATATTCTCTTCCAGCGTAATTCCTCCTCAGTCAGCATATTATCAATACCGACTTCGCCACTATCCTCGTCGTCTCGAGAGGGATTTTTGCTCTTCGTCTTTTTCTTTCTGTTGCTTTCTTCACGGCTCTGGAAGCGCCGCATTGCCTCGGGGTCACGCAATATGGTTTGTGCCATCTCCTGCATGAATCTATCTGTCAATGTTGAAAACATTCCGGCCCAATTGTCGCCTGCGGGTGGAGTATAGACCATGGTCACGTTGCTGCCGGGAGTGAATATGAGAGGTGTTGCAGGGCGAGCAGGGCCGGCGATGGGTTCAGCTGTTGCTGTAGCGTTCGAGACTGATGTCGTGGGCTCGGCATGAAGGGAGGTCACTGAACCGGCGTTGAGTGAATATGTTGATTGATTACGAGCAGCTAGGTTGACGACAGATCTACTAAACGAGGATGACAGCGAAGAGAGCTTTCCGAAGGTCTTTGACTTGGGAAGTGGAAGATTGCTAGGCTTTGATTGAACACGAGCGGGGGAGATTGTACCGAGTAGACGATGAGCTTTAGCCGGGTGAAGATTCTAGGTTCCAAGTTAGGTATGTCAAAGAAAGACTCAAGCCTACATACCTCTTTCTTCATGGTTGACAATGCAGGAGCGGTGAAGTTACGGCCCTGCTTGTCCTCGGAGATCGGCGATGGGATACGAGTCGGACTAGCAGCATCACGAACTCTGATATCTTGCATTGACTGATAGCGTCGTGGGGAGATCTTGTTCGTAACATCTTTCAGGTTATTATTTCTCGCAATTGATGTACCTATGACCTCCACGAAAGCAGTGCCATCGCCGGAGACATGAACAGGGTTCAGAGGGGAGGAGATTGCAACGGCACTGGGTCCAGGTCTCTTGAAGTGGTTTGTTACTTTGGAACTTGGACGTGGCATTCGAGCATCGAAAGCTGGAGTAGCCGATCTGGTTGGTTGTGCGAACGGAGCTGGAGCAGCAGGTCGACCGCCATCTAGCAACTGACGCAAAGCAGCCTCGCCAGAGACATGGACAACGTTGAAGGGTGCTGATATTACAGAATCCTGAGTAACAACTGGTTGTGGTGGCTGCACTGGAAAAGGTGGTTGGGAATGTGCTGGGATCTTGTTCTTGATACTATGGAAAGCGGTGCCTTCTCCCGAGACGTGAATCGGATTGTAGGGATGGCCGATAATACCTCTAAATTTGTCGCCTGTGAGCTTACTCGAAGGTCTAGAGGCTGTAGTAGGAGCCGCACGCTGAGCCCATCGTCCCAAAGCAGATAGTCTGCCGTTGATTTGAGCAGAAGTCGATGATTTGGTCAATTTTGGGGTTGGACCTCGTCCACTGATCTGAGCTGAGGTAGAGGACTTGGTCAGGTTTGGTGTCACAGCTCGACCGCCGATCTTGGAAGACGTGAGCGACTTCTTCATGCCCCTAGCTGGACCTGATGTAGCTTTAGCAGAGGAAGGTGGGTTGAACATGACGAATGTAGTACCTTCAACCTCGACAATAGTCGGTGATGATTTTTCTGTATTTGAGATGGTGCATTGACCTCTGTTCTGAGCGGAAATGGCTTGAGCTACCCTTGGAGGTCGTGGTGGCATCTGTTCGGTGAAGCGAACCGTAGTCTTTGACTTGGCCATTGGTGGCGATGCCCTCTCGTTGATATGAGCAGAAGTGACAGATTTATTCAATTTAGATACTGCAGCTTGCTCATTGATAGGGACTTGTCGACTCATCACCTCTTCGAGAGCAGTACCCGATCCAGATACATGCTTCACGTCCATAGGTCCCGAGATTACGAAAGGTCGCTGAGTGGGTGACTGAGCATTTTGTCGAAGATTAAACATGGATTTGGAAGGTCTGGGACCGCTTGGGCGTGTGGGTAGTTGACAGCGACTTCCGATAACATCGCTGATATCTCCAATGGCAGGAGCGACCTTTTCGACCCCAACCTTGTGTTCTAACTTAACTGGCGATACAGAGGTATCGGAACCATCATCAAAGGTCTCGACAGAGAGATTCTTGATTGTCGACTTTTTCAAATTGAAGAACGAGTTCTGATGGCGAAGTGGTTTCCTGACGGTCTCCTTGGGTGTGATGGCGGATGAAGATGAAGTCGCAGCTTTTCCGAAGAACAACTGCTTCTTTAGAGGCTTCTTCTCGCTGTCTTTGACATATCTCGATCTACCAACCGGATCTTTAGGTCTCTCGAGGCTGTTGAAGTCAATCTTTTCAGACTCATCGTCCTCAACCATGGTGTCGATGAAGCTAGTGGGATCCTGCTCAGACTTGTCAACACTCGCAAAAGATCTGTCCAAGCTCGAAGGAGCTGTAGCCTCCGACTCATCGAAAGTAGCAGAGAAGGACCCGAGAATGCTAGGCACAGTGCTAGATCGGGCCAGAGGAGTAGGACTGTACATGCGAGGACTTCTTGTCGGATCATATGGGGGAGTTGGGACTCGTGTTGGAAGGGTAGGCCCATCTCTGGTATTGCTGAATCCATCAGGAGACGAGGCAACGCATCGGGCTCTTGGTGGAGAAGCGCCACAAAGATCGTCTTCTTCGTCAATGTTGACGGCTCGTCGATTGATGTCAGTGACTGCTTGTGCATAATAGCCGTCAAAGTCGGGGATATGGGGGTTCTCTCTATGGACGGGAGTATGGGGACGTCGGTAGTCTGGTCGAGGTACGGCCGCTCCTGGAGGACGTCCGACAGGAGGTGGACGCGCCAAGTTCTGGCTACTGTACATAGATGGAATTGGAGGTACAGGAGGAATGAAGGAGTGTCTATGACTCGATTGATTGCGCAGCTGGTCGACCCATGGCTCGTCGCTGCCGGCGACAGGCATGCTTGCGCGTCGATCTGCGAGGTTTTGACTGTAAATTGGCTACGAATATGTTAAATATAAATCATTGAGCAGGGCTACAAGCGATTGAAGGATGAGATGTATCGTACCAATGGCAATCTTGAAGCTCGATCTTCAACTGCGAGTTCAGTAACGAGCGATGGAGATGTAGCTGAAGCGAGACGCGAACGAGGAGTAGGAGAATCAGGCAAAGCAAACGCCTGAAAGCTACTTCTCGATCCTCGACCTCGAGCTATAACATCGAGCTCAAAGGAGAGCGAGAGTGAGCGAGGTGCACAGTGCAGTGGAGCTGGTGGATCGCGGCTGGAGAGTTGAGCGAATGTGTAGTGGCCTGGCCTCGACGCAGCCGGGCCATCTTCTTTGCGGGCCATGCTTAGTTAAGCAATGAACCCTCGAATTGATTGTACACCAGACGAGTTGTCGGCTTGTCAACTTCAACGTCGTTGTTGCAAACAGGAACTGATCAAGATTGAACAGGTGCGCAGGTTATGAGGGAAAGGAAGCTTAGGAAATTTGGTTTGGAGGAAAACAAAGCTGTTCGCTTCGAAAGCCAATAGGAACTCGAGAGCCGCCTGAAGCCAGTCTTCACAGTCGAGCTACGTTCTTAAGGCAGCCTTGCTAGAAGTGAAATACGCAGATACAAAGAAATTAAAGCTCACAAGTGGTGGTTCATCTGAGTGGAGCGGGCTTTTGGAAGCCATGCACGCCACAGGGCTTCTTTTAATCCACTCACAGTCTCGGGCTCTGGAGACCTCTTTCCATTCCTCCCGGAACAGACCGTAGGACCCGGCTAGACACTCCTGGAAGCTCACGCTGACCATATCTTCTATCCCTTTCCACCTCAAAACAAACGTTCATGTTTACGCGAACATCCCCAAGTCCTGAATCCCAATACGACCCTTGTTTACATCCTTCAGGCTCTCCACAGTTTCTGGTATGCTTTCCGCCCCCAAGAACTCTGGGCGTCCATTGTCCTGGTAATTTTCCACGCGGCAGCAAACTTCCTTGTCCCACCTATCAAAACGAGGAGGTTTTGCCAGATGAGTGAGTGCTAGAGCTTAGACTTGAGTTTCGGTGATCCGGGCTCTGTCACCTTGATAAAAGCTGAAAACATCCAGCTTTGTGGCGAAAGAATTCCATTGCAGCTTGTGGCAGGCATAATAGGGTGCAGCCCGACTGAATCAGATAACTGAATCACGGTCAGAGTTGTCCAGAGTATGCCAGTGGATAGCAGGAGGTGAGGATATGAGGGATAATTGAGGTTTGAATTTGAGGTGTTTTGGTACGTATGTTGACTCTGACGTATGTGGACAGGTTCTGGGTATAAGTTCGGTGAGCATGGCCCAGAGTTCTCCTATTTCTGGATGAAAGTTGTCTCTCCCACAGCGGCTTTTCTTATCCTGGACTTGACGCAATCAAATAAACTGCAGTTACTCATGAAACTCGAGTGTGTACTTGTCCGTCGCCTTGTAATGACCTTCAGCCAAAGTAATGTACGGCATAGCTAGCTTCTCTTCTTTCGCAGAAACGAAGCTTAGCTTGTATTCGAAACCCTAATATGGAGTATTTGCGAAAACCGAGCCTCTACCTCAAACACCTCAGACCAATGCCCACCACGTAGTATAAAGGACTCAATCAAAATACATGACCAGCACTGAGAAGATGGTGCTGTGAAGCCGAGAGAAGACCAGTCTAGACTTAATTGATTTTCTGAGGTCTATGATGGCAAGAGTACGGAAAAGAAAGAATGAAATGTAAACAAGTATCCTCGCGAATCTAAAGGCGTAGTTCTCCGGACGCAGTAAGTCAAATGGGAGGGAAGATCATTGCGCGCTGTAAAGCAAATCACCCTCAGCTCTAAACCAACCAGTATGCGCCACTTGACGAAACTCATGGAAGAATACGCCCTCTCTGGTCATTTGAAGACTCAGCGAACAGTAGCGCAGGATCGTTGAAAGCTCCGTGGCGTGTCCTGAGAGGTCTTGAAGTGACAAGTATCAGCCAGATCCTTATCTGAACCGGGTCGATGAGCTGCCTGGTGGCGCGGTCAGAGGCAATTTTCACGCTGGCAGTGAGCGACAGAGACCTATCGCGCCTTTGAAAGCGTGGGTAGGTAGCTGTATGTGATGGAATGCAAGTGAAAATGGGCCATTGATGGCTGAAAGGGGGTGAAAATGGCACTCGATGGGAAAGGAGACTCTTGCCAGCCTTTCACGTGATGACCCAAGTCCGCCGAGTCAGAAGCCAGCTTTCAAGTCAGCGCAGAAATTGCAACTTCGGCAGCACAAAGCATTCCACGCCAACATCTGCGTTTCCGCGTTCATGTAACTCGTAGTGAGCATGAGACGCTGGGAATAAAAAGTCGGGGTTTGACGGACGGAACCCCTACAATCTAGACGACCAGGGTGCACGTCAATGGACCCCTAAACCCGAGTCGTGTGAAGCTGCAGCTTCGATGCAACCCCTTCAACGCGCCTTGGGACGTGATACGGCCAAATAGTCCTTTTCAGCACGAGATGGTTGCCTCTCTAGGTAAGTAGGCTCTGACATCTCGTACACTTCTAGATGCTGTAGTGCGGCAAGTTGTGGCGCTGGTGCCTTCCACTTGTCACTTTGATGAGATATTCCACGGACCTCTGTATTTCTGCAATTATTTCATCCCCTGCTTGCTGTTCATGATTTATGCTTTTTGTTGGACTTGGATCATCTGGTTACCGTCGGCTCTTTACCCTTATTATCTCGCTGTATACAGGCATTCCCTGATCATACACTCTGATCAGACAAGAGAGTCCTGGGGAGATATCCCCTGCTCATGCGCCTGATATCATCCAGACACACCCCGCAATTTCTAACTTTGTTCCTTCAACTCAGTTGTGCTAGAGAGTAGCTTATCGAAGTTTCTTTTTTTTCTGCGCAGAGGTTTGTGGCTGCGGAGGCCCAGAGCTTGATATCACTGCCAAGTGATAGGGGCTTGCAGTAGTAGGGTTCTGGAAAAGATCCAGTTCTCAGTATTGCTTGTTTTGGTCGCGCCGTCTTGGGAGATGCTTCCATTGAAGCCTCAGCAACATTGGGTTCCTGGCCGAGTGGGCGCTGTTAGTGGCCGGGGCCATCCGCACATAATCCTAGGTTTTGCCCCGACCAGAAGCTATCTACGACCAATCAGATCAGATGCACAGTTCAAGGCACTATCACTTGGCAAACCATAGCTGGGAAGGCAATGCTCGAGCAGCATTAGGACAAGGGGAGCTCCTGCAGTCGGTTTACCACGGCTACGGAGCGACCGAATCTCTCTTATCTGCTTACATGTCTTGGTAAAGTTATAAGTAACATCTACGATCTTCCCACTCTTGACATTTCGATTCTGTCATCGTTCTTCAAGGGGCAAGGCTTCAATAATTTCAATTCACAATGAAGAACGAGGACCAAGTCACCATGGGAGACGACAAGTCCAGCCCAAATGATAGCAGTGAGAAGGATGGTGTCGTCAACTCCACTACCTACGACGGGGTTGGAGATGTCGAAAACCTTGAGAAGACGAAGAGAGGTCTCAAAGCCAGACATGCTCAAATGATTGCTCTTGGAGGCACGATTGGTAAGTTTCCCAGACTATTGATGTCTTGATGAGGTAGAGGAATGATCCTGACTTTGTGACCAGGCACTGGTCTTTTCGTCGGAAGTGGAAGCACCCTCGCTAGAGGCGGCCCATTGTTTATTCTTCTGGCTTATTCCATGATCGCCGCTCTCGTCCTCGGTGTCGTCACTGCTATCACCGAAGTCGCTGCATATCTCCCAGTCAGTGGTGGAACGATGGGGTTCTATGGCCACCGAAATGTCTCAGACTCTCTTGGTTTCGCTATGGGATGGCTATACTTCTACTCTTTGGGTATATTGGTGCCTTACGAAATCACCGCTGCAGGCATCGTGATCGATTACTGGGAGACGGACATCAACATTGCTGTATGGATCTCGGTCTTCATTGTTGTTATCGTAGGACTTAATACCCTCCCTGTGGCTTTCTACGGCGAGACAGAGTTCTGGTTTGCATCGCTGAAGGTTTTCATGATGATTGGGCTTCTGATCCTTTCATTTATCCTCTTCTGGGGTGGTGGACCAAAACAAGACGGAATATTGGGCTTCCATTACTGGAAGGTAAGCTCCACGTGACCCCACAATATTCTTCGAGGAAAAGCTAATCTGTACCTCAGGATCCAGGAGCGACGAACACATATCTCAAAACAGGAGACACTGGACGATTTCTTGCCTTCCTTAAGGTTTTGGTCTCCTCGGCTTTCCCCTTCACTTTCGCTCCCGAATTGCTCGTTGTGACCGGTGGTGAGATGAAGAACCCACGTCGCAATTTGCCCAAAGCAGCAAAGCGATACTTCATCCGTCTCGTTTTCTTCTATAGTGAGTGTGCTTCATTTTTTTTTCACCTTCCCGTCAATTTCTGTCAGGAAGCTCCCGTCGTTGCCACATCTCCTAATCCCCGCAAAGCGAATGCTAACCACAAGTCATCTGCAGTCGGTTCAGTCATTGCCATCGGTGTCATCTGCCCTTCTAATGACGAGCGTCTAACCAACGGTGGTGTCGGTGCCGGATCTTCAGCGTTCGTTGTTGGAATTGCAGATGCTGGTATCAAAGGACTTGACTCAGTTATCAACGCTGTGATCATCACCTCGGCTTGGTCGTCTGGAAACTCCTTCCTCTACATGTCATCGCGCTCTCTGTTCTCCCTCGCAGTCGCGGGCAATGCCCCAAAGATCTTCGCCAAGTGCACAAAGAAGGGTGTCCCATACATGGCAGTTGGAGCTTCGTCCCTCTTCTGTGCCCTTGCATACCTCAATGTGGCCAGCAGTGGATCCGTAGTCTTCAACTGGTTCGTGAATTTGACCAACACATCTGGCTTCATCTCTTGGATCTGCTGTTGCATCACCTACCTCCGCTTCCGCAAAGCATGCGATCTCCAGGGCGTCACATACCCAGACCAAATCCCATATCGATCATGGATGCAGCCGTATGGAGCTTGGGCAGCTATTGTCTTCTTCACCTTCCTGACTCTCATCAACGGTTTCGACGTCTTCTTTCCATCACTCTGGTCCGCCAGTGGCTTTCTCACAGCTTATGTCGGCATTCCAATCTTCCTTTGCATCTACTTCGGCCACCGGATATATAGTATGAGGAAGAATGAGCCCTGGGTTATCCCGTCAGCCGAAGTGGATCTGACGACCGGTCTCGATATTGTGCTTGCGAACGAGAAGCCAGAGTTGAAGGGTAACACATGGAGTAAGAAGCTCCAGGGTTGGTTTACGTGATTTGAGTTTCTAGCCATTGGCTGTATGTATATAACATGTCGGTATTGTCCTGTGTGTTGACGAAATCATTCTGTTTTTGACTTGTACAGAATCAAATTACCTCGCATCTTGTTTTGATACAAGACAAGGAAGTTATCGTCGGCCAAATTCGAAACGAGTTCGAAAGAAGGTTACTGGCGTACAGAAAGTGATCACGAGGAAATGGACAGACAGACTCAATCACGTTGCCTCGCGTCGGCTCAGAAATCCTCCTCCCCGTGCCAGATGGGGATATCCTAGCTTTTCAGCATCAGGACACTTCAACAACGCGACAAGCTACCGGCCTCTCGATCCGCAAATGTACAATCTCAATATACCCGGCATTAGCTCCCATACTCACAAGCATTTCCCGACCCGCTAGCCCGTGCAGACGAGCGAATAACACCGCCCAAGTCTGAGCACAGCATCACCATTCTTAAAGGCATTCAAAAGTCTCCACCAAACCCCATTTCTACTAATCAATGCTATTGGAGCATATACTATAGCAGCGGATAATATGTTTTCCCGCGCCTGCACATCTGTCCCCGGACTCTCGTGTCTCGTCTATCGTGAGCTTAAATCTGCTCGGAAGGTGTGCCTCCGCACTTTTTTGACGACCCCGCTGTTTGGGTGGGGACCTGGATTTTAATTTATTGTTTTCCAGAAGAGAGGATGGAGGGGAGGAACGGCGCGAGATGGAGAGATGGGGATCTGGGTAGCTCGGATTTTAATTTCTGGGTTGGTATATATGGAGATGTGTATCCGGGTGATCTCTCATTTTTCTGTTTGGGTTCTCTTGTTACTTTGAGCTTTTTTAGCAGTGTTCCTGGCATTTTTTGGGTCTTGAGTATCCCTTGTACTGCGAATATTCTTTCTTGAGTCGATACTATGCCTTCTAAAGTATTGTCTGTGTTGGCTTCGGCCGTGTATTTGACTTCCGCCGCTCAGGGAGCTACACTTCATAAGGGATGTAAAGCTACCTCGAATTGGCCCGGATGGCCTGGCATCAAGAATGCTTTCATCTTGTAATTCGAACTTGTCTACCGGTCATCCCAGATGCATGGACTGATTTCAAACAGTGGCGATTCTTACACCACAACTGGATTCAACGAGACCGGCGTCCAGCCGACCCCGACAAACCCGCTAGGAAACCCAACATATCCAGGATATACATCGGCGAACGGCCCGAACTGGGTCGACTATCTGACTGTGAAGTACAATGCCTCGACTCTTTTGACGTATAATCTGGCATATGGTGGAGCAACAATCAATTCCAAACTCGTGGCACCTTACAAACCAGAAGTATCCTCAGTCGCAGAACAAGTCCAAAATCAATGGTTCCCAACCTATGCCGGGAAGCCAGCATCCACACCCTGGACCTCGAAAAACACTCTCTTTGCCATCTTCGACGGTATCAATGATGTTGGAAACTCTTGGTGGCTAGCAGATACCGCAACACTCAACGCCAAGATCTTCGCAGTCTACCGAGGACTCGTTGACCAGCTGTACTATGCTGGAGGACGAAACTTTGCATTCTTGAACGTCCCACCGGTCGACAGATCGCCTTTGGCACTTGCCAATACAGCCGACCAACAAGCGTTAGAAAAGGCTGATATCCTCGCCTGGAATGCGCTGGTTGTCAAGATGGCGAATAGCATTAAGGACGAGAAGCCAGATGTCAATATCTTCCTTGTGGATTCATACAAGTACTTCACTGAAGTGCTCGACAAGCCAAAGAAATACAAGCAGACGGCTCTGTACAAGAACACTACTGCGTATTGTACCGACTATCAGAAGTAAGTCCTGCTCAAAGTGTTAGCGAATGGTTTTGCTGACTTCTCTCAGTGGCACTCCTGCGCCTGATACTTTCAGTCCGGCGTGCGGTGTTCCTGTCAATCAGTACTTCTGGTTGAACAGCTTGCATCCTACATACCCTATGCAAGATGTTCTTGCTGAGCAGGTTGCTCTACAGTTGAAGGCCGGACCTAATGTTTGCTAGAATTGATGAAGAACTTAAGCGAGTAATTTGCAAGGTGAGACAACAACATGCTGTTGTATATAGAATCCATAGGCACATAAAACATACCGCGTATACTTTGAAGCGGAAAATTACGAGCGAGAAAGAGGCCCTGAGGAAGTTGTCTTGCTACATTACCTAAGGAGCTAAGATAGGTACCTAGGTGGGTGCGGAATCCCCTTGGGTAGTCACGTGATACACGGACATCTGCACCCAACGAAGCCACCAGAACTTCTCATTAGCAAATGTCATAAGATTCAGTCCGACCCCGGAACCAGAACATCAACAGCTCGCATATCAAAGGATAGGAATACTTCATTTGGATCCATCTTAATTGTTGGGTTTCCGCCAGCTCGTACCCCACATCCGCTAAACTCTTCTTGGGCATGGAATCCGGCGGATATCTCTTATCAGCCCCTCATCCAACCGCGTCTCCCCAAATTGTTGTTCAAGCTTGACCATGCCGGGCTCACAGCGGCAATATGATATGTCGAGACTATCGTGGCATTGGAGGGGTGACAGCTCTGGCCATTGATCGATGCAAGAGGCACGTTTCGGGAGCTTCTTGTGCTATATTCTGTACCTACTAGATCGATTCCGTCCATCCATCCATCCCACTTGTCAATCCATCGGTATCCAGACCCAATTTGATACAGCAGATCCCGCTGGGGTTTATATATTATCCCTTCCCCTCTGATCTTCATTGTGATACTTTTGTCTATCCATACCCTTCACTGACCTGCCAGTCATTGTTTCTCATCAGTCTAGTAACCGTCCAGCAAAGGAACACACACAATGGCTCTCGATAGACTCAAGTCTGTAACCAAGCACTTCACCGGCACTTCTGATCCTCCTCACCCATTCGATCCCCTCTCAAATGCCGAGATCGAAGCCGCTGTCGCAGTTATCAGCAAGGAACATGGGAAGCTTTTTTACAATGCTGTCACTCTACGCGAACCACCGAAGAAGGAGATGTTGAGGTGGTTGGAAACTCCAAAGACTACCCCACTCCCAACCAGAATTGCTGATGTTGTGGCTCTGGCGCCTGGTGGGAAGGTTTACGATGGATTGGTGGATTTGAAGACGGGGAAGATTGTCAAGTGGGAGCAGATGGAGGGTGTTCAGCCGTTAGTGAGTACTCTTAAGAAAGCTCTCGCATATCGTTATTTACTGGTTCCAGATCACCATGGAGGATTTGCAGATAGTCGAGCATGTTGTGCGAAAAGACCCCAAGGTCATTGAACAATGTGTGATCAGTGGAATTCCAGCGGAAGATATGCACAAGGTTTACTGCGATCGTAAGTCCTCCGAGACAAGGAATATGGACTTTGCTGACCACCATAGCTTGGACAATTGGTTATGATCACAGATTTGGCAGCGATGTTCGGTTGCAACAAGCCCTTATGTACTACAGACCACACGTGGACGACAGTCAATACTCCTTCCCGCTCGACTTCTGTCCCATCTTCGACGCCGACAAGCAGGAGATTATCCACATCGACATCCCCGAGGTCCGCAGACCAGTCAACAAAGCCAAGCCCAACAATTACCACGTAGCAAGTATTGAGGCGGAGGGAGGATACAGGACAGATATCAAGCCAATCAACATCACACAACCAGAGGGCGTATCGTTCAAGATTGAAGGTCGAACCATTGACTGGCAGAACTGGAATGTCCATGTGGGATTCAACTACAAGGAAGGCATTGTTCTCAACAATATTACCTACAATGACAAGGGGACTGTGAGACCGATTTTCTACAGATTGTCTTTGGCGGAGATGGTTGTGCCATACGGAAACCCAGAACATCCTCACCAGCGAAAACATGCTTTCGATTTGGGCGAGTACGGTGGAGGATACATGACCAACAGTCTTTCCTTGGGGTGTGATTGTAAAGGCGCGATTCACTATATGGATGCAGCCTTTGTCAATCGTGCTGGAGAAAGTACCACGATCAAGAACGCGATCTGCATCCACGAAGAAGATGCTGGTATTCTGTTCAAGCACACCGATTTCCGTGACGACTCGGTCATCGTTACCCGAGGCCGCAAACTCATCATTTCCCACATCTTCACCGCGGCCAACTACGAATACTGTGTGTACTGGATCTTCCACCAAGATGGTACTGTCCAGTTAGAGATCAAGCTTACTGGCATTCTCAACACCTATGCTATGAATCCTGGCGAAGACACGAAGGGCTGGGGAACCGAGGTCTACCCAGGAGTTAACGCACATAACCATCAACATCTCTTCTGTCTTAGAATCGACCCCAATATCGATGGACCAAATAACACAGTCTTCCAAGTCGATGCTACTCAAGGGGCAGGCGAGGTTGGAAGCAAGGAAAACCCATACGGAAACGCTTTCTTCGCCAATAGAACCAAGTTTACTACAGTGAAGGAGGCTGTCAGTGATTATAACGGAGTTACTTCGAGAACATGGGACATGTGTAACACCAACAAGCCCAACCCTTACAGCCACAAGCCTGTCTCTTATAAGCTAGTCAGCAGAGAAGTTCCTAAGCTGTTACCAAAGGAGGGTTCGTTGGTTTGGAAGCGTGCTGGTTTCGCTAGACATGCCGTGCACGTCACAAGATGTAAGTTTTCTGCTCTCGAAAATGCTGATCAAGATAACAACTAACAATCTCCAGATGACGACGACCAAATCCTCCCCGCAGGCCGCCACGTTCCACAAACTTCGGGCGAGCCCTCCCGCGGCATCCCGGAATGGATCGCGAATGGCGACGCATCCATCGACAACACCGACATTGTACTCTGGCACACTTTCGGTATCACGCATTTCCCCTCACCTGAAGACTTCCCCGTCATGCCCGCCGAGCCAATGACGCTTCTCCTCCGTCCTAGAAACTTCTTCCTTCGAAATCCAGCACTCGATGTACCGCCTAGTTATTGCAGTACGCCTAGCCAAGTTGCAGGACAAGGGAAGGTGCTTGATGCGGCGGACAAGATGTCGAAGTTGGTTGTTGCTGCGGGTGACGCGAGTTGTTGTAAAAAGTAAGGTAGCAGTACAGTCATGGGGCGGATTTATGATGCGCGTGGAGTTAGGTGGCGTACATGGCTTACTGGATTTCTTGCACATGGTTCAGATAAGGGTTGAATATTATGACCAATTACTTTGTCCTACATTTTGTTTGCTTCATTTGTGTCTACCCATTCTCAGTCTGCCACGACATTCTGCTTTTTCCTCCTCCTCTCCTAATTGTCTCCTTAGCAATACATACAAGCTACGCAGGCCAATCACACTATCCTTACAGGAGTCAAAGATATTAACAGCTTTAAGACATGACACCGGAGCTCTTTTTGCATCAACATGTTGTGGCCTTTGACTCTCCATACCGAGGCATTCAACCACCGCCCTGTATTCAAAGCAGCTGATCGGACAAAAATTCGGTAAGCCATAGCTTTAGCTTCATGACCGGAACCTAACTATAATTAAGCTCAAGTCAAGACGAGAATACAAGAAGGGTTTAGCTCAAAACACTCCTAGATGACACGTCGAAGAGACTAAGAACTATAAGAAGAAAAACCAATAAGAATCCAGAGCCTGTAATTGAGGGAAGCATCCAGTTGAAAAGTGCGATACGCCCGTTGCTGTCACTCATTCAAATATAGCTTGGTTCCATTCAATAGCTTTGATAATATCACAGGCGAGCACGCCCAGACCAAGAATGAAATATAGCGGAGACTGACGATATGCAGCAGAACAATATTGGGCGAAGCTATCCAAGTGGGCATCTCAAGACGATACCTGCGGACCGAACCGAAAGAGCGAAGTCCTTCCTGAAAAATAATTCAGACTGCGATTTACAACAGAGCCATCAGCCTCGATCGACTAAACCTGTTCCTGTCGACTGGGATTGAGCTATCACAAGAAGAGTCCGAAAGCTCAGGAACAGGTCAAGCTCATGACCAAAACAGAAGGACCACAAAAAAAGATTCGATGTGCGATATGCAACAAACTTATCAGCATTGATTGACTAATCCTGTTCCTGTTGACTGAAGCGGTCAGGCTACGCCAACCGAATTTTGCAAAGACTCAGGAACAAGTCAAGACTAACAAGAAGACAGAAGGACTATGACGAAATATTGTGCTGCCGACTTGCGATATGCAACAAAATCTCCAGGGACGATTAGAAAGGATTAGTGAGGTGTTGGCGTGGCTTCGGCTCCAGAGTGTGAAGTGGATCCTAGCGGAAGTGAGCGAGATGACGGACTGAATCTAAGCTTAATTAAATATCAATAGTCATGACCGCGACATCGACGGCGTGAAAGTCTGAAATGCTACTTGCAACAGAAATCATTGTGAGTTGGTTTGACCGAGGTTGTGTATGAGACAAAGTGGAGCATTTGGGATAGATGGGCTACTAATTGGGTTGTGATTTACGACAGTGGTCGAGGCATCCCGTACTCGACGTAGCTTCATATCCTTCTCATGAGACTCACATCTTCTAATCACGATTTCAAACATTTATGTTCGTCAGCAGTATTCAACGACTCGCTTCAAAGCCAAGAATTGATACAGAAACATAGTTAACAAAGCCCAGCTATGCGTAGGGTAATAAACATCCAGAATATCCCTAACACTTACGGGTGAGTCTCTGCTTGAGGGGTGGAATCTGCAGAGAGTCGTGGATTTGGCTACCAGATCATCAATGATACTTCCTCCCATCTCCCATCAATGCAAGAAGATCTGGTGTCGTCTGCGTCTGCGACCACCACTGCTACGTCGCCTCCTGCTTTCTGGATTTCCGTCTACCGCCACCACTACCTTTCCCACCCTTGCAAAAAGCAAGTCTGTTGGTGTAATCAGCAAATGATGCTTCTTAGGCATTAGAGCTGGCTTGATCCTGTGTAGGAGTGAAAGTCCAGTGAAGGGGGCAATTGAACTTACCAGGCGATCAAGCCTATGCAGGACACAGGGTTGAGTGTAAAGCACACACTGACGAAAGCTGACATCTTGATCTATCTTTTTGAGTTTCGTAGTTTGTCAGTGGTACTTGCTGATAGTCAAGTAAGCCATTCCCGCGATTACGGTTGACTAATGTCTATTTCCGATTGCAGCTAATGTTTTCAGAGGCCGCTTTTCGTGCTTGTATATTTTGAGAGGATAGAGTTTGATGCTTTTTATTTACAGAAGTAACGGGTCTCTTTGCAGAGTATTCTGCGCCTCAACCATGTCTGATTCAAGAGTGAGTTATTGCCAGTCATCCTAAGACTCTTCATCCCGTTCTAGACCATAGCAATGTCTCTGTTCTATGCTTTGAATAGCAAGGTTTCAACAAGAAACTGCTTCATGCTCTTGAAAAAATGATGCTATGGCCCCTAATTCATAAAATAATTGAGATGCAAGAAATCTTTTTTGTTTTCGCAAGAAAGAACGCTAGCTCCGAAGCCAAAACTACGGAAAGTCCAGAAGTTTTCGACGAGACATTAACATGTGCCACACTCTGTTTTACTGCGTATACCTGGGTCACAGGGCAATACCCTCTACACGGAAGGCGTCTTAATACGTGAACCTCGCTTGCTTGTTTACTTTGACAAATAAGAAGAACTTCGCCCACTTCATGCTGGCTGAACAAAAGTAATAAAGAGTAACAGCCATTGGGAAGAGCTTATTGTCAATTTGGTATGCGTGAGTCATGTTCGAAAAAGGTATACGTATAGGTCTGTCTAATAGTTGACAATATATTTGAAAATGTACTGAGATGAGGGAGCAAGGGAATGGAACAGAATGGCGGGGTAATTGTGACCCCACCATTAGCGTGCCAAGAACATGCGCATTTCTCGTCTTCTCAATTTTGACGTCCTTTCATCATCGGCCTCTTTGTTAATTCCAGCAACAACAATTTGCATAGAGTCACAAACTTAACGTTGCTCCTCATCAAGCCCCTTCCCCTTTGATAGTCATACTTTGACTGTGATTTTCTCCCCCGTTCTCGACCCACAACTTCGACAATTCTTCTCAATCTCGCCCTCAAACCATCCTCAGCAGCCTTCGAACATAAGAACGAGGTTCAACTCTATCTTGCATAGGGAGCAGAAGGCCGAAAATTCTGGGGTTGGTTCGGGTAGAAAAAGACGAGGTATTAGGCAGCTGCCCTGAGTAACCAGCAGATCTGCGCAAAGCAAACATGCATTATATTCGGTTCTTGAAAGCACCACGGAGGAAGCAAGATTCTCGCGGCTTTCAGAGTCTGAGTGCTGTTATTACCATCACCACAGATTTGGGCGACGCCTTTCTGTGTTCCGATCTCGCATTGCTTGTCGAACTTGAGGATACACGGAGCGGGAAGCGGCTCGATGGCTGCCAGCCAAAAGATTACACGTGGAGAGGGGTTGATGGCTTCAAAGGTCTCTCGGTCGAGATACCCATCGGGAAATCAGCTCTACGTGCGGGTTTGGAGGTCAAAATGCAGATCAGAGCAAAAGATCAACAGCATATGGCGGAGGACTTTGACCATGTGCTTGGGCACAGACCAAATCAATCCGATGATGGTGGAGGCATCGTTAGCCTGCGAGGTATTCCCAATGGAAATGGCATTGTGGAACGGGTGTTCAAGTACGGCGGTGATCAAAGTGTACATATCTGGGAAGAGTCCGGCGAGAGCATCGCAAGACACATATGGGTATGCTCCAGGTACGTCCTTATTTCTTTTTCTTACTGACAAAATGTGCTAAGGATGCCGGCCTTGTTCTCTCCGCCTATCTCACGACCGTTCTCGGTGAACTGCCATCATCTAGGACCCTCCCAAAATTGCCGATCCTCCAGACTCTTTTATCCAAATCCGATCTCAATGTAATAGAGCTTGGTGCCGGATGTGGTATTGTTGGAATAACATTGCACCAACTGCTCCCCAATATTTCCCACATGATCTTAACAGACCTTCCGGAAGCAACTTCTATTCTTACGCACAATATATCTCTTTCATCTCCGTCGCCAGCCCATAGCGTGCTCGATTGGTCCCAGCCTCTTCCCCAATCAATTGCTTCCACGCAATGGAACCTTGTACTTATTGCGGACTGTACATATAACCCCGACGTCGTTCCCGATCTTGTTCAGACACTTGGTAGACTGGCCGACGGGAATAAAGATTTAATAGTGTTGCTTGCGATGAAAGTGAGGCACGCAAGTGAAGCTGTCTTCTTCACACTCATGCAAGATGAAGGTTGGATGATCAGAGAGAGAACAAAACTGCCACTGCCCGTTTTGAGTGGAGAAGAGGAGGAGATCGAGATATTTGTTTTTGGAGTGTTGACATAATCCTTTGGGTCATTTAGCGAGGAGCATAACAGAACTTAGCATCTGAATGAATGTTCGAACCCACGTTACTATCCAAAGAGACTGCTTACATGCAACTGTGAGTCTTACCAGTTCTGTTTACCGATAATGTCTTGTTGTCTCGTACTTGAACGTAGTTGTGTTTCCCTCTTACCTGCTGCACCCGTCTTTCGTTTCGTCTGTGATTATTTTTTTTGGCATCCCGAAGCACGACCCAAACTTGCTTCGTGATGGAGTTCATCATGTTTTGCGCACACGATGCTAACCAGCTGATGAATTGCTTGACAGACTAGAAATCCTGGGCGACAATACGATGTGAGACCCTAGGATCAAGAACCAAGCCATAGGAAACATAATGCAGCACAAGGCCTAGGCGGAATATTCACATTGTTTACATTCCCAAAAGGATAGCGATACTCCTTGGAACTTCTACTAACAATGAAATTAAGAGATGTCAGGTGTTTGCACAAGCCAAATGTGGTACGCATTGTCAGGCTCGGACCACCACCAGGTCTGCGCTTGAGGTCGCGTCGCGGGAAAAGCTTTGTGTTCTTCATATTGCCAAACAAGCAGATTTCTGTCACCAATGCGGTCCGAGGGCGTTGTAGTGTAAAAGCTCAACGTCATATGACGCAGGCATATGCTCGAGCGTAGCAACTCGTTGCATAGGGTCAAGGCCTTAGCTGAGGGAAGGTTGTAGGGGTAGCACCCGAACCTTTTGCCATTCAATTCTTTCATCCTTATGTATCTGATGCATCTGTTTTACTTATTCGCGCATGTGCAATCTTTTCATGTTGATCTTTTTCGTTATGATGTTTTTGCCCCTAAGCCGAGACGTGTTGTTTTCACGCCTGGATTACGCGAGCCAAAACACAGATTTCCGTCGAGCGAATTTACCAGTCCCAAACGTGAGCTCACCTGCTTCGCTCTTTCTCTGAGGGAAGCAAGCGAGCCCAATATTTGGAAACTTTTGTAATCATCAATTCCTTCAATCAAAACCATCGATTTGATCTGCGACCACACTCAACCACGATATCAAACAGAACGGGTAACTACCACCAAGCGTCACCATGTCTTGGAATAGCGTCGTGGAATTTCACCAGACAATTCGCGGCAACGTCGATCCTGAGTCAATCCGCATTGTTTGTATCTTCCACATTCTTCCTCCGACGTTCACTGAGACTTACAGGGAGCAGAGGAGTCCTGTAAGATGTCCAACGGCTGGGAGAAGGACGAAGTCAAGCCCAAAGTATGCGTCAATATTTCTTCCGTCGTCACCAGTCTGCGCAATTTGCCAATCACAGCTGACGTCTGTCATAGAAGGAAGAGCATCGAGCCACTGCTACCAAGGAGAAGGACGTTACAAGTCTCCGCAATATTGAGAAGACTACGAAGAGAGTTGGTGTGGGAGCTAGTGAAGGCAACGGAGACATTTCGAAACGCGGGGCGAAGCAGGTCAAGAACAAGAAGTTGGCAACAAATACCGAGAAGAAGAATGACCGAAGAGTAGAGGCTCGTATCAGTGAATTGGGCGGCCTCTTGAAAGACATTGGTTTGGATGGAGAATCGACCAAAGAGAATGATCCCCAGTCCACTGGGAAGGGCGGAGATGCTGAATTTGGTAACGGTTTTAGCAACGACTTGCGAGGATCGTTCAAGTGAATGTATAGGAACTATAAAGGCGCACACCGTGAATGTGCTTTGGGTGGTATATTTCTAGCAGAACACACAATGGTATGGTTGTATTTTCTGAGTGTTCGACATCTCTGCTTATGAATCCCTTCAGCTTGTTTCTTGACTGAGGAGCTAGCACCTGTGCAATAACCACAGGCCTCAAATTAAATTGATGTCAACGATAGGATTAAATTACACTACAGTAGCCTCCTCAGTCTCCACATGAAGTCTATGTCGAGCATCCTCGAGATAACGATCATGTACTGCGGTAAATGCAGAAACCCAACAAGAGTTCGAATTGGAATTACGTGGGCAGATTTTTCGACCACGTACTGGCACAACCCGAAGTATCAGTAGAAACGTAGATTCTGCTCTAGGTGTAAATCTTTGGCGGAAATCTTCGTCCGCGAAGAATTGAACATTGGCTATGACTGGTTATTTGTCTGTTAGCATTATCTTCGTGGTGCCTTGATCCGAGAAAGGAAGACCATTGATGTAGTGAACACGGAGGGGAAGTATCCACCGAACAATCACAAAGATAGAGCATTACCGAAGTGGATATCCAAGAGAGATAGTATTTTCGTATCATAATAGACTAGAGGTCTGTTAACAAAGATCCTTTCTAAGATCTTACTTATGTTTCTTTCAAGGGTTGGAGCAGAATTGGCGGATTTTTGCAACCAAGCCACCAAAATTCCCGCATAGCTGTGTCCGCCATTTTTGAAGGAGATAGAACCATCCGTTTGATAGCAGACTGAAGGAGGGAAAGATCAGAGTTTGAATAAAAACTGTCGCTCAGATAAAAGGGGCCTTCCACAAAGAACTGGCCAATGCATGAAACATTGCATGTTCATTCGTTGGTCAGAAACATATTGTTTAAGCGAAAAAGTTTGTTTATGACACGCAAGTAGGAAAGTATGATACTTTATTACATGACTCATGATGTCTTAATAATAAAAGAAACGATTGTTATATTGAGGCCTGATACAAGTTGGAAGAGAGCTTCAGGTATCACACTATCCCCTCAAGGAGCACACTTTCTTTACAAAGCCCAAAATTAGTGCATGTACTATGTAGTAAAAGCAGCCACTAGACTTTTAGCGCCTCGTCTGAGTGGCTGTGCCTAAACGCGTGAGTCTCCGGCAATGAAGAGGACAAAGGCGCTGTACTAGTGGAGAGCAACCACAAGCCAAAACAGACATACAGAGCCAGAACCGATCTGACTCCCTTTGATCTCCTTTAAAGGTTTAGTAACTGAAAATTTAGCTAACACATAACAATCAATCAGTTTGAATCATTTGAAGTACATGTTGAATGTCGTATCACATGACCCACATGTACACAGGTGATTGTAAACAACCTACCAAGGTCTCTTCCGAAGTACCTAGGGTGAAACAGCTGATAAAGACAACAAACTCGATCAACAACAAATGCGAGGAACAACGAATTCGAGAAATGATAAATTCGAGACATAATAATCTCGATCAATGATCAATTTGAGAAAGAACAAATTTCAAGGTACACCTCTGCTACCTGGAGTGTTCAAATACACAAAAATGGTTCTCTCGCACAATTCACACAGCTCTCTCTCGTTATCGCTCTCAGCGAGTGAGAATAACACAGAGTCAGAACTTGTGCACGCAGGCGTTCAGGAATCGGGTACAACTGCGCTACCTACAACTCCACGTCGGTCTACGAGTGCTCACGCTCTGGAATCAATAAAAGGAAGCCATAGATATGGCATAAACAGCGCAGACACAGATTTACCTCATTCTAGTCATGTCCTACGCCCTGTGCCATCATCGAACTCAAATCCCCCAGGCTTGGCTGAACGTCTCACGCATTGTTCATGGACAAGCCCCTTTTTGCAATATTACGACGATTTTGATGTTGAGGGTCCAGAAAACTATAAAGAGGGGGGCTTCCACGGAGTCGTGCTAGGAGAGACTTTCTGCAACGGACGGTATACAGTTGTACACAAGCTGGGTCATGGAGGATTTGCAACAGTCTGGCTGGTGTGGGATGATACCCTTCGAGAGTATGTTGCTCTGAAGATTGTACGTGCTGATCAGTCCGACAAATATCATGAGCTCGAGGTCTTGCAATACCTCGCAGGATTGGGTGTAAATCTGGAAGAGAACTTCATTTGCCCTCTCCTCAACAGCTTTTCGTTCGAAGGTCCGAATGGGAACCATCTATGTCTTGTATTTCCTTTAGCAGGTCGAACAGTCGATGCGAAGCTCTTTGGAACACGTTCAAATACAAAAGAAGACGCTATCGAGAAGGCCCGTCAATACGGACGACAACTTGCCCATGCCGTTGCTTTCCTCCATTCTGTTGGCATCGTACATGCAGGTAAACACCGACTCTTCCCAAAAGATAACAATTAGAAATGAAAGCTAACGCCACTTAGATCTTACCCAACGCAATGTGCTCACTCAAACCGAGAGCCTTAAAATCGATTCCCTTGACGAGCTGTATGAGCTCCTAGACAAGCCTGTAAGAATTTTCCCGGACCGCTGGGGAACTGGACGCCGGTTCAAGTACCTCATGTATCCAGCCAGGTTGCGGAAGCTTCCAAGTTGTGACAAACTTCTGGTGACCGACTTCGGCCAGGCTTTCTCAATTGGCCATCCCCCTACTCGAAGTTTAGGTATACCTCCCGCATTTGCGACACCAGAAGGACTCTATTTAGGTGCGGCTTCCCCAGGCTCAGATATTTGGGCGATAGGTGTTCTCTTATTCAAGTGGTGGTGTGGGCAGTCGCTTTTCCGAGGTGACTATCTGGACGAAGTCTCGTGGTACTGGACAGTTTACGCAGGCAAGCTTCCTGAGGAAATGTGGAGCCAGTACACGAACCGATACGAGAGCTTTGATGAAAATGGAAAGCTGCTTGAGAGGGAGCCTGAAGACCTAGGAAAATTGATGAGTGAATCCTGGCAATATATTCCACCGTGTGGCCCGGAAAAGCACATCGAATCCGTTCAACAGATAGACAACGTAGGACCATCTTGCCGACACAGCCTGCCGGAGGTGCCATTCTCAGTCACCGAAGCCTCCGGCCGAGATAGAATATTGATCACTCTGGATTTGCCTTGCGCTACTAGGCCACCCAATGCTGAGTCGCCAAACCAGTTGGATACCTCCCGAGGAGGCGCGAATGGTTCTAAGTCAGAACAACCGACAGAGGCAGCGCTAACCTCGTTCAGGGCTGACTCTCCTGTCACAAAGCATCAACGAAACCTACAGTCGCTCATATATTGCGCCTCTGCTACATCCCACGTCGAGTTATCGTTGCCTATTGCTGAGTTTCACTGCCTCCTCAAACAGCTATGTGCATATGAACCCAGCGCACGGCTCCCAGCTTTCATGTTGCTACAGCATCATTGGTTCTCGAAGAGCATTCGGAAGTGCGAGGACAATCGCGTCTCCGATGACCTCATATCCCACAGCTCCGCTTCTAGCAATGCAGAGCCTGAGACAACAGTCGATAATAGTCTTCTAAAAAAGCTTTCATCGAGTTCCAGTACGTCTACGTTAGAGGTCAACAGCCAGTTTACTCCTGATCCAACGCTCCCTTCTAGTGCACTCTTCGAATGCAACAATTCGAATGTCGACTTAGCGGCTAAGAACGATACGCCGAAGAGCATTTTGTCCGAAATTGATGCCCTAAAGCTGGGGAACAACGTGTTCTCGCCAAGCAGGCAGTCATTATGCTTTGACACCAAGAGCAAAACGTGGTCTTACGTTGCTGTGGATCAAGAATAGAGCATAGGAAAGTCAGATCTGTAATTCGTAAGTGAGCAGAATTTGGACAACAAAGTCTCGCGCCCAAACGGCTGAATATTCATATCGAGTTTCAGTCATTCATTTAGGAATGTTTCACGCACTCGCAACAAGTTTCTGTACGTCTAGTATGGCTGGGCAAATGAACGGATAATGGATAGTCTTACATGTATCCATTGATCCGAGTAAAACCATAAAAAATAGCAATACGGCGCTCTTCTCCCTTTATAAGCTGTTGTATTGACAGCCACATATTCTCTAGTCATTTTTTTCTTTTTTGCGTCCACTTAAAGCAAAAGCCTGCAACCCGTCTTAAAATCACAGTTTGTCCTCCCTTGTCACTAAAATCGTAATTACGTGAACTTGTAGCTACCCGGGAGACTATCATGACGGCACTGTACAGGCTGGGTACATGGTACATGGCTAAACAAAAAGTGCTTCGCTTCCTCGCTAATCCAAAATTCAGGGGCTTAAGCGAATCAAGATCCCCAGCCGTAAGATCAATGTGCCAAGACGGGTGAATGAATTAGTCAATGCGCCCGCCTGTGCGCCTCCAACGCATATCTTCCATTCTTATTGTCTCGCACTTTCTCTGCTCAACCTCATCAATTATTTCGATCTCTAATCCCGTCAAAACAATGCCTGAGCTTGAGGAAATCACGTACTCGCGTGACGAGGCAATTTCTGTCGTTCGAGATTACTACAGATTCCTTTGTCAAATGTACTTGGACGATTCGGACATTGTCGAGCCTCCAGCAGGCGGTTGGCCGAATATCACCATGGACAAACTTCAAGACTTAGACAAGACCGAAGAAGTAATCTTACTTCTCCGCCACCTGCCCTATACTCGCCCAGAAAGCTTAGATACTGAGGCAGCTCCTTTTTGCAAGTTTGCGAACTGGAATCTTAATGCGATTTATCTCTCCTCTGGTCGTGCCACAGCTGAACACCTGAAGCTGGCTTCAGAGGGGGATGATTTCTACCAAGAATCACCTTCTCATGTCATTGGACTCACGAGTGGAGGTCGAGACAACCCTGTATTCGTACTCGACACTGAACTCGGTATCATACACTGGCCGCAGTGTCCAGGCGAGATTAGACACAATCCATCCAAAGAGGACGTCGAAGATGACCCGTACGACTATGCGCCTGAAAATGAAGCGGAGTGGAGAGCGGATGCCCCAGCATGGGCCATCACAGACTTCTTCGAGCTTCTCAAAGATCAATTCCGGGAACAACATTTCATCCCTATCAGCCCGAGAAGAGTCATCAACGTTTACACTCACTTCGGCCTCGATTCAGACGGCATGATTCCAATGCTGCAAAACATCTATCGCGAACGTGGATGGCCAAACTTGGAGCGCTACCGAAAGCAAGAATGTCTGGAAGCGGTCCAAATGGCACTTGAGCAAAGGTACCCTGATCATGCCGACTTTCGCTAAGTCATATGTTTTCAGAACATTACATCTCTCCCAATTGCGTCTAGACCAGTATGGCGACCAAGTATAAAGCTCTCTACCTTGTCAAGAATGGCGATACGTGTTCAACAAGGCCTGCAAACAACAGGATTACTTTTCAAAATCCAGCTGCAGAATCTGACCTGCAGAGTTCTTTGGGTGAACACCTACGCTTATATTGCTGTTCTGTGAGAAGGAGAGGATGAGATATTAGTAAGAGGCAATGGAGATAGAGTGAGATAACTGGGCAAAGCTTTTTCGATCACTCGATGTGACAAATTTCTATCTCCCGAATCTGCCCGTTCTAATGATTCTGCTTTCCCAATCGACCACATCATTCCGAACGGACATCAACTTGAATATTTGACTGTCACGATTCAAGTCGGAAGTTATACTCCATGCTTGTCTCAGAAAATCTGTACTCATCTCAAACGTTGATAGGGAAGCTCGTTCACAGTCAGTCCAAAGAAGCTGGTGTACAATCACGCAGTTGTGTCACGTTCATATTTCGGGTCCATACCCACTGACTGGATTGAGAGAAGCTCAAGTAGCAACAACGTATTATTCTAAATCTTCTGTTCACATACAAACAACTATAAAGGCAAACCGTCCTACTGTTCGACCCTCTCCTCGAACAACCTGATCCCAGAATACACCATTCTCTATTCTCATCAGACCTTACCAAACAAATAGCATAACATTACATAAGAAGCTTTCAAGCTCACGATAGCTATCATTCCATAACATGTTCCCGTTCACTCAGAATACCGGTAGACAGATTCTCATTGTGCTACACTGCCATCTCTGCGGACACGCCAGCTTCTGTCATCCGCAAGGTTATTGGATGACACAATGTACCAACCCAGTATGCAAACGACTTCTGTCTAACGGCAAGGCGCATACTGCCTGCGATCAGTGTAAGATAGAGTGGCAGTGACGGAAACTGTCTGGACTCTGGAATGAGAAGAGCAAGTCACCTGACGATCACCAAGGGATGGGAGAGGGAATGAAGTTCGGAGAAAGGGAGGTAGTATGGCTATTGTCAGACAGGAAAACACACGCTGTGACATGATTCACAGTGGCTTAATGGAAAATGCCTTCTGTACCAATTTGAATACTTTACCGGTGAGCGGTTGATCATTCCAAAACTTTGTTGACCTTTCACACCTCTGGCCACTTCAGTGAACCAAGTGATTGCACTATCTGTACTGTACAGCTACTTAGAAAAAGCAACACCTTTTTCAATCCTTTTCATCCAAAATGAAGATCAAGCCCAAAATGAGCCTCGCTGGAATATTCAAGACTTTCGGGAATATAAGCCTGCAGCCCTCAGGTCGGAAGCGGGAAAGCAGCGCAAGGAGTACCTTGTTGTAGCATTTTTTGTATGAGATGTAACCTCCTAGTAAGCATTTTGCCATTCGATCAAAAGTCTTAAGATCATAAGGAGGGGTTGTGTGGTTTTAGATAGGTACTTCTCGTGTGGAGTGTTTACACCCTGCGATCACCTAATGCTCCTTTCCTTTACCGAGGCCACCCTTTGGAACGTGCACCCAAAAAAGGAGGATCTGCAGGCTGTGCTGGAATAGAACCCTTCCTTTTATTTCGAGTTTCAGATAGACTCTACTATTTCGTCTAACCCAAGCACGGTAACTCCGAGATCAGCTGCGCTTGGCTTCTCAAGCGCTGTCAGACGGCTATGGAGAGAGCCGGCAGTTTCCTTACCATTGGCATGGCAGTAATCTGATAATGTGTGAACAAAGACCATGGGAATTCATCCCACTTTCTTCTTCAAAATAAGCAGCCTCGCAGGTTATTCTAGCATTCAAGGTGTTTAATTCCTATACTTGCGCATCTCGAACTTGTCGCAAACCGAGAGTTCATGTCGTCATGTTCCACCAGCACCATACGGCAAAAGTACGGGATCCACATGGAAATACGGGATATATCCACAACTCCAGACTTTTCTGCCAAGATCCAATCTCGTATTCTCATGCAACCCTATTTTTGTCGAGCTAAACGGCACTTACTTACTGGGTATTCGTCTCACTCAAACCCGATTGCCGGGCTCCAGAATACCAGAGAGTAGATAAATAGAAAGACCATGGAAGCTCAGTAGAAGGCTTTTGTCACCCCACCACGCTCACTTAACCAGTCTCTCGTTTCTTCGTGTTTTCTTTCGCTCATAATGGTTTTCAGCAATTTGCGAAGCATCGCCCTATTGGCGACTGCGAGCCACACACTCGTTAATGCGGCCAAGTTTGATCTCCCAATAATTTTTGATAATTCATACGTACGTTATAATCACATCGCTAAGTTCGAAATTGACTTGCTCATGTTGGAATAATAGGCATCAGTGGTAGTCGATATTGGAACTCCAGCCGAGACTTATCGCCTGCATTTTGACACGGGCTCAGCTTCAACGTGGGTCGCAAACGAAAGATGCTCGATAGCTTGTTCGAATGGCAGCGGGTATGCTTGACCAGATGAAATTGCTAGCAGAATGAAACAGCTGACAAATTCTCAGCTATACAAGAGTCGGCTACAATGCGTCGGAATCATCGACCTCTTTAACACAAGGTCCATACGAAAGTATCGAATATGCCGGAGGATACGTAGAGGGTGATGCGTCAACCGACACGTTCGCCATCTCATCTTCCAACAGCACACTCACGTGGCAACAAACCTTCCTTGCTGTATATGAGAGCTCATGGCGGTTTATCTCTGCCGATGGCTTCCTGGGTCTTGCATTCAGCGAGATTGCCGCAACCAACACTACTACCTTCTTCGAGACTCTTATGCAGAAAGGTCTCGTCGATCTCCCACGCTTTGGGATTTACTATGGCAAGGAGTTCTTGAACACTGGCGATGTGGTCGAAGGAGAACTCACTCTCGGAGGCTCGAAAGAGGACGTCTATGTCAACAGATCCATGACATATATTCCTCTACGACAAGAAGTTGTGTACCAGGTCTGGCGCACGGAATTCAAGTCGGTGTCGGTCTCTACCAAGAACACCACCATCAAGTCATTACCCGGCAGCGGTTCTGCAGCAGTCTTCGATACGGGGGCGGGATCGATGGCGATCCCACCAGAGATGATCGACGACGTCTACAACTCCATCGGATGGAACTTTACTGCCATCATGGAAGGCCAATATATCCCACGATGCTCAGAGTTCACAGACGCCTGGTCGGTCACATTCGACTTTGGTAACTGGGATTCTGCTGATGGTCAATACGCCGTCACGTTGACTGGAGATCAGCTCGCAAGACCTGGCTTCGCCGGGAGCAATGACAATTGTTATCCACCTTTTGAGTCGAGTGATTCCTTTGGATTTGCTTTGCTTGGAACCCCGCTCCTTCACCACTTCTACACTGTTTCGGATTTCGGGGCGATGGAAGTTGAGAATTATCAGCCAAGGATTGGATTCGGACAGTTGAAGGAGGAATACAAGCCTTAAAGTATAGACAACGAATGACAATACTGGTTTTATGAAAGTAACTCTTCGTTAGCTCGTGACTCCTTATTTCGCGTTTCTTCTGTGTCGGGAGACGTTTGTGGCACGGCGATGGTCCGTTTGAGACGCGTTAATGTTCATGGCCGAATCAGTATTTCCAAAAGCTCGTATCAAACTCACCTTTCCACGTCAGACCGAGCCTCCAACGTTGGAAAAGGACTCAGTAAATGGCAGAGCAAAGATAAGAAAGCAAATGAGAACCTGAAGGATCGAGAATCAGAAATAGTAAATCGCTTATTGTTGAAGATTTGGAGGTTAAGAGAGATTTAAGACGCATCGCGTGAGTTACTCCGGCCTGCAAGCTGCGTCATTGAAGCCTTCGAACTGCGGATATCATATCTTCTCGACGCCAGCCCCGTCACAGGGACATGCGAGTGACGACGCTTTAAGCTTATCTCCATGTAACGTCATCCAAACCTATACCCAGACCTTAAAAGCACCTCGTTTGGCTTCTTCCAGTAACATGCATCCGCAACGCTTTGTGTAGAACGGATTTAGGACAGGAGCCCATCCGATCGATGTCCCGATCGCAACATAGCAGCCTCGTGGCTTGTTTGGGGACATGCATATGCGGTCATCGTCAAGCAATTCCACGGAACCAACCATGGATATTTCTTATTATTCTCATCATTCAAGAGCTTCTCTGAGTGAGGCTGTGCAAGCACAGAGATCTTAGGAAGATGAGTCGGTATGATGAAGTGAGTTTGCTTACAACCAACAGCTTACACTTGTCCTGCTTAGTCAGCGCTGCTCATAGCCGAGTCCGAAATTGACCATGCCTGGACTATGCCATGGCCAGGGGCTGGGGAAACCAGAACCACAGCTATTATGGATCACTTTACAAATCTATTCGGCCTCACAGCATTCATCTACAGGCTTTTCTTTAATTCTGAAGCACATTGGTGCCTTTAGTAAGATCTTTGACCGCATACAGAGAGCGCTAGTTGAAATATGGTCAGCTTTCGTTTACCGTATTGCATCTGCCCACTTTTAACCGTGCACCTTGACCTCAAATTCTCATCGTTAGAGCCTCAGGAACCCATGGCATAAGGATGCTACTTCTCTCGATATAGCATTTACTTTAACGACACTGCAACTTTACAGAAACAAGTCTCTAATGACTGTGACGGCAACGTTTTACAGGGCCTCGGATTCTACTTGTCACACCTCCGATTGAGGTTCATCAGCCAAGCCAAGATATCCGCGTCGACCAGTGGCGCAGCAAGCCGTCCTCTACAACCACCAAATTCCAGGCTTGCCAGGAAACAAACAGGTCTATCCAACGACGGCAGGATTTAAACGAGGGTCTCATTTTATAGACTCGGCGACGACATGTCAAATTCACATATCAAGGGCGGCGTGCCCGCTGATGCTCATCAGTCTGCTCCAACAGATCCGCTTGAACTTGTGAACACATCCAGAAGCCTTGTGCAGAATCCGACAAGTGATGTGCTTGGAACCAATTCACTAAACCTTCTATTGACGCCGGAACAAGCGGCCGCTATGTCCAAGTCCGTACTGGACGTCTTTCAGCTAGATGAGGAGCCTCAGAACGAGGATCAAGCAATGGGTGATGGTGATGATGTGGTCGACCTTGAAGATCAACAACGCAGAACCGAAAGGTTAAAGGGAGTGTTACCTATTCTGGCTCAGCTGTGGTGGGCAGATTCAGATCAGATTGACTTCGTGGCTGAGAAGCTTGCTGATGGAAGCCGAGATCGTAAGTGTAGTCATCTTCTTATCACTAAATTTATACTTTCTCCCCCTTTGTTCAAACAAGTGGTCTCACTTCAACTCGCCCATGCTCTCTTTACTTGTTCAAAAGACTGTCTACAAGAGAGAGACACCTCACTTTCACCCCCCAACAGATTTCACGTGACTCTACTAACACCTCCCAGCGAAATGGCGGATTCCTCTAGGAGATTCAGGCGTACTTAATTTCTTCCTTGAGATATTCAGTGGGCATGTTCTGCGTCATACTTTCAAGATCCATGTTCTACGGCTGATTGGCAATTCCTGTGCGGATACGGGTGAGCATGTCAAGTCAAGCTCGAGAACTGGAAGCTAACGGTCTTCAGATGAAAATCGGGCACGAGTTGTTGCTTCGAACTACTTGGGATCTGTAGTCTCGCAATTACAAGATGTTACTTTGATTGCTTTCGTGATACCCGTATTGTACAACATTTGTATTGATTATGGTATGATTTGTTATCGGTGCCCGGGCAAGCAGTGCTGACCTTAACAGAACCTGCACAGAAGCAGGCATCCGAGTCCTTCTTGACAAAAGAGCTCGTTGAGTTGATCTCCAGTCCAAGGTTTGATGACAGTCGAGCGTTCCTTGGGTACGCTTGCAAGTTATTGGACCTCATGACTGCTCTAGGTATATCTGAAACGACTGCTGTGGTGACAGAGCTCTCGCTGACAAAATTAGCTTCCGACCAGGAACTTGCACCTGATTATACAGCGATAGTCCTTCTCAGGATTGCGGCAGATAGAGAACAGCCTGTCGACATGGATGATTTCATTGGTGTTGTAAATACGGCTGTCGCCTTTCTCCAACATGAGAAATTCCAAAAAGCTCTGGTTACCCAAGGTGCTCTAGATGGCACTCTCGCGGTCTTAGTAGACTCATACACGCGCTTCGATTCCCACCCATCAATACCAACGATTGGCTCCGCCTCGCCCTCAGATCAAGACGATGCTAAAGCTCTCTCCCAAATGCGAAGCAGTTTCAACCAAGTCCTCTCCGATGTTTCCGCCCTTCCCGAATTTCAAGAAGCGTATCCCGTCACATCACCATTCAGCAGCTCACTTCGCCGCTGGCTATCAAGTCCACAGCTACAGCTCCAAGTCTGCGCTTGTATCATGCTCGGTAACCTCGCTCGCTCAGATGCCACATGTGAGGAATTCGTGCACGTCTCTCAAGTACACAAACTCCTGATCAACATCCTCGTCGACGCAACAGACTCACAACTCCTCCATGCCGCCATCGGCTTCCTGAAGAACCTCGCTCTGCCAGCTAAGAACAAAGAAGTTCTCGGAGATGCAGGCCTCTTCGATGTCCTCCCTCGTCTCTGGGCAATGGATGTTCTCCAGCCCATCCAGTTCTCCGCCATTTCACTTGTCCGTCAACTCACCATCGGGAATTTCCAGAATGTTCGTCGAGTCTGCAGACGCTTATCACAAGACCAAGACTCACCCGCTTTCACACGCACTAAACTCTCTCTGTTGATTGCCCTGTTCGAACGCACGGATGTCGAGCCCATCAAGATGGAAATCGCCCGCCTGGTAACATCAATCTGTCGAGTCTTCAACACAGGCGAAGGTCGAAGTACCGAAGAATCAGAAACGAAACGCATACAAAGCACATTCTTCACTCTCCATCCCGACATTGGCCGCCCACTGAGCTTTATGGTGAGCCAGACAAAATGGCCTGTCGTCAAAAGTGAAGGCTGGTTCGTGTTCGCGCTCATGGCGCAGACCGAAGAAGGAGCACAGTGTATTAGCGATATGCTGCAAGATGTATCTGTGTTCCGACCTTTGGTGGAGATGCTCACTGGCAAGGCTCTGGTAGATTATGAGCCATCATCATCCTCGCCTGGGTCTTTATCATCCCCGCATAGCACCTTACCCACTAGCTCATCGCCGCCAATCCCACTCATCCAGTATGAATCGCAGCCCCAGAGTCCTCAACCGCATGCTCAAGCGGCGGAGATGGCGAGGTTGGATCGCGAAAATGCAACTGTGATGGTTAGTGAGTTGTTGAAGAACCGGGGGAGCAAGATGGCGGTGTTGCGGAGGACGATGTTGGAGGATTTGCTGAAGGGTGGGACAGAGCTGGTGATGAGTTATCGCGAGGCGAGTCCAAATTGGAGATCGCCGAATACGGTCCCTACTGCACTCGAAAGTAGACATAGAGCAGGTTTGAATCTACAGGAGGCTGCGGAACAAAGTATGAGAGAGCTCTCGTAGGCTGTTGTTCTCTGAGCTCGAGCCTATGATTTGCACGTACTAGTTGGACTGGATGGCATAGATTTCTCAATGAAAATGTCCTGTGATAGCTAAACTTTACACAAAGACGAGAGTCTCAGTTGCTCGTTCGGCTTGCAATCTAATAAGTAACCGATGGATCACAAAGGTACAGGAATCAGCAGTGATCTCAGCGCTCCGCGTGTTTGGGCACCTAAGGGGATGCAGAAAGGAGTTGTAGGATATGGCATCAGCGCACATGAATGTGTGTACCAGAAGCTACCTCGCCTGCTAGTCCTCATGGTGAGTATCCACAACCCGCCATAAAATCGGCTGTCAACATCTCACATACTACTGGGAATTGGTCATGTTGATAAGACACGTCACTTCACTCACATTTTCTACATCTGAGATTCTTACATAAAATCATCTCACGGAGCCACTAGAAAAAATAACGATTCGATTGCAATTGACCGCCACCTAAAGAAAAGCACACGCTGCGCAACGCTACCATCCAATCCAATTCCATGCCCAAGCTAGAAGAAAAATCAAGAAATCAAGAAACCCATTTAACTCCTCATCTCATACCATCCCTCCCTCCCATACCCTCCTCAATAGCCGAGAAGATTAGAAGTCTTTGTTGGCTCACTTCGTGGGCTGTGTGTTCTGCTGGATATTACCATAAGTGCAGGCATCACAGGTACCGATAAAATCTTTTGCGCCACAGGTTGGGCAGACTGCGGGTGGGGTAGGCTGCGTAGGCATTGTGCCTTGATTCGGATTGTTTTTTATCTTAGAGTGGATAACTTGCTGTAGAAGAGTCCTTTTGGAAAAGTGTGGTGTGTTTGGGTTGCTCGCTTGGGTTTGTTTGTCTTGTGTTCTGTAGAAGTAGTATTCAATGCTTAGTTGAGATTCTCTCTCTCGAGGGATAAGAAGCTCTATTTAACTGACTTTAGACAAAGAGTAGCTTTCTAGTCTTAAAATAGCGTAATATCCTTCTAATTATGAACTTACTAATTATAAAATGCCCTACTAAAAATACGCATTTCAATCATCTGAGCATAAAGAGCACTTTATCCAACACTCCCCCTGGCTCTGATGCCTCAGAATATCCCTCCCTCAAACAATACTCCGAAGGTATCGTTTGATTATGTCTGAAGGTTTTGATGTGAAGTATCTGATCGTTTCTTTTTTTCTCGATACAGTGATGTTCGTTTGGTATCTGCTTGGGGTCGAGGTGCGAAGGGTTCTGCGTGAAGTTGAGTGAGTGTGCTGGAAAGTTGAGATGTTCAGTTGTTTGTGTCGAGATATGCAGGAAAGAGGTGTGGTTTTGGGGTGGAAGGAAGCTGGGATATAGAAAAGCACTCACCTCCTGGTATTTGGGGACTTGGATTGTGAATCCTAAGCGGGTCTATATCGGCTGGACGACTAAATGAATACAGGTAGTTTCTAAGCGACATTCTCTATTTTAGGATGCGATTCATTCACCATGATATGCTGATAAGGATGAGAGCGGACCGAACACATCGCTAGCTCGCATAAGAGACACTCGGCAAATGATGGAAAGGTACAAGTAAGTGTGAATGATAATGCTCCTCTTTCAATACCGCTAGGCTATAAACACATGGATGGACCAATCAATAACGCTATGCTTGCTCAAGCAGGACCGACCTCGGCATCGAGTCACCTAGAAACCCCACTCCTTGCTGGAAGTATCAAGGACCCAGAAAGCAATCTCGTAGCACGCTACAACAGACCTAATAGAAACCACACATCCATCTGCTACTCTCCAATCTCTGAGCACCACGTCTCTGAGTACAATGAACTGTTGAGAAACTTGTCCGTCGTGTGCAGATTTGGTTGGTGGGATCCAACGTGGATAATGGGGATGGGCAGGGTAGCAAAATGCTACCTTAGCGCTTTGAATCTTTGATAAAACATCAGTCAAATACACAACTGGACCATACGCTTCCAGCCTAAGCATCAACTTCATAATCCGCTCTACAATCCAATGCCTGTATTGTACGAACACTGGAGACACGCAGCCAGAAAGTCCTTTGCACCACACCTTGGACAGTTATCTGTGCGCTTTGAGCGTGCTGGGGTACCAGTTGGCGTAGGTGGTGCAATGGGCGACGGAATGGACGTTGAAGTGGGCATCGGTGTAGTCATACCGGCGGGTGACGAATTTCTGGTCGCGGTTGGCGTTGAAGTTGGTGTCGCTAATGGAGTGGGACCTTGCTTTGAGTCCATTGTTGATTTTGGCTGTGGCTTTTCAGATGGAGCCTTGGGGGATGGCGTGGATTCGATATTGGGCTCGTCTATCTTGGACATCTTGCTTGCTCTTGCTGAGTTGAGGCGTGCTTGAACTTGGACGATGATCGAGAGTCGCAGGTGCGGTAATAATGTAGTTCTGAATCAACTTTACTAGCTGGAACTAGGAAAGTCAGTAGTTTGATCCCCTTGCATTGTATATTCAACCTACCTGATTCCTTGAATGAAATGCTGATTCAACTCCAGATTGGTTGGAGTCGCAACGCTGCTCTTGACATCATCTGTGGTACTTAATTGCTCGAGGAAGTCACGAACGTTACCTTGACTCGCACCTGCACCTGCACATTCAACTCACAATCAAAATCCTTGTTGAATAACACCTTTTTGGTGCGTCCATTGCATTTCATGAAATACACCTAAGCAATTTTCAAATAACTGCCGTTGTGACCCCACCCAGCCATGCATCGCATCCAGTAAGAAAAGACCAAGACCATCTAGCAAACCGAGAAGAAACCCATTACTTCTTAGCAGCAGCGGCCTCATCAGCCTTCTCCTTCGCACGCTTATCACGCTTGCCCTGGTTTCTGTGCTCGCTTCTTGCATCTCTCAACTTTCTGTATGCACCTCCCTCGACTGGCGTTGGCAGCTCGCTCTTCTTGATCTCAGAAACACCAGCAGCGGCGTTAACAATTGGCAGACCAAGCTTGAAGCTGGAAATTGTGTTCTTGGCGGCGGAGACATCCTCCTTGGAAGCATCACCCTTCTTGTGTTGACCCAACTTGCGGGGGAAGAGGATCAAACGGGCCTGGTAGGCCTTTAGGCGTTCGACATTGACGGCGAGGGATTCGGTGGAGAGGTTTTGGCGGCGGGGGTCAACAGAGATACCGATTGTGGGTGCGAGCTTGCGGGGGATACCAGCTTCCTGTGCGATTGTTAGACTCCATTCCCAGCCCGTTCCTGTCGCAGAATATCCTACCTTCAACTCGGTGATGGTGAAACCACGTCCAGCTCGTACACGGCGGTTGTACTTGAGGGTTGGGCATCGAACGATCGGTCTCAACTTGTCAACTGGGCGAGGGGCAACAGCTGCGGCCTTTGAGAGACGAGCATTGCGGCGTCTGAGCTTGCGACCGGGCTATCCAATGTATGTTAGATCCTTCTCCTTGCGCTCTATCTCCATTGTGCGAATTTACCTGGTCGAAGTGAACTCGGACTCGTCGCTGCCAATCCTTGCGGAAATCTGGGGCGGTATTAGCATTAAATTGATCGCGAAAAAGAGGATGAGGCCGTACGGTTGTGCGGGATCTGCTGGTTGTGCTTGATCGCCATCTCGAAGTCGAATTCGTGGTTGGCGTTGGGCGTTGGTTGTTGTTGACGGTCACAAGTGTAAAATGATCCTCCAAGCGGTCCAGCTCAAAATCTTTGGCTTTGTGGGCGCTAGCGAGCAAGCGACAGGGAACTTTTGGGTGAGTAAAGTCATGTGATGCATCAATTCAATTGAAAGTTCAGACAAACATTTTTCAACGTTATCGCCTTTATGTAATAGGAATACTAAGAGAACTGCTTCAGTCTTATTATTGAGCAAGTGAGAATTAATTTTCGCTTCATTCAGTTCATTGACAGACTGTGGTCACCTCACACCTCCCGTCAGGGCACTTTCCATTCACTCAAGTCATGTGTGCCAAGCAAAGCAAACATGAGCAAACAGCCAGCCCATTTTTAGCGGCCGCTAGCGCCAAGGCACCTCTCCGACGCCTATATAAACTCCGTCTCTCCTCGACCTTCTTCCAAAATCATACTTACCTTCTTGAAAGCTGGCCGCTCATGAATGGCTTCGCTTGCGATACAAAACCTCCATTGCACATCGGGGCGTTGAGAATCGTTGACTTGTCTCCGGGCACGTCATCGGGGGAATTTTTGATTGCACTCCCTATGGGAAAACCCTTTCATTGTGATCGCTGCCTTGCGCAGTGCCATGAAGAAGAGATGAAGATATTTACATGTTGCCAACTGTGAACCTCTGTTTTCAGCAGCTTAGAACTTGGCCCGTCGACTTGCTTCTGCCTGATGATGTGCGTAGCATTCTCTTGCTCTTGTGTTGCTGTTCTCTGGCAAGTTGATTTCCCCGTCGATCGTATCTCCAGATGCGTTGTTTGCCTCCGCGTCCTACCACACCCTTTCTTCGTTCACTTTGGGTTTCTGTGACAAGGAACACTGGTAGGGGATTGAGGATCTTGTGTAAGAACGACTCTCTGGAGAACTCTAATAGATAGCCAATATCGAGCAGAACGCGTGCAATTCTTCACTCAGAGCATGAACCATAACATTCTGAAGTAATTCTCCCTCGTAGTCCTGTAGAATAAACAACTGGGTGCCATGAGCACAGAAGTCATATCGCATGGCCACACGTGATTCAGGCGCGACTCCCAATTTTGGGATTTCGCGATCAAATGGAACTGTCCTCTCATCAACTCCCTACGAGCCACACTCCTTTACAGCCACAACCAGCACCAAACCTTTCACGAAATCGCAGTAGAAGATACTACGCTACAGCAATCATGACTCGAGCCCAACAAACTGTTTCAATTGGACTTCTCGTCACTTCTGTATGCGAGCCTCCTTTTCCCATTGAAACCATGGCTAATATCAAATCAAGCTCTACCTCGCTCTCTACCTCCAACTCATTCCACTTCCAACCTTGATCTCGGAGGAGATAATACCAGTTGTATGTCGCATCTACTCTGCCGCGTCTGCCATTCATCTAGGAGTCTTTCAACCCTCCAAGCATCTACCTCCTTTCTCCACCGGTTCTGCAATTCCAAGCTCCGCAAGCGTCCTTGATACTCTTCACCGCTCTCGAATATCGATATTCTAAATGCCAAAGCCCTATTTGCTGATTCTGTTCCTAGTTGCCATTCTGGGCTCTCGTATCCTTCGGTGCCTACCTCCTATTCAAGCTTGGATACGGCGTCTTCACATTCAACGATGTCCCCCAGGCGCATGCAGAACTCATGAAGGAGATTGACATTGCGAGAGCGGACTTGAGAACTAAGGGCGTGGATGTTGACTAAGTGCGGAACCGGTATTGGTGGAATTCTACTGCATGGATTAAAGAGCGAGGCTGTAATGATTAAATGCCCTCCATGGGTAAGGGGCAAGGCTACAAAAATCTACACATGAGTTTCACAGGGTTCTGCATACTCTTGCTGTTCTTTCCTCTCCGTCTATTGGTATCATGTCGCTGGGCCTCCCTACCTACCCACCACTAGTACCCTCTCTAGCATGCTTCTCTTTCAGCCTCTTCTCCTGCTTCATAAACTCCCTGATGCCCACCGGAACACCTTTGAACAAATCCTCACTCGTAAAATCCGTCTCCAGCCCGGTCCCCCAATTAGTATCCGACCCTCCCCCATCATCATCCATACTAACCGCCCCGTTCGCATTCACATTCACCTGCGCACTCGCGTTGCCCGCGCCCAAGTCTCCCTCAACACCACCCTCACCCAGCACCATACCCGCACCTCTCCTCCTCCTCCCCTTCCCCTTCTCTAAACTCCTCTCCCTCCTCACCGCCTCATTCGCCTCCCTCCTCTTCGCCGCCCACTCCTCCAACTCCTCACCATACCGATCCCACACGCAGTTTACGCAGCCGCTCATACAGCAGTTATCCGGCTCGTCTGGTTTCGGCGGGACCCATATCCCGGCCACCAGCACGCTCTGCTTCCGTATTTCAGAGCGCCGCTCGAGTGGTGAGGAGAGTCGTGAGGAGAAGAGGATGCTGGGGCCGGGGTCGGTGGAGGCGGGGGTGGTGGGGAGTGCGGGTTTTGCTGGGGAGGTTGAGGATGAGGGTGTGGTGCCGGTGCTGGTCGGAGGCGCGCTGGTGTTGGATGGAGTGGAGAATTCGAGGATTGAAGCGTAGTAGTCTCCTATAGGGTTTGCTTGTTCTGAAGGGGGAGGTTTATAGGTGCTGTAATGGTGGCGTGTCGAGAGAGGACGAAGAGCGCGGAGAGATGGAGGGAGTTGAAGGCGCTGGGAAAGACGGAGGAGGAATCTGGTTTCCATTTTTAGGTGGGGGATATACGTTCTAGGTAGAGGAGGAGGTAGGTGATGCTATTGTTGACGCATTGAGGGGTTTGGTGGTGAGTTGCTGTGGTTTGGTGTTGGAGAGGCGTTGATTTTTGAGAAAATGGCTCGCCGAGCTCCGGACGTCATCAGAAGCTCGCTTCTCCGTACGACATGTAGAGAGCCAGACAGCTTTAACAAGCACGGGCTCGCCCTGATTGGCCCAATAGCATTGGAGTCGGTTCACGTGTCGAAGCTCTTGATTAATCCTAGGTAGATTCGTACAGTACAAGTGTTGCTACTTAATTATACTTATATATGGCTTGTATTGTTGCCCTAAAGCCAAAGATTAAGAGTAGCACGTGCGGACCAACGCAGATGGTGATTCTAGAGACCATCCTCAATGTTTTCTTCGCTCAAAACTGGTCAATCATTATTCATCAACATCCAACCCTAACGTCCAATTTGGACGTTTCACTGTTGCCATGTACCTCTTATTTGGAAAATCGATATGAGAGTCAAATCTCACCGTGTAACACGAAGCCAACACTCACTCAGCTTTCAAATCCATAGCGCGATCCAACCACGTCCTTCTCCTCACCGTCGGACATCACTACTATTACGCTCCTGGCCCATGGATACCAAGATTGGGGGGGTTGACTCTACCAAACCTTGAATATTGTGTGCTGGAAAAGCTCGACATCTTCCCTCTCCCACTCATCCAGCGATTCCAAAATAACCAACATTTTGCCTTCGCCATTCAGACGTCGACATATGCGCCAGAAATTCCGGCATATACATATGAACTGCAGTTGAGGGACCGCGTTCGCCATCTTCTCGGCCTCAATTTTGTGCAGCTGGTCTGGGATGTTATCTCTGCCGGGACTAGTTGATTGTAGGTTGATGACGATCTGTGTCAAGTTTGGTAGTTTTTGGGCCACGTCCTGGAGCAGGTCCATGTGGCCAAAGCTATCATTCCTAGTTGGATGTCTGGGTAGGTGCACTGCAAGACCTTCTAAATTTTCAGAATTGGCAGACACCAAGTTATCTAGGATATCCAATGTTTCATCCTCATCGCTCCCCTTAAGATCGAGATCCATCATTCTCACTTGCAATGGCAAGCCTGAGTATTCCCGGTGCGGAGTGAGGATCTGAGCCATTTCATAGTCTCCCGCCTCAGGATTTTCAAAAGAAATTGCAAGCTGGCGCGTCCAATTCGCATCAGTATTGTGGCATAGCGCTTTAAAAACATCTCCTCGTAGCTGATAGGCTGTGAAACGACGCAAATTGCAGCAGGCAGGCGAGAGGAATGTATCGAAGACAATACCGCTATTCTCATCTTCCTCGTATAGGAACAGGTAGACCATCTCCCGCTGTAGGCACGCATTTTCTACATGCACCACTTCCAAGTGAGAGAGATCGGTGAGCTTCTGAAAAGAGGCCACATTCTGCGGATACATGGCATAGCCACATCTAAGAATTTGGAGTTGAAGTGGTGGGGCTCCAGATGCACCATACTCGTCGCAAAGGTTGTCGAAGAAGTCGATATATGATTCAGAATTGTCGTGGTGATAGGCTCGAGCAATGGTCTCATTCGAGATAGAGAGACCGAGCTTCCGGAGTCGAGGTGAGCTTTTGAGAATCTTCACCAACATTCTTCTCCACTCAAAGAGGTCGTCATAAATATTATTGAACGTTACTTCCTCCAGATTTGCAAATGCCGAGAAGTCTTGAACTCTGAACAATCTTCGTGCTTCTTGGCTCTCGTTGTCATCCTGGTCTTCTTCATCAGCAAGGGCAAACCCAAGAAGACTTTCTTCTATTGCTTCTGGGTATTCAACATGTAGCGATTTCAGTTTCTTGGAAGACTGTTGAAGTAACTGGACTGTTCGAGTAGCTAGTGCCATGACGATCCACCTATCAATGCATTATTGTAAGCTTATTTGGAACGTCAATTAGAATGCGCACTTACCTGAACGCTTCTAAATTTCGTGTCTCCACTAGCAGTTGTTGAACAAGCTCGTTGACTGCATTTGCGATGCTCCAGTGCTGCCCACCTGGTGTGATGGTCAATCTTCTGATGCGCGTGAGATGTGGATTGCCGAGGAGACCCTTCAACTCCCTGTCGCTGCGGATATGAACATGACGATATAAACAGTTTGAGAACTCGGTATTGAATCGGTGGTTGACAAGGCACAGCTTGTAGAGGAGTCGTTGACATCGAATCTGCTCCAACGTTTAGTAGAATATCCAGTCACTTTTAACATCAGACTGTTGTCTGGATGCCAGGCTCCTATTTGGAGCAGTATGCGAAGTCCATGCAACCCACATTGTCACTGAGACATCTCAGCATGTCATCAGAGCATGCAAAAATCAATACGCTTGACGACATACTGTTATTAGTGAGCTTAGTTGGGTATCGTTTGATTTACGTCCATGCCGACGAAGTTAGGAGACTAGCTGTAGATTTAGTAGTAGGTACTGGGTAGCCATCTACTGAGCCCGTCATCTTTAGGATAATTCAGTGCTTGGGACAGTTATTCCTCGTCCTCCTACGTCCCCGCGTTCTTACCCATCCCAGCCAAAACGCAAAGCCGAAGTCGGGCCGGCCCCTCTTCCTGTGCCCAAGTCACGGTCGCGTCGTCGAGTGCCTGCGCGGTTCTTCAACACCCTTCACTAGCAACGACGACAACAACAACACCAACATCGGCATCGGCATCAGTTCCCAATTCTCAGCGCGCCAAAGACGGATGTCATATGATGAGGAGGACCATGGAAGGGCAGAAATAAATCACAAGATCTCCAATGGCAGACTCAGCAGCAAAACGGCGCAAGACATCGCCGACCACATCCATACCGATTGACGCGCCAACTACTCCAAGTCGAATACCAGATCCTCGGAAAAATGGCCCACAATCCGCTTCCCGCCGACCCTCGTTCGCGTCTCCCACAAAAGCAAGTTTGTCTCGTCATAATCCGCAATTGCTGAAGAGACCTGCATCGTCTGGAGGGTCAGGAAGTCAAGGAAAGAATCTACAAGATGTTTTCGCGAAGGCATTGGGAGAACAACAACCCGCAACTGGAGCAAATTCTGCCGTATCTGGAGACGATAGAGATGGAACCAAGTCAATGTCAACCACACAGGAGAATGACCCTTCTGCCTACGACTCTCTTCTGACGAAGACTCCTCCGAGAGCCCGAAGTAAAGGACCCATTGGAGGTGGATTGTCTTCCAAACCTAGAAGACTTTCGCTTTCCCCCAGCAAACGGACCGAAAGACAACCTGTCGCGTTTCCTGTAGCAAATTCACTGCCAGACGATTTCAACCCCTTCCAGAAGAAAGGTCTGAGGAGGTCACCTATAAGTTCGTCGGCTGAGACACCTTTACCTACTACCCAGGAACCCGCCCTTGAAGATAGCTTCAATCCTTTCAAAAAGACCGGGTTGAGGAGATCTCCAATAGCGGCACAGCCTCAACCGATGCTATCACAGCCTCTGGAAACTGCTTTCAGGGTATCTCCTACTGCACCGGATCCCCCGACTGCCAGGCCAGAAAATATCACTGAGCCATTCTCACCAACAAAGAAGCTGAGAAGGTCGCCGGTGATTCCGGCGCCTGTGCGAGGTGCTCTGGAGAATGTACCGGAACCCTTTTCGCCGACGAAAAGACTCAGAAGATCACCCGTAGTTGCAGAAGCTGTCAGAACTGGACTTGGAAGCTCACCCATACCACCACAGATCTCCGTGCAAACTGTAGAGCCGCCAAAGAGGATAACACCTGCAATGCTAGAGCCTGAAGCACCGCAGAATTTGGACGCACAATCTGGTCATGTGCCAAGGAAATCATTAGCAGAGGTACCGAACGACCAGGAGGTATCGCAGCCCCGCGAGAACGTTCCTGAAGCTAGGCAGCAAGCCTCCACTGGACCCGATCAGCCTGTCTCGCAACCCAAGTTACTATTTGCTGAGATACCGAAAGTACCCATTGAGCGAACTCAAGCTCCTATCCACGAGTCGGCCACTTCTACAAGTCCCAAAGATCCCCTCCCTCGGCGTGGTAACGTTCCAAAAAGCACGGCAAAATCTCAAACGACAGTTCAAAACGAAGATTCAATTCATGCATCAGAATCAAGTCGTAGGCCAGAGGGTTCGAGAATGTACGAAGCTGTTCACGACTTGTTTACTGGAAACCGACGGGCAGAAGAGCCCGATTTGCCTCCTACACCTACCCAGCTTGGGATACCGGATCCCGTTGTGACAACTCCACCGACTGGCATTCATGATACGCCAAGTAAAAGGGCGAGAAGAAACAAGGCTCTTGGAGCAAAATTAAAATCATCTCCGTTGAAGCCTCGGGATCCACCTCCTCAGGAACCTCCGCAGCCGGTGCCACAGCCAGAGCTAGAGTCTGAGAAGCCGAAGCGTCGAAAGTCTGCAAGATTTCTTATCCCAGAAGACCCTCATGCATCCAAGAAGAAAGAGCGAGATGATCTCTTGAAGCAACTGCAGCAGCTTCAGGCAGATGTCGCTCTCGCAAACCAGGAGAATGAACGCCTTCGACTGCGATCAGAGTCCAGAAAGAAGGGGCTTTCAGCTGCTCCGAATCCCGATGAGCTCCGGTCGATGCTGTTACGATCTACGGTGCCAGAAATATCGACCGAACCTACACCAAAACCACGCAGCGTGTTCCAATCGATGCATTCATTTCTGCCTTTTTCAGGACGACGGAGGAGAACTGCAGCTCCTCTGTCGGAGAAGCCATTGCCTTCTCATCTACCTATTGCTCTCAACGACCCACTCCCCTATCTACAAGCGTTCAGTCCTCTGACATACTCATCAACTGTCACTCTGCTTCCCTCGGTACAAACATCGAGCGACCCTTCAGTTCGAGAGGAGCAACCTATTCTCCAGAGGCATATCATAACCGCCTCTCACCCTTCTGGACTTTTTACAACTCGTCTTTCCATGACTGTTGATACTTCAGTACATACAATTGCAGCGCTGGATATCCTTCGACTCGACATGAATGCGGAGAAAGAGCTTGGGACTTTCATACGATCCCGGTCCCGATCTGATCACCCGCTAGGAAAAGATATCACAGTTGTCTGCTGGGCAATGTCACGCTGGATTGAAGTGTCCATCTCACGTGCAAGATTCTGGTGTGCCGTCGAAAGTGATTTTGGAACTCCGCAAGCCAGAGCTAAGTCTATGCAAAAGAAGAGGAAACGCAAACGAAAAGGTCCAGGCCAGGACGATGAGTCCTCGGCGGCACTTGATAAGTTATCAGACGATGCTGAGGATAGGCAGACCTGGACTCGGAGACAGTTGTTGCCGCAAATCGGACGTACCGGTTTTGAGCTGGCAAATGAGGATGTGGAATTACGATTCGAGTGGAGAATATCGTTTGACTGGACTGGAGAAGTAGAAAGTGCCATTTCGGCGAGCGCTAGGCTGCCGCGGACTTGTAAGTCTCTTATATCACCTAGCTCGTATTCCAGCATTAACAAGACACAGGGCAACAAGCAGATGACAGGAATAGTCTGGCAAAGGTTCCGGAGACCTTTGACAAGCTGGTCAAGGAACGAGGGCCGCTCGGCGCTGTACGAGCTACTGTCGGACTGTTCATGCCCGTGTCATGATTGATGGAGAATTTGAGAGGCATCAGTTAGTTGCAATGATAATGATCTTAATGAGCTGGAAATAAATTTGCTGGCAGTGTCTGTCTAGCTTTATACCCTACTATGAGTCCCTTTGATATTCTTTTTTGTTCCTTTGTGCGTGGGAATGAATAAAAAACGCCTAAGTCTCGGTCAAATCTGCCCAAATATCTTTTCACGCGCTGAATTCAACTCTCCAACGAATTTTATTACTTCTACATTAAACCCACGATCTCCAGAATTCCACTCCAGCCATCAATTTGCTCTCCACCAAGTCTTGCTCTACTTTCATCTCCAAACACAGCACCAGTCATTGACACCCTAGGAACAAGCTCTCTTCTGACTTGTACCTTGGATGTATCACATCTTCAAAAATATGATGGATGAGCGGGGAATGGGCAGCCAAGATCGCGATTTCAACTTTCTGTCGAAAAAACGTCTTCCACAATTGAGATTTCGAGAAGAATGAATGTCAACACAAGCTGTTCTTGAGGACTTAAGCGAGAATAATGACCTTACCTAGTATTCATCCGACGAAGAAAGTTTGTTTCAAGTACAACTAATCGTCGCACTACTGACTCCATACACCTTGGTGCTTTGGTTGGCTTCTAATCGACAGGTGTCGCATGTGAGAAGAGCTACCAGTAGCGGCTCTTGCAACATCTGGTGTGAGATGAAGCGATTTCCATGCCTCGGCACCGCAATTAGCTTCACCAGCTCCAGCTCTAGTGCATTCCTTACACGTACACTTCAGTACATAATGTCAGGTCTCAATGAGAAAGGATTTATCAACTCTAAAGACACATCTCATGGTTAAATGATGTCGGAAGTAAAAGTAATGGAAGATACGTTCGCGCTGCCAGATGGAGTATTAGCATACCGTAAGACATGGACTGTAAGTTTCACATCTCAAGTACTCCAAAATTAGATAGCATTTTAACTCAACATCAACCAGCCCTCACAACCACCCCTCGCAAACCTGATCCACGTGCATGGCTTCAGCGAGCACATCAACCGCTACTACGATTTCTTTCCCAATCTCGCCCGACACCGCATCCTCTGCACCGGCATCGACCAACGCGGCTGGGGCCGTACCGTAACCAAGGACTCCGAAAGAGGCGACGCCGGCACCACCGAAATCGTGCTCGCTGACCTCGCCTCCCTCTTTGAATCTTACTTCTCTTCTTCATCACTACCCGTTTTCATCATGGGCCATTCCATGGGCGGCGCCGAACTCCTCACCATGGCATCCACGCCAAAGTACCAGAACTTAATATCCCGCATCTCTGGAATCCTGCTGGTAAGCCCCTACATCGCACTCGTCCCCGCACGGGAACCATACACCCTCGTCCGACTCCTCGGAAAAGCCCTGTGTCCCATCCTCCCTAAATTCCAGATCCCAAATCGTCCACCTGTAGAGTGCGTAGTCCACGATGTAGCCGTGCAGCAGGATATCTTGAATGACCCTCTGAGCAACGGCATTGGAACCCTGGAGATGTTCGATGGGATGTTAAGCCGGGGAGCGGATCTGCAGTCCGGCAAGTTGGTGTTGAATGAAGAGGTTAGGGCGTTATGGGTTGCGCATGGGACGGGTGATGAGTTGACGAGTTGTGAAGCCAGTAGGGAGTGGTTTGAGAGGGAGGGGAGGGGGAAGGTGAGGGATGCGGAGTTTAGAGAGTATATGGGGTGGAGTCATCAGTTGCATATTGATACGATGGAGCATAGACCGGTGTTTGTGAAGGATGTTGCGGATTGGATTTTGGCGAGGTTGGGGTGAGGGGAAGTAAACAAACGATGTCTGGCAGTTGAGTATCTGTGGGAGACGCTCACTGTTTGTTGAACGCCATTTCGTCTGAGCAGCGAGCGTTCAATATGTAAGAGCGAGTGACTGGTATCGCCCGGAAGAGAAAGTCACTCTTTTCACTCCTACGATCACAGAGTAATGAAATTAATCAGTCTTGGGGTCGTCCTCGCATTTGCAAAACGAAGTGCATCTCTATTCGCATCGCAATCCCCCACTTCGCCTCTCCTGACTGTTTTGGTCCCCTGCCTCGCTTACAGTTCTTGTATCTACAATGCGCAGGACCATTATCCTCCACGTCGGTATGATGCATGCCGTAAGTCATGAATCACTTGTCTTACCTCTTTGACAGAATATAATACAAGTAAATAATCAGGCTCGACAATAGCCGCCAAAAGCAAACAATTAAGCGAGACGGCTGGAACTACATGTGAAACACGGTACGGTTGATAACACCAGATTTCAAGGAGAGCGTAAAAGATTCAAAGCTACTTGTCAGGTACAAATTGGTTCCTTCTTGGAAAAAACTGTTCAACAATCAAGCACTTGCTTTATCAATTCACTTCTTTCCCCCAATTTCCATCCCAACCTTTGTTTTGACATCCCCATTACTCCAACTGACCAAGGATCGCCACAAACAGATTGAGATTCCGTGAATATGGTCTTGATAATATGTTCAAATAGAAAGTACTGATGACAATAAGAGAAATCTTGGGTATATACACATCGCTTCCACTGTGCTCCATTCTGCTTTTCTTCAAATCCGCTCTACGGCACAAATCGTGGTAGCTAGTCTCAGACCCCTAGAAAGACAATACCGGTTCTCTATTTCCTCGTCCCTCAAGGTTGAAATTCGATTGAATGAATTCTTCTTGGGACTATTCAGTCGTTCAATAGTAATGCTGCCAGCCCATTACTTGTTCCAGAGCTTGGACTTTGCGTGTTGTTCTTGAGCCCTGTTTTTCTCGTCAGTAAAATCCCAGAACTCTGACCCTACACAGACAAGGCCTTCTGCTTCTCCAATGTCACTCCTTTACCAGCAGGGCTTACCAGACTCAACGCAAAAGAAGTACTCACAGCAATTCCCATAATTAACCGGCACATTCAACGTCAAATCACTCTTGAACGCCGCTCCCTTGCAATCCTTAGTCCCCGAATTCTTATTATAACTCGCACACGCCCTCGCACAATCGTTCAACGAGTATGCCGTCACTGCCACAATGTCGTTTTTCGCGCCGGGATAATCGCGACCACAGATGACGGTGAAGACGGAGGTTTCTACTAGGGTCATGCGCAACTCGGTGTTGTCGATGTTGGGGCAGTCGAGCGCGACGGTGCCGGCTGTGGGGACGCTGATGATGGATGAGCTAGTGCTGGAGCCGCTGGCTGAGGAGGAGGCGGAGGCGATGGTGCCGGTTGCGGGTGATGCTGTAGTTGTTATGGTTACTGTGCGTATGGATGTGCCGTTGTTGTTATTGTTTTCGCTGAACAGCGTGTTAGTGAAATGTATATCAACATTATCCGACCACAGTTTTGTAATCACATTCGACACACTCTCAAAATACACAATATCGAATGGAGTCAACAGATCGAGACCAGTAACACCGCTTACCTCTTCGCATTATTAACCGCCATCGTCCCTCCAACTCCACCCCCAATACCCGCCGCGAGAATAACCAGCACGAGGGCCAGACTCAAAAAGAACGTCGCCGGCCTCACACCACACATCGTCCTTCCCTTCTTAGCATCTCCTTCTGGCGATCCATAGAAATACTGAGGAGGCACGTTCTCCTGCTGTCGATCCGAGTAGAACTTGTCTGACATGGCAACGGTTTGCTGTCCTGGAGAGGACACTTCCAGATCAGAGTGTGGTGGTTGATGGTACACTTCAGGCGAGGAAGACATTACTCGCGAGTATGTATGCCTCTACCTCTTGAGGAAAGAGGAGGAAAGAGAAAGGAAGAGAGAACTAAGAAGAAAGCAGGGAGTAAAACAAGCGCGAGCGAGCGTACGAGCGAGACGGGCGGGTATATCAACACTCACTCACTAACAAGCACATCAGGACGAGGAAATGAGAGAAGGGGAAAAGAAAAGCACGGTGCACAGGTAATCAGGTAGATTTGAAGGAGCGCCCATCTGCCTTGCTTACTTGTGTCCAGTGGTTCAACCTGAATGAAGATCGCGCTGAGGGAGGCACAGCTCGACGTTGTAACATGGGACGATGTTCCTTGGCGTGTATATTTACAGGCCCTGCGCCCTGAAATTGGGGGCCCATCCGCCAATTTTGGTGGGCTCCTCCCGCCGCCAAGATGGTGTAGAATCCGCTAACTAGGCTCTGCTGCTGTGGGGGTGCGGCGTAGCGTTCTGCAACGGGGGTCCACTGTACAAGCATAACGCACCAACCATCTCCCCAGAAGGATATTTGGTCTTTGGTCGAGACTTTTGGCGGGATTACTTGGACCAGTGACCGTTGGATGCTCCATTTGCGCAATTAATCAATCAAACAGAATGATGGGATTGACGATAGGAAAGTCGAATATTGATTCTGGGCTGAGAATTCTGACAAGATGATAAGTAACGGGGAAAGGCACAACGCGTGCCAGTAACGTTTCACATAACTTGTGTATCTCCTCGTTTGAGTTTGTGCATACAGAATCCGATTCCTGATTGGCTGTCTCGTGTAGATATCTCTCCGCATGAGATTAGGACTTGGAAATCGGATGTCCAGACTTGAATTAAGCTCTGAACTGGAGTTTGAATTTGGATTGCCGAGTCGGATTCTTCCGGATCTCAGAATCTCAGCATGTCTAACAGGATAATGTGGCACGGTGACTGAGGCGAGTAGTGCTTGGTGGAGAGCTGTAACTAATGGATGAGGAATCAAGGATGAAGAGAATCTTGAAGTCTGATTGGTGTAAATTGCGATTGGTGATTTCAAGGAGGCTGAAGTTAAGCCTTGAATTGCTTCCAAACCATTGACCATATCTCACAGAATCCAAGACCTAGTGCTTAACAGCTTTCGCAAAGTCTTTCAAAAATAGCCATCGGCTTGTCTCAGCCCATCCTTTAGCCTTGAAATCGTTCGCATGTTTCGGGAAGAAGTCCACTGTATTCAATAGCGACTCGTCATGAGCCATAACGACAAATACCTCATCCTGAGCATCCGCCTCGATGACTTTCCCAATCGTAACTTCCGCTTCGTCAGCATCATGTGCGATGCCTGATCCATCTTCCGACCTGGCAATTGCATAAAATGGCTTGTGCTTGTCGCCATCTCGGTACAGATCATCAAACATTGACCCTGGGCAGGGAGTCGTGCTTCTAAGATCCAGAGGATTGGGAGAGATTGATTCAGGTACTGGACGGTATTGAGAGGGTCTGAATTCTCCGTTGTGATGGCAAGCGTCTCCACCCATGAATATAAAGGAATTTGGATTGGATGTCACTCTTGCGAGTCCACAGATATGTCCAATAGCATGTCCTGGGCTATCTAGAATATAGAATGACCCGTCGCCAAAATAGTCGAAGGCACTGAATCGTCCGATCTTGATGCCTTGATTGAAAGCAACCTCCCGAAGCTCCCGGCCCTCATAATCGCTTTCCAGAACTGGAGAGTCCTTGTTCGTGGGATATCCGGGCGTGAATGCGTCTTTGAATCCAGGACCGACGATCAACGCTGTATTGCGATCGAATGTCGATACATCGCCTGTGTGGTCCCAATGCCAATGGCTCCAAATGATGGCTTCAATGCTCTTCCCATCTACTCCATTGGCTTCAAGGATTTCTCGGACGCCTTGCTCAACTTTTGCTGACAAGCCGCCTTTCTTGATCCGGTCAACGATCCTGGGTGCGTAGTTCTCGACGTCTTTGCGTACTCCTAGGTCGAACAGAAGAGATCTGTTGGAGGAATGCTCGATCAAGAAAGAATATGCTGGACAAGAAAGGTGAGTGAAGCCTGTGATTTGAGGTGTAAAAAATGGCTCAAGAGGAATGCCGTCAACTTGTGAAGTGGTGTCAATGATTCTGACCTTGACTGTGGCACTGGACGTGGGGATTTTGAAATCTGGTGCTGGTTGAGTCATCTTCTTCTAAGTTGGGGGATATATGACTGTAGACACAAAAACTGATAGAGGATGTATGGAAGAATGAAGGGTCTATATTGTTCCCCTCATCTGGGGCTATGCTTATATATCAAGCTAACTCAACTGGGAGAGCTCCAGGGACAAGGACTTGACGTCACCCATCTGCTGCTGAAGGACGAGGAGGTCTATTGCTAAGGCAGTATATTCTCGGGAGCTCGGGAGCTCGGGAAACAATCAGAAAGTAATAACCGTCTGATGACATCCGACTGGCATGTAGGACAGAATACGATGATTGTGGCAATGTGTCAGAATGAGGTGTAAAGAATCCGACGAGGCTGACAACAGAAGAACATTGTATGAGGTGCCTGGGTGCATACCGTAGAGTAGTGGGGTAGGAAAGCTCTTTGCACACCACAAATTCTCTCCACGGACCTCGGCTTGCCCAGAGGAGCTCGCTAAAGGCTTGACTCTGGCGTGTGGCTCCAGTGAATTTGCTAGGCGACTCCCGCTAGTCTGCCTTCCCGTTTAGCCCCTCAGGGTCATAAATTTTTGAGATTCTTCTTCTTCCTCCTCTTTGGATTTATCCCGTCAGAATTTCGCACCTTTGAGGGCACTTGCATAATCTTCTCTCCCTGGAATTCACCTGCATCATATTCAAGATGGTTGTCAAGGAGTACGTGACCTACAACGATGTAAGTCGCATAAACCTTGCCCCTCCAAGGCAACGAGCGCAAAGACTGACAGCCGCGCCCGCAGGTCCACAAGCTGTGCCAGGAGGCAGCACCTCGCATTCTTGAGGACTTCAAGCCCCAGCTTATGATCGCCATCGGAGGAGGAGGATATGTGCCTGCACGAATTTTGCGATCTTTCCTCAAGCAGCCAGGCTCACCCAATATTCCCATCCAAGCCATCGGACTGTCTCTCTACGAAGCCCTGCCTCCCTCCCACGCCTCTGGTGCGAACACCCCAGGCGATGTCGAGCAACTCGGTACCAAAGTAACAAGAACACAATGGTTGGACTTGACGAGTCTGGGAGAGATGGAGAACTTGGTCGGCAAGCGCATCTTGATCGTTGATGAGGTTGACGACACCAGAACAACTCTGGAGTATGCCGTCAAGGAGTTGGAGAAGGATGTCGAGCTCGCAAGACAAAAGTTGGGTGGCCAGGGAGAGAAGACTGTGTTTTCGATCTTTGTTCTGCATGTAAGATTCATCCAACTCTTTTGGTTACCAAGGACAAAATACTAAGACATTGAACAGAACAAGAATAAGGACAAGAAGGGTCAACTGCCAGAGGATATGCTCAACGAAAACAGATACTTGGCCGCCAGGACTGTGCCAGATGTTTGGATTTGCTACCCATGGGAGGCTACCGACATCGATGCCCATGACAAGATGGCGAGAGAGCAGCCCGCGATTTAGGTACAGAGAATATTCGGATCTAGGCCTCCATAAATGCATCGATCGTTGTTTTCTTGGAAGCCAACTACTTTTCGCTTTCCTTCTTATATGTGAAGCCATGAAGAGTAAACCACAGCCTCGCTGTACCCAGGTGCGACAGACCAGAATTAGTGAGGGGTCAAAAAAGTTTAGCCTATCGCTCCACGTTATCTTAGCGTGGAATGATCCCTTCAAGCATATCGATAGGCCAAAAGTGCGAGAGTGGGGGACACTGCACCGCGGGACAGCAGATGATGTACGACATTCGCGCCACATATCGCGAGTCCCTTTGATGCGCCGTCTTTCGGTCTGATTTCCTATCGAATTCCAAAGTCCGACTACATGCTTATGTAACGTTGAAACTGCTTTGCTGACTGACAACGTATATATTGCTGTGCTGAAACTTTGAGTTTCCAGATTCTAACTTTAAACCCCCACTTTAAGATCGCAACTCTTTCTACGATCAACAATTCTATCTACATTCGAAGTCATGGGTGAAGCACCACCTCAGGAGAAGGAATATATCCTCGTTCTCCTTCCGTATGCTCATGATGACAAGGTGACAAGCATCATTGACAGCATTCGACGCAAACACCACCATGTCGAAATCGAATACCACAACATTGCCTTCACAGGCATGACTGCTCCTGATTTGACCTCCATTCCTGAAAGTATGGATCCATCTCAATCCCTAGTCCATTGATGCTCACAAACGTTCACTAGACTCATGGAAGAAGTCTACGATCCTCGTGACTTTCAACTCCCTTCCACCCTCGCTCAAACTCATCCCGAACCTCAAACTCCTACACCTCTTCAGCGCTGGCGCAAACCACATTTTCCAAACTCCCATCTGGAAAGACACAGAGATAACCATCACCAACTCCTCTGGCGTTCACAGCCCCCAGATAGCAGAATGGGTCATGCTGCAAATCCTCTCGCACTCCCACCAGGAGAAGATCCTGCTTCAGTGGCAGAAAGAGCATAAGTGGGGAGCCCACTCTGAGCTCAACTTCGTCCGAGACGGTGTCGGTCAGCGGTTGGGTGTCCTTGGATATGGAGCTATTGGACGTCAAAGTACGTGGCCATGACATGCTCACTAATACATTCTTGTTCAAGGAAAAACCTAATTGCTGACTGCGATCCTCACCTCCAGCCGCACGAATCTGTAGCGCCCTAGGAATGGACGTAATAGCCTATACGGCCTCACCACGACCCACTCCAGACAGTAAGAAAGACCGCGGATATATCGTCCCAGGCACAGGCGATGAATATGGCCGCATCCCAAGCGAGTGGTACTCTGGCTTGGACAAAGCCTCCCTTCACAACTTCCTCAAGCAAGATATCGATATCCTGCTCATCGCCGTGCCCCTCACGCCTGCAACGACGCATTTCCTCGGCGCGGAGGAACTCGCTATCCTAGGCAAGCGCAATGCATTTGTCGTGAATATTGCACGTGGCGCTATCCTTAAACAGGATGACTTGATTGCTGCGTTGAAGAAACCGGTTGAGAAGGGCGGGCTGAGAGGTGCTGCGCTGGATGTTACGGATCCGGAGCCTTTGCCGAAGGATAGTGAGTTGTGGGATTTGGAGAATGTAGTTATTACTCCGCATATTAGCGGAGGATTGGGGACTATGTATATAGATAGGAGCTTTGCCATCTTGGAGAGGAATTTGGGGAATTTGGAGCGGGGGAAGAAGTTATTGAATGTGGTTAACAGGGGAAAGGGGTATTGAGAATGGGTTTATGGGAGTGGGAATGGAAACAATGAGTTTTTTGAAGGGAAAGGCGGCTTGGGGAATATAAAAATAGAAGTGAATGATACATTGGAAATTTGGCACTTTAACTATGCTATTGAACTGCCTAAGACTTGAGAACTTGCTGACCTGGTAGGGAAGGTAATAGAGCGAAGAAACTGCGCCATGTACCTGGGTATGCGCTGGATATCAAAGGTAAACATGAAACACGATAAACTAACGATTTACATTCTCGATCATCTAAAGCTATATACAACACTTCAGCACCAATTGAAAAGATATATGTGAGGAAAAGTAGGAGACGGAACACGGAGCCTGGTGCTGACCAAAAATCCTGAGAGATTCAACCTTGCTTATGGATATTGGAAACTTTTGACTTGTTTCAAACCTTCAGACAAACTAAGTAGATATGCGAATATAAAAATCCACTATCGAGGCTTTTCGGGCTTTTGAGATCTTGTTTGTTTTGTTACTCTTCTCACTCGAACAGGGGGATAAGCGAATCGCCAGCCTCGGGTGCCAAGAATGACGGACCACTGACGGACCACTGATGAAACAGCTGAGCTATGTAAACCTCGCCAGGGTGGCATCTTCAAGCTCCAAGCTGTTCCCTGACTTCTACTTACCTCCCATTCCTTTACACTACATCACAACCTACAACCATGAGGAGAGTAAACGCCCTAATTGTGCTGAGCACGCTTTCTACTGCTGCTTTTGCAGCAGAATCGTCACGTCCTAGAGGTGTCAGTCCTGAATGTATGTCCTGTCTCCAGAAATCCCCCTCGGCTGGCGGTGCAACTGGCCATTGGGAATATATTTACTGACATACCAAATAGTTGCAAAATACTATAAATCTACAGACTCGTTTACATGTATCTCGAATCCTGAAATCAAACTTTCGCCCTCACAAGTCAACGACGAATACTGCGACTGTCCAGATGGTTCTGACGAACCTGGCACAGCGGCCTGCACATACATCTCCGACCTCTCACCACCTCAGCCCGTTGCCGGAAAAGTAAACACATCATTCGCCCTCCCGGGGTATTACTGCAAGAACAAGGGGCACATTCCAGGCTATATACCACACATGTATGTCAATGACGGCGTATGTGATTACGAGCTCTGCTGCGACGGCAGCGACGAGTATGCGGGTGTTGGGGGAGTCAAATGCGAAGACAAATGCAAGGAGATTGGCAAGGAATGGAAGAAAGCTGATGAGATACGGCGGAAGAGCGAGAGGGCGGCGTTGAAGAGGAGGGTGGAGCTCGTGAGTGAGGCACAGGCTCTGAGAGCTGGTGTGGAGATCAGTATTGGGAGATTGGAGAGCGAGATTGCTGCGCAGGAGAAGAAAGCTGCGGCTTTGAAGACGGCGTATGAGGAGATTGAGAGGAGGGAGAGGGGGAAAGTGGTGGGTAGTGCTGGGGGGAAGGGTAGTAAAGTTACTATTCTTGCTGGGTTGGCGAAGAATAGAGTTGATGAGTTGAGGGAGACGCTGTTAGGGGTTGTGGCTAAGAGGGATAAGCTGAAGGAGAGGGTTGGGGAGCTGGAGGGTATTTTGGCTGCTTTCAAGGAGGATTATAATCCTAACTTCAACGATGAGGGTGTCAAGCGAGCTGTTAAGGCTTGGGACGATTACGCTGCTCAGAAACTCGCTGCTGGTGAGACAGATGAGTCTGCTGAGGATAGAGATCTTGCCGAGGTCGTCAAAGAGGATTCTGAGACTGAAGGTATCAATTGGGCTGAATGGGAGACTGAGGAGGAGAGTGATGTCGAAGCTCGTACGTATAACTAAGTCCCATTGAAATGCTCTAACACAATTCAGTCTACAAATTCGAAGAGTATCTCCCAGGACCCGTCCGCGACTGGGTGCACCAGAAGCTCATCGATCTCCGCATCATGCTTGTTGAGAACGGTATCCTCGCAGACAACGCCAACTCCGGCTCCGAATCCAAAGTTGTCACAGACGCCCGATCCGCGTACCAAAGCGCCAACGACGAAGTCTCAACTAAATCAGCCACTCTTGGTGACCTACGCAACGATCTCACCAAAGACTACGGCACCGATGATATCTTTCGCGCCCTCAAAGACAAGTGCATCTCCAAGGATTCAGGCGAGTACGAGTATGAGCTCTGCTGGATGGGCAGCACGAAGCAGAAGAGCAAGAAAGGGGGTGGCCATACCGGCATGGGCAATTTCGTGCGCTTCGACAAGATGACTGTTGATGAGGAGGTCAGCGCTGATGGCAAGGGACTGGGCAAGGGCGAGCGATTGGTGCTGAGGTATGAGAATGGTCAGAATTGCTGGAATGGACCGAATAGGCAGACGACGGTTGTGCTGGCTTGTGCGGAGACGGATGAGATCTGGAAAATTGCGGAGGAGGAGAAGTGTTTGTATAAGATGGAGGTTGGTACGCCGGCTGTCTGCGAGGGGAGAACGGAGGAGAAGAAAGAGGGTGGGAAGGATGAGTTGTGATTTTCTTATTTTTTTGATAGCTTTGGGTCGGGCGAAACTAAAATATGTAGAATTATAGGCACTGGGTTTGATTGGTATTGTATCAGTCTTTGTTCTAGATAGCAATTGCCATGTGGTTGCCTTTAGCCCTTGGATTTGACTTTTGAAGTAAATGTACAAGTCTTGTAGAATGAGTAACCCTTCATAAAGAATCCGATAAGATGCCCCTCTCCAAACGCCGTTGCTCCATGCCCAATGCCGTTTTTCCTGACCTAGTTTTTCTTGGGTATCGAGTATCCTCTCGTCATAAAATCTCCCGACTTGTGCGTCTGAGCACTGTATCCTGTATTTGAGAATAAGCTCTTGAGGTTGTCGTTCAGGCCGAGCTTTCTTCTTTTATTCCGTTCTTCTTGCTCGTCCAGGACTTTGGCTGTTAAGGAAGCTGTTGCTGAGTTTTTGATCCCTGATGAGGGAACTGGTGTTGCCGTTCCACTCTTCGTATGTCCATTGGACGTCCAATTTTCCGTAGACTTCTTCTTGACATCCACTTTCGACGCCTCAACAGAATTTCCATTTGTGGTTTCTTTGTTCTCAGCAGCAGCCTCTCCCTTCTTCCGCTTCTTACTTCCTGGAGCCTTCTTCAGCGAATGTGTTAACCCCGCCTCCCTCAACCTAGCTATCCTCTCAGCCAGCTTCGCAATATCCTCTTTGGCAAGTGGCACAATGGGTATGATATCCCCCTCCTTGTACGCCTCATTGCACTCCACGCAAACATCGCCCTTCACCTCCCTGATCGCCGCTTCAGAGAACGCATGTCCACATGGCACCAGGTACACACTCTTCGTGTTTGGGCCTAGCTCCTTACTCGTAACAGGACACACCCACTTTTCGCTCTTGTCCTCCTTCAAAACTGTGAACTTGACCTCAACCGCATCTCTCAAACCCTTGACTCGTCCCTGCAGCACATCTTCTTTCTCTTTCAGTACGGAGGCGGGGGTGTCTAGGTCTTTGGGGAGGAGCTGTTCAATGATCGCGTCTTTGTTGTATAGTGTTCCTGCGCAGTCTGATACTATAGGCGTGGTGAGAGGTCGATTTGATAGAGGGCACCAGGTCCAGGCGTGGGTTTGCGCTTCTTGTTGGGTAGCTTTTAGTTCGGTTGTATTGAGTGCGCGGGCGGCGTTCTTGACGAGTTCGCGCCGGGTGGGGATTGATCCGCCGTCATTACCCATGGCTACGAATTCGTGTAATCGTTATGGGGGTGATCGGTAGGGAAATGGGCTTGGATTGTGGTTCTGGTTTCGCAGAGGTGTAGTGTGATGAGGGTTGGTATGCAAGGCGTAAGAATAGAGGCGGCTGATAAGCTTATCGAGGAACCGGTCCAGTCACGCTAAGCTATTTTGGGGACCGAACGAGGTCCTTCGGCTCAGCTTTGGTAGAGAGGTAGAGCTTCCGTCACACTTCAATACGGGGACGATATCCTCGAAGCAACGGACCTCACTCGAGACATCAACACGCCCCGCCTCAAGCTTGAGAAGCCACTCCTTCGAAATACACCTTCACGGCGACTCCTAAAGACTTACTTACATACATGTGTACCGGCCAAGATGGCCCGCGTTTAGAGAGAAGAAGAGCAGAGCAAGATGTCGCAGCCAGCCCATGATGCACTAGCCCGCATCGTGAACGACTTGCGCTCACGGTACGAACAAGCAGTTCTCAACAATAGGGAACTGTTGCTAATAGTTTGACCAAACAGAAACAGCGATGAGACTAGAAAGCGTGCGGCGGCGGAGTTGAGAGAGTTGGTAGCTGTGACATACAGAGGTGCGCTCAACACTCCCTACAGTAGGCTTCGAGGAGTACATAAGCTGACCAACATGGACCGCAGACCTTCCTAATGAGCGGTTCACAGAATTTTACAGCGTGGTTAATAGCAGGGTCAACCAACTCATCACTCACGCGAGCGACCCAGCAGACAAGATAGGAGGAATCCATGCGCTAGATGCGCTGATCGACTTTGACGGCACAGACAATGGCACAAAGACTACGCGATTTACGCAGTCCCTACGGACGGTGTTGAGAGGCAAGGACTTGGTTCCCATGCAACCTGCCGCGGCAGCTCTAGGAAAGATATGCAGACCTGGAGGAGCGCTGATCTCAGAACTGGTGGAAAGTGAAGTGAAGACCGCACTCGAATGGCTACAGTCTGATCGTGTGGAGGAACGACGATACAGTGCTGTACTTGTCCTGCGCGAATTGGCTCGAAATGCCCCGACGTTGATGTATGCGTTTGTGGGGCTCATCTTCGATCAGATATGGGTCGGCTTAAGGGATATCAGACTCCTAATTAGACAGACAGCGTCAGAGGCTATCAGTGCCTGCTTTCAGATCATCAGAGAAAGAGATCAGGCTATACGACAGACATGGCAAGCGAAGATCTACGACGAGGCTGTTCAGGGCGTCCGACAAGGCTCGCTAGAATATATCCATGGCTCTTTGCTGGTCATCAAAGACCTGCTTCAACAAGGAGGAATGTTTATGCATGAGCACTACCAAGAGGCATGCGAGATTGTTTTCCGACAAAAAGATCACCGCGACGTGCAGGTTCGGAAGACGGTTGTGCTCTTGATCCCTGAGTTGGCAAACTACTCTCCAACCGAGTTTGCTCAGAGTTACTTACACAAGTTTATGGTGTTCTTGTCTGGTATGTTGAAGAAGGATAAAGATCGGAATGACGCATTCTTGGCGATTGGGAATATTGCCAATGCGGTCAAGAGCGCTATTGCACCTTACTTAGATGGTGTTTTGATATATGTCCGTGAGGGATTGAGTCTGAAATCGTAAGTTCACTAAGTGCTGCGTCGTGAGACTTAGTCACTAATAACAGTCAGGAGACGAAGTGGCACAGTTGATCCTGTATTTGACTGTATTAGCCGACTCGCAGTAGCAGTTGGCCAGACTTTGAGCAAGTATATGGAGGCACTCCTGGACCCCATATTTGCTTGCGAGCTTACACCTAAACTTACCCAAGCCTTGGTTGACATGGCATTCTACATTCCTCCCGTCAAATCCACCATTCAGGAGCGATTACTGGATATGTTGAGCAAAGTCCTCTGTGGCGAACCCTTCAAGCCTCTTGGAGCACCCACACCAAATAGAATCGCTGCCGCGCCAACAGTGCCCAAAGACTCGAAGGATCCGCTTGCATTCGAGCACCGCCAAACCGAAATCAAGCTCGCCTTGAACACCCTGGGAAGTTTCGACTTTTCTGGCCATGTTCTGAATGAGTTCGTTCGGGATGTTGCGATCAAATACGTCGAAGATGACAATGCTGAGATCAGAGAAGCAGCGGCGTTAACCTGCTGCCAACTATACGTTCGAGATCCGATCGTCAACCAAACAAGCTACCATGCCATCCAGGTCGTGAGCGAGGTCATCGAGAAGCTTCTCACTGTAGGAGTGGCTGATCCTGATCCCAACATTCGCCGAACTGTCCTTGCGGCTTTGGACGAGCGGTTCGACAGACATTTGGCAAAGGCAGAGAATATCCGCACACTGTTTTTTGCACTGAACGATGAGGTTTTCAGCATTAGAGAAGTGGCAATTGCGATCATTGGTCGCTTGACACATGTCAATCCCGCCTACGTTATTCCTTCTCTCCGAAAGGTGCTCATTCAGATGCTCACTGAGCTTGAGTTTTCAGACGTTGCAAGAAACAAGGAGGAGAGCGCGAAGCTACTGAGTCTTCTTGTTCAGAACTCGCAACGCTTGATTAAGCCATACGTCGATCCCATGATCACCGTTTTGCTTCCTAAAGCTTCGGACCCCAATCCAGCTGTTGCAGGCACGATTCTTAAGGCCATTGGTGACCTCGCAACCGTTGGTGGAGAGGACATGATTCCATACCTTGGCCAACTCATGCCGATTATCATTGATGCGCTACAAGACCAGAGCTCTGTCATCAAGCGAGAATCTGCTCTGAGGACTTTGGGACAGCTGGCAAGCAACTCTGGTTATGTTATCAAGCCATATATGGATTATCCACCACTTCTCGAGATTCTCCAGACTATCATCAGATCCGAGCCTCATCGAGGTCCTCTTCGCCAAGAAACTATTAAGCTGATGGGTATTCTCGGAGCTTTAGATCCATATAAAAATCAGCAGGTCGAAGAGAAATCGCCGGAAACTCAATTGCGCCTGGAATCGACTCAGATGACTGATATCTCACTCATGATGACCGGACTAACACCATCGAATAAGGAATACTTTCCGACGGTCGTGATCAATGCTTTACTGCAGATTCTTAAGGATCAGTCTCTTTCGCAGCACCACGCATTGGTGGTTGAAGCCATCATGAACATATTCCGCACATTGCAACTGGAGTGTGTTACCTTCCTCGATAAAGTCATCCCGGCTTTCATTGGCGTTATTAGAAGCGCCTCGCCATCTCGCCTGGAGTCGTACTTCAGTCAGTTGAGCATTCTGGTCACAATTGTTCGACAGCACATTCGAAACTTCTTGCCCGAGATCGTCGCTCTACTACAGGAGTTCTGGGAGAAGAGCCCAACCCTCCAAGCCAACATACTCCAACTCGTGGAAGCGATCTCACGCTCGTTAGAAGGAGAGTTCAAGATCTATCTTGCTGGCATTCTGCCGCTCATGCTTGGTATCCTGCAAAAAGACACGTCCACACGCCGTCTCCCTTCTGAGCGAGTCTTGCACGCATTCCTCGTGTTTGGACCCAGTTCTGAGGAGTATATGCATTTGATAGTTCCTGTCGTTGTTGGTGTGTTTGAAAAGGCTCAACAGCCTGCTTTCATCCGCAAATCAGCGATCGAGACGATCGGCAAGATTTCTAGACAGGTCAATCTCAACGACTTTGCTTCGAAAATCATCCATCCTCTTGCGAGAGTACTCAACGGCAACGATATCACTCTGAGATTAGCTGCCTTAGACACACTGTGTGCCTTGATCTTCCAGCTCGGCAAAGACTATCTCCATTTTGTTGGAACCATTAACAAAGTGCTCGCCGCAAACCAAATATCACATCAGAACTATGAACTTCTGGTCAGTAAGCTTCAGAAGGGAGAAGTCTTGCCCCAAGATCTCAACGCGGATGATCGATTCCGTAGTTCGGTCGATGAGACATCTTCGTCGGAAGTACAGAATAAGAAACTCGACTCGAATGCTTCCCATCTGAAGGCTGCCTGGGACGCGACCGGCAAGTCAACCAAGGAGGATTGGCACGAGTGGATGCGTAGATTCAGTGTTACAGTCTTGACAGAATCTCCAAATCAAGCTCTTCGAGCCTGTGCTGCTCTAGCGGCCATCTACCCACCCTTGGCTCGAGAACTGTTCAACTCGGCATTTGTGTCTTGCTGGGGCGATCTGTTTGAACCGTATCAGGATGATCTAATCCAGAACATCGAGACGGCCATTCGCTCGCCTCATGTTACACCTGATCTACTCGGTATCCTACTCAACCTTGCCGAGTTCATGGAGCACGATGATAAGGCTCTCCCTATCGATATTCGGGTGCTCGGTCGCGAGGCTGGCAGATGTCATGCTTGGGCAAAGGCACTACATTACAAGGAGCTCGAATTCCTTCAAGACCAGTCCAGTGGCGCTGTAGAAGCGCTCATCCAGATCAACAACCAGCTGCAACAATACGACGCTGCTATTGGTATTCTGCGAAAGGCTCAGCTGTACAAGGATGGCATCCAGTTACGAGAGACTTGGTTCGAGAAGCTTGAGCGATGGGAGGAGGCACTTGAGTTCTATCAGAAGCGTGAGCAAGAATTCCCTGAACAGGCCGACAGCTTCGATGTCATCATGGGAAAGATGAGATGTTTGCACGCTCTGGGCGAATGGGACTCGCTCTCAGCACTTGCACAAGATAAGTGGCACACATCTGGTCTGGAAATCCGCCGAGCCGTTGCTCCTCTCGCTACTGCAGCTGCATGGGGTCTAGGACAGTGGGATCTGATGGACGACTATTTGAGCGTCATGAAAGCCAACACACCAGATCGCTCATTCTTTGGGGCCATTCTTGCTCTTCACCGCAACCAGTTCCGAGAGACTGCCATGTACGTGCAAAAGGCCAGAGAGGGTCTCGATACCGAGTTGAGTGCCTTGGTGAGCGAGTCCTACAACCGAGCCTACACTGTCGTTGTTCGTGTGCAGATGTTAGCAGAGTTGGAGGAACTTGTCGTCTATAAACAGAGCACTGGCAATCCGGCGAAACAAGAGGTCATGCGACAGACTTGGGAGAAGCGTCTTCTTGGTTGTCAAAGAAATGTCGAAGTCTGGCAGAGAATGTTAAAGTTGCGTGCTTTGGTCATCTCCCCAACCGAAAATATGCCGATGATGATCAAATTCTCTAATCTTTGCAGAAAGTCGGGTCGGATGGGTCTTGCAGAGAAGCATCTGCAGATGCTACTTGGTAGCGACGAGAGTTTGGACAATCTGCTTCCTTACACCCCTCAGAATGGGCAGAATGGCGATCTAGTCCGCAATGGTGATCGACCATTGAGGGTGGTACCACCTCCTGTGCAATATGCTGTTCTCAAATACCACTGGGCTGCTGGCAAGCAAGATGCCGCTCTGGATGCTCTCAAGAGCTTTACCGCAGATCTTGCGGAGAGACTCCAGATGGTTGAAGCCGCTGCACAGGGTGTGAACGGCATCGACATAAACAGCCTGAGTTTGAACGGCGGAGCGCCACTCCAAGCCAATAACAGCTATATGACCAATGGCATGAGTCCACCACAGCCTCACAACCCAGCTCTAATATCCAAGCATATTGCAGATCACACAAAGTTACTTGCTCGATGCTGCCTTAAGCAGGGCGAGTGGCAGGTTGCACAAAAGAAAGGCGACTGGAAACATGACCGTGTTCATGATATTTTGACTTCCTATCGCGCCGCTACTCACTACAATCCAACTTGGTACAAGGCGTGGCATGCTTGGGCTTTGGCGAACTTCGAGATTGTCCAGGGTCTAGGTCACCGAACTGACAGAGACCGCGATATGGTTGTACCTCCCGATGTGCTCGTTAACTACGTGGTACCTGCTGTCCGTGGCTTCTTCAAGTCTATCGCATTGTCTAAGGGAAGCTCACTGCAAGACACTCTTCGCCTTCTTACCTTATGGTTTGCCCATGGTGGAAGTCCAGAAGTCAACGCGGCTGTGACTGAAGGATTTGCTTCTGTCAGTGTTGATACCTGGTTGGAGGTCATTCCTCAGCTCATTGCCAGAATCAATCAACCAAACCAGCGTGTTCGACAATCGATCCACAACTTGCTCGCTGATGTCGGTAGGGCTCATCCACAGGCTCTCGTCTATCCTTTGACTGTAGCAATGAAGTCTGCGCCAAACACCCGAAGGTCCAGATCAGCTATGCAGATTATGGACAGTATGCGTCAACACAGTGCCAGACTTGTTGAGCAAGCAGATCTCGTCAGTCATGAGCTCATTCGTGTTGCGGTTCTGTGGCACGAGCTTTGGCACGAAGGTCTTGAGGAGGCTTCCCGCCTCTACTTCGGTGATCGCAATATCGAAGGGATGTTTGCTACTTTGGCGCCTCTGCATGACATGCTCGACCAAGGACCAGAGACTCTTCGTGAGATCTCCTTTGCTCAGACATTCGGTCGTGATCTGCAAGAAGCACGCGAATGGTGCTTTACATACAGACAATCTGGGGATGTTGGCGATATTAACCAAGCTTGGGATCTCTACTACCAAGTATTCCGAAGAATTGCCCGTCAATTACCGCAACTTAACAACTTGGAGCTTGCCTATGTCTCACCGAAGCTCTTAAGCGCTAGGGATCTCGACTTGGCTGTGCCCGGAACGTACGTGAGTGGCAGACCCATCACTCGTATCATCCAGTTCGACACCACCTTCACAGTCATTTCGTCCAAGCAACGCCCTCGAAAGCTCAGTCTTCAAGGTAGCGATGGTGTCGCATATGCTTTCGTTCTCAAGGGTCACGAGGATATTCGTCAAGATGAACGCGTCATGCAACTGTTTGGTCTCTGCAATACCCTGATGGTCAACGACACCGAGTCGTACAAGCGACATCTGAACATTCAACGATACCCTGCTATTCCTTTGTCGCAGAACTCTGGTCTTCTTGGCTGGGTGCCAAACAGTGATACTCTACATGTCCTCATCCGCGAGTACAGAGAGTCTCGTAAGATTCTTCTCAATATTGAGCACCGCATTATGCTTCAAATGGCTCCCGATTACGACAACCTCACTCTCATGCAGAAGGTTGAGGTCTTTGGCTATGCTCTTGACAATACCACTGGTCAAGATCTCTACAGAGTTCTCTGGCTGAAGAGCAAGAGTTCCGAATCATGGCTAGAGCGTCGTACAAACTACACTCGATCCCTTGGAGTCATGTCGATGGTTGGATATATCCTCGGTCTTGGTGATAGACATCCTTCCAACTTGATGCTTGACAAAATCACTGGCAAGATCATTCACATCGATTTCGGGGACTGTTTCGAGGTTGCTATGCACCGCGAGAAGTATCCTGAACGAGTGCCATTCCGTCTGACGAGAATGTTGACATATGCCATGGAAGTCAGCAATATCGAAGGTAGTTTCAGAATCACCTGCGAGAACGTTATGAGAGTTTTGCGTGACAATAAGGAGTCACTGATGGCGGTTCTCGAAGCTGTAGGTATTCTCCTCTCCAATCGCAAGTATCTTGCTAATAAGTATAGTTCATTCACGACCCACTTCTAAACTGGCGTCTTACCGGCGATACATCTCCAGCAGGACCTAATTTCCCGTCTCAGCGTCGCGACTCGCTGATGGCAGCAAACAACCGTCGACCATCAATGATGGAAGCTGACATGCCTCCCTCAGCACTGATGGCTCAGGATCCAACCGCAGCCCCTGGCGGTCCACCAGCACCTCGACCTCGAGCACGTACAAACTCGACATCTCAAGGACCGGCTGGCATGGATGGCGTTGACGTGCAAGAGACGCAGAACGAGCGTGCCATGCAGGTCTTGAACAGAGTGAAGGAGAAGCTCACTGGTCATGATTTCAAGCCCGACGAGGAGTTGACGTATATCCTGCAGGTAGACAAGCTGCTCATTGAGGCTACGAAATTGGAGAATCTGTGCCAGCATTACATCGGATGGTGTAGTTTCTGGTAGTGAGTAGGAGAAGTATGGCATAGAAGTGCATAGAGGCACTTGGTTTGGTGATACATTTCCATAAGGGTTTCTTGGAGTTGGCGTTTAGAAATGAGCGAGCGAGCCTGTGAGGGATCTCTTCCTTGCTTGCATGAGGGTTGATATGGTTGGCGTCCGAAGTTTCCTTGCCTTTTTGAAAATGCCCTTTTGCGTGCATACACGGTGACTGGATGGATGGGTGGGTCGGGCATGGATGAGCATGGGTGTGTTGTTTGTAATACTTTTTGTATATGTATGAATGGGGCGCCGGCGTGCAGTTTACATGGTTTATGAACCGGTCATCACATACCTTCAAGTGTCTTTGAGCAAGTGACCTAAATATTGCTTCGTCGTGACCCTTCCAAGCTACCCACTCAGCTGAGTTGGGTGTGTTACACAGGTGTGTTACCTACTAACGTTGATAATGTTGACTTTCACGATACCGTGGTTGCAATGTTAAAGTCAAGGAATTCTTTCTAGGAGCAATGAATTCACTGGCAAGATACTCACAGCATGAGAGAAAGAGATTCAAACACGCTGAATCAAAAGCTGCCAATGCTCCCCATGAAACAGCACATACAGCAACACAACACAACATAAAACAATACATTCTACTACAAATTCTTCCCCTTCATCTCTTCATCTCCCCTCATCTTCTCAATTCTTCCCTTCCCACTCTCTCCAACCTACCCAAACCTCCCAGCTCCCTCTTCCACTCGAGATCCTCTCTCACGAGAAAAGCACCGCCGCAACAGCCGCCAAAGCGGGCACGCCCTGCACGAACAAAATCTTCTTGTTCGCAGTGGCTCCACCGTAGATACCAGCTACCAGCACACAGCTGGAGAAGAAGAGGCTGAGTTGCCTGCTCACTTCTGGGACGGGGTGGATGAGGCCCCAGAAGAGACCGGCGGCTAGGAAGCCGTTGTACTGTTTTGGGGTGTTAGCTGGGGTTTGGGTTTGGGTTTGGGTTTGGGATTGGGAGTTAGATTTAGATTGAGAAGTATAAGTACATGGGGGGGGAAATGGTAAGATGGGTGGGGTGTATTTTCATGAGACTTAGATATTAGATAGGTAGGTGCAGTCGGCAGGCTAAGGTAGGTAGGTATGTGTGCAAATGGGCACGTGAGAGTCAAAGAAAGCTAGGGTAGGTAAATCAATCAACATACCAGACCCTGATTGGCAGCCAACGTCTTCGTCTTCTCCGCAAACTCCTTCTTCATTCCGAAAGCTTTCATTCCACGCGGTGTAGTCCAGAGGAACATCTCTAGCACCATGATGTAGACATGTTCGGCTGCTAGGACGGAGACAGCGAGGTGGGAGAGGAGGGGCATGGTGGGGTGTTTTGGGTGTTGGGTTGAGGGGGTGGTTGATGGACGATTCTGGGAGTGAGAGCTTGAGTTGAGAAGTTACGGGGAGAGGATTGGAGACTAGAGAGGATTTTGAAGCGTTTAGAAGAGGTAGGTCGAGATAGAGCTGAAGGTTTGGATGCGACGTTTCGAGGGTTGAACTTTGGAGGTGCTGAGTCAGCGGGCTTGGTTCGGGAGATACACGTGATTGTGAAGACTATCAAGGGAGGGAGGGAGGCAATTCAGCTTGAAAAACCTAGGTAAGTAGTATTGGTGGCTTGTCCAGCCGGAAGTATGAGGCTTTTACTTATCATTGCGACGGAAAATTCGGTGGAGTATATAGATTCGACCATGGAAGTGGAGAAATGGCCTGGAAGTAAACAAATGCCAATCGATGCAACCGTGCCTAGACCTCGGCTATCTTTTCTCGCTTCCGGAACGGCATGTTGATATTGATCTTAATGGCGATGAATTGCGAAGAAGTGAGAAGAAATTGAACTTTCAGAGAGAAAACATTTTCTAGAGATGTGGAGGTTGTGCTATTAAGAACATTCGTTGGGTGATATACAAGTTCAAAGTGGTAGATTCTCACCACTGATTTCTTTTCCCAGGAACAGACGATTCACGTCAGTTTCACAGCTCAAGTTCATCTCACGGTCTTTATTTGATCAAGTGCAGAGTTCAAATGTAACGATACTGGAGACTCTGTCTGAGATTGACCATGTCTACTTGAGCAGATTTGGGATATAGTCTTAGCGAAGCGAATTGGAAAATAAACAGCGAAAGCTACCAGCGGTCCACTCAGGTTTTCAATATACTTCACATTTTCTTCGCTACTCGAACTAGAGATAAGCTTCATATTAAGCTTTTTGGGATCTGACATATATCGGAATCGCATCAAATCTCAGAGGCCCGGTGAAAAGTATACAATTTTACTCACCTTACTTGAGTCAAATCGTCTCCCAAAACGAAACGGGTAAAGAGAGAGCACTCTGGGATTTTGACACTCTACAGACTGAAGTCTAAACACGTTACTGGTGACACGACACTGTCACTGAGGGGCTGGTAAGCCTGCCGTCTCATTCAATAAGAGGGTTCAGACTTCAGCGGCTGGTTGTGCCATGATCCCTCCGCAAGACGCTTAACGATACCTTACACCTTTTTCAGATAGACAAGTAGTAGAGTCTATTGTGCCGCTTGTCTCCCTCTCATAGAAAATTCAAAACGGTAAAGAAGAAATAGAATTTTAGAGGTGAAACAAGCAAAGACGTGCTAACCAACAGATCCGACGATATTTCCAAAAGATATCCAGCCTTCCGTCTCAAACCATGTATTTTCCTATTCAGGACATTGCAAATGAAACACATAATTCTCTGTGGCGTTAATGCTATCTTCATACCCTTGTTTGTAGGACTTTACACGAAGTCAGAAACGTAGCAATGTAGAGTTTCACTGTCTCGGCAGCATGATACCTAGCCTTGCTGAAGATATCGGGGAGCGAGTGGTAGAGCCAGAGAGAGAGTATTGGCATATCGAGAGAGAAAAGAACGTAAGAGAGAGAGAGAGAGAGAGAGAGAGAGAGAGAGAGAGAGAGAGAGAGAGAGAGAGAGAGAGAAGGGAATTGTCTGGATATCACAGGTCACTAGTTCAACAGAAGCAGATATCGCGAATGAAGCAATGTCGAGGGACTGGAATATACCGTAATCCCTAGGTAAAGAGCAGAAGAGAACTGCACTAACAGCACTGTACGAGGTCTGCAAATCCTCTAATTGGGGTATGACTTTCTGAGAGTAGACTTGCATGCATACTCCTCTTTCTTCCCCGCACTGGCGAGATACCAAGTAGTGTTTGTAGTCGCATTTTCCTCATTTGTAGAGAGAAAATATACTCGAAACCCTGGTGTTGTTGATGGAAAGTATAAAGTTTACTACTGTCGTTTTGTAGCAAGCTTCCCGCTCTGCTATAATAGACAGCGATATAGGCATACCTGGGGAAAGGTTGGACCTCTAAATGGATGGATGGATGGATGGATGGATGGATGGAGGGATGGAGGGATGGAGGGATGGAGAATATCTCGTAGATATAGACTGTTTGATCGTCTTTAAAGTTCCGACGGAAGTTTTGGATGGTTGTAGATGCAGATGCAGATCTAGATGTGATGGATGGGCGAGATGTAGAACTTGGATTCCCTACTTGGATGTACTTGCGTTCTTTCCTTCCTTAAGTAAGCTTATTTCGTTCTTCCTTGCGAGGCTGTGACCATACCACGGCACAGTACAGTGCATCCTGACCTTCCGCAAAGTTTACTTACCTAGGTAGGTAGACAGACAGCGTCGCATCCATTCCTGGACTCCTCTTACCCACTGCAAGTCCTACTACTTCCGTACATAGTCCGTAGCCAGCCCCGACATGTCATCCACCATCCACGATCCCCCCAACCCACAAGCTCAACCACAACGGATCTATCTCCGTAACGCCCCCATCCCCTAAAAATAAAATAACAAAAAGTAAACAATCACAGATCGACCTTCCTTCCCCCGCATCACATCACGACGATCCTACCTCAACCCCTCATCCGAAGTCAAACCAAACGCGAAGATACTACCTACCTACTTAACCCCCGGAGCGCAGCCCAGCCCAGCGCTCTGGTGCAGTGGTGGTGGTGGGACTAAAAGTACGATCATACAGTACAGTCCCTGAACCCCGCTCCGGATCCGAATGGAACGAAAAGTCCTGTCCTGGGGGAAGAACGCGAAAATACTACCTTACCTTGCGCTGGCGCACTGGCTTGCTATTCCGTTCCTAGTGTACGGAGGGTAGCACATCCACATCCCACCTAATTCATCTGTTCAAGTGTACTACTGCGTACAGACCATGCCTACATCCGCTCCGTTCCCTCGGCAGGGCGTAGCATGTTCGGAGCGCGAGGATGGGGGATGGGGGATGGGGATGGATTGGTGGGACGCGTCGTGGTCGCGATCAGTACCTAGGTAATTATCTCACCAAGAAGGGAAGCAAGGAAGGAAGGAAGGAAGGAAGGAAGGAAGGAAGGAAGGAAGGAAGGAAGGAAGGAAGGAAGGAAGGAAAAGCTTCCCGAAATCCACCCATCTAGACTGTCCGAATATTCGGGATAGCGATTTGTGAAATTATTCATATTTTACCTGTCTTTATGAATGAGATGAGATGAGATGAGATAAGATAGGACCAGATGTGGATAAAGAAGAGATACGCGTGTGCCACGAGGATAAGGATATGGATGAGATGAAGGACGGGAGGAGATGAGCGAGCGAGACAGACGAACGAGCGAGACAGACGAGACGAGACGACTCAGACGAGACGGGAGAAGTGGAAGGACGGACAGGGATGCGCGTTTCTGGAAGTACGAAGGGGAGGCCGGGGGGGAGGGAACCGGGGAACCGGGGAGCTGGTTTTTGGTGGGGTGTTTTGGCGTGGTGTCGTGGTGTGGTGAGGTTTGCGAGGCTGGGTAAGGTAAGGTAAGCTAAGATGAATGAACTTTACTCTAAGTAGGTACTGTAGTAAATTACTGTTGCGCAGGGGAGGGAGGCTTATCTAAGATAGAGAGAGGGGGGAGGGTGGGGGGGTAAGGAAGTTTGGTGAGGATTGTGGGAATGGGGTTGGTGAGGAGGAGAGGGGAGGAGGAATGGTGGAATGGTGGAGGTTTTAGATGGGATTGATGGGATTGATAGGTTGAAGAAGGCGATTCCATCATGGTGTGGTGGGATGAGGATGGAAATACAGTAATGGAGATGGGAATGGAGATGGGGATGGGGATGGGAATGAGCTAAGAGGTTAGGGTTTAAGCTTCAACCAAAGCTCTGATTTTTTTTTGGCTTTTGGATTAGATTCTTCGATTGGTATTGTTATTGTCAATTATGTATAAAAGCGATAAGGTAAGAAGCTAAGGTAAGGAACGCAGGAATGAGTAATCCGTGAGAGGGTGAGAAAAGTAGGTAGGTAAATTGTTTCGCATGTGAGATTTGGATATTTGCAGCTGGTGAGAAAGAACGGGGAAGTATTATTGGCAGGAGAGATGGATGGGTGGATGGATGGATGGAAATTACATGTGTTTCTCACGCACGGTTTATTGTGGGTTTGGTGTTCCATTGTGACGGGCGTGACGGGAGAGGAGAAGAGTGAGAAGAGAGGTGGAGATGTACTGTAAGAGATAGATTATGGTAAAATTTAATATGGTATCGGACGTTCTGATGTCATTCATGGAGTGTTCGGGAGTTATTCTTAGGAGAATACGCATCGATCGATTCGCAGGGGGAAAAAAAAAGAGGAGATGAAAAAAAAAAACAAAAAAAAAACAGAGGTTTTGCGTATAGGGAATCTAGATCTAAGTGATGTTGTTCTCTTCTCTTCTCTTCATCTCTTTCAGTGTCTGAGATTTGATGTCATAGGGACGAGACTACTTGAATTTACTTACCTACCTACAGTAGAGGTGTGCACTTTCAAACCAGCCAGCCAGCCTGGACCAGACCAGCCTTACATAAGCCTTCGTAAGTTCCAATCCTCGACTCATCTCAACTGCTCCGGCACAGGCAGACAGGAACGTAGGTAAACTCAACTCTGGCATTGGCATTGGCATTGACCCTGCCGCCCGCCCCCCAATGTATAGGTACCAAGTATATGTTCGGCCTCCACGGCAGTGGCCCCCGGAGGGCCAGCGGAGCGTCACCACTCACCACACCATACCTTAACATCCTGACTGACCATATCCATATACTTGATACTTATTATTAATGACGCTCCGCTGGCCCTCCGGGGGCCACTGCCGTGGAGGCTGTGGGGGCTGTCATTGTTTGGCACGTAAACTCAATTCAAGATTACCTCAAAATCCAGACACTACACACATACTAGTACTGTACACATCGATGACCTAAACATCGAAACAACATCAGGAAGACGCGTCTCTACGCGTCCCTTTGTTTTCCTTTTTCCTCGAACGAGTATCATTTTTTTCTTTTTGTGCTTGTGCATCTGCATCTGCAGCTGCATGGTATGTGCGTGCGTGCGTGCGTGCGTGCGTGGTGGCATCGTGGCTTTAGTGCATCATGCTAACTTACCTCCTACCTTAGCCAGCTAGCCTAAGGTACCCACCCACCCACCTGGATTATCATCCATCAGCTTTTGATTCTGGAATACTACAGTACTACAGTACTACATACAGTACGGAGGTGTTTTTATCTTGGGTGCCCACTACTGGACACTGTGCAGGTGTGTGGCTTGTATTGTAAATTAGCTTGTCAGAGGTGCAGTGCAGTAGTAGTATGCGTATTGGATGTGGATGCAGGGTGAGGATGAGGATGAAGCTGGTGGTTAGCGCTTCATGAGTGATGAGTTGATGAGTTGATGAGTTGATGAGTTGATGAGTTGGCCGTTTTTTGTTTTGGATGGAGGGGAGGGGAGGGGAGGGGATGAGATGATGAGGTGGGGTGGAGTTAATTAATTAAATTTGCTCCGATTTGTGTGTTTTGTAGAAAAGACCTCCAAAAAATTCTTCTTCTTCTCCTTCTTCTCCTTCTTCTTCTTCTTCTTCTTGTTTCCTCTCTGACTGAGTAAAATTCGCAGTGGGGAATTCTTCCGATAAAGATGCAGATGGTGAGGTGAGGTGAAAAGAGGGGTGGAGTTAAGAAGGATTCCATTCCCATGGATTGGGGTTTGTGATTGATTCACTGGATATAGGTAGGGAGGTACCTAGTGTTGTTTCCGTTTTGTCTGGTGAGGAAGTTTATAGGTCGTGTCTCAATAATAGCATGTTTCTCGTCGGTTGTTAGGGCTGTTAGCTAGATTGACGGTTCGCTCCCATTACTAGGTAAATTAGGAGGAAACCTTGGTCATAATAGTGCAGACGATAGATAGATAAGTAAAACTATGTAAATTTGCAGTAAATTAGTTGACGCAAACGGTGTTGCATGCTGCATAGCATGGATTGCATAGCATGGCATGGGCAGGGCATTAGTAAATCATAAGTTTATCTGCTAAGGTGGAGGTACATTAGTTACCTACGGAAGTAGGTAGCTGAAGTTAGATATGTATCCGCTCGAGGAAAGTAAACTAAAGTAAAGTACCTGGCTATCGCTTTTATCAGATGAACGGTATGTAAGATCGGTAAATAGATCAGGTAGCATTATCGATTAGTTCGGTCGTCCAGTTTGCCGATCTTACCTACCTACCTACCGACCTAGCCAACGTCGGGTTGTGAAATAAATAGCAGAGCATATGCATCTCGAGCCGCGACTCGGACTCGGGATTCCCGAATAATCAATCAAACTCGGGAGCGGACCAGCAGGGAGGGAGGCCAAATTGTGTGTGGATGGATAGATGGAAATCAATTGCCGGCAGCGAAGGAGACGGAAGTGGAGGAGGTGGAGAAGGAAATAACCCACCCAAATAAATGTTTGCGGCGAGCTTGAGACATCTTGTGAACCGTGATGTGATGTGTCAAAGAACGCCCCAGTGTTTATATTGAATAATGATGACGTTTGGGTTTTTTTTTTCTTTGACTGATTATTGATGGAGCAGGCCAATTTCACAGTGATGAGACCCCAGGCATGCCATGTTGGGCAAGCAAGCAAGCAAGCAAGCTAGGTTTTTGACTTTTTTTCCCCTCTTGATGGGGGAGACGGGCTGTGATGTGATGTGATGGGATGGGATGGGATGGGATGGGATGGGCAAACGAGGCTGAACCTCGAACCTCGAACCTCGAACCCTCTAACCACGGTTCATCCTTCCATTTTATGTACCTACTCGTACTGTAAAATTGCCACGCGGTCGGTCGGTCGGTCGGTGGGGTGGTGTACAGTCCCTACCTACCTAGTCTCCATGTTTGCAATTTTGCAACGAACTTCTGGGGAGTTAGTCGAAACAGCTATTGAGATTTGGATGGATTGAAGGAAGTTGAGCCTGCGTTTGACGATATCTTTAGTTTGAGTCTTGGATCTGAAATGGCCTACCGGTCCTGCTGGTCCTTCCGCTTGTAAGTTATCCCGATTCTTCCGATTTTCCGATCGTGTTCTTTCTCTCGTTTTTATGTTTGTTTGTAGTGTGCCAGTCAGCACATAGTAAGGTTTGCACGTCTTGCGAGGGATTTCCATGATAAAAGAGCGAGGCCAAACTTCGATTTCCGATTTTCCGATTCGCATCCCCCTGATGTGAAGTGGAGTGGAGTGGAGTTCGTGATTTTCAACTGGCCTCCTCTGAGAAGAGGAGAACGGGAATAATGAGAAACTCTGAACAGTGGGGAGTCCATCCCAGGACGCGGAGGGGGGAGGGCATGGCCTCATTTTAAGTCTGCGCTACCTCTTACGGAGGTAAAGAAGCTGGACTGAATACGGATAAGTGTCAGGTACGGAGACGATGTGACTGGTTCGCGGCAGCTGGCCGGTTCCGCGGGTGTGGATGGGGAGGGGGGGAAGGGAGGCTAAAGGGTGTATCCTTGTTGCGGAATGGGATGTGGATGTGGGTGGGGTGGCTTGCAGGGGTGGGATATGGGATGAGGACGGGATAGGGGAGGGCAGCTATTCCATTTTGAGAGCCACGTGACAAATGGCCGAAAGGAGGGATTTCCGATTTGTGTGTGAAGGAAGATATTTGGTAGGTGGGTGGATAGCTCTTCTTCTGAAACGAACAGTAGGTTAGGGTCGAGTTATCGTTGGCTTCTGGTGCAGTGCAGTAATTTTCTTTTCAGCAGCGCTGAAGCACAGCGTAGTGGAGCAGCTGAAAATCGTAACAGTGGCAAACCTGTTTTCTGGAACGGGAAAGACAATCAGAGGCTCTATCGAGATTCTGAAACGTTTGGATGGTTCCCGTGGGGTGCGATGGGGCCTGGTATTGGATCGGGGAAGCCTTTGCTGAAGATGTGCTTGGACTTCGTTCTGTGCCTGTGGCAGCTTTTTCACGAAACAAAAAAAAGCAAGTTCTGTACAGTACTATTTTGCGACCCTATCGCTTGGGGAGAATATATCACCTCAGACTGGATTGGGTAGGTTTGAACCCCACAGTTTTGTTACCTTTTGGACTGGACTAAGATGCGATGCGATAACTGAGAGTTCGACGTTGCAGTTTGTTTGGAACCTTGAGAGCCGAGGACCGAGACATCATCGCGTTGTGATAGACTTGGCTGGTTGGATGAGGAGAGTTGACTTTGCCAAGCGGGGAGCTGTCAGAAACGAGGGAAACAAGACAAACGAGCGTGGAGAAAAACAAACATTTTGATGTCTGATGTGATGTATGATGCATCTGTGCAGCGTTTTTGATATCGTTTCTACTACTGCACTGCTGCAGAGTGGATAGAAACGTTTGATTGTATCGAGGGTTGAAGATTGATAGTGTGTGCGCGTGGCGTTTGCCGCTGGGCTCTAATCCAACGATGGTGCAGCATGCCAGTGCCAGTATCGTCACAATCCTTCAGGGGCACACAGTGTAAAAACTCTGGTAATTTAGGAGCGCGCTTGGGGATAGACAAGGGGTTAGGGGTACCTGTCAGAACTGAATCTTGACAACGAGAACAAGACATACTTCAATATACTTTTGATCAGGGCTTCAGGAGGCGGGGTAGGATAACTCGGCGACACAAAAAGGAACTCAATTTGGGATTTCAAAGTGACTGTTTGAAGGAGTTGAGATATCTGAAGTCGTACCGAAGTATGGACGGACTTGCTTCGAGGTTCAGCAGTGTTTGACGAACAGAGCTGGATAGAAGGACAGAGACACGCAGGTACGGTACGGTACGGTACGGTACAGGTACAAGGGAACACAGCTGTGCGCTGCAATTACGCACGCCTGAACGTAATCTTGCCGTGTAAGTTACCGGTTCTGTTGTGTATTTTGTACCTGCCGAATTCAGGTGCTCGACACTTTGCGTCGCTTTGCTTCTCCTTGCGCAGAGGGATTACTGTGCCCAGTGCTGAGTGCTCAGATGATGAGAAGGTGCTCACATATTAGATATGGTTTCTCCGAGAAAGCTACTTTGGGAAGTGAAGTGTACTGGTACTGGTTGGAGTGCCTAGTCGTAGTGTTCCCCTGGTGTTTTCGTCTTGCCTTGCTTCGTTACGTAGCCTCCAGAGTTGACCCGATAGTCGGTAAATTACCTCTGTACCTCTGTCCGCAGAATCAAATGTCACTTTCAGCGCTTCCCGATAAGCCTTTTGCAGCTTCTCAGGGCTCAAGTCCACTGGATTCCAGCGTAGCATCCCCTAAGAAGCACCCTACAGTAACATTCCGCGCGCCTTTTCCCGTGTCAGCCTACCTATCGGTCCCAATTCCAGGGGCGGGCGGCAGTCACCACACCATCCCTCAGCGCCAAATAATATTGCCCATCGGGTTAAGGCCAGGAACCAGCGACCGGTGGCTTTTGGCTCTTGGCTCTTGGCTCTTGGCTCTGCATAAGCACCGTCACCGTCGTTGTCGTTACCCCTGAATGCAGCCGGAAGGACCAGACGATCCAGAGATCACGACCAGGGGGGGAGGGGAGGGCTTGAGGGCTTGAGGGCTTGAGGGCTTCCAGGGCCAGACCGGATCCTTGATCTCGCTTGACCTCCACCACTTTTTCGCCCATTCCCTGACCCTGAGCCATGCCCACCCCATGCCCACCCCATGCCCACCCCGTGCCCGTTGGGCTCCCGTCCAATCCCGTCTCTTCTATCCTCCCTTTCCCTGCTCCAACAGCCTCCAAGCCGTACGCTTCTGCTTCTGCTTCTGCTTTTGCTTCCTTCGTGCATTGCATTGCATTGCATCGCATTGTTCACCTTCGTTTTTCTCCTGCCGGCCTGCTCCTGCTCCTGCTCCTGCAACGCACATCCTCGTTCACCCACACCTCTTCCACCACTCTCCACGCCATCCCGCAGAGCAAAGACGAGCAGAGGAAACATCTATCTCGCGTCGAAACACCAGAATCGCCGAGTCCTGTGCTTTTGTGCGAAGACCAGGAACGAGAGCCACCCTCCGAACATATACTCCTCGAACCGCTCCAGCATTCACTTCCAGCACTCCGTCACCCATTAATGCATTGTCACGCGAATCTCCGAACCAGCACAGCAATCTGCACTCAGCTTCTGCACTGATCCGCCCAGGGTAGCGTCGAACGCGCCGCATTCCTCACTCCTGTTGTAATTACATCCAGCTTCAACAACGACGCGCGAGGAATCCTCGACATATTGCAGCTACCCACCATACAATTGCCTCTGACGTCTGCAGAGAAGGGAGAATCCCGGCTGGAGCTCAAATAAACCTTCTGCACCTCAATCAATATATGTGCCTAGCCATCGATTCGACACCCCATCCTCCGAGAGCCCAAGGATACCGAAACAAGCCCGTGACAGTCGGTCCCAACTCTGAAGCACAACACCCGTTTACCCCTGCGCGAACACTCCCATTCAGCCATTGCATTTCGACCGTTCATTATCGATTGCCTCTTCCGCTATCTATTTCGAAACGATCGTCCTGATAGTACGTGCTGTTATTCAGACGGGGATTAGGGACAAACCCTATCTCTATCCCGTGTCTAATCCCATAGAACCCGCTCATTCGTCTTATATTTATATCTTCAGGGCTGATGCTTGTACCCCGGAATAGGTTCTTCTCCACTCCTCACGCTTTGGACTAGTCATCCCTTCATTTTGATTCGAATTTGCTTCACGAAGAAATCCCCCTCTCGATCGTCTACAAGCTGGAGAGGTTCATATCCAGTTCGTGAGCGTGCTCACCCACAACACTCGTTGTCAGTCCTCCTCATTCGAAGCTGCTGCAGTGCACCGCCGGATCTCAGGGGCTAATTCTTTCCAGACGGCGGTAATACGTACAATTAATCACCATGAATCGATTCCGCACAAAGAAGAAGGTCAAGGACGCCCCAGATGGAGTGGTCAGGGCATCAACAGATTCAGAGGCACCGTCAGTGCCAGCAATCAAGTCGTCGAAAACATTTAGATTAGGGAAGAAGACCCCGGAACCAGAGCCGAAGCCAGAAATCGATCTTTCGACAGCGTTACCGTCTTCGGACGACTTTCGAACGAGTTTACTGATGAGCGGACTTTCTGCTCGATTTTCTATGCTTCGAGAACAGGACGATCCGAAATCGAAGATTGGAAAAGCAAGTGACGACAGCGTTCTGTTTCCCAAACGACAATCGAGGTTAAATGACTTTGGATTCATGGCACAAGGACTCTCGGATATTGCGGAGGTTTCGTCAATTAATGGATCGATACGACCTCCGTTCGCGTTTGGCCGGTCCGACTCTTTTGCAGGCTCAGAAGGCTACGGGACCGACGATGATTCCACGCACGGTAGCATAATGAATCGAGCGAAGCCAGGGGAAGGGAACAACTTATTCGGTGGCCGACAGAAGATAATGATGGGAAATAGAGCTTTATATGACAACGATGTCAGTCAATCGGCTTTCCAGAAGATCCGGGAACGGGAGAGAGAGCAGAAGGAACAGGAACGTCAACGAGAGGAAGAAGCTCAATCTTCACGGCCGAGTTCACCACCACTTTCAGGGTATAACCGAAACAGGGAAACATCTTCAACAACCTCTTCTGGCGGCCCTTCAATAACCCGGAGCTCAACAGCTGCAACGTCCGTCACATCCCAAAGGACGCCATCTCTGAATGGAGGTCACACTCCAATCACACCAAACATCCCAGGTGCCAATGCACCTTTGGAGAGATCAGGGACGAAGAATCGAAGATTGTACGAAACTGGACTTGACAATCATCTCCATGAGCAACAGTTCTCTGCAATGAGTAGGATTGACACTCTTACTAGGCAGCGGACTCTCGGAGCGAACACACCACCACCGGGAGTGTCTCCTACATATGGAGTAGCGCCTGGTGACAGATGGGATCGGCCGATTCTTGGGAAGCAGAGCATGCCAAATTTACGAGCAGCAAGCCCTCCACCTACCGGTGCTGCAATGGGCACTTTCGACTTTACTGTCCGTAAGAACAGCAATGCTGGAGCTAAGCCCTTCGGCATGGCTTCTCCTCCTCTGAGCCCACCAATGAGCGAGTACGACGAGCAAGGAATATTACCAGTACAGCCGAATGACCGAGGGAAGGCTACGGCTTTGGGTGCTTTTTCGAAACCAGCTCCATATGATGAGAATAAGTACTCTCAGAGACAGCTTCAGATGCAGCAAGAGCGGGAAACACAGCCCCAGAGGAAGCCTTCACCACCACGAGCTTTTGTTCCGCAAAATCAGCAGCAGCAACAGAGCTCATCTCGGTCTCGTACTGAATCCAATGCTACCTACGCTTCGGAAAGGTCGAGGTCAAACTCGTCAGCACAAAGAGCATTCCTTCCCCATGATCGAATCCCAGAGGCACCAATGAGCAACATTACGGTTCCAGAAACCCAAGCGATGTCTTCGGGTACCTTCCTCGCATCTCCAGACAGTACATCCTCCCCGGCATCACCTAATGATGTGGCACCAGAACAGAGCAAGTTCAAGAACCACCCAAAGCCACTCGACCTGTCTCATCTGTACCGTCCAGAACAGCGAGTGCAGCTTGATCGGCCAGACGAATCACAACACCCAGCACATCGCTTACAACCAGAGTCGAGCCCGTCACTTACCAGCCCAGACGTCTCAAATTTGCCCTTACAGCCGACCTCTGCCATATCAACGCAACCCCCAGCCGACTCACCTACACTCGGACCCGGATTGGGTAGCATCCGTCAGCATTTGAGATCTGACAGCAATTCTTCGTCGATCTATGGAGGTGTTCCATCTGCCCACTTCACTTCTCGATTCCCTGTTGACTCTCACGAGTCAATGCCGCAGAACGAGTATACCTCAAAGAATACTCCTTGGGACAATGACTGGGATCATGAGAGTAATTACGCGGAGGACAGTTCCGCTAACCTTATGAATGGTGGTCGCTCTCAACCACCAGCACTTTCTATTCGTTCACCGAATATTGAAACAGCGCCAAAAGAACCACAGAGTGCGTCATGGGAAAGAGAAATGGAGAGCCGGCACATTCGAGAAGGCAGTACAGAAACTCAGAAAGAGCAGCAAGCATTCCAGGAGGAGCTTGCTACTCGACGACGGAGAGTTCAGGAGAAGATGAAGAGCATGGTTGAGAGCGACAGCAGGTCAACTAGTCCACTCCCACCTCATCCAGCTGATTGGCCAAAGGACGCTCACCAGGTGAAGAACAATGCACTGGGGCTACTGAAGACCAAGACTAGTAGAGGCTCTTTGGTAGGGAGGCCGAAGGAAACCCCACCATCCAAAGCCATGAAGATGCTAGGCATCGGAAATGCAACTATCACGAGTGGGACACCATCACCAGGAAAGTCAAGGTTCGACGACAGTCCTTGGAATCAAGAGGAAGAGGAGAGGGAACCAGTTCGTGCACCAGGCGCTACACCTCCCCAGACTAGAGCTTTCCGAGAAGCGCGTCGAGCAGCCCAACGAGACCGAGAACGTGAACTTGCGAGCAGACATCAGCAAAGGTTCGGTCCTGAGAGCGACCAGGAGAGGCCAGTACAACGGAGAGAGAGAGAAAGACCTAGGATGGGTAATCAGCGAATGGATAACTCCTGGGTGGACAACTCTCGCGGCAATTCCCGTATGGACAACTATCGGATGGATCAGCCCAGGGACCACCGGATGGATAATCGAATGGATCGGATGAACAATCGGATGGATAACCGAATGGATAATCGAATGGATCGAATGGACAATAGAATTGAGAGCCCAAGGAGAGATAACTTTTACCGTAATCAAGAACAGAATGAGAGAATCCCACCTCATATGAGGCCTCGACATCGGACTCCGAGCAGAGAAAGGAAACCACCGCCAGTTACTTATACTCATCGAAATGGTAGCAGTAGCCAGGAGAGCAAGGATAGCAATGGAACCAGCCAGTCTGAGTCCAGGCCGCCATCCAATGCCTCTCGGGACAGATCAGGATCTGAAACCTCTGGTGGCCGATCCAAGAGTCGTACTGGCACGTACAGAGATGACCTGGCAAAGGCCATGGCTGAAGGCACGTCCAGCACTAGTCAAGTTCACGAGGAGCGCCCGGCTCGCCTAATGCCACGATCTCCTGTTCCACCTGGAATGGGTCTACCAGCATCACCATCTCCAATTCCCTCGCCAATGATGCCTCCAAATCGCTCTCGAAGTAATAGCAAGACAATGCCAGCAGGTTACTTTGAAAAATTACCAAGTCTTCAGACTGGCAATGAGGGTGTTGAAATTGGTTCAGCACCAAGACCTTCTCCAACAGCTCCCTTTGTTGTTAACCCAACTCCCGCATTAGTGCAGCCCTCACCTGCTGGCTCTGGAGCAACCACGCCCATCGGCCAAGGAGCACCGATAGGAGGAATTCCTACTATGCGAAAGAAGTCAATCAACAAGTCCGACATTTCAGAGCCAAAGCTGATCTCATCCACCTCAAGAATCACCACTGTCAACCTACCTCCGGGATCATCTCTTGCCAATGGTAGCGAGATCAACGCACCACCGATTCCTCCTGTTAACCCCAAACGTCGCCAAACCCGTACAATGTTCGGCGGGTTCATGGGCCGAAGAGATGACGATGAGATCCATTCGATGCCAGCCGCCACACAATCAACCGAAGAAATGTCCACCTTTTCCGCAGACGAAGGCGATTCCAAACCCAAGATCCGACATAAGCTCCGCAAGAGCTCCAGCGAAGGTGGTAACCTCAACGCTCGAGCCCGACAGGCTGCCAATGCAGCACCCAGCCCGGCAATGCCCGGCACATTCCCACCAGGCTCAGGCAGCCCTCCTCGCCGCCCCATAGAGGGCGGTATGTTCTAATCAGATTTTGGTCTCTGTCACTGGTTGTGTTATCGGGATGGAAAAGGCACACAAAAGATGTTTACATGACGCATATACCCTTTGCCATCTATGGTGTTTTTTCTTTTCTTTCTTCTCTCTCCTCTGCATACATGAAATGCATGGATTGTATTTTATGTACTGTATTGTACTGTACTGCTACATGTTTTACCTCCCGCAAAAAACAAAAAACGGGGTTCAATGAAAGATAATGTTTACATGACGTCCTGCTGCTCGCCTCTTTTTTTTTCTTTCTTCTGACGACATGTGCTTTATTTTGATTTTTGATTTTTTTTTGTTCGCTTCGCTTCTTTCGTTTCGTTTCTTTTAATTGGCTTGATTGGCTGATCTGCTGATCTGCTGATCTGCAATTTCTTTCTCTTTGGGAGAGAGTTAATGGAATGGAATGGAATGGGAATGCAGATTTTGTATTGTACAGACAGACAGACAGACAGACTGTTGCCTCAAGGCAAGGCGACGGAACGTGACGTGACGTGAACGCCAACTTTATATATATAAAAGAACGGAAAAAGGAAGGGATATTAATCTGGCGTTTAATGGTTTCTGGTTTCTGGTTTCTGTGTGTGCGTGTGTGCGTGTGTGTGTGTGTGTGTGTGTGCGCACGCTCTTCCCTTCTTTTTTTTTCTTTATTCTTTTCTTTTGTAAAAGGGGGGGAAGGGGATATTTCAAAACAATGTGATTTGATGGATGGATGTATGGACTGATGGATGGATGGATGGCATGTGTTTATGTCTCTCCTATTTTTTTTTTCTTTTTTCTTTTTCTCTGAATCTCTGAATCTCTCTGAGGATCTGATGGTATGGTGTGGTATGGGATGGTGTGGGATGGGATGGGATTGTGGTTCGTTTTTCTTCTTTTCGACTTCTTTTCTTCGACTTCTTTTTTTCTTCGAGTTCTTTCTTGGGGGTTGAGGATTTTTTTTTTTTTTTTTTTTTTATGTTGATGTTGATGTTGATGATGAGATTGATGTTGAAATTGGGATTGATATGGGGTTTACTGGTTTTGAAAGGGATGGGAAAAGAAGGGATAACTGGTATGTGCTGCCTGGGCGGGCTCAGCTGGCCTGTGCTTGTGCTTGTGCTTGTGGCGGCGCTGCATTTTTGGGAGGGTGGGATATCTGATTTCAGCGTGTGAGTAAGAGAGTGAGAGAGTGTGTGGGTTGGGGGGAGGGGGGGGGGGGGGGGATGGGATTGGGAGGGAAGGTGGAGAGGGAAGAGGTACAGCTAGCTCGTGATTTTGTATGGGTGGTGAATCATTTGAGCATAAGCTTGAGCATATGCATGTGTTGGTGTGCATGGGACATACTATACTGTACTGTAGCTACCACAGGGGAGGGAGAGGGAGTAATATGAATGATTGAATGATTGATTGATTGATTGATTGATACCTACAAAATTGGCCTACCTGCCTGCTTGCCTACCCATGTGCCTCGGGTTGATTGAGTGTGATGGTAATTGTGCTCTAGCCTGTGCTCTTGAAGTGTGCTCTTGTAAGCTAGAGAGAACTAACTACGCTGTGGTAAGTAAATGTACAGGTTAAGGTAAAGATAAAGGTAAAAGGTAAAACGGTAAAGAAAGGTAAGCACAAATGGCTCAGGACGTAGGTAGGTAGGTAGCTTGATTTGTTTGTTTGTTTGGTGCTGAGGTAGGGTAGGTAAGTAGGTAGCTAGGTAGGTAGGTAGGTAGGGTGATATTAAAGGGGTGGGATGTGCGATTTATAGGCTTGACTGGATTGGGAAGGGGAACGGTAAAGAAGGGGGTATAAATAAATTCTATTGGTAGAAACTGTTGGTGCCTTTCCCTGTTTTTTTTGGTTGTTTTCTTAATTGCTTGCTTGCTTGCTTGCTTGCTTACTTTATTGCCTACCTGCTAAGACTGGAGTCTGCGATTTCTGTCGAGTCAAAGTCTGGGCTGGGCTGCATGGAGGACACATTGAAAAAAAGTCTGGCAGGCAGGCAGGAAGGCTGGGAATTGAATCCGAGTCTGAGTCTGAGTCTGAGTCTGAGTTTGCGGACTACGGAGGATAGATTCTTAAAAAGAAGACTTGAAAAGCAAAGTAGTAATAAAACGTAGAAGACTTTTTAGTTGACTATTCTTATTATTAACTAAATTCATTCTTGAATTTAGGTTACTGTAGGGTTCAGGTAAGTAGATAGGCGCTAAGGGACATGTCGGAATTTTTATGTCGGAATTTTTAGGTTTTATCAAAGTTAAGTAAGTATTTTACTTACAATTTCACATTGCGTAATGTAATGCGTAAGTAAGTCTTACTTACAAATTGTGGGGGGGGGGCGCGGCGCGGGGGTTGGATATGGTTATTTTTTGATTTGTATTTGTATTTGGGTCTGTTTGTGTTTTACCTACTCTGGTTGTGGTTGGTGTTGGTGTTGGTTTGGTTTGGTTTGGTTGGGTTGGGTTGGGTAAGTTAGCTTGCTTGCACTTCCGCTTCTATGGGGCGATGGATAATTCTGATGTAGTTACTTGTAGGTGCTCGGGTTTGGTGCGGGGATTTGATGCGGGAATTCAAGAGAGTAAGTAATTGATTCCTTATGTAGTAGGTAGTAGGTTGTAGGTTATAGGAAGTATATCTCTAGTTTTATCTTCTTTTTCTTCTTCTTCTTCTATTTATCTCTATTTAAGTTATCTGTCCGCCTACTAATATATCTTCGCGAGAAAGATAAACTTATCAATCTCTTAAGTAATAAGATATAAAAATGAGGTAATGTGAGATAATCTAGGTGAGGCTTGCCTGCGTACGTTCTTCATTTTGAAGGGTATTAATCGCGTTTAAGTGACTAGAAGAAGTTTGCGATTATTGAGCTAGATGATTTACTAAAACCTCTGTCTGTTCATTACTTGGCTAGCAGTGGTCTGGTTTATACATACTTAGGTGTTTCTCAGATGAGGGGGTGAGGTGGAAAATGGATGGGATAGAGAATAAATGGGACTACAAGGGATGACACTGAGGGGAAGCTGTCCAGAAAGGTTGAGATTTAGTGAGTGAGAAATGTATGTATTAGAAAAGAGAGGGGAGGAGAGGAGAAGAATTATCCGTAGATCGTGGGATGGAGAGATCAAGTGGAGGAAGGGACTATGGGGCGTTGGGTTTGAGGTGACTAAGTGTGTATGTGTATTTGAGTAATCTTCCCCGGTATCCTGCCTCGTTACTTGCCCACAAATGGAATGCGTGTTTTGAACGTAAGAATGAATCGACGTAAAGATGATGCTCAACTCAGTGTAAAACATTATATCCCACTCATCTCCAGTCAACTTCTCTGACATAGTGTCTGGTTGGTGTGATATCTCTTTCATTTATGTAACTCAACTGAATCAAATTTGAAGGTCCTCAAATTTTGACCGTGAATTTGTATAAATTTGTAAGTTTTTCATAATACTACTGCTAGCATCTTTCATGATTCAAGAATGAATTCACCTGGACGGTATTTCTTCACATCTGTTCTGAGTCTTGGGGGGGACTTCCTTCGGCAAGGCAAGACGGGAAGATGATGCCTAATTGACTGGAATATCATATTTGCTAAAGAACTTCTTTCATCATTAGAAATGGTCTGCAAATATGTTTTTCATGTCAATGTCAAGGAGAAAGGAGAGGCAGAGAAAGGGCTTGATTAGCATGTGGAATGTAATTATGAAAGCAAGAACAGTTTATGAATCAAAACAACCGAACGGAGTGTGCCTATTTCCTGCACTCATTGCAATTCTTTATCTATTATTGAGAGAATGAAAGAGATTCATGTTCAAGAGACAGACAAATTGCCAGAAAAGTGTGTTCCCCTTCACCTACCTCTCTTGTCTCTCTTTGTGGGAACTTCCCGCGGTAAATTAGAGAAGAAACTCATAGCCAAGCTCAAATGCCTCGGTTGACTTTGATGAGTAAATGATTTTGTTTTTCACATTCTCAATCTTTTCCACGAGGTAGCAAAGGTCATCTATCAGCATGAGATAAGATAGATTGGGGTTTGGGGGGATAGTTATTTTATTAATTCAGTGGATCACTGGTGGAGCCTTCGCTTCTTGACGTGACGACTTATATTCCCTGTATCGCATTTCTAAAACCTTAACTCTCCACACGATTTTGCAGTTGCCGATTTGAGGACATGCTCAGTAGCGCCACATGAAATGCACATTTCGAAAGTAACGACATAAGGCCATGGACCAAGAGGACTCTTCACTTGCAACTATCTTTGCGAGTATTGAAGCTAACATCTAACCTTTTCTTTTCTATGAGTGATTCGGGTTCCCAATTGAGAAACACACCAACCCCTACTGTGGTGACCACTGAATATACCTAAGCCGCCTCACAATCGACAGGTTGGATTTCACAGGTACGAATTTTCTGCCCGGCATGTTCCCTACGAAGAGCACAACATTGCTCTCGGAAGACTTACTTCGTTATTCAATCAACAGACTGCGGGGGATAATCCAACCCGAGAATAATTAATGAGCCCTTGGCCAAGCAAAACTGGTTCTTTTCATCTGGTTATGAATAGATAGGTTTGACTTCCAGTCAAAAAACATTAAGCGTCACCAGTCCATGCCCATCCGTAATTTTGCAGTACTCCACAGAAATTCTGCGTGACAATTGCCTTCGCGTGGCACTTACTCTCTCACCTCACCGACAGTATGCCAGTGCCCACAACCTTACTCAGGGGACCGACACTCAGCATGTGTAGCAATACCCTCCTACCCTCCATATGTACCTCGCTCCTCGACGACTTAAATACCCTGTATCGCTTTTCCCAAGGCTTAGCTAGCTTGTTCCCCATGTACAACTCTCTTATTTAGGAATAGACCCCGCGGCGGAAGCTGGTGGACCAGACCAGACCTTTGCCACGCCTAGGGACGAATCTTGGCTGTGGATAAGAAATTCCTTAGTCGCTACCGAGGTCTTGGACGTCCACCTTTTGACAGGGAGGGAGGTAGCGCTGACAGGCGGGCCGCAATAACCTTAATTTAGTCCTGAGATTTGCCGGAGGCTTTTTTGCTTGCTTGTACGAGTATGCTTTTCTTGGGACTGTACTGTAGGGCACTTTGTTCTCGTGGTCATTAATAGTACTTCTCCAATGGTTGAAATAAAGGCCATTGACGTTTTTAGCACAGGGCCTACTTTTGCACTTGTTGATGAGGCACAGTATTGTCTGAAAGGATTTCTTCGGACCTGGACCTCCTGGTTGGAGAATTGCAGCATTACCGGGCTGCGAGATCTCGGGTAACCGTGCATGGTACTTAATATTGTGGATTTCAGTATCCACCGACACGATTATTCCTATCATAGAAGCTATCTAGGCGTTCTTTGCTTGCCTTGGAGACGGCTTGGAGGGCCGACCTTGTCGATCTAGAAGCACTTTCGGCAGAGACCGAAACTGGAAGGTCGAATGTACGATTATGGGCTCGTGATGGCAGGCATTTGCTCTCCGTACGGCAAAGTCAAACGTTTCGAAAGGAGTATTTGGAGACTAGGCTAAGTACACCTGAGGCACAGTTGCGCGAGGCATGTCCTATATTGAGCCCAGGAGCCACGGGATGGGGCAGTTGAGAATGATTGGCTATAGATTCATCGAACAGTGCCATGCCAGGACTCCTTCACCTGCTCAATCAGTCTCAAGGATTGACCTAGATCACTTGGCGCACAATCCTGGGAATTAGATGAACTGACTTGACTATGGTTCTTCAAATTTCTCCATTGTGGAGGACCTACGATCTTGGCTTGAAGATGAGGAACAGCGACATTTCCTTATAAAAGTCCAGCTGTCTCCCACAATAATGCTTTCTCACCCACCCTTCGCAACAGAGACTCAACTGTCTATTCTAGGATAGTTAACATGAGGTTCCTCACGGCTCTCGTGGTTTTGCTTGGTGCCTCTCAGGTCCAGGCAAAGGCAGTATTCGCTCACTACATGGTACTTATCCTCCTCTACTATTCTAGCTTTTCGCCGTGCTAACACCGTTGCAAAGGTCTCGAACACAGCCGAGTTCGCTATTGAAGATTGGGCTAAAGACATGCAGCTTGCTCAACAAGCAGGTATCGATGCATTTGTACTGAACATGGCCGCGAAAGAAGAGACCAACACATACTCTTTGTCGATAGCCTTCAGCGCTGCCAGAAGGGTTTCTTTCAAACTCTTCTTTTCTTTTGACTATGCTGGAAATGGACCTGTAAGTCATGTCTCAAGCTCTTCCATGCTTTCACCCCTCAATATCGGGCTTCTTCTATTTTGTTCTTAGCTAACAGTAACAACCAAAGTGGGCAAAAAATGATGTGATTGATCTCATCAAGAAATACGGAGACTTCGACGAATACTATCACTACAATGGCAAACCTATGGTATCTACTTTCGAAGGTCCAGAGAATGCTCCTGATTGGGCCGATATCAAAGCTCAAACTGGTGGCCTTTTCTTCATACCCGATTGGAGTTCTAAGGGAGCTGTAAGTCCTGAATACTTGCTTGACATTAGAAGCTCTGACTAATTCTTTGATCAGAAAGGTGCTATGCAGCTTCCCAATAAAGATGGCTTGTTCAGTTGGGCTGCTTGGCCGTACGGCCCCAACGATATCAACACTTACATTGATGCATCTTATCGGGAATTCCTCAATGGACTACCCTACATGATGCCAGTCTCGCCTTGGTTCTATACCAACATGCCAGGCTTCAACAAGAACTGGATGTGGCGTGGCGACGACTTGTGGTACGACCGCTGGGAAGAGGTCATGTACGTCCAGCCCGAATTCGTCCAGATCATCTCATGGAACGACTTCGGAGAGTCTCATTACATCGGACCTTTGGACAGCAGGGAGTACGTTGCGTTCGGAAAGGAGTTTGGAAACTCGCCATTCAACTATGTTGAGAATATGCCTCACGACGGTTGGCGCAAGTTTCTTCCATACGTGATTTCCATGTACAAGAATGGCAAGGGAACGATCTCAAAGGAAGGCCTCACTGCTTGGTACAGATTGACCAATGGACTGGCCTGCGACTACGGAGGAACATCTGGCAACACAGCAAGTCAACTTCAAGCCGAATACCATCCATCGAAAGTCGCCCAAGAGAAAGTTTTCTATTCGGCGTTGCTGGGCTCGGACGCATCTGTATCCGTTACTATTGGGGGCACATCTGTCGGTGGAGCGTGGACCAACAAACCCTATGGAGGAGTTGGTGTATATCACGGCAGCGTTGACACCAAAGGACTCACTGGTAAAGTCGTGGTTACCGTCTCTCGAGGCGGCGCAATCATGACTATGAATGGAAACAGTATTACTGGTTCGTGCAACATTGAGAATTGGAACGCCTGGGTCGGATCTGCAGACGGACCATCAGTAAGTACTTTCTTTTATTCACTAGCCCTCTTGTACCCAAGATGGCGACCCTTGTTCAGGAGAACTATGCAGCAGAACGTTCCGTGCTGACCACCCTTCACAGATTTCTGCATCAACAGCTCTGAGCGTCGCCGACCAGGTTTGCACTGCTGGTTCTGGCGCAGGCAATTTTGCAGGTCTCTGCTCATTCGTCTGCTCTTACGGATACTGCCCAATCGGAGCATGCTACTGCACAGCTATGGGCGCTCAGAAGACGCTTCCAAAAAGCTTGGGTATAGTTGGATATCCTGTCGCAGGCCTCAGCCCAAGTTACGACGGCCTTTGTGCCTTCGCTTGCAATTATGGATACTGCCCCAAAGGAGTTTGTGGATTGACTGACGAGCCGACTGTTATCCCAACTTCATCACCCTTCGCACCGGATACTTGCACCTCGGGGTATGGTGTTGGTAATCTCGCCGGTCTCTGCGACTATTCCTGCAATTTTGGGTTCTGCCCTCTCGGGTCATGTGTCTGTATGTGCAATCCAATGGGAGTTCATTGGCACAGTAGGAAGCTAACAGGCAAAATCTAGGCACTACACTTGGTCCTCTGAATGAGCCACCTGCTCAGATTACATCTGGTTGCGCTCTAGCTGGTGTCGACCAGAAACTCTACAAGGACTTGTGCAAGTTTACTTGCAGTCGTGGATACTGCCCAGAAAGTGTTTGCACAAAATCATGTGGTTCGAGTGCTGAGCCTTCCACTAAAGGAGTATGTATACAGTTATCTCTCTTACGTGCTTGACTCCTTGCATCTCAAAGAGCCAAAGAACATCTAGCTGACCAGTGTATAGTGGTACGATGTCAAGTGTTCGGACGGCTCTCTTAGCTCGGATCTCAACCCCGGCCCGCAGAGATGGGCAGATGCCAAAGCAGATGATGCTTGGGCTGATGCTTTACAAGCTTTCAAGAACTATCGGTCGAAAAATCCTGGAATACTGGGCGGCGGGTTCCAATTTTCTGAAATCATTGCAGATCACGTTCACGGTAAGTAGAGATTCTCGACTCGGCTCCCTCATAAGCTGACAAAACCTAGGAACATCTGGCAGACAATGCATCAACGTTCCAAACTCAGCATGTGATGCCTTTGTTCCTTGTGATGATAAATCTGTTGGTGGTGCTACGGGAGTCGACTCACCAGCCGGGTAAGTCTGCTCGGCCATTTCATTTTTTGGTCCCAACTGACACTCGCAGATATATGATCATCAACTCTATGGCAGCTCTACACAACATCATTGATGATCTGGATACAGCCCTGAAAGCTGCTCTTCAAGACTTCACCGGTACCGCTAACATCATTGCCAAAGACTTTGCAGACTTTTCAAAGACCACCAGTATGAAGATCGCCTTGGATGTCCTCGGACTTGTCATTGCGCTTATCTCTGCTCCTGTTTGGAACTCCTGTACGTCTATCCTCAAAGATCAATAAATAATACTGACTTTGAAACAGGGATCAAGAAGCTCAGCAACGCCAAGGATATGGCAAACTCCATGGGAACTGCCAAAGACTCCATTGCAGGGATAGTTGCCTTTTCTATCAACATCGCTAAGGATACCATGCCAGCGTAAGTCTTCTTACAGATCTTTTAGTAATTATATTAACAGTCTTGCAGGAACAGCGACATAGTCCTCGGTGCAAATTTCCAATCGCTTGGAACGGCTCTCGTCAAAGGTGACATAGATCTCATTCCTCTCCACATGACTCAGAGACTGACGTGCTACAGCAATGCGAACCATGAACGCGAACACCGCCCTCGAAATCTTCGGCGGCGAAGACCTCTCCATCATCGACGGCCTCATGAAAGGCGGTGCTTCCGCTGGCGTATACGGCGACAGTCCCATCTCGATGGAAGACCAGATCTACAAGGCCATGGTCGCACAGATGATCCCCATCGCATGGAACGCCAACTCTGACGGCTCACCATTCCTCATGACTAGCGAGGACTTTGGCGGGAAAGGCTGTGATGGTATTGATCCTTCCAAGGTCATCAGCAAGGATATCAACCATGCGAGTTTCGTGTGTATTGATGGCCAGGGCTACTGGCTTCTCATGGCTTTCGTACAGAGCTCTTGTGATACTGGAAACTGTCAGCCGGATTTGGCATTGAACAAGGTGCCTGGTGTTGCTAAACTAGATGGTTCGAGGTTCGGTGGGCTGTCGTTGACTGATCTCGCTACCAGGTATGTCGACCACAAACTCTCCCAACCCCAGCTTAGCCAGAAGATTGCTTGAGGACCCATTTGCTAACTTCTCTCTCACAACATAGCTCGGTCAATTCTTTCAAGGCTAACGGCAACAAAAACGGCTGGAAGATTCCCGATCCAGCTACGGATACAGACTCGATGTGGGATATTGCCGAGAATGGCGTCCGCGCCAAGGGCATGTTCAATGTTCCCATCTGCTCGGGTTACGAAGCGCTTTCGAATCTCATTGACAGGATTGGAGAGAAGAAGGGTAACTGGCCTTGCAACTAGTGCTTTTATCTATGAAGTGGTGGTATTCTTTTGGCAATAGATTGCGCTCATAAAGGGGTAGAGTTGAAGGACAAGCCTTTCTCATGAGAGTGCATTGATTCTCTATGAGGAGGTCAGCGGTATTATTTAAGCTGACAGAGATTTGTGTACATAGACTTCTTGGAAATCTGTTGCGCCTCATGTTCGCATTCAATGACTACATATCTAAACACAAAAACTTGACAAAAACTGTCTGTCTGTAGTTGATTGCTTTACTTCCAAATAACTCCAAACCATAGCTTCAGTCTTCCCGCCGCCTGACCTACTCTCGACAGAATTGTTGATATCCCAGTCCCTGACAAGAGATACGCTGTGAATGCTGAGCAAAAAGCCATCTAAATAAAAGATACATCTTTGCTTGCCTACTTCTCTTTATGCAGCTGTGACGGTGAATGACCGAGGTTTAAGATTTTCGGTCGTCGCAAACAAACGTATTAGAAGCTCAGCTCAGCTTATTTACCTTATTCATTCCTCTTCCCTCCCCCCCTCTTTGGAAAATCTATCCTCACATTATCGTTCTGTAAAAAGACACACATAAGTGCCACTGCGAGCTCAATATTTACCCAGCATGACTAAGGGTGATCAATCATTCTCGCTTAACACCTCCTAGCTCTGCTCTCTCCACTCTCCCATCCGTCCACATCCAATCCACTCCACTCACACATATCCACATTAAAAATAAACCCCCCCCCCCCCCCCACCTCATCCACACACAACTTTTCCTACCCCTACCCTATCCTTTTTTCTCACCCACTATCTACCCAAATAAGCACTTCCCCTCCATCCAATCATCTCTTCGATTTCTCACTCGATTAGATCAGAACAAACTCAACTCATCCGCTATGGTGTAACGGTCAGCATACTGCCTTTTCAAAAACGATTGTTCTCTTCGAGCAATCCAATTGATGATAAACGGCGGAGACCGGGGTTCGATTCCCCGTAGCGGAGTACAATTGATCATTATCTTTTTTGGTGTTTTTCGTTTTATGGTGCTTGCTGAATGAACGAATTCTTTTGTGCTTTCAATAATTATTTTTTTCTTCTCTTTCTCTGGGCTGCGGTCTGGGGAGAATGAATGAATGCAGTGCAGTGCATGCACCCCGTGACCCCACTGCTGAGGTGGCAGGCGAGGATGTCACCACGGGTCACGGGAGGGAGGGAGTAAGCTCCTTAAAGAACGCCAGCCAAGCCAGCTTCAATGTAATGTTGGAACCAAAGGGAGCGAGATCTCGCCTATTTCTCAGGTACTGTACTGCGTAGTTGATGTTTTTTCTCCTTGAAACAGGCAAATAACACTACTCACTCATCACCTACCTTACCTTACCTTGCTTTCCTTTGCTTTTTTTTCTTCAATTTCTTATAGCCAGCCGCTCTTGCAACTTTCAAATCTGATGGTAAGTAAGGTCTAACGTGAGATACCAAACGAGAGAGAGAGAGAGGGGTGTAGCTCACTGGCTGACCAACTTTTAAAATTGTCAAGTCCGTTTTTTCCATATGAGAAGGTACTTGTTCCTAACTTGGTTAGTAATTTGAAACTTTGGATTTTGTAAAGAAGACTGGAAGATTGGAAGAATGTGTCTGAATCTATATATAAAGATGAGTGTCAACCCCAGCTGGGGTGTAATAAAATGACTTTCTCTTCTCTCCTCTCCTCTCCTCTCCTTTCTTCCACTGTATTTCATTCAACAAACCGGATTTACAAATCCCAACTCACAACCACAAATCCCAAATCCCAACTCACAATCACAATCACAATCACAATCACAATCACAATCATAATCACAAAACACCAAACCCATCTCAAGTCCCAAAACATCAAGATATTCAACCCAATTTTCTTTCGTTCGTGACTATGTTCTAAATGCATTGTCTAATTTGCGAGGAGAGAAAGCCTGCAGACACAGCGACAGATTGGAAATGGAAAGGGAAAGGGAAAGCGAAGTTTCAAACCGGAGAAAAGAAAGATCTCCTGCCTGCTATTTGCCATTTGCTATTTGCCATTTCCTCGTTTTCCAGAGGTGTGCCAACCTAAACCCAAGAACAAGTTCCAGAGGGGAACGCCTGGTAAGGAAGTGTATCGTATCTTATCATAAAGTCGTCTCGTCTCATCTCATCTCGTCTCGTCTCGTGCTTTCACCGGTAGCTGTAACTATGAACACGATCTTTTCCTTCGTTCTTCGATCTTTGCCGTTTGCCTTTTGATATCCCAAGTAAGGAAATAGAGAGAGCATACGTGAAGCCCTAATATTCCATCTCTCCTACAAACCCGCACTCCTAGCACTCTCACCAACCTGCACTTCCCTCTCCTCATTCTCATTCTTATTCTCATTCTCCTCCTCCTGCTTCGCACTCTCCCTCCCCCTAACACCGGCAAGACTCACGCCTCCACCTCCAGCACCACCACCTCCTCCGCCTCCAACCCCACCATCCCTAACACTAGCCGTCGTACTAACACTCTCACTCCTCAACCTCGCGTCTTCTCCTCCCCCTCCACCCATTCCCCCACCATCAACATCACTCTCCCTCCTCTCCCCCATCTCCCTCCTCCTCACCCTCACCGCCCTCTCCAACTCCCTAATCCTCCTCTTCAACACCTCATTCTCCCTCTTCACAGCCTCCAGCTCATGCCGATGAAACGCAGCTTCCTCATACCGCCCCGTAGTCTGAACACTAGTTATACTATCGGCGCGATGCATTTCTGCTCCTCCACCACCTCCTCCGCTCATAGCTAGACTGCTTGAACTAGGATCTCGGTGTGGGATTGGTCGGGAGGTGTAGTATGATGGGAAGGACTCGCCTGCTAGAGATTGGTAGGATCCTGAGCCTGGTGTTGGGAGAGGAGAGGAAGTTCCGCTTCGTGCTGTGCCTGGACCAGGACCGGTAGTTGAATTCTGGCGACTGAGGGAGATGGCTTGTGTTGATTGGGAGGGATTTGAGGGGCCGCGGGTTCGATCTGCGGTTGTAGAAGGGATGGAAGATAAGGATGCTAGGGCGGAGGCGCTGCGTGAGGATGTCGCTGAGGAGGAGCGGTGGTGTCGTCTCTGGGAGGGAGTGGGGTGAGATGGCCCGCTGAGGAGGTGGTTTGCGTTGTGGTCGTAGGTGTCTGGAAGACCGGCGGAGGTGGAGGATGTGTTTGATACGACCGAGGCGTTTTGGGCGGCGCGGAGCATGGAGAGTTCGCGGGTAAGACGGTTGACCTGGGATTGTTAGTCTGTTTTATTATACAGAATTGTATTATGGTCGAACAGCTCATCGTGAGATTTGGGGGAATGAAGAGGAGAGAAACACTCACAACAGCTTCCTGCTCCTTCTCCAACTGTAAATGCAAATCCGCCGCCGTCAAAGGCCTAGGATGTCTCAATGGCCCAGGTCCAGTTCCCACGCCCGTATTATCACCCCCCAACACACCCGTACTCGTCATCCCCGACGCCATCGTCGTCATTGTCTGTCCCTGATTGACAGCGCTCTGATTTGAGGGGAGGATATTCAACGCCGCGGCGTTGGCATTCGCTGGAGGAGATGTGTGTTGTGAGGTTGGAGGTTGAATTTGGGTTTGGGATGAGGATGTCGTGGTGGACGTGGAGGAGGCTATATGTGATTGTGAAGTCGACGACGGTGGAGGAGGAGGAGCCATCTGGAGCTGCTGCGACGTTCGTCGACTGGATGTTGTGGATGTGAGACGGGGAGAGGAAGCTAGAGGGCGCGGCGAGGGAGGCACAGAGTTGAGATCTGGTGCCATGGTGTTTCGGGTGTTGCTATTTGTAGATAGATTGAGGTGATAGGAGACAGGATGACCTGTTGGTCTGGCGTTTCTTGACGTGCGGCTGTTCCTTGCGAGACGGGAGCGAAGCGCTGGACGAAGACGGAGAGGGGATGAGGTCCAGGAATGGAATATTGCAGCTATTGATGCGAAGCTGAGGTGATTTTTAAGTTGAGCTTGAATACGCTTTCGCTTTATAACGATGTTGTATCGCTTCAGTTCAGTTCAGTTCACAATGCTGCCGTCAGGAGATGTGCACCAAAACAAAAACAAAGGTCTGGTCTGGTATGGTCTGGTCTGGTGTTGCTGTTATTTCAAAAACAAGAAGCCATCTATCTATCATCTCTCAGCCTTCCTTCCCCTCCCCTCACCAAGCTGTCCTGTCTGCCTGTCCACACCGTTTCGCATGAACATCTCATCTCGCCAGCCCACCAATCACACTCCCGTCCCCTTCAGCCTTGCAATCCCCCTGCCCCCTGCCCCCTGCCCCCGCCCCGTCCAACCCCTCGCCAGCCTTGCCTTATTATACACAGTAAGCCGCTTCGGGTAATTGTTTTGATGGAGATCATTCGTATCGAAAGGGGTATGACGTCGAGGGTTTTGAGGGACAGGGTGGCGGGGTTAAAACAGCTTTTTGGTCTTTTTGGTTGAGGGGTATTTCGTCTTTCTTTCTCGTTTAAAGCTCGATCGATATATTCAGAAATTGAATTAGATTAAATTCAGATCATTTATCTTGAGATTTTGCAAAGAAACAAAAAGGTCAGTACTTGAATCAATTCCCCTTTCAATTCTTTGAGGAAGCGAGAGCCAAGTCAACAATTTGATGGATTGCTCTCTCGCTTTAGAGCTTCACGAAGCTGTTTCCCCCTCAAAAGCTACCCCTCTATCATCATCCCTCACTCAATTCTTCACAACAAAAAATCAATCATCCTCACTCGCTCACTGCGATCCCTCATCTCTACTCATCCCCCTTTGACAACAACAGACTAACACCTCCTCATCTCAGACTCACCCCCAATCCCCCAACTCAACCTCAATACCCCAAACCCTGAAAATGTCCGCCCCAAACCAAGGCCGCCAATCCCCCTCCCCAGAGGAATCCTCCGGAAAGCAACAATCTGCTCCCTCTGACGGACAGGGAATCAACAAAGATACCAACAATAAGGAGGATAGTAAGAAGGATCTTGAGGTTTGTCTTATTTTTCTCTTCTCTCTCCCAGTTACCCCCCCCCTTTTTCATCTCGTTTCAATTGCTTTTGTTTGGTTTTTTGTTTGGGACGTTCGAGATCATTTTATCCAAACAAACGGGCTTTGGACCTCCATCATTCTTTTCACCATGAATTGCATCCCATCTCATTCCAATCCGCCTCCCCCCGCCTCTCATTTCCACCTCCCTATTTCAGCCTCCCTATTTCAACCTCCCTACTTCCACCTCCCTATTTCCACCTCCATACCTCAATCTACTACCAACTCCTACTAACATACCCCCCCTCAAACAGAACCTCCCCTCCAACCCCGCCGGCCCACTAGACGCCCACCTCAAGGAGACGATGAAGAAGACCGAGACTCCGGACGTGAAGTAGTGAAGTGATGTGATGTGATGTGATGGTTTTTCACTCACTCCCTGACACTTCACGGGATGGGATGTATGATCAATTATTGGTGGATGGATCACTGGTTGGGAGGAGGGGATTGTGCTATGGGATGAGAAAGATGCGTAGACTGGAGGGGCATTGCATTGCATTGCTTGATTGATTGCCAGCTTGAGCACGATATATGGATGGACGGATATATGGTTGCGAGTATGCATTCATGCATGCATGCATAATAGTCACATCCATACATACATATATAAAAAAAAAACGAAACAGTAAAACCATCAAGCCTCAAAACCATTCATTATCCCACAGAACCACTCAAAACCACACCACACCACTTCAATCAACCACACTCCCACTTCCCCTTCTCAGCACAATCCCTCCACCTAACCCAACCTCTCCCTCCACCTAAACCAACCTCTCCCAAGTCCAAGCCCAAGCCCCACACAATAAAATACCTACCTTACCTACCTTACCTACCCAAATGCTCACCCATATGATCCTCATCCATCCATCCATCCATCTATACCTACCCCTACCCCTACCCCTACCCCTACCCCTACCTCAAAATCAACTCATCTAAAGGAGTCCGGTCCGGTCTGGCCTGGTCCGGTCTGGTCCGGTCTGGTCTCTCCCTTCGAGGATGGATGTGAAGACCCGGTCGGTCGGTAGGTAGGTACCTGCTTCGTAGGAGAAATTTCTTCTATAAAAGGAACTTGGGGATTTCCTTTCTGACTGTAAGACGTAGGTAGAGAGTAGAAAGTAGAAAAAATGTGCTAAGAGTAGAAGGTAGGTAGATACATAAAAATCAGTCAGGGATTACAGACACCCCCTCCACTTGATATCCTCATGTTTTCCTCGCTTCCTACCTACCTGCCTACCTACCTACCTACCTACCTATCTTTAAACCTCATCATCTGTGTCATAGTATATTCATATCTAACTTCAAATGCAAACTAATCTATTTCACTTCGGAAAGTATATTCAGACTGTGAGCATATTGGAAGGAAATTGATTGATTGATTGGTTGATGATGCATTCCATTCATAAAACATAATCTGGTTTCGTAGAAATCTTAGCATTTGCAAGCAAGCATGCTTCTCCCCTTCTTTTCATCCATCCACCAGTCCATCAACCCATCCCTGAGGTACCCCTCTCTCGAAAACCAGGTATCTCGGCACCAATTCCCATTCCCATTCCCACATCTCGCACCACACGCCAACCCAACCCAACCCCCCTCAACTTTCAAATCAATTAACAACCGCCCAAACCGCACGCACGCATCGCATTGCAAGATAACAACGGCAACGGCAACGACAAAGCGCAAACCAAACCAATCAATCAAGCATAAGTAATCTTCTCAGGCTCCAAAGGTGCAACCTTTGTGCTCTCAACAACACCCGTTCCCTCGGAAGCGACAGCAGATGCAGAAGGGGTGGATGTGCTAGGGGCTGAAAAGTAAACACGCGAGCAACTTGTCAGCGAAAACACCCATCTAAAAATAAATAGAAATACAAGTTTTTTGTTGAAATTCGGCCCAAGGAAACTAGCGAATTAAAGAGAATGTGTTGATCCGGTGACGTTTACTTGGAGCAGCCGATGCAAGCACATTTGCCAGACTCGCCTGTAATGAAAGTGTCAGCAATTGTTATTTTGGTCATGTCTCGGAGGTATAAAGTACTCCGAGACACACGATCGGGGAAGTGGAACTTACAAGGACAGTTCTTGTCATCTCCTCCACATTTGCAGGTCGTCTTGTCGGTACCAGCAACAGGTTCGGTCGTTGCCTTAGGACAATCGCTGCATGAACACTTTCCTGGTGCGCAACCGCATACTTTGGTGTCGCCACCACACTTGCAAGTTGTCTTCTCCGTCTCGGCAACCTTCTTGACATCTGACTTCTCACATCCAACACAAGAACATTTGCCCGCCTCACATGGGCAGTTCTTAGAATCTGAAGCACACTTACAAGTAGTCTTCTCGGTACCGGGAACCTTTGTGACACCAGCATCCTGCTTCTTCAAATCGGCGAGACGGCGAGCCTCGGCATGGATATCCTGGACTTGCTTGGATCCTTGGGTATAGAAGTTGACGAGCTTCTGGCCAGTGGGAGTTCCAGCGGCCTTCTCGAAGTAGGAGGTCAAGCCAGTGAGAAGGTTGTTGGCCTTTTCGGTGACGCCGTAGGATTGATCGACAGACTTGGCCTTATCGGTAGCATGGTACTTCTGGTCTAGGCTGGTGAGGGTGGACAAGAAGCGGTTGGAAACTCCGTGCTTGGTGTCAAGGTCGATGGCCTTCTGGATAGCCTGGTCGCCGAGAACGTAACCGTGGGCAATGTACTCAGCAGCGATACGGGCACGGGGCTTCTCCTCCTGAGTGATCTCATCGCTGTCTCTCTCAGTGTTTTGTGTGAAGTGGCTTCCATCGTCGTTGTTTGATCCAGTGGCGCTGGTGACTTGGACATGTGTGGCACCGAGCTGGGTGTTGTCGAGGAGGAGGGCAGTCTTCGCAGCTGTCTCCTTTTCGAAAGTTACGGTGGCATTTTGCGACTCTCCGGATTTGGTGACCTCGATGGAGCTGATCTTACCACTGTAGAAGTTAGCAGGTGGCACAACAACACAAGGAGAGTTGAGAAGAGACTTACCAGAAGGAAAAGAAATCCTTGATCTCCTTCTCGCTGGTGGCAGAACTGATGTTCTTGACGTGGACTGTGCTAGCAGACATGATGAAGGTAGTTGATCTGATCTGATCTGATCTGTTTGCTTATTTGTTTGTATTGTGAGAGATGCTTGTAGTAGTAGTAGAGTACTCAAGATGTATCTTGTGAATGTGTTCTTTCAAGAAGGAAGAAAGTGTTGGCACCAAGGAAGTTTTCTTTTGTAGTTAGTGGTACGTAGCGTGCTTTTTGTGTGTCGCAGATGTAGGCAGAAGAGGCAGAATGTTGACGTTGAGGGCGGACGATCAGCAAGAAGAGGGGGAGCAACAGCAGGGAGAGCAGCAGTTGGAGCAGTTGACTGGGTGCGGGGCAGTGTGGCGCAGGCGCGAACGACCAAGATGACGTATCTAGCGTGGCTTTCGAGGCAGGAACGGTGGGGGGCACGGACACAAGGCGAAAGTAGGTAAGCAGGCAAGGCATGTAGCACAGGCGAGAATGGGAGGGAAAGGAATGGATGTCACCAGAATTGCATAGCACTTTCCACCAAGCAGATCTGCAAATGGTCCCTTTAGCATGTGAGAGGGGCGAAAAAATATTCGATCGACAACAGGGTTTACCTTTGACGTCTTCGACGGGGATCTTGTTCGTTGATGCCAAGATTAGGGACCAGCTCTGTTTTGATACTTATAGAAGTATTACTTGGAAAGCCATACCTAATGAGCTAATCTGAAATAAGCTAAATGTATGGTATGGTCTTCGAAGCATGATAAAGACAATGTCACTTTCTATTTTTCTCTTTACCTTTCTACCGTAACTCAACCATACAAGCACGTTAATGTTTTTAAAAGCAAAATAAGGGTGCCATGTTTTGATCGCGAACCTCGCGTAACATATCTACTTGCCACTTACCTCCCTCGCCAGAGAACCGAAAGCTGTCGTCATCCCTTCTATAAATGCAGTACGAACAACAGGCAACAGGGAGTACAAATTCCCGGCAAGAAATATTACTTTGTATTTCCTTCCATGTGAAGTCACATGCAATCTATCGAAGTCCAATGCCTTACCTGAATGTATGGACAGATGGCTTGGCTGTAACATAGATCAGCCAGAGCAACTTAGATTATAGCTACCTTAGCTCTCAATACCTGCCGACGTGCGCGTAAGACTCAAAAGCATATCTGAAGGAAGCACTGAACAAAATACAGCTCTGAAAAGATTCAATTTCAATTTCTAAACTAGAAGCTAGGTAGGCTTGCTTCCACATGAATTGAATTGAAATGAGTAGATTAAGTAGACTAAGTAAGCTAAGCTAAGCTGACTTGCCAGTTAACTGACTGAACAGAGTAGAAAAGCACCTAAGCTAAACTAAGCTGAGCTGAGCTGGGGGAGCACCTTCCAAAACTATGATACAGCTGTGTTGTTAATAAAAAAAATCCATGAATGATTTGATCCCTTGCTTGCTTGCTTGCATGCTTGCCATATCAGGAGACTTCTCAAACTTGTGTCGAACTCCATCGAGATATTCACCTATCATCAATCTTATCATACAATCATTCCATTGAATTCCAGATAATCACAAACGACCGGTGTCAAACCCAATTCCCAGACCTACACCCTCTATACGCATCTTCTTGATAGGTTCGTTGTGATCGTGGTCCAGCTTGCGCTTGGTGACGGGAGCGTACAACTTAGCTTGGTGGAAGTGCTTGTCGGCTGGGATAGGAGTATGGGTACGAGAAGCAGCAACCTCAAAAGACTCGCGAGGGTCGGCACGCAACATCTCCGTAGCACTCTGGCTAGCTTGACTCTCTTGGACTTCCTCGCTCTCCTCTCGATAATTGGCTCCGGAATGGGCGACATCCTCGTTATCGGAGACGGAGATGGTGCTATCACGGGACTTGCGACGACGCTCACGGGAGTGTTGCGAAACATGTTGACTTAGGTTCGAGGCAACGCGGGCTTCGGCGTGAGGAGAGAATTGAGCTGAAGGGAGGAGACCGGAAGGGTGGGCTACTGGTCTGGCTGATCCAGGAGTAGTGGGGAAGGAGGAGAGCGATTGGACGCCTCTGTTATGTCTGTTTGGGGTGCGAGGGTCAGGACGGCGAGCAACAGTGGGAGTAGATGGCGCACTGTTATTCTCCTGGCTAAGGACAGATCCTGCAAGAAGGAGTGCGTTGAACTTCTCTTGGTTATCTTGCGAAGGACCCGGACCATAACGAATGGATCGGTTGGTGTTGGGTGTGTACTTGGGAGTTCCACGATATTGGTGAGGAGTGGCTGGAGTCGTCTTTGGGGTAGAGATATGTAGAGGGCCACCTGGGCTGCGAAGAATATTGATGTGTTCACGGTTTTGGCGGATACGTTGCTGTAGGCGTACGATCTCGTCCTTGGCATCCAGGATCTCCTCCTCTTTCGTCTCGAGGAGTCGCTTAGCTTTCTCCAAGCGACGGCGGTGAAGAAGGTTGTCTTCCTCAACCATCTTGCAGTGAGCCTTCAATTTTTGAGTGTAGTCGCTGGTGGTAGTATCCCGTCCATTGACCTGAAGGACCTGAACTTCTCGTCTAGTAATATCATGTTCTACTTCCATGCGTTTCAACGCCTCTTCACTCTCGATCGTGAGAAGGTTATGTTGGAGCTTGTAGTGTGCTGCCGACATTCTCGCTTCACTCACTGCCATGTCCAACTTCTCATTCTCAGCCACAACTTTTAGCAGCATCGCCTTCAGCTCTTCAGGACTGGCATCCGCGATTTGATCGGGAGTTGGACGAGCAGGTACAGACTTTTTCGCTGTATCGCGTCTCGTGCCATTTGTGATAGTAGGAGGAGGAGATGAGAGAACTGTTGGCTCGGGAGTGGCAGTTCGAGGAGCTGAGGCCGGACGTCTGACAGGCGGTTGCGATGAGGGAGGTGGAGTAATAGATGAGGCAGAGCCAGCGACTATCATAGACGTAGTCGGAGAGATTCCTCGAGGTATATCATCCTTGGAAGGGATATCGACACCGATTGGCTGCGGGGTAGAAGGGTTGTCTGCTGGTGTAGCAACCCCAGAGTAGGAGGATTGGGATGCCATTGTGGCAAGCTGTCACAGGTTAGCCGTGTACAAACATAGATTGCGACATCCATACAGATGGAGATGCAAGATGTGAATCAAGTCTCTATGTCCAGTACTCGGTATGTGTATGCGACCGAGTCTGTCAAGTGGATGAGGTCTGAGACCCGTGGGATTGAAGGTTAGAGTTATGCGACGCGGTTAAGATGGATTGGAGTGCAGTCGCGTAGCTCTCGCGATGATGTGTACTGCGCTATACAATGATTGATCTACTGTGACAAACAGTATCCACCGTTGCACATTCACAGTTGCCAGAGATGGTCGCTCAAGATAGAGTGTGGGGAGGGTAAGGTAGCTTTGCGACAGGATGGATGGGGATGCGGATGCGTTGCGCTGGATGGTTTCAAACCTAAGGTGGCCGGGAGCGCAGCTAAGGAAGAATGGTTAATCCGACTATTTAGGTGGGGGGCTGGTTGTGAAGGGCAACGGGCCAGGGTCGTGGTCGTGCTTTAAAAGCGGCGGCTGGGCTGGACTTGACTTCAGATATCCAGAGGCTGGGAGGGATTGAGGCCAGCTTCAATTAATAAATTAAAAAGTAGCCATGATGAATTGAATATGTATTGACTGAAATGATCAGTGACTCGCCATTTCCTCAGTATAAGGATTGGAAGCCTACGCAGCTCAGTTGTAGCTCTGCATGAGTGACTGAGCAGTGGTGTATCTTTTCAATTCAGGGGGTTCGCTTCTCTCTGCCGTGCCGCATGCTCAAGAGTCAAGAGTCAAGAGTCAAGAGTCAAGACTCAACCAGAGGCTCAACCTTAACCTTATTGACAGAGTCAGAGTCAGAGTCAGAACTGCTCAAGCACAGCTCTGCTCCACAAGGCGGAATCATAATACTGTACAATGCTGTAGGCACACGCCGCGGCGTTCCCAAGCTCTATTTCCAGCAAAATGCACAACGCTTTGGCCCTTGTGCACTGGCATGGCCATTATTGAGGTATTGACTCAGCATCCACAACTTTTCCAATGCCGGGTCATTCACAATCCACCCCTCCACCAAGCCCTTCAGGTTTGGGACCTGGAAATGCTCCGTGAGTACCTACCTAGCAGGGCCCCTCGGCACGCGGCTGTGATAGTGCAAAGTGGCTGGCTTGGGAAGGAACTCCGTGTCGTTTCTCTCCAATACGAGTATTGGCCGAATATCCAAGCGCGCACTGCCATTGGCCCATACGCGCCTAGTCAGGGACCACCAGGACCAAGACCTCATTTTGTTCCTCGGAACTTTTTGGTAGGCGAGGCTCGATTTGGCAGCGACCGACCTTCCACCGTTGCTTCCTGGGCGTCAGTGGCCTTCTGGTTAATTAAGACTGCGCTGCACTCCGGAGATACAATACTGTAGTCAATTTAGTATGGACTGGTGAGCGACGGCATGCTTTGCTTTGCTTCTAAATCCCCTCTTCTCCTGAATTCCTTCGTGTCCCGGTTTCAGCTTCGCTTTTTTGTTCCTGTTCCTGTTTACCTCTGCCGTTCGACTTAGTCAATAATACACACAGACAACATCTTCAACTTTCAGTCCATAGCACTATGCGCTATCTCTAGACACAGACATCCACTTGCCGCGAGCACATTCGCACACTCACACTCACACTTTCCAGTCAATTACAGCCAGTCAGTCAACCATGGAACAATCACCAAGTGCAAGACCGTCTGGTCTCCCGAGACCATCGAGACTACCTGTACCCAGCCTACGTGCTACTCCGTCAAAAGATAACCTACAAGCATCCAGACAAAGTAGCATTGTCAATCCGCGACTTCGAAGCTCTGCCTCGCACAACACCCTGTCCACACAATTTTCGAAGCCTCGTGTCCCGTCGACCTCCAATCGCCAATCTATCCTAGCTTCCCGCGATCGAGACGTCTCAACTGGTACCGTTATACATACTCCTGCTGTCCAACAGCCCCGAAGGAAAGCTAGTCAGGATGTTCTGTTCAGGAAGCCGTCAAGGCCTGCCATGAGAGTAGACCCCGTCCAGGTCGAGGCAAGAGATGATCATGATGTGATCGAAAAAGATGATAGTCCAGTACTGGAGGACACACAAACATATGATCTACCTCGGAGTTCCAGGCCACGACCATCTCTGTCCGAACGAACAATGGAAACACTGCAGAATATACCCTCTTCACCAGCAGTACGGAAGCGAGGTTCAAGTTTCTACAGGAACGATAGTCCCATGAGACCTCCATCTCGGTCTGTAAGCTCAAGGCCAACCTCGAGTGCTGGATCCGGAACCAGCTCTGGAAATTCGATACCAATCGACTTTCGAGCTTCGACAAATACCTTCAGGCCACCACAATCAGTATTCCATGGGCAAACCCCACAGAAGCGTCCTGGTACTGGGCAGTCTTCGAAGACGCCATCCACGAGTCAGAGTATGGCTCCTCCAGAAGTCTCGAGGCTTCCATCGCCAAGTTTCTCAGCCTCTCTTCACAGATCACCAAGCCCAGTCAAGGGAACAAATCTACCAAATATCAAAGCTGGCAGCAAGACGCTTTCCGCACGGCCACTGAAACCTCGAGCCTCAATCAATGGCTTGTTCCGGAAACCTTCCACACAGAACCTGGATCAAGCGAACGATTTAGACAGAATTGGGTTCGTTCCTAAGAAACAATCGACAACTTTCTCAAATAGCTCGTCCGAAGCTGCGTCAACCACTTCCAAGACCTCCAAAGCCACAAGCACATTTTCAGGTGGCTCTGTGGATGATCAGACTACAACTCCAAGAAAGTCGTCTCTTGCTCTACGTGATCAAATCGCTAAAGCTAAGGCTGCGAAGCGTGCTGCTGCATCCAAACAGTCGTCCACCGTTGAATCGGAATCCTCTGACGCAACAGTCATCCCTGCTGTCACTTTTGATTTTGGGCTTGCCGACGATCCATTCAATCAGCAAGTGCGACAGGATGGTGCAAAAGGCCTGCTTCGGAAACGCATTGACGCAGCGAGGACGGATGGAAGGCTCAATATTGCAGCAATGGGCTTCAAGCAGATCCCAGATGAAGTCATGGACATGTACAATTTGGACTCGATAACTTCTCAAGGTGGTGCTTGGGCTGAATCTGTTGATTTGACAAGATTTATTGCTGCCAATAACGAACTTGAATTGCTTTCAGACGACGTTTTTCCCGATGTGGATCCCAGAGAAAGTGCAGATGACGATGATGCAAAAGGCAATCAGTTTGGAGGACTGGAGACACTTGATTTGCATGGCAATGTTTTGATAGCTCTACCTCTGGGACTTCGTAGACTAGAGCTACTAACTACTCTGAATCTCGTAAGTGACGTATGTATCCATGTACCCGGTTTTATGCTGACCCCTGTAGTCGAACAACAAGCTTGGCAATGAAGTATTTCAGGTTATATCTCAGGTACCCTCGTTGCGCGAGTTGAAGATTGCCAGCAACGGATTGACTGGCCCATTGGACCCAAGCATAACGGCCCTCACAAACCTTGAGCTGTTAGACATGCAGAGCAACGCACTTACCTCCTTACCCGAAGGTTTGGCAGAGCTAGTGAGATTGCGGGTCCTCAACATCACAGAGAATAAGTTCAAGTCTCTACCTTTCGAAAAACTCCGCCATCTGCCTTTGATTGAGCTTCTTGCCGCCAAGAATCAGCTCACAGGGACTTTGATTTATTCAGAAGTAGACGAGCTGCGTCACCTCCAAATCTTGGACATCACTGCAAACGCTCTCACTAATCTGGATGTCTCGGGGACTCTGAGGCTTCCAGCTCTTCACCAGCTCAGCTGTTCCGCAAATCGGTTAACCGAGCTTCCAGACTTGGAATCATGGGTTTCACTTCTTACCCTGGCTGCGGAGGATAATAATCTGGGATCCATACCCGACGGCTTCGTGAAGCTGCCAAAGATCAAGAATGTAAACTTTAGTGGGAACAATCTCAAGACCTTGGACGACAGGATAGGAGCAATGGAGAGTCTCGACATATTCAGAGTAAGCGGTAATCCATTAAGGGAGAAGAAATTCTCAAGCATGACGACCAAGGACTTGAAGCGAACCCTGAAAGCACGAATGGAACCTGAAGAACCAGAAATGAACACGGGCGCCGATGGAGACTTCTATTCAGCTTCAGGTACACCACCTGCATCACCTCGTCCCGGTTCGTCAGATTGGCCAGTCAAAGCAGGCGGCGTGTTGGATCGATCAAACACCCAGTCTCACTCTCTAAATCCCGTTGCCGCCGCGGATATCGCCTCCGCCAACTCGATATACGTCGTAGAACTGCACCACAACATATTCAAAGAGATCCCAGCCTCAATCGCATTCTTCGCCGCAACTCTAACAACACTAAACCTCAACCACAACGAGCTAACAAGCGACTCCTTCCTCAAAGACGACCTCGACCTCCCCACCCTCAAAGACCTCAACCTCAGCTCCAACACCTTCAACTCCCTCCAACCGCTCATCCAGCGCCTCAAAGCCCCCCACCTCTCCAGACTCGACATCAGCTTCAATCGCCTGACCTCCCTGCCCCCTCTCAAACCCCACTTCCCCAGCCTCGTCACCCTCCTCGCCTCCCACAACACCATCCGCGAACTCTCACCCGATGCCGTCAAGGGTCTCCGCGTCCTAGACTGCAGTAGCAACGACATCAATAGTCTTAATGCCCGTATTGGACTCCTTGGTGGGCCCGGGGGATTGCAGACTCTCGATGTGAGTGGGAATCGGTTTAGGGTGCCGAAGTATACGGTGTTGGAGAAGGGGACGGAGGCGACGCTTGCGTGGTTGAGGGATAGGATTCCGGTTGGGGAGATGGGTTTGGGGGAGGTTGATTAGTGGATTGGTGGAATTGGCTTTTGATTCGGTTCTTGAGCTGTGTTTGGACATGGGATGGAATGAGTGAGTGTGGTGTTTTTTGTAAATTAAGTTCTTTTTCGCTACACTGGGGATTGGAGTTTGAGGTGTCTTGATCGTTCTTGGACTTATTGTTTGCCGCTGCTACTGCTTCTGCTGCTCTTGTTATTAGTGGAGAGAGGGCTGGCGTCCACTATCAACTGGTTAGATGCCGATCCGATCCACCTGCAAAGACACAGGGAAGGATCGAGGAAAGAAGGGAAGGGAAAGGGAGAAGGGATTCTTAAAAATTCATTCTGTGAAGGCAGGCCGGTCTTCATTTCTTCCATGCCTGGTAGGATAGGGTAGCGTAGGGTAGGGTAGGATGGAGTGGGGGAAGGCACATAGATTACTTACTTACTTCGGTGGTACATTGTAATACCCAATACCAATACCAATACCAATACCAATCAATTATTGTTTGTATAATCATTTACATAATCTGACCTCACTCATTCTCTCGATTATTCGATTAATTAATTAATTAATCAATCAATCTGGATGATGCCGTGGCCGATCAATTCATTATTTGCTTCACCTATTAACAATCCGCAACAACATCCCTTTCTTTCCATTCTCTCATCTCATCTTCTCATCTTCTCATCCACTCATCTTCTCATCTCATCCGCCCCGAAGCAGAAGCAGAAGCAGAACAGACCTCTTAACAGAACAGAACATAACACCTCAATCACCTTAATCACCTCATAACACTTCATAAATATAACATAATATTGAATTTGTATTTGTATTACTATCTACATTCGCAATCACGCGTCCGTCCGTCTCTCGTAATAAGACATAAGACATAAGACATAAGTAAAGCCGTGAAAACATATAATCATCAATGCGGTGAATGCTCATGCTCATGCTCATGCTCAAAGCAAATCAAATCAAATTAATACCAACCCTTCGTGACGCGACGTGATACGCTAATGCCCAGCTCGCCTGGATGAGGTGCATGGGAGGTCTTCTTGTCAGCTAGGCGTGATGTCCAAGTCCTGAGACTCTGAGGATAAGGTGGTGCGGTGATCTCAGGGCTGATGCAGCTTCTCGATCGCACTTTCGAGCTTCTTGCTAGTCGTTGGACCTAGAAACAGGCTCGTCTCCTCCGATGCGATCAACCCAACCCAACCCAACTTCAACCTCAAGCTCTCCCCTTTCCCTTACTCTCCTCCCCCCTCCTCTCCTCCTCCCTCCTCCTCTCCCTCTCCTTCTCCTCCTCCCCAACCCTATCCCTCACGCCCTCCCCCCTAAGAAACCCCACGCCCCTCCTCACAACCCCCTCACTAACCGCCCTCCCCTCCCTCTCAAAAACCACATTAACAACCATCAACCCAACCACAAAGATCCAAACATCCCCACCCCTCACACCCCTCCACCACCCCCTCTTCCTTCCCACCTTCCACAAACTATCCAAACTCGCCCTCACCGCATAGAGGAACTCCCCCCTCGCCTCCCTCCTCACCGCAAACCCCCACATCCCGCCCAGAAACCCACCAAGGAAGAATCTCTGCGTAGCAAGCAGCTTAGCCGGTAAGTACGACTGGAAAAGACATATCGCCGCCCAGGAGGTGCCGATAGAGCCGGACGTGAAGAGCGTGTAGCGGAGGATTTTGGCGGCGAGGGAGTTGAGGGTGCTGAGGGGCGAGGCGTAGAATTTGGAGTATGAGGGGAGAGAGAGGATGGTGAAGATGAGGGTGAAGAAGCGGGTTAGAGGCGGGATGGTGGTCAGGTAGTGGGAGAGGTAGGTGCGTGTGCAGGAGGGGTCGGAAGGGTGCAGGACGGCGCAGGTTAGGGATGTGAGGAGGGGGTGGGCGGGGGAGGTTATGGGGGAGATTTTTTGGAGGGTTGGTGGGAGGGTGGTGGTGTTGGGGAAGAGGATGGGGGAGACGAATTTTCTGGGGGGTTGTTAGTTTTTAGCTTTATACTTACTTTGAACAGGGTAGTGGAATAGACTTACGGGTATTTCAGACGAGCCATCTCTGCTAGCGAATCAACTTGTTCGTAAGCACCTGGCCAAGGGAGGTGGGTTGGGTAGTCTTCCGGCCGAGACTGGACATAAGTAGGCGAGTATTTCAGTATGAAATCTCCATATGCCTAATAAGGTCAGCATAAACTATTCCTACCTCATAGAGAAGCCAAAGAACGTACCTTAGGAAAACAATCCCTATCAAACACAAAAGCATGCAGCAACTGTCCACTCGTAAACGGGAAAAGTAGCCAACTTCCCCACCACCAAGGTTTCTCTCCTTTCGACCAAAGCCAGCCCTCTTCCTCTGCAAGGTTATACGCGAACTCCGCAGCTCTACTTAACGCGTATATCGAAATCGTAACTCTCAATTGATCAGCGGGGTTGATAGCCAATGCGAAACCTGCCAGACTGGCTCCAATAGCTGGTGCCAGGGATGAAGTGAGCGTCTTGGAAGTCCGTTTATTGCGCTGTCTGAAAGGTCGTGCTTCTGGCGTGAGAAGGTGAGCGCGTAGACGCGTGAAGAAGCGGAAGAGGATGCGGTGGAGGAGAAGGATGGTGGATAATGATAGCGAAAGTCTGAAATTCGCATTCCGCCAAAGAGGGACTTTCTTGGTCCTGGATCCATCTCATTATTAGCAATTGCTCTCTACTAATTGGTTTGGCATTTCAAGAGATAAAAACTCACCTCACGTTTCCCCTCCCAAGAAATCTCTCACTGATCAACTCCCAAACCTTCAAAGCCGCACTCGTTGCGACAAACACCCTCACACTAGCCCTCACAGCAGCAGCATTATAATCATCTCTCCCCGGCCTCTCAACCAATTTCTCAACTCTCGATACAGACGGCGTGTTCCTCTTCAGCACTTTCGAGCGCGACAAGATATACCGATGCAGCGTCTCGTACTCCTTTGCAGAGATGGTATATCGCAGCGCATTGCGGAGGATAGGGTCCGCAGTTGATTTCGCGGAGATTCGCGGTGGTGATTTCGCGTTGGGATCTGTCGAGGAAGACATTCTGGAGATGGGCGTTATCCGGGCATAGGTCGTGTGTCGTGTTTTTGTTGTTTTTGTGCGGGTTATTCTTATTATGAGTTGTCGGTGTTGAGATCTTTGATTCGGGGTTTCCCTTGTTTGCAAGCAAGCAGGCAAGCATGTGGAAATGCCTCGGCAGCGGGTTGAATCACGTGTGGCTGGAAAGGGGTTAAATCTGGGGAAACACATGGTCCTGCAGCACGCGTCACATTCCTTTCGAAGGCTGAATAGATATCGATTGTTCATGTAAACACGGGTATTGTTATTATGTGTATTACATTAATCGCCGCAGTAAGCTTATAGTGGACTGTGGGAGGCTTTTTATAATTTTCGATCGATCTCCCGAACTTTCTCAACCCAGCATCAAGAAACCATCAATCAGAACTCAGATATCGTGAGAACCGAATCAAAGTGTCTCAATCCCCACAACCTTGGTCAAGCACTTAAACACACTCAATGACCTCTCCAGACTTGATGCTGCAGCAGTCTCCATCGGCCTAGCACAAGAATCAGCATCATCGCTCGATCCAAACCCTCAGGAACACGCAGGTGCCCAAGCTGTTTTCGTCAGGAATGAAAGTTTAACTTACACATTCAACACCAAAGTTCTCGCACTGAGCGAAGATGAAGTCACGAGTGTGGCACGAGCTGGAATCATCTCCATTCTCCTGCTCACAAGCCGTGAGATCAGCCCAGCAGCAGTCCTCTCCCTGGGAGCACTGTCTATTATCAGCAATTACTCCTCCACCCCCGATTATGACGAAGTCCAATCACTGGGTATCTTCAAATGGAAAACCAAAAAAAATCGAATAACTCACAGCAAGAGCAGCAGTGGCAAAAGCCAAAAGAGCAACGAACGAGATTTGCATTTTGAAGTAGGTTAAGGTACGTAGCTTAAACCGAGAGATCGAGCGACGTAGGTGGAATTGAATGTAAAGGATAATCGTGATAGGAAAGGTAAAGACTGTTGAGGTGATCCTGTATTGATATCGCGAAATCAAAAGATGAGACGCAAAGGGATCTTGTACTCTACTCCTTTCCCTCCTTTCTCCCAACCATCCAGCTAAGACACGACAATCTCTCTTCCAGGTTCGCGACCCCGTCGCCAAGGTCAAAGTGGATGCGCATGTTCATCATCCAAGCATCAAGCGAGGAACCAAGTATCCGTGTTCAAGAATGAGTTTTCTTGGCGGTCTTGTTCATCCCGTTGTTTATTATTTTTGAATACCCGGATATCATCAAGATTAACTCTACATTCTGGAGGAATTGTCGATTTTTGCTCAGAAGATAGCGATAATCAATTGTATTTGTTGACAAACATGAGCATGGAAGATGTTTACCGCCAAGTGCCAAGTACAAACATCTAATTTCCGTGTCCCCCGATGTGCCCCTATCAACAACCTCTTGGTTATTGGCGCTTGGAAGCTAAATTGCACCTCTCCCTGTGAATGCTATTCGTTCTTTAGGCGCGTATAAGTTACTGGGCGTATGTCAGATTGATGATTCTGGCTCTGTTCATGATGATGGAGAGCGAGAGGAAATAGAACATAGGGGCTTCTAAGCGAGGATGCTTTGTTTTGTTTTGCTTGGGGAGTTAAACTCGAGCAGGAGTGGGACGGAACCACTTCATGATTTCTTCGTATTGTACAGGACAAACTTAATGAACAAATTCTATATTTAAGATAATCGGCGCAGAAGAGGCCGTTTCACTCTCAGTGTCATTGGAGAAATGGGACTTTCTTATGAGGACTTGGGAGGCCCAGTGGGATACACAGAACGTGCGGAAAATAAAGCATTTCGTAGAAAGGCTCGCATGTATTCAATGCTACCACTCCAGCTAACTAGCTATAGACTTGTGGGCATTACAGAATAGGGTAGGATACCTACTGTTCATCCATTCCCTTCAGACTCCCCCAACCTCAGTAGCACTCCCGCAAAGTCATAAATGCTAGAATGCTCATGGTATTATTTTTTGAGTTTCTTCCCCCTCCCTCCACCCGTGCATCTCTCCATCCATCCGTTCGTGAGTGAAGTAGCAACTCCGCGCATATCAATCGCAAACAATGCAATGCATCGCAGAACAGCTCCCCGAAGCAAGCCGGGAAACCAGACTAGAACGGTACCAGAAAACTAGGGAGTTTGAACCACCCAACCCCAATATAGAGCTGTTCGAATACTGCCGCCAGTCAAACCCCCATTTTGTATTCGCAAAGGCGGAAATGCCGTTGCAAGACTTTTGTGCATCGGTCTGGAAAAACACGTTCGTTTCTGTCCGATCGCTCAAGCAATAATCGACCCCTGTGCAACGCCTGTGCGCCGATAATCAAACATTGGAAAAAATGTGTCGCTGCACAGGTCGTTTAATTCATTCGGTCATGAGATGCTCTAATCGAGACTTGGGAGCGTAAAGTCGACCCAGCTTCGAGTAATGGCAGGAACGGCATCCTTGCCGAGGAGCTTGTCAACTTTTTCCATCCAACCTACGACTTCCCAGTCCCGACCGTTGGCTTTGCGTTCCTCATTCGATACAAGAGGGGTTTCGAGGACTTTGATGCGGCGTTTCTCACGTTCATCAATAACGGCATTGATGACGTTCTGTCGTAGCGCTGTGGTTGCCCAGCCTTGAACATTACCTAGACGGGGAGAGTCGAGAATGTACTTCAGGAGATCCCAAGGTAGGTTAAGCAAGAGCTTGGACAAAGCGACCGTGGCAGGGTTCTCAGCGACGGTTCGAGAGCTGTCTTCTGAAGGATGATCTCCAAACTTAATTGCGCTGAGACGAGGGTTGTGGCCGGCTTGTGGGATAGTGGGAAGTCGACGATTGTGGGCTGGTTCTCCAACAGTAGGATCAAGAACGAATCCAGCAGGGAAATTGGAAATGATGAACTGCAAAGAGTGATGGACGAGAATGTTGGCTGCTGGACTGTAGGTTGGAACTTTGTGCTGAGAAGCTGCACGAAGTCCAGGAGGTCCAGCAAACCATTGCGAATCCAGCCCACCGTCCAAAGCAAAGTCGAAAGCCTTCTCAATAGTATTCCAACTGAGCAACTGGCTTGCGACTTCCATTCCTCGTGTAATGACTGGAGGGATATTCAACAGCTTGCCAGCTGCTGCATAGCCTAACGCAAGATCGAAGCGGGCAGCGGGAGGACCGACAGATTCAGCGTTCGCAACCATAGTCGGGGCTCCATGAATACCGACTTCCATCAGCGCAGCTCCGTATAGTCTGTGAGCGGCCATCCAGAATCCATCCGAGCATAGGAAGCGATCACTTGACTCGATTAAAAGAGTTCGAACCGTCTGGCCGTCGTTATTGCTCTCTCGAGCTTGAGCAGTCATGAGACTCTTCAATGTCGAACTACGGGCAAACATCAGGTTGTGGCCGGGGATGCGAACGGGTTCAGCCCGATCATCAGAGTAGCGGAGTTCAAGAGTATAATCCGCGAATGTAGGGTCTGCGAATTGTTGTTGGAGGTAGTAGAGTAAGCCGTCGAAGTTATCCAGAGAAGGAGGTCCTTGTGGCACGAAAGTACCTGGCGCTGGGCCAACGGCATGAGTACCAATTGCTTTTGGGACCGACGAATAGACGCGAACTTGATCAATGTGACCGTTGCTTCCGTTGGAGATGACTGCAGTAGGGTACTGGCTGTAGAATGCTGGCGCCTCGGGGTCATTGGCAACTGAGGATTGAGAACCATGGAAGCTGTGTGGGGTGGAGGGATCAAAGTTCATTCGTGGATCACCGGTGACAGGAGTGCCGCTTGGAGAGTATCCTTCAGGTGGACCAAACGAGACCATTTGTCTTCTAGCATGATTGTCATAAAGCTCGGGGCGTGGGTAGAATCCCGGGGGAAACTGAGGGGTCATCTGGTACGCATTGGCAGGATTGTAGCCATTGGGTGGCGGCTGCGAGTGAGGGGGAGCATATCCACTGAGGGCATGATTTTGTGGGTACTCGTATCGTGGAGGATTATTCGTGAACGAAGGTGGTGCGGGAGATGATCGTTCTGAATCCGGGAACCCTCCAAAGACAACATTGCCACCGCTAGGGTGTGGTTGGTGCATAGCATGTTGCGCGTTGAACACAGTATTGGAAGAGGTTGTGTTGTTACCGTTGGGTTGGCTTTGTGCGGGGACGAAGGCAGGAGGCATTTGATAAGTCGACCGAGACGCAGAGGATTGTCCTTCGGAAGGTGCAGACTTTGGCGTTTCTTGCGTTTCTGCTGCATGCCGAGTCAGCTGTGATCTTGCATGAAAGAGAAGGGCGTATGCCTTGTGCTTACCAAGTACTTCCTCTTGAACAGAGACCTCTGACTCTTCAACAGCAGCTTCCTCCTCTTCAGCGGGGATCGAAGGAGTATCTGACATTGAAGGCGAAGCTGGCTCAGCTATCTCCTCTACCTTCTCCGAGACCTGTCCATCAGAAGAGCCATTGGTTATGGATGGAGTGGTCTCCTCGACTGCAGGTGGCGGTGGTGTTGGAGTGCGCACATCGTCAACGACCGGTGGAGGTGCAGCAGCTTCTTCCTTTGCCTTGGCGCGCGCGGCCTCCTGCTGTTGACGCTTCTGCACATATGGCAGTGGGATCACAGGCACAACCTTCCTCGGACGAGGCCGATTCTGGATCTGCTGCAGAGGCTTTGAAGCGGTAGCCGGGGCCATTGCGGTGAAAGTTGAGATAGTCAACAGTGGAGTTTTGCTGTGCCGATACCGATAGAGATTGCTGCTGGTTTTCGTTACTTGGTCCGAGAGACTTCCCCAAGATTAACATGGACCAACGAGCTGGACATGTAGCCTCTGGGGGAGTCGCACGTCTTTGGCAGAGCAGAGCAGTCGGGGAGAATTGCTGGACTGCGTTTGCAAGAAGGTGAAGCTCGACCGGGGAGCTGGAGCTGCTTCTGCTATGACCGAGCAGATTTAATTCCACCCCGCCTCTTCGCTTCGGAGGGAGGCTAAACTGGATTCGGTCTGGCACCGACTTACCTCGTTTGCAGGGAAATAAAAACAAACCTCACGTCCAGAAAAACATCGGTTTGGAAAGTGATTTCTTGCTTATAGTGGTAAGCAAATAAGCATTAAACTTTTGAGTTCAAAGTGAATGTAAGCGTCATTTTAAATATAAACAAAAGAACTGGTTTTAAGGAGCCTGTCTGGTCTGCAATTCCATAGGACATGGTTACATAGAAAACTCCCTTACCTCGAGTATTTGACCTCCAGGCGGCCCGGGCATTGTTCATCATAGCGCACATCTTGACTCGACTTCAGATGGTGGCTGACAGAAGCAGATTCTCGAGTTTGATGAACCACAAACTGCGAAGGTTTCCATTCCTGGGGGACACAAAGACGCGGCAAGCCCCACTTCCCTTGGACAAGGACTTTTTCTCTTCGTAGCATGGGCGTGACAATGAAAATCGTTTACTCCTTTGGCCTTTTTGCTTCTCGGCATGAGGAATGCTTGGAGCTACTAGGGAAACTCTGTGCTGAAAGGCGCACCGGGTTTAACTTGTGCGAAGGGATGTAGCCCTCGATAACTTTCCTGACGCGAGGAGTGCTTTTCGATCAAGTGACAAGGTAATTGAGCATAGTGCTGTTTTGCCCAGGTACATTCTACGTCTACACTGAATATGGCGGAACTACCGTTCATCTTTTGTATTATTGGCGTTCATGTGACCATGTCTTCTTTCTGAATCAAGCACCTACCTACCTCTATACTGGCAAGGAACTGCAAGTGCATGCAATCGAAACTTGCGGTTGTTGCTAGACAAAGATTACTTGTACTGTTTTGAATCTTTGAAAAGTGATACTGAGATCATTTATCACTCCTCATTTCTCGCCGCAGAAAGTACCAAGAATCAAATTACTTTGTGTAGTCCTCGATGCAATACATGAGCCATACCATTCTCAAGTAAATTGTCAGCATGTTCAGGTTCGACAATTCATTGAATGTTCCGCTATCATGTTTTCAAGCGAGGGAACGTATAGTGTCCAGACTCCATACTTGGCATTCAAGCTCGCCTGAGCAGGTAGAGTATGCGTTGGCGTCTGTGACCGGGATAATTTCGAGACTTAGCTGAGGTTTAGATGCTAGGCCATTGGAGAATAGTTTTAATTAAGATCCTCCAGTGTTACCTTGTGATCTTATAGTTATACTCAACACGATTTACAAGCCACCAGCCATTTTCATACATTGTAGCGAAATCTAGAGTCGAAATGCCTACCCTGTAAGACACTTCACCATGTTATCTCTGTAGCACCTTGAAAGATTTCACTACTCTTTCCTCAAGTCATCATATGGTATCTGTCCCCAAGATAGGGACAGGCACGTAAAGCAGATGACTCTAAGTATCGTTCTTGACGAAAACTTTGGAGCACGGCTTTCTTCACCATACAACAAGTCTTACCCTCACCTTTCGTCTTGCATGCTTGAAGCTCCATTCGTGACTTTGCAAAAGTGTACGATCTATTTCAAATCAGGCCTACGTATCAACTGACAAGCCCGTTGTATATCTTAATCTTTACCCAACACCTGCACCAATACCCCCATCCTTGCGCATGATTCATTCAGTTCAGATTATTATCCCCCTTTCATTCCTTTTCTTGCAAGGAAATAAAGATATTGCGCTAAGCCTCAGACCAGGATCGCTGACTGCAATGTGATGGAACTCGAAGTCAAGTCTGAATAACTCAACTAGCCCTCACAACCAATCAATCCTCGCTGCCTTCTTTTTGGAAAACTACGCTGATTACTCGGTGACGCTTCGTATGCAATGCAAGGTAGATCAGCTGCTTTTCCCTGACCTGGTGGCTACGGGCTTCCTATCCCATGAGACGGATTAAATTGACCTCGAGCTATGAACACTAGTCAGAAATTGAGCTGGGATCGGGAAAATGCATGAACAGTGGATAACTCGTAATATGATGGCTCCATTTGATCAGGAGAACATTCCGTAGGGTTCAGTCCTTGTCCTAAGCAGAAGTTACCGACTACATATTGCTTTCTGCAGTGTTTGTTTTGTTTCAAGGCCTTGATATACTTGGTGAGGGGGTGTAAACACAGCAATCTGGAAGAAGCTCGGAATGCGATGTTTACAACACCGAGTAGAACCTACTCGGCGATCATTGATGATGGTCTTTTAGTTCAACTCAATGTAACCCAACGCACCGCACTGCAAACCAATGTCCCATATTGAAACCGCAATTCAAATACCTCACTCAACATGAACACCTCCTGTCGGGCCCCGCGGGAAATGGCCGATTTGAGGGCAAAGGCCACCACCAAAATATCAAAAGGTCCTTGGTGATAAAGTAGTATTATCTGCACGACTAATGTTTTATTTTCTTTCAAAAATAAAGCATTAAACAGATTCAAGGTCTCTAGTAAAGCTATTGAAGTTATAGTAACTTAATATCAAGTTTTGTTGTAGAGAATCCAACTGTTAGCAAGTGTCCCCAAATCTGCCACTTCCCGCGGGGGTGTAGAGCACCTCTTCACGATCCACCAGGGATAACAGAGTTCCCTGCTAATGCTGACATCAATGTTGTACCTGGATCTCACCACATGGATCATCCCATCCATGTCCTCTTTACTAGAACAGTCAGATTTTCTCGAAGCATGCATATCCTCTTTCCAGAACTCTTCCATCCCTTCATCCGACATCATTACCTGGTTCACGCCTTCCCAAACGCAGGGTCTTCGCCGCACTCTGTCTCACTAACGCATGCATCTCGTCAACCCAATTATTCCAACCCTCATCTCGTAACAAAAACTTGAATAACAATCTCGAGATCCCAAACCTCAAATCTTCAAACGGCAAAAGAATACTCTCCTGTAAGCCCAAGGCTCTGAAGCTAAGCCAATTAAGCGACGTCAAAACAGGCACCCCGTATGACAGGATCTCAAGATAGACGAAGCATCGAATAAGAAACGCCCAAAGTCTTAACTGTTTCTTGGAACGGATGCAGAGGCGTTCATCCGGCATACCTAATACGGCCCGCGGCTGCACCCTGATCGGGCCTTTCCACGGACGAGTCGGTCATTCATCCGTCTTGGCAGCTTGCATTTGGTAGCCGAGCAGCAGAAGATTCTCTTCGTACTACATCAACCAGTCAGTGCCTGCAGTGGCGATCTTGGCTTCTCTTTATCTCCGCTTTCTTTCCCGTATTCTGGGGTGTGGAGAGTTGAGATGGGAGGTCGGATTGGTTTGTTTGTTTAGATGTGGGTACACGTGGGGAGGTGAACGTTTCCCCAGATGTGCGTGGGCGGCCGGGAGTGAAAGTAAGCTTGAATAATGAAGGGCACGGCAGGGGCTCTTGCATTTAGCCTAAGTGTCACAATGCTCCGGGTAATATGTCCTTGATTGATGATCGCCTCAACGTCCGTACTTGGATGGCTGGCTATTGCACCGGCTACTGCTATGAACCTGGATTGAAGATGTGGTTGGATTCATGGATCTTTTGAGGTAGAGAGGGACGAGGATGTTGGAAATCCTACATATGTCCGGTGATGTCCTGCTGCTTTGTTGCAGCTTGCTTCTCCTCTTCTCTTTATCTTCAAGGACTTTCTGTGTGAGAAATACTTCAGACAGTCGGAGGTGACACCTTGATCTGGTGCAGTCTGTTTCGACTTCGATCAAACATCACCGACGACAAAGGATCCACCGAAGAAACCGCCAGTATGGTTCAGATCGTCGAAGCTTCCAAGGTGTCGGAGGGGACATTAGGTTTCTCTGACCCCGTCGTCACCCAGATCGCCAATGAGGATACAGTGAAATGGTACAAGAAGCCAAATCTCAGAATTATGTATCTTTACCTGTTCTTCTGCTGCATGGGCGTTGAGATGACCTCTGGATTCGACTCTACACTCATTGGGACACTTCAATTCTCCGATCCATGGAATAAGTGTACGTCGACAAGCGGGCTTCCTCTTGCTGCATCTCACAAAACTGTGACGTTGTTCAGATCTTTGCTAACGAAGAAAACAGACTTCAGTGATGGTGCGAAAGATTCTAAGGGCAAGCCGGTCTTGTCAGCTCCTCTCCTCGGTTTCGTCTCGGCTTGCTATCAACTCGGGTCCATCATTGGAGTGCCCATTGCACCTTGGTTCAATCAACGATTCGGTCGCAGATGGTCAATTATGTTTGGATCGATCATCATGGTTATTGGAGCTATCATCCAGGGCTTCGCACAAAATCGTGAGTTAGCGCCCTTTCCCTTCCAGGATTCTTTTGGTCAAGAGTGTCAGAATTGAAGCTTACACTACCAAGTTGGGATGTATATTTTCTCTCGAATGGTCCTTGGATTTGGTATTGTCTTTGCCATCATTTCAGGGTCTTCTTTGATTGGAGAGTTGGGTCACCCGAAGGACAGATCAACATTGACTTCACTCTTCAATGCCTCCTACTACATTGGACAGATTACCGCCGCAGCTATCGCTCTTGGTACTACCAATATCCCCAGCAACTGGAGTTGGCGTCTTCCATCTCTTTTGCAAATGTGCCCGTCCTTCTTGCAGATCGGATTCGTCTTGTGAGTACCTTTCCTTTGCAGGGATGATAAGAATATGTTTCCCTTCATGCATCCATAGACTGTCTATATTTCAAAGGCTAACAAGAATCAACCAGCCTCCTCCCAGAGTCCCCCAGATGGCTCATCAGTCGAGACCGATACGACGAAGCCCACGCGATTCTCATCAAATACCATGCTGAAGGCGACCCTTCCTCAGTCCTCGTCACAGCCGAAATCGCCCAAATCAAAGAAACCATCCAAATCGAAATCGGCAACAGCAAACAGTCCTGGCTCGACATGATCCGCACCTCCGGTATGCGCCGCCGTGTCCTCATCTCCGCCTTCCTCGGACTCTTCACGCAAATGTCCGGCAACTCACTCCTCTCATATTACCAAAACCTACTCTACGAGATGATGGGATATACAACCAAGTATGCCAAGACGCGCATCAATCTTGCCAATGCCTGCTGGAGTTTGCTCGTTTCTACTATTGCTGCCTTTGCGGTTGCCAGATTCAAGCGTAGACATATGTTCATGCTCAGCGCGGCTAGTATGTGTACTGTGTTCACGGCGATGACCATTTCATTCCAGCAGTTGCGGAAAGCTAAGGATGCTGGAGTACGTAATAAAGCAGCAGGTGTTGCAGCGCTGTTCTTCTACTTTGCGTATGCGCCTTGTTACAGCATCGGTAACAATGCTTTAACTTACAGTACGTACCTTTCCCATCCCTCATGAACCATTTCCAGTCGCCACAATAAAGATCTAACTGATATCCCCCCAGCCTACCTCATCGAACTCTTCCCCTACTCCGTCCGCACACGCGGTATCGGAATCGAGCAAATCTTCGGCAAAATCGGCCTCTTCTTCTCCAACAACGTCAACCCCATCGCGCTCAAAGCCATCGACTGGAAATACCTCGCCATCTACTGCGGCTGGATCGCCTTCGAGTTCCTTTTCATCTACTTCATGTATCCCGAGACGAGCGGTCGTACGCTTGAAGAGTTAGCGTTCTTGTTTGAGGATAAGGCCCTGGCTGAGCAGGCTGTGGTGGCGGTCGAGAAGCAGATCCATCAGGAGGATATGGATCCGTCGAAGCAAGTTATTGTGCATTCGGAGAATGTGCAACCGTCTAGGGTTTGATTTGTAAATCTTGGGATGTGCCCGCTTGGGAGCAAGAGACTGGTCTCGAAATACGGTGGGATGAGATTGAGCGTGTATCGATGTGCAGCGTGATATTGAAATGAAATCATTTCCAACTCGTGTTTCTTTTTATTCCAATTCGAACCACCTCTGCGTGAGATCATCCTTGAATCATATCCTCGCCGAGATAAATTGCTTGTAGTACAGAATCGGGGAATGGGCGACGAGCAAACGGCAGCTCGCTCATCGCATCAAACAATTCTCACAAAACGTCTTGTAGGTCCTGTTTATATAGTAGATGGACCCTTCCTTGATCTTTACTTCTTCATTGTCTCGTGTCAAACCATTTCCTGTCCACAGTCAAGCGCCCAGCTTTCTATACGTTGTTAACTTCCCGGTCATCTCAGCTACTAATCCTCTTCTTCTCGACTGTCCATCCTCCCCTTAGTGTCCAAATCAACCATGACTACTACCCCATGAATTTTCAGATCGTGAAGTATCGTTGCTTCCGGTGGTCCTGCTAAGCGTTCCGAGAACAACAGAGCCTCATTTCGGAAGTTGCTTAGCAAACAAAGTAAGCGAGAAAACAATACCAACGAGCGCCAGAGACTCCAGCCTGTATCTTGTTACGGGATTGCGGGTTTTCACACAAAAGCTTCAAAGACTCAATGCTGATTGGTGGATTTGAAGGAGGGTTTTCATACCGAAGCTAAAAAGTTGCTTTTGTATTGGAGCGGAAACCCTGCTATGTTAGTCGCCTTGAGAAAGGCTTCATACTTTTGGAGGCCCAGCGTGTTAATATGTGTGCATTGAGTCTGAGTACGGGGGTGTACTACTTGGCGTACTCAGCACGACCGGTCTCTGTACGATAACCCATAAGAACTCGCTTTAAGATTTTGTAATCTTTGGTTCACTTCAGTATCTCACCTACCCGTACCTGGTACTAGGGTAGGTAATCCAGACTCAAGCACTTATTTTGGGCATATTAAAAATAGAGGATTCCTACCCAGAATATTCTCAGTATAATTCAATCGTACTTATCGAAGTAGAACCGGTGTGGTGTACTCAAATACATTGAGTACTCTTTGCTCACACATAACAGTCACCAATGTCCAGTGGGGCCGCACCCCTGAAATTGCCTCCGGCGCCCCGCCACCCACAATCTATTTCGAGACGCCACGCAGCCAGGGGATCGCATCAGCACCACCTCTTTATTTCAACCTCTGCCCTCCAACAACATATAACAATCATTTCCATTCAATCTGTATCTAGCTCTGTTTCTGTTGGACCGGCCCTTGACCACATCATGGCGTTCTATACGCCCATCGCACCTCCAACACCGCGTATTATCGTGACCGATCACGCCGACAACATCAACACCGTCCACGTGCCATGGAACCGCAACCTCTTAGCCGCGCTATGGATCTCGCAGTTGCTCTTCCTATTATTCGGACTAGCTGTCTTGCCGTATGAATTTTACGGTATCATATCAATTCAAGAAATGTACGTTCTCTTTTTCTCACCCCTTTCTGCTCAACCCATACCCCTTTCCCATGCCGTCCTCTCCTTTCTATCAATCTCGAAAAGCCGGGTATTAAACAACACTCTCTACAGTCTCATTGGCATAATGGCACTAGGAAACGTCGTCCTGATGTCCACGCCTCTGATTGAAGCCCATCACTACGCAACCGGTAACTTGGCTCCGCAATTCTTCCACAAGTTGCAGGGGTACAAGGCCAAATGGGTTGCGGGGAGCTTGGTTGTTATCGTGCTTACCCAGGCGGGGAATAAGTATAAGAGTGTTTGGGGTGTGCTTTGGGCTATTGTTGCTGATGTGCTTTATTCGTGAGTTTGACTATTCTTTCTCGTTGTCTTTGTTTCTTGGATTTCGACTTTGGCAAGGGTTGGGTTTCTTCACGGAAGTAGAAGTGGTCAGGATTGTTGGGGACATGAGAAGAGATATTGTTAAGGATTGGAGCCGACGGAATCATCAGATTACCGTTCGTGGCTGGTATGTTGTACGCCAAGGAGATGTTGAAGGAACCGATTGCGAGTAAAGATGGAGCTGAAGATGTGGAGAGCGGAAGTGTACGACTGGGATAAAGGCATATCTTGCTTCTCCAGAAATTCGAGAGAAGTTTTGTCTGAAATGTACTACTCACCCAGAATATAGAATGCTCAGTCGCAGATAGAAATAGATGCTTTGAATCCATCGTGCTCATATCGAGACACAATCAAAGTTATGTCCCTGCTCGCTTCGCGGGACTGCTAGAGCAGCGATGGAAACCATGATAGAGTTCTTTGCAAAGTTTTCCTCTCCTGACCGACTTCATATATCGGTCATGTGGTGTTAGAACTCAACTTCCCTCGTTGTATTTAAATCTTACTGTGCGACAATTGCGATTTAATGCGAGACTCCAATCCCGAACTATCTCACAGTGCCGTCTAGTACTGTAGACAACTTCCAACCCCACGCATCGATTCTCAAGACGAACATGGATATGGCTTGCCCTGTTTGCAACTCAATCCGATACCAGCAGCCTTTTGCCTTTGTATGGAGCAATGGAATAGATCTATCTGAACAAAGTCTCGACGCACGTCCAGGCCGTAAATCATCTCGAGCCAAGAGAAAGTCAATCTCAACACAAACAGTACATCTACTGGTCCAGGACTGATGTCACAAAAACCCACCCCAGACACTGGTCAACAGGTCCGAGTCAATGCATGAAAGTCAAACTAGTGAAGCCAGCCCTGCGGCGTGGAATTCCAGAGAGGAGACTAGGATTGGACGATGAGCATGCGGGCGGTGTTGAGGGGTTGCAGACTACGGCCGGCGCCCGAGGTCGATCTGGGGTGCTTGTAGTGCGGGGTGGGTGAACTGAAAGCTTGAGGGGAGGGAACGTCACTGCTTTAAAAGGTTGCATGTGCTTGCTACTCTCATGGTTTTTGAAACTTCTGGATCTTTGACAGTAATTACCAATTGAGAGAAATTTTGAGCGAAATGGCTGCGTTTGGACCAGAAAGGTATGTTTTCAATCCTAGAGGAGCGCTAGATGGGATGAGCTAATGGGCGCCTCTTAGTGTTGCGTTCGTAACCGGTATTTACAACTTCTTAATCCTCGTTTGAATTGCTGTGAAAAAGAAAATCAAATATCGCCGGTGTCTTTCTCACATCTCATTTGAGCAGGAAGAATATAAGAAATCATAAACTGAACCCAAAGCTCATACAACACCAGGTGCTGCATCCGGAATCGGGCTCGCCGTCGCCCGCCAACTCCTGCTCGACGGCGTCACCCAAATAGCCGTCGTCGACATTTCCAATGAAAGTCTCACCACCGCTGCCACCGATCTCCAATCCTCATCTCCCAAAGCCCAAATCCTACAAATTGCAGCAGACTGCAGTTCCGAAAGCGAGGTCGACGGCGCGGTGCAGAAGACTGTTGAGAAATTCGGAAGACTGGATGTGTGTTTCAATGCGGCCGGAATGGCAGGAGGGTTCAGTGGGATCGCGGATATGGATGTTGCTGACATGGATAAAGTTTTGGGGTTGAATCTTAGGGGTGTTTGGTTGTGTGAGAGGGCGCAGATCAGGCAGTTTTTGAAGCAGGATGAGAGGGATGTGAAGTGAGTACTTTCCCCGACTGTCTTTCCTTCGATCTGCACCTACCACTAGGCAATTGAAGTTGCAGCTTCCAAAGCTTTACATACCTGGCAAAGACGTCGTTGGACTGACAAACATAGTACCGGATTACCGCTCAAAACTCGAGGCAGTATCGTCAATGTCGGATCCCTCTGCTCTCATTTCGCCATTCCAACGCTCACTCCGTACATCATGGCCAAACACGGTGTTCTGGGCTTGACTAGAGCGGACGCCATGGACTATGCTACGCATGGTGTTCGCGTAAATTGCATCTGTCCAGGCTGGATCGCGACCAAGATGACAAGTGCGCTTGTAGACGGCGAGATGATTGATGTAAGTAGCTGAGACCTATCCGAGCCCTTCGATGAGCCTTCGCCGTTCTGCGTAATACAGATGCTGATGAAACACAGATGGGCAATAAGGTAATCTCAAGAGCTCCAATTAGTAGATGGGGTTATCCGCAGGAGGTAGCTTTCATGGCCTGTTTCTTGCTTAGCGACAGAGCGAGTTTTGTGACGGGTTCGTCCATTACTGTTGATGGCGGGTATAACGCTGTTTGAGTCGTTTGGTAACGTTTCAGCGTGGCTACTGTACCTGTGAAATTGATAACAAAGTATGATAACCAACCATGCTGAAAACTTACCCCATATCACTTTCGTGCCACTCGCAGATGCGCTGCTCATGAAACTTCAGACTTGAAATCGTTGCTCTCAATTCCAAGACTCTATCGTACACATATAAAACAAGACCTCCAGGTCCATGCAAATGCTGAATGACCATGCCCAATATACATTACAGCCCCAAAAACGCCTGGCTATGTCGAATACAGAGGGAAGATTTCTTCTTTCGTATGGCATCGGGGGTCGGTAGTGTCGTTGGTCTCCAGTTTGATCCATCTGCCTTCAACAACTTGAATCGTCCCCTGACTCGCCCCCGACCACCAACCGTCATCCGGCACCTAACCATCACCGCCGAAAGTCATTTCACCGATCTTTGAACACCTTCGGTTTCCACCCCTCTTTCAACTCCGCTTCCCTCCCCGCCAACTCCTCCTTCATCCTAACCTCGGCCTCGATCCTCTCCCTCGCCCTCAACACCTTACTCTGCAGATAAAAGCTCCCCCCCTTCGCAGGATCATTGACATCAAACAGCTTCTTAAACCTGTCCATCACATCCTCCATATTCGCCTGGCCATTCTGCGGCGGCTTGACATTCAGAATCTTGCATGCTTCTTCGAGGGTGAGGCCGTTCGAGGAGAAGGACCCGGAGCCTCCTGGGTTGCCGGCTTTGGCTTGGGCTTTGGCGTATTGTGAGGATGCGGACGCTTGCTTGTAGGCTTCGGCGAAGGCGCGCCCTACGACGCGGGTGCCGGTGAAGATTACTTGGGTTATTATGCGGTGCGCCTGGTGAGTATTAGCATGGCCATTTTCGAGTCGAACGAAATCAACAGTGGCGCTGATTGCTGTCCATTGAACTCCCGCCCATAATTGAGGATTTGATGGATAGGAAGTAAGAGGCATACCATGATGTGATAAAGCGCAGGCTCACAAAGTCCAGTCGCCGGATTGAAGAAGGGTAGAATACAGAAGCAGAAGTGTGAAGATCAGCCACTCTCAATCAATCATCCAAAGTTCAAGTCGGGCAACATTTTCTGTCCCGGCCCGAATCGGAACGGAAAAACATTTACTGTCAGGATTTCCCAAAAACTTGTTTCTGCCTCAGGCCGATATCAACACCTTCCACCCAAGAACACCTCTCCAAAAAAGGCAACCTAGCATCAAGACCACATTGCCATTGCCATTCCACACCCACCTCTCCCATCAATTACGCCAGAACTAATTCCAAACTCTCGAGACATCCACCACACAGCTTCAAAATGGCACAATTTTTCCAGCAGCCCCCCCAACCCAACACCTCTCCCTACGGCGCATCAGCATCCTCCGCGCAAAACCTCCAGTTCTACCCATCTTCATACACGCCTGGTCCGGTGTCAGGACACGCCACGCCGTCGCAAGCTGCATATGGGTATGGTGCGCCGGCGGGTAGTCCTGGGTATGGAGTCCCTGGCGGCGGGGGAGGGTACGGTGCTGGATTTGGGGCGCCGCCTGGTGTGAGTGGGAGGATGGGGGAGCAGGGTGGGTTGAGGACGGGGTGGTTGGCTGCGTTTGGGACGGAGGGGTATGATGGGGAGCCACCGTTGTTGGTAGAGCTTGGAGTGAATTTTGGGCATATTAGAGGGAAGGTATGTTGACTTATTCTTTCTTTTCCCATCTTTCACTTCCTTTCACTATGATCCAAAATCAACAATGAAAGCATATCAAGAAGATTTGAAGTATGGATTGGATTTGGACATGAAATTCGAATTTGGATTCGCTAACACACTTTCCGTCCCTTAGACCCTCGCAGTCCTCAACCCCCTCGCACACATCGACCAGCACATAATGGACGACTCCGACCTCGCCGGCCCCATCCTCTTCTTCCTCCTCTTCGGCACCTTCCTCCTCTTCTCCGGCAAAGTCCACTTCGGCTACATCTACGGCCTCGCCCTCCTAGGCTCCTGCTCCCTCCACACCATCCTCTCCCTCATGTCTCCCCCCTCCGAACCCACCACCCCTTCCCCAGGCCGCCAATCCTCCTCACACCTGTCCTCCAGCCTGACATTCCCGCGCTCGGCCTCCGTCCTGGGATACTGTTTATTACCCCTCGTGTTGACTAGTATGATTGGGGTGCTTTTGCCGATGGATGGCATGTTGGGGTATGTTTTGACGAGTATGGCGGTGGGGTGGTGCACGTATAGTTCTAGTGGGATGTTTTGCGTGGTGGGGAGGATGAGGGGCATGAGGGGGTTGGTGGCGTATCCGTTGGCGTTGTTTTATGTTGGCTTTGGGATTATGGGTATTTTTTCGAGTAGGGGGAGTAAGGGACTTGGTGGTAAGGTTGCGGGCCTGTGATGGGTAGGAGGGGAGAGCTTATGATTGAGCAGAATGTATGATCGACTGGTTTTTTGGTGAAGGCTTGCATGGTTTGCGGAAAGTGAAATGCGGCATGGCATGGATGGAGACTCGCTTGTGTATTGTAGACATGGGCTTGAGCGTGGATAGATATGCATAAGCAATTGACTTGCAGATGTCCATACCGTGGATTCATTTGAGGACGTGAAGCGAGAGTAAGTGGGAATCATCAAGCAGCATTCAATGTTGGTATTCGCTAAAGTACACGCCAAACCCAAGACCCCACACATCCAGTAGGGATGGCATCCAATTCATACAGTCCTCAGCCCAGCGCAACCCATCAGAAATAACTTTCCCATAATTCAATGCTCTCGAGCTTAGCCTCTAATCAATTCACTGATCCAGTCCCATCCTAATATCATCACTAACACCCCACGTATCGACATCTCTCGGCCTCGTCCCCCCAGGGCCCTCATCATCACTCTCCCCCCTCTTACTATGCATACTCATCGTCGTACTCCTTTCACTACTGGCCGTCCCCCTCCTCCTCAACGTCCCACTCCTAAACGCCGCACCAACACTCCCCTTCAAACTCTCCTTATCGCTCTTACTAGCGCCATCGGAGCCTTTACTGCGGATACTGTCTTTGATGCTGAGGTTGTCGCGGTCTTTGTCTTTGTCTTTGTCGGTGAGGCTGTACTCTGGTGGTGGGCTGGTGAAGGTTGACGAGAGGGAGGTGGACACTGAGGCGGGGTTGGAGGTGGTGGGTGTGCGTGTTGTTTGAGGGCTGCTGTTGCGGGTGGGTGTTGGGGAGGGTGTGATTTCCGTGGAGGGGGACACTTCGACGAGTTCGGCGTCGCGGTACCATTTGCGGCGGCGGGTGTAACGTCCCCAGCCGTCTACGCCTCTGCGTCCGTTTTGCCACTGTGGGTGAGTATTAGTATTGGTCGAGAATAGAAGAATCCCAAGATTGGGAGGATAATAAGCATACCTTGTTGTCGTAGTATATCCAACCCTGGCCTCCGTCAACAGTATCTGACTTTGCCTTTGTGCCGCCCTCATCACTTTCCGCAGCTCCTTCTACAAGCCACTGACTACCCTCTGCCCATCTCCATCTAGCGGCACCACCTTCCACGTCCGGCAACTCGAATTCCTCTTTTGCTGGTGCGGAGTTCAGATGTTCGTCTGTCCAGGCAGCTCGCTCATAAGCGAATAAAGACGTGGTCCATCCCAATCCAACCCATCGTCGTTGATTCTCGTAAAGTATGAAGGTAAATCTAACACCAGGTGCGTCTGGCCTTCTCTTGGCAGCTGCTGCCGCTGCGAGTGTAGCCTTTTCTTGGATTTCGGACTTGCTTCTCGGAGGCAGTGGTGGTTTGTCGGAACTAATGGGTGGTGGGATGGGGACGTCGTTAAAATGGAGGCCTGTTATTACAGCGCATACTCGGCGGACTGAAGCTGATCTCCATAGAATTGTTCGCGTGACTCTGTTTGGTCGTGAATGCCAGGTAAAGAATATAGTTCCTGTGAGAAGAACGATTCGTTTGGTGGTGATGATTTGTATGGGACTTAGTGTTAGAAGGATCCATAGCGGGGTAACTAAGAGAATTCTGATCAGGAGGGTGGTAAGAGCTGGTCTTGTTGTCGCGGATGTAGCTGTTCTTTGGGTGGAAAGGAAGTCGGTAAGTTCGAGCAGAGGATCCAAGAGTACGTTGCAACGAGATGTAAACACCTTCAGCGTTTCCACAATCTCGTCTAATGTCTTCTGGTGCTTGATATTCGTAGCTTCCGAGTCCACCTTCTTGTGTCCTTTCTTCTGCTTCTCTCCTGTCCAACCAGTCGATGACAGTGGCGAGTACCGTCTTGAGTACATCCCCAGTATTAAGCCCATCACAACTACTACTGGTCCCGCATATCGCATCACAACATCTCCGTACAGTACCACGCCCCAGAAACTGGCCACGAGCAAGAAGCTCTCCCAAGGATCACCACTTGTCCATGTCAACAACCCCACAAACTGGTTGAGCGGCAGAAGAAAAGGATGCGAATATGCCAGAGCTCGTGTAATCTGTGGCGGAGTAGCGATCAACAATGGCGATTTCTGGTGTACAAGTATAGTCGACCGTTGCTTATTTGCACTCGGCGCATGCGACAGGGTGACTGGTGAGAAGGCTGCGATAGTTGGCGGATTCGGATCATTGCTGGCCATCGACGCGCCATCGTCTTCTCTCCGTGACGAGCTTGGAGTGGAAGACATCATCCAAGGGGTATCCTGTGGAGTGGTCAGTTCATGATGAGGTTGAAGTGAGGATGGGTGAGCGAAGATATAAAATCCGGGGTAATACAAATGCAGCCATTAAAGCTCAAGACCCAACGTCATTGCCGCCAAGGCAGAGACCAGGCACGCGAGAGATGTGCAAGCAAGAGGATTGCGCCAAAACATCTCAGTCCATGGCAAACAGGCAGAGAGTGATAATTATCAAATCAATAATTCAAAGGTAAGAATAATTTGTCACATGCGTGTGAATGGAAGAAGCGAAAGGGAATTGTTCCAGCAAAGAATGCACGCCGGAATGCCGCAGCGCTCGGCTCCCCATCTTGGTCTCTTGGGACAATCACATGCCTGAAAGAAACTTCAGCCTTGCCCGTCGCTGGTCGTAATACCTAGCAAGCAATGTATATCTCTGGAGCATTGTCTCAGGAAGGAGGTTTTTGAGGATTCTCTGGATCGATCTCACTATAAGTCTTCTGCCAAAATATATTGAACAGAAACATAGTTACGAAGCTCGATAAGTATACCGAGTTCTTGCACGGAAAGCGCTGTGTCTCAGCCTCGCCCGTCTCTTTGTCTTATCATCACGTGGTAGAACACGCTAACACCATAGCGCCAAATTTTCGCAAAGCGAAAGAGAACGACAACTTCAAGATACTTACTTGATTTCGCGATTGCTTGCTTCAACTCAAAATGGTACGAACCAAAAAAGCAGCAGGCAAGAACAACAAGATGCCGGCACAACAACCGCCACTTCCACCAGGTTCGCCTCCTAGGCAGTCTGGCTACGATTCGTACTCGCGCAACGGAGATTCATACAGCGGTGATACGTATCGCCCCTCTCAAGGTGGTGGTGACAATTACCAACCTCGCGGCGCGCCGCCTATGTACCAGTTCGGCGCGGGAGGCAGAGGGGATGGATACAACAACTACAGGCCCAATTATGACTACGAACCCCGACGCCGTTCCCTATCGCCACCTCATCGCAATAGAGATACATTCAGCGGATCATCCTACCGGCCATCACATCAAAATGACAGGGCAATGGCAAATGGCTCGGCATATCGTCAAAATACTGGTGGTCACAGCAGCTTTGACTTCCGTTATGATGCGCCTGCAGGTCTAGACTACAATGCTGCCGAGTCGCGTCGTCGTTCTCCGCCACGACACAACTATGATAACAACCGTAGACAAGCCACCAACGCCTATCGCGGTGGTGCGCGTGGTGGTTACCGTGGCCGCGGAGGGCCAAGGCTGGCGTCAGAGCGTGAATTCCTAAAAACTAACCGTGCTCCCACTCCCGAGCTGATGCCTGGAATGGACGAGGATGTCGAGACAGGTGCCAAGTACAAAGCAGTCGATGACATGTCTGATAGTGATGAAGTTGAGATGGACATGTCCGATGATGGTGACGAGGATCAAGAAGCCAAGAAGAAGGCTCGCACCGATGCAAAGGCTGCTGATGGTGACAGTGTTCCCCGCTGGTCAAACCCCGATCCATACACTGCCTTACCTCCCCCGGATGAGACTCGTGCGAAGAAGAAAGATGTGGTCAAGTTGATCAGGAAGGCTCGTGTCACGTCCAGTAGTGAGCATACAACCAAGCCTGCAGCAGCTGATGATTTCATTTCTTTCGACTTTGGCGATGATGAAGAGCAAGCGGATGATGATATGGCCCATGGTTTCAATGCCCCAAGTCCTCCTAAGGGTCCAAGAGAGATTGCCGGCTCCGTCAATGACTTTGACCCTCCTCGCGGCCCTGCCATTCAGCAAATGCAGCAACCACGATTACCTCTACCTAAGAAACCTGAATTCACTAACCAGGGCCGGAGTAATGATACTAGCTTCACAATCAAGCAGAATGGAAAGGCTCCAGCTGTTAGTAAGAAGAATGCTATTGATTTGACCTCTGACCCCGCTCTGGGAAGTAGGAAACGCGACTTCAGAGATGAGATCAAGCCTGCTCCAATTCTCCACCAGCCATCGAAAGGCAAGCCTGGCAGAGTCAGTGGCCAGATTCTGAAGGACTGGGTTGCACGATCAGATCTTCCAGCAGCCCCATGGCTTGGTATGGATCATTCCGATTCTGCTGGTGTAGGTGTTTGGTAAGTGCTTATCAAATCGTTGGTTTCTCGAAGTGCCTAACAATACCAGTAGGCTTCACAAGGAAATCATGGACTTCTATGAATATGTCAGACCAAGAGACTTCGAGCAGGTAATTCGCCAACGTTTGATCGATGATCTTCAAGCCAGACTTACGCAACACTTCGACCGGAATTGTGAAGTTCGCCCGTTTGGCTCATTCCCTGCTGGCTTGTTTCTGCCGACCGCTGATATGGATTTGGTCTGTGTTTCAAGAGATTTCTTGGATCGCGGAAAGAAAGTACTTGGTCAAGGCCTCCGGGGCTTGTTTCGGTTCAGGGACTTCATCCAACAACAAGGTCTTGCTCTGAACAGACAAATCGAGTTGATATCTGGAGCCAAGGTGCCTCTTGTCAAATACGTCGATAAACTCACGGGCCTTAAGGTCGACATATCTTTCGAAAACGACACTGGACTGATTGCCAATAACACGTTCCAAGTCTGGAAGAGAGAATTTCCAGCTATGCCTATTCTGGTCACCCTGATCAAGCATCTTTTGGCAATGCGAGGTTTGAATGAGCCTGTCAATGGTGGCATTGGTGGCTTTTCCGTTACTTGTCTCGTCGTAAGTCTTCTCCAGCATCTGCCCCAGGTTCAAAGCAGGAGCATGATTCCGGAACACCATCTCGGCGAGGTACTCATGGAGTTCCTCGATCTATACGGCAACGAATTCAACACAACCACTACGGCAATCTCAGTCAACCCTCCAGCATATATCCGAAAGGTAAGTTGTTACCATTTGTTCATACAGGCTGATACTAACCTGACCCAGGATCACGCAAACATTCCCTACAAAGGCATCAAGTCAAAGTTTATGATCATTGATCCAAATAGATCGGATAACGACATTGCCGGAGGTTCCAGTAATACAGAAGGAATCCGCAGATGCTTCTCCGATGCATTCAAACAGCTTTCGAGGCGCTCAGCAGAATTGCAACGTTCCGATGATCGCAGTAACAAGAGTCTTCTGGAGTGCATCATCGGTGGAAATTACCGATCATTCGAGCTTCAGCGTGCCCATCTAGAACATGTGCATGAGAAGCTCATTCTTCAGAAGTAGCTGGGCCTGAAGTCTGCTGATTTCCCACACCTCATTTTGATCCGACATTATCACACCACTGAATTGCTCTCTTTTGCTCTAATCGACAGATATCATGGTACAGTAGCTGAGTACGAAGTTTATGAAGGGGTTTGCTGCATATATATGGCGCATGGAACATCATGGAATTGATACCCAATGGCGTTCAAGGGTCATGGACTTGTACTATAGAACATTTTCCCGAGTCTGGCAGATGACGGCCTTCTCATTTTTCAATTTTCTTCTGGTTCTTCACAAAGAGGTTAGTGACTGACATGGCAATAGTGATCGCATCGCAATCGAATCGAATCGAGTCCCAGTCCTGAAGAAGCAGACGAGATGAGACGAGACGATCGATCGGTCACTCCTTCCTTTTTCCTTCTGAATGAAAGCAATTTTACAACCACCCTACCTATTTCGGCATAATCTTCTATTTGGAGGAAATGCAGTTCGTTTTTGGAAGTCGCCCAGCTTTGGGACTTCAACACGGTACTAACTGCCTTCACCTCTTCGCAAGCCCCCTCACCTGCCAGATTGGCGTCTCTGCTAACCACACCACACCACATCTTCTCTGACCTCCTCCCCTCTCATCTCATCTTCTCATCTAGGTTTACCACACCAGCAAAACAACATTCCAACCAACCATATCTGATTCTCTCGCCCAATCATTTATGCATGCCACCAAACAATTAACACCAGACAACAAACAAAACAACAAACAAAACAACAATTCTCACACAGCTGATGTCCGGGCTTCACGCTCGGCTTCGGACTGAGGTGTGATCTTTTTTCGTCGCCTCTTTTTTCCCTTCTCACTGTAGTCAGCGCTTTCGCGTAGCTATGGAGAGGGAGGGGTGTGGTGTGGGTGACACATTCACAAGGTGACGCTACACTCGTCCTCCGGGGGCAGCTTCATGAAGCGGATGCGACGGAATGGGATGAGAGGGGAGGGGCGGAGCTGGATGCAGTACCTGGCTTTGAAAGTTAAGTCAGTCACGTCCGTAGGTATGGGTAATGATGTTAGATGTATGTAAGTAAGTAAGTGATTGAGTGCCTGTGTATACCTTAGCTTTCTGATCAAGGGACTTGGCCTAAGGTAGAATAGATCGATGGCATTTTCCCGTTTTTCTTCTCTGTTCTCTTCTCATTAGAACAAGCAAGCTCCTCATATCGGCTCTGCACGGCGTTTGGATGCCAGGTGGTGGTGCATTTTACGATCTAATGTCAGATGGAATTTTCCTTTCTTGGCGATGATTTTGGATGTGGAGATAAGATAGATAGATATACACCGTGGTTGTTGTTGCTGGAGCCGGTCTAAGACACAAATCGAGTGAGGGGGGGTATATTGGATTAGAGGTCTGTTATTGTGACCATGATGATGATGATGATTATGATGATGACGATTCCTCTCGAAAGGAAAATCAGAGAGGAACGGTCAGAGGTTCTTGCCTGCCTGCTGTGAAGCACGTGACGAGGAAACATTTCAAGGGATTATCGTTACTTTTACCTCTCGTCAGGACGTACGTGAATTCCAATGATATTCAACATAGAATCTATCTAGCTATTAAGATCAAAGATAGCCATTTGGTCAGCTTTAGGAAGCTGGCTCGTGAGCTGATCCACTCGCACTGGGCGGAGGGCATGGCAGTCGTCGGCTACAGCTACTCGATTCGGGTGTCGGGGAAAACAATCTGGAGACACTAGAGTACTGTATAGTAGTAATGTTTACTTCTGCTAGTCTTGTTGAGTCTAGAAGCATCCTCATTCCGAGTTCTGTTTATGGAGAGCCATGCAAGCAAGCATCGAGAGTACTCCAACAGTCACGATATCGTGTACCTTAAAAAAAGATGCTGCCGAAACCCAGGGACAATACAGCTCTAAGTTAATGTTAACGGCACCCCCTCGCTTGATACTCGGTAAACTCTCCATTGAAAACGCCCTAAGGATTTGACGAACGCTAGACCTAGCCGTGCGACTATCCACTTGGAGAAGCGTTGTATTGTCCCTGGGTTTTGGCCTGTGCTTGAGAACGAAGTGCTCAATGCGGCAGGTAGCCATTTTACATGCTGGAGAGGCAGGAATATCGACCTTTCATTTTATAGGTTTGCCGCAGTTAAGAAGTGAAGGATCTTGCTTTTCAACCAGTCAGCCCTCATTCCGGAGGGCTCGTCGCTAAGTTTCCTCCTAAATCTCGCTTAACGTGTATAAATTCAGATCGCGATCCGCTTTAGATTGTTTACCATTCATCGCTTATGCATCACCTCAATGTGTCTGTGGCACTTGGAATTCAATCTCCCCTCTTTGGAAATGCGAGGTAGGGATGATTCTTCACGAATCCGATGTAGCTGTCCATGGCGTGCCTCTCAGCTCCGACAATTACTTCATTTACCCCGCAATGGGTACGTAAAATGTTGTCTTGGTCCACAATATTGACACCACTACCGGAAAAATCGCTGACGGTTAGTAATTGGCTTTGATACTGGATAAATACCCGTTCTAAAGTCGCATGTTCTTTCGCTTGTGTTTTATTTGAAGCGTTTGACCAAATTGGGGTCGACACCAGGGACAACATATGGCAGACCTGGTATACACAAACCCAAGATTTTATTGGCTCCAAGAGGTAAACATTTGAAGTTATGCTGTGTCGAGAGCGCGAACAGTGGCGGGTCTGGCAACTCGGTGCTTTCGCGGAAGAGCACTTCGCGCCGACAGACAGTGCGAGGAATCATCTTGAAGTTTGGAAGACCACTGAGATTTGCATTATTACCGACACCGGCAGGCCGTTGCACATTTCGTTACAGGGACCTGTCCATTGAATGCCCACGCCGCTTTGCACTCTGGGTGAGCTTCTACACTTGAGTCACCAATATCTCATAACTCACGAATTTCTAAACAATAGATCTGTTTGTTCCCGGGGAATCTCGCTTGTTAATTATGATGATCTCACGCCACTGGATTACCATATCGAAGTGCAATGACTACTTCATTTATCTATCAAATACTCCAGTTGTCTCGTAACAATAACCAAAAATCTCTGTGCATCCAATTTAGATTGAATTTCTCCCCTCCTTCCAAGCCGAACTTTCTTTTCTACATTTTCTGCACCTTTCGTTTCTCAATGATTACCCTTCCGCTCTTGTTGCCAATCTGATTTCTGCTTAAATTCAATACCAAATCAAAAACATTCAGTAACTGGGATCCGCTGTACGCCTGCATTCCCTCACAGGGCATCATTTCCAGAGTCGTCTTTCCGTGGAGGTAACGGAACTTCAGGAATCATTTCGCCGTCAGCAGAAAAGGCAGACTTGAGGTCTGAGTACATTTTTCGATGTGATTTGAGATGCTTTCCACGGTTTCTCAAGCCCAGAAAATAAGTCGCTATTCTCGGTTCCATGAGCGATGTGTTCACCGGTTCGTACTTGTCCGCATACATCAGAATCTCAGCCACCATGATATCCGCGAAGTCACCATGAGATTCGTTTTTAGCCGTAACAGAGTCCCGGATCCAAGCTTCAGTCAAAATGTGTAAACTCGGAATGTAGATAGAAATCGGAATACCCTGTAACCGGCCCGTGGGCCCGCCTTCACTTGTGAATAAGGGAATGCTCGGATCGGAAGCCTCAATAATGTCTGGCACCTCCTTCTCAGACTGGGGCTGGAACACAAGACTTGGAATAAAACCAAGTGTAGTGGACTTCAGGTGAAGGTCAAGAGTTAAGCCGGTACCACGATCTTCATCAAGATGAAAATGTGCTGCTGGGGGTCGCGAACCGCGGTCTTCAGGAAGCATATCGCAGTTGGGGTCTGAGCACCGTGGGAGGCCGCTGCTGGTAGAAATTTTGCCTGCGGCGGCCTCGATCGACTCATCTGGAACGACGAACTCAACACACTGTGTGAATAAATCAGAAAACATCTATCCCACTTTGTCAGGCTGGGGCTTCTTCATGACGTACGTTCGAACCACCATTTACTCCGTGGATACTCATCAGCCAGTTTCCCCATAGTACACACGGGATACCTGCTTCCAGCAAGCAGTTGGAAACAGCTGTGGCCATCCTCAGGTCGAGGCGATTATTCTTCAAGGGGAAAATCCATTCTGTTTTATCCATGACGTTGACCGATGTTTGAAAGCTTTGATACAGTAGAAATAGAAGCTGCAGGACTTGGGTTGATGTAACAGATAATCATGATCTTTTATAGAAGGGGTTTGAATTGTCACAAAGGTGCTGAGGGGATCCGCGTGCGGGGTATGTTTGGTGCTGGAGAATGCAATATTACAACCACAGAGTACGCAACTGGCTTAGAGGATCTCTCATTCAGCCAATCGATGTTGAATTATTGAAGAAGCTGGGTAACACTATGTAAAGAAACGTCACAAGGTTAAAGCTAGAATGTCCAAGTAATTAGACAACGAGGAGCTACCCCTCGCAATCAGCCATAATTCTATCATACATTAGTAACATTAATTTCTTTTTATCACGATGATGCAAAGCATTTCAATTTGGGAGCTAGTAGCAGTATATATCTAAGTCGATAATTTCGGGACCCTCGTGATGAATAATAACTCGCGGCTCAGATTTGAATACAGCGTAATTCCAAGCTTAACCTTCTGAGAACAAAGAAGCAGAGTTTCCTGCGACCAATTTTCACCCGGAAAGCATACAGACGACGAAAAAGAGGCACGTGGAAATGATCAGTGTCTTGCAGTACGAAATAGAAGGATTTTTCTCTTTGGTTGGAAGCCGTATTGCAGCTCTTTACTTCATATATGAGACTCACACCGTGTAACTCTTGACCGTGTCCTCAACCTGAAACGAAGGATTCTTACATTGGTGGCTGGGGGCTGCGCTAGAACAAAGACGAGCATTGCAGCACATAGTGGATGTCAGCTCATGTTTGTGAAAGTATCCAGCATCGATCAATAACTATCCAGTATCGATCAATGAGGTCGTCGTGGGCTGTGACTGTAAGTCGAAGGCACTGGTTTGCTGAGACACAGAAACGCACTGTATGATGTCTTGAGCCGCTCCAAGACAGCCAGCAACCGAGACATGAAAGAATTTCGGGCTTTCTGCTACCCCTAGACCTTTCTTCTCGAAAAAGAACTTCCATTGGATGCCTAGATTCTTTTGGAATATATATGAATGGACCCCAGCGGCCCATTTTCTGGAGAAAACTTAAACCTCTCGCCAGTCAAAACACCGACCTCCATCATGGCATCAGCAGCTGGTAATCCACCTCCCACCCGGGATCCCACACTTCAAGAGCTTCAGGCTGCGGCTTCAGAGGTGGTCGAGATCTTGAAGACTGTACCAGGCATTGCAGGATGCAGAATTGCTGTCAATGGTGGTTTGGCACTGTGGAGCAACTTACCTCAAGGTCGAAATACTAAGGTATGATACAGTTCAGGTCTCTCACTCTCATTGATCTGTAGCAACTGACCGGAATAGGATGTTGATTTCGTCATCAGCCTTGACACGGCCCCGTATGCTGTCAAGAAGACACTTCTCAGTCTACACCCAGCTCGATTTGAACAAGAGGCACATGTATTCTACTACCAACTGCCCAATGCTCCACTGATACAAGTTGATATGTGTCCTAGCTGGATGGTGAGTACAACTCTGTACCGAATCATTTGGCCTAACAGATAACTGACACAAGAAAGTTGCGATATCCCCCTGTATTCTTCCCGATCATCAACCAAATCCCGGCTGGCGTAGTATCGTATATCTCTCCCACCGAGCTGTTGACATACAAAATCTACTCATGCGGTTTGCGGGCCGACAATGCCAAGCGCGGTGTCGATGCAGTTGACGCTCTGACTCTCTCCCAGTGCATCACTCCGGCCAGAATGCCTATCTGGTGAACGGTGCAGAGACAGGCAATGCTACTGGGACTGAGTGCTGCTGTCTCAGTTACAAACTCGCAACGTGTTGTGGCGTGGTGGAGGGGCCAGCTTGGCATATGATGGAATAGTGGGTTCGAGGAAATCATCTCTTGAAAGCTTGGAACCTTGGAACCGAGAGGGTTTGATTTTCACAGTTCTCCCGTCACTTGTACTTAGATGAGATTAGATGAGGTTTCCCTAGACTGGCTTGTTGGAATATGAGGTCACTGTTCAATCAGAACAATACAATGACACTTCATTGCACTCGTGACTTGAAAGCTGTAAATGAGCTTATGATTGTACTGTGAAAACGATGAAAGATCAGTAGAACCGTCTGTAAGATTCTTTGATCAGCAGACAACTTCTGTTTGGGATGAGATGGAGAACCATCTTTCATTACTGTTTGTCTCCCTTTCATAAAACAAAGAGAGCCACACTATACTGCATTTGGTCTAGTGCAAATGGGTAATGCCAATCGACCAACCTCGAAGATTATTCTCCAAGCCACCCTTTTCCGAAATTAAACTTCCAATCTAAATAGAGAACAATGCCACGCATTCAGATCCTCTCCGATCTCCATCTTGAGTCGCCAAAAGGCTACAATGTGTTTGAAGTCCCTCACTTGGCACCATACCTCGCTCTGATAGGCGATATCGGAGAGGTCAAAGACGCAGAATACTTCACCTTCATCGAGAAGCAGCTACCTAATTTTGAAATCGTTTTTGTGCTCTTCGGTAACCACGAACCGTACTCTTCCGACTGGACCACAGCTAAGCACAAGATGAAGCAATTTGAGACGGACATGGCGGTGAAAGCTGTAAATGGCAGCCTGGGAAAACTCGTCTTCCTCGATCAAACTCGGTGCGACTTGTCGCCGGAGGTAACGATCTTGGGATGTACCCTGCATTCAAAAATCCTCCCAGAACAGATGGACCATGTCAGTTTTGGTCTCAACGACTTCTATTACATCGCTGATTGGACGGTGGAGCACCATAATCAAGCTCACACCGCGGATCTCGCATGGCTAAACCAACAAGTTATCGCCATCTCTCCGGAGGAACCAAGTCGTAAGATCATGATCCTCACACACCACAGTCCAACTACATCGCCTCGAGCTTCTGACCCGAAACATGGACAGAGCAACATTTCGTCTGGTTTTGCGAGTGACTTGTCTGATGAGACTTGCTGGACAAATAGCGCTGTAAAACTTTGGGCCTTTGGTCATACGCACTTTAACACCGACTACTCGGAAAATGGGAAAAGAGTGGTTGCGAACCAGCGAGGCTATTTCTTCAGCCAAGCGGACGGATTTGATGCAGAGAAGTGTATCGAGCTCTGAGACTCGGCGGATGCTGCGTAAATGCAAGCAAGAAAGCTATAGCAGCAAGCTTACTGAATCTAATGCCGGATAGCCCGAAGTGTTTGTTGACATCAGATCCATTGCGGACTTGACATCCTATTCCATTTCCTGTCTTCTAGAAATCCAGGTCCCTTTATTTCACTTTCTCTTCTACACCGAGTCCAAACATCACAACCAATTCAGTAAATAAAAGGCAAAACTCAACTCCAAAAGCAATCAAAAAAATAGGCAATTTTGTTGAATGAACCACCGATCTAGCATTGCAAAGGGAAATCATGTGACAAGCTGTTATACCTTGAAAGCAGAGGCTGGCTTTGAGAATGGCTCGAACTACGCTTCAAGTTCTGAGCGGTCCACAGACAATCAGCCAAGGTAAATTACTTGATAGTGATTGAAATAGATCGAGGTTGCGAGATTATCATTCAGGAAGTGCCACTCCCACGGTGAGGAAAATTGGTATTCTCCTTTAAGATATCCTCAGAACACAAAACTACTAGACCAGGGCGCAGATTTTCTCCACTTGAGGATTCTCGCTAGCTTGAAAATGAATCTGAGAAGCAAAGCTACTAACCCTATCGAGACAGTTCAAGATACCCCGCATCAAAAACGCGGGGAAAAACCTCATCACCCTCCCATCCCTCGACCATGTCGATGGCCATGTTCTTGGTCTTCCAACACCCTCGAAATACCGAGAAGCTCATAGTCCACTTCAAAAAAGAACCTAGTGTCGGTGTTACTGCGGCTCCTTTACCAAGTCTCTCCTCAAAGCTACTGCAGGTGAAGTCTTTAAGCAAGGAACGGGCCGGGTGTATCGACCCGTCAGCCGCTAGAACAAGCATGAGATTATTAGCGTCGGGGAAACCTGGAGAGACCTTTGAATATGCGGGGTAGGCAGAATATGAGATGTGCCAAGTGTGTGTGCATCGAGCTTAAGCTTGCGTATGGCTCCGGAGGCAAGGCTTGACTGGAACTGGCGCGACTGACGAGACGTGTTGACGTGATGATTTCCAATTCCTAGTGACGACTTCAAAGGTGGGATTGTGACTGGTCTGTATATTATTTAAGATACGACTCGACGACTCGGACAAAAATTGTGAAGTTCCTAAGACTGATTAGTGAAGGGCATACCTGCATCTGGAGTTCATCATGAGGGTCGCATCCATAACAATATCGCCACTGCGCATCCTCGCTTCTCTCGCCCTCCTCGTCCTTCCCGTCCACCCCCAAAACACCACCAGCAACATAACATCAGACTCCTACTTCTACGGGCAGTCACCTCTTGTACCACCCGCTGCTCTCCCCTCAGGGACAACTTCCTCCTGGTCCTCAGCCTACTCCAAAGCTGCCGCCTTCGTCTCTCAGCTCAGTCAAGAAGAAAAGAGCAACTTGACCTTTGGAGCTAGAGCCACGACGAGCGGATGCGTAGGCTTCATTCCACCGATTGAGAGATTAGGCTTCAAGGGACTTTGTTTGCAGGATGCTGGAAATGGTGTCAGGTTGGCCGATGGTGTAAATGCTTATGACAGTGGACTGCATGTTGGGGCGACGTGAGTACTCTTTATTTCGGCTATCAATTTATCAAATGCTCAAACTTACTTGAATGCCGATGGCGATACAGGTGGAACAAGGACTTAGCATATCAGCGTGCTCTCCATATGGGCGCAGAGTTTAAAGCCAAGGGTGTCAATATTGCACTCGGACCAGTCGTCGGTCCCATTGGGCGAATTGCTGAGGGTGGTCGTAATTGGGAAGGGATCTCAAATGATCCGTACCTTTGTGGAGCGCTTGCTGCTGAAACGGTGCGTGGTATTCAGCAAAACGGTGTCGTGACAAGCACCAAGCATTTCATCGGAAATGAGCAAGGTATTTTCTGCCCTGGTTTAAGCCTCTTAGCACTGAGACTGATCACGACAGAACTCAATCGCAATCCAAGCACTAACAACCAAAGGCAGCATGTAGAGGCTGTATCAAGTAACATCGATGATAAAACCTTGCATGAATTGTATCTTTGGCCTTTCCAAGACGCAGTGCATGCTGGAAGCGGGAATATCATGTGTTCCTACAACCGAATCAACAATTCATATGGATGCCAAAACAGCAAAATGCTCAACGGAGTCCTCAAGGACAAATTGGGATTTCAAGGCTTTGTTGTCAGTGACTGGGGAGCCTTGCACGCTGGATATGCCGCTGCTGAAGCTGGTCTGGATATGGTAATGCCAAGCGGTGGTGTGTTTTGGGGTCCGAACTTGACGGCTGCAATTGATAATGGAACAATGGAGGCTTCTGTGTTGGACAATATGGCTACTAGGTATGGACCCAATACCTGAACACCTGATTCAGCTAACACATGTGACAAGGATTATCGCTACTTGGTACCAGTTCGGGCAAGACAGAGAGGACTATCCTTCGCCTGGAGTGGGACTTCCACGAAGTTCAACAGCCCAACATGTTCTCCTCGATGCAAAAGTCCCATCTGCGAAACAAGTACTTCTAGACTCAGCGATAGAAGGCCACGTACTCGTCAAGAACACTAACGGATCCCTCGGTCTTCCGCTCCAGAAGCCCAAACTCGTATCGGTATTCGGCTATGATGCAGCTACTCCCAACAAGAATCCTTCTTTCGAAGGCCCTCCCAGTCATCTTTCTCAAATCATCAATAGTAAGCCACATATCGTCCTCTTTGCGTATTAGTGGTACAAGATTGATAACCCCTTGCAGATACCATGATTGTTGGTGGCGGTTCCGGTGTCAATAATCCAGCCTACATCTCCTCCCCACTGGATGCACTCAACCAACGCGCCTACGAGGATAGCTCCCAACTCCTCTGGGACATCATAAATGTCAACTCTACCGCCCAAGTCGACGCCGCCTCCGACGCCTGTCTTGTCTTCATCAATGCCTGGGCCTCAGAAGGCTACGATCGCTCGTGTGTGCACGACGATTACTCCGATGCTCTCGTCAACAACATCGCAGATCAATGCAACAACACAATTGTAGTGATCCACAATGCTGGCGTGAGATTAGTTGACGTTTTCATTGACCATCCGAACGTCACGGCTTTGATCTTTGCGCATTTGCCGGGTCAGGACTCGGGAAGAGCGCTGGTGAGTTTGTTGTATGGTGAGAGTAACCCCAGCGGAAAGTTGCCATATTCGGTCCCAAGAAATGAGTCCGATTATGGACCACTGTTGAGCCCGACGCCGCCCGAAGATGTTTATTGGCTCTTCCCTCAGGATGATTTCACAGAAGGCGTGTATATCGATTATCGCGCATTCGACGCCAAGAACATCACGCCCAGATATGAGTTCGGCTTTGGACTCTCATATACCACATTTGAGTACTCTTCTCTGGAAGTCAATAAAGTAGACGGTCCATCGACTGCCGAGTATCCCATGGGCCGGATTCTCGAAGGTGGACAAAGCGACCTTTGGGACGTTCTGTTCCATGTCACTGCGTCTCTATCCAATTCAGGCGACTTAGACGGTGCGGAAGTTGCTCAGCTGTATGTTGGAATACCAGGAGGTCCTGTCCGGCAACTGAGAGGATTCTCGAAAGTCGATGTTGAGCCTGGGAAGTCGTTTGGTTTGAACTTTGACCTCATGAGGCGAGATCTGAGTGTCTGGGATGTTGTGGCGCAGAAGTGGCAGCTGCAGAAGGGAGAGTACAAGGTGTATGTTGGTGGCAGCTCGAGAAATCTGCCATTGGAGGGCAGCTTGAAGATTTGAGAAATTCTAGCTCAGTGCAAAAGATTCAAGCGGAGTGATTTGGAATGATAATGTTTGAGACTTGTCAATAACAAGGGAACTTTCAAAGGTTCCCGCCATTTCACCGACTATTTCACGATTCCGGGCAGTGATTTGAGGATCTGATTGTTTCTGTCTCGTAATGGTGTAAGTAGTGGAAGGTATCGAGTGACATCCTCACAGTAACAATGGCCATCGAGCTGAATGGTAGACCTGGAGCAGGTTATCGCACCTAATTTGTGGTTTAGATGTACTGGAGAAGCTAGCGTTTCTGAGCATTCAACGAGATGTCCGGGCTTGTCAGCGTTCAGTCTGATCCTGCAGCCGCCAATGAACAGTGGCTCGTTCAATGTCCGTGAAGGTGCTGGAGATTTGCGTCGAGTGATGAAATGCGTCACGGCTGGATACGTCTGAACACGTGACTTTCCTGGCTTCCTCGGCTAGGTTGTTTACATAAATGAAAAGGGTCCAGCGCGGTGAGTTGGTCTTTTCAGGCTTGATCACAATAGTCTAATCTATTGCTAAATGAGTCGCCACATTGATCATCTAGGCTGATATTGCACTGAAGAGTTTATCGATCAGTCTAGGCCTAGAAATGACCATTTGATTATCCCCTCAGCTGCTGAAAACACACTTTCCAGGGGGCATCGCTAAAGCGTGTCACTAAATCTGCAGGCACGGGCGCCCTTCAAGTGTTTCTCGCTTAATTACAGGGCATTATTTCAGGCGTTCCACCCCCTGTAAAATATGTGTTCCTTTTTGGCAGTGGAGGGAATAGGAATTTGCTAGCTTAGCTTCCCTGTCTTTAGAGGATTTGATAGGACTCTTAAGTTAAAAACAGTGAGAGTCAATCCAGTTCTCAAGGATCAGGCCTTGGAGAAAGAACTGAGAGATACATGAGATCTGCTTCTCTAAGGGCGAACAGCTTATCGTGCCAAGCACTCTTGTTTTGATTGCAAGTGGTTCGTGAGAAGGGACTTCGACTTCAATGATGAAAACTAGAGCCACCAATTCTCGTCGAAAGGGATACTGATGTTTGCATGACTGAAACCGTGACAGAAGCCCGGGATGGTGGTGTAACGAAGCCTGGGGAAAAAAAGATTGTGCAATGGGCATCGAGTTTCAGGGAAGTGCGGGGTGATTTTTTTAGCGACCATGACCCCGCACTTACTGTGCTATGTAAAAGATGTCCAATATTCCATTTAGTGTAAATCCTGGGTGCGGTACAGGAACTTATGTTTGTTCAAATCCACTACGATACATGCACTTTTCGCAGTTCTTAATTCAAGTCGCATGCCGCATTGTGTCTGAGCAGGGACAGCAGCTCGTTTGTGGCTAAGATGCCCCGAGAATCAAAAGAATGGATGACAGCCATCCCAAATTCAACAATTCTTCTGAATTGCCTCGACATAAAAGTTATTTGGATAGAAAGTTGCGAAATTGGTCAAGATGCTACCGAAAGCCACACGCACATCCCCCGGCATATGTGCCGGATGCAGACGCAACTTTAGTAGCTCTTAACCCTCCAAAAAACATTCACGAGCGTGAAAGTTGGATTGGGATATATCTCGTACATCAGTGCAGTGTGCTAATTGTCGTATCATTCCGTCACGATTACAATGTGCTGCATAGGTCAGATAATCACAATTCATACAAGTCTCCCAATGTGGTTTGATTGCCGGTTTGATGTGAGAAACTTATACTTGTATTTCGTTACTTGAGATAGTCTTATTATTATCGGCAGCACAGTAGTAGTAAATGGAAAGGTTATTTCTAGTCGTATGACCATAATAAATACCCTTCTGAAGATCAGGTTGGATTTTAACTAATCGTTATCCGACTTCCCGGTGTGTAAGCTAGGCGCCTAAGCGGGAACGCGACAGACGAGTATCGAGTTCTCCTTTCAAGGTCCACACTATACATCAAAGGAGGGTGTCCAGTTCGTGAAGATGACATGATTGGGCGAAAACGTGCTGGCCGGGAGGCTGCCTTGCTATCCACAAACAAAGACTTTTCGCAAACAGCCTCAGCATCGAATAAGTCCGGTGCGATGTGATATAGTGAAGAATGGACCTAAGATTATAATACCTTTGTTCACGGCGTGCCGTTTCTCGAACCCCAGCTTCCGAAAATCGAGGGCCTCGCTCTTGCTGTGTTGACGGAAATGCCTCCCAAAAGAGCAAATGGCTCGAAGAGCGCTACCAAGAAAGTCAAAATAGCATCGTCGAAGACTACACTTAGTAAGGCTTCGAGAAAATCTCCAAGAAAGCACACGAAACTCAAAATTGGACTTACACCAAAACTCATTGTGAAGAAACTAGCTCAGAAGAAGGAACTTCAAACGCGGAACCATACGCCTCCTCGCACACGGAGGCAGGAGGCTGTCGCAAGACTGAAGACAGTAGCAACCGTTCTGGATGCAGATGGAATCGCAGACATCAAATTCGACGATCATGCGGAATCGATTGCTATATTAGAACCACCGCTTCACACACTTCCCAACCATGCTGCCAAAACCGAGGGTGACACGAGGCAATTTGGGCAAGTTATGGAACCTCAACAATTCAAGCCTGGGCAGATCATTTCCGTTGCATCTCACGAAGAGGTGTATCAAGACCCAAAGAACAAAGTCAAACTCCAAGCTACACGCGAACAAACACTGACGCATTTGGGGTGGGTGTACTCCAAAGCTCGGAAAATCGTTGTCATATCCCGCTTCGCTCAGCACGTCGTCGGCCTTCCCATATTCTCCCATGGTGGAAAGGGTCTCGAGAAGAAGGAAAAGTCGGAGTTTGTGGGAATTAGAGATGTACAACATTTCAAAAGCACTCCTACCGATTCAGTACACCCCAGTTTATTGAGCCATCGAATTGAACCGTTTACTCAGGTCAACAAGAGTCATTGGTCGGTCATCAATGGCGACTCTTACGTCCAGTTTACACGTCCCATGTCCTTCGCGTATAACACTCGATGTACGGTGGAAGGACATCTACAGGATCAAGATCTAAACAACTTGATCTTCCTTGCCAACAGCAAGAAACCATCATTTCCAGCAAACATGGCTACGAGAGCAGCACCAAAGGAACGGTTGAAAGCCAGCGGCGGTTGATGCTTGGAATGCCTCGTGTATCATCAGCGAATGATTGTAGAGCAATTTTAGATGCACCCAGATTTTCCCGGTGGAGTAAAAGCCTTCAGTAAAGTACGTATTTCACTCACATGATCACGTAGTGAAGTTTTAGAATTGGAATGGGCACATACCAGAAAATCAGGAACGGAACGGCGTCTGCTTAAACATCCAAAAAGTGCCCGGAAATAGTCAATAGAAAATAAATATACTTATACTGTATTCCTGTTTGACGCTAATAAATCCCCAGGTAGGATTTATCGCTCAAGTGAAATATGATGCCGAAAATGTGAGCTTGTTCACAAATACTCGGATTTGAATTGCATTCCAAACTGTGTTAAAGATAGGAGATACAAATGCTCCATTTACCATGCTTCCAACTCCTGTAGCCAAAACAATCAAATACCATCAGCTTCAGTCAATGAGGCCCTGGCTGATCACAGACAACCCAAGACCGGCATGATAGCCACTGAGTTCAGTCGTCCGTGTCAGACCCATGAGTTGGGGTGGCAACCTCCATGTCATTCCCACCAGCAGTCCCTTTCATCCCACTCCTCACGGCTATCTTAGATTCCAGAACGAGTTCTTTGAGCTCTTCAAAATTGGGTCTTTTCCGAAAACCTAGGTTGTGATTTTTGAGAACCTTCCACATATATTTCTCCATATAGTCACGAGCCTCGTTGAGTATTTTCGACTCTTCCTCCCAGATGAGTTGGAACGTGCTATTTCTCCATTCAGAATCTTTCAGAGCCTTGTCGATTTCAGCTTCCGAAACACCTTCAGGAAAGTTCTGAGTCACATTGATTTCGGTAAGGTTCAGTTCTCCGAGCATTTCTTGGAATGTGACTTCCTCTTCATATCGCGGTCCTATCAAATCGAACACTGTTGTTGCCGCAAAGGCATTATTCAGAGCATCGATCATCGTTTCGGTCATGATCATGGCCTTGTAACTTTTTCCAGCGACAGATACAGGTAACATATCCGTGGTGTTGCCCAGCCAAGTTATCGGTGGAGAATTTGGACCGAGCTGATGGCCGTTATGGTATTCGTGAGATTTTGTCGGCTTCTGCGATGTTTCTCCTTCTAGTGCCTTTTGCAAGTCATCGATTGTTCGTTGTTGGTCTCGTATTAGATTGCCCATAGTCTTGTTCGTTTTCTGTTGCTCTCTAAGCAAGTGAGTCCACCATGCTTCTTCATGTTGTCGTTCTGTAGCCGCCATACGGGATACTGTACTGAAACTTTGTCGTCGTTGAGTTTGTATTGCAGCTAGCAGTTGAAATTGCAGTTCCAGAAACAATTATTTCTGGCAAGGACGGCAAGCAATGTACCTTGACCATCATGTCCAGAGAACAAAGAGCACTTGGGAAACCATGTCCTGAGTACAATAGAACAGACTCAAAGGATGGAAATGACCCAAGACGTACCGGTTGCGATCAACCGTGTGCATGTCTTCACAAAGTATCAAAGAACTAACAAGCCTTGACGCAATTCTTAGTCCCCCACTCCAGGCACAACTTCGAAGTCTAAGAAATAAAGCCAGCTCCTTTGATGGTTTTGGTGATGAAAGCAATTATTTTACCTTAATACCCTGGATGAACACAGCCGCTGCGACAAGTAAGCAGGAAGTGTACTTTAATATTGCCTTGAAATCGCTTGAAACATGAGCGAAAAAGACGATATAGGGGATAATGGTCAAGATAATCGGGTGAAAAGTGATGAAGGGGAGAAAAAGTCACAATGGGCACCTGCATCTCCTTACCGTATTGGTCAACTTAAAAATAAGAGTGAAAGACGGGGACGAGAGGCCACAAAAGGCAACAAGGCGCAAAATACACTGGCGTGGAGAGCAACAGCGAAGCCGCTTCCTGAACTTCCTAGTCGGAAGCGAGAAATTCAATCGTCAAGTAGATCATTTCAAGACCCAACACTTCCCTTACAACAGCCACACTCAACTTCGAATGAGAGAATCTTGGATCGCGTCCCAAGTCTTGGGACTGGTATTAGAACGTATCAGCCTTATGGAGTACGACGGACGAACGACTTCTACCTCCCAGGGGTTGTGATCAGTGCATATCATCATATGACGCCGAACATCACAGCTGGTATGAAGGAGAGTGGAGATCTACTCCTCACACCACGATTACAATGGATTTTAAGTAAAAGGCGGAAGTTTATTGTTGTTGAACGACACGTCAATCATTGCATTACCATCCCCATATACACTTATGGGAAGAAAGGCCTCGCAGAAAAGTACAGTCTCACAAACGAGTATATCGGAGTGTTTGACTCGGCCGAAACTGGTGACCATAGAAGCCAAAGCCCTGAGAACGGGTATGTTTTGGGAGTTCGAGCGACGGAATTCAGCGACGCTCAGAGAGGCGAATTTCATTACTTTGATGGCTTGAGTTACGCCCACCTCACAAGTCCAGTGTGTTTTGACTACGCCTCACCTTCACTACATGAGGGAAATATAGCTGTTAAGGATATCGAGAGATTACTTGCTAAGTATTATGGTTGTATGCCCAAAGATAGAGTATCCCCACCGAAAGAGAAGTGGCTTGGGGAGATGGAAGTGGCATCTTTTGAAAAAGAACGTAAAGTCTGAAACTGCACGCTCAAGAATGGAATAGCACAATTGAAAGAAAGCTTCGAACATAAGCTGAAGATATGAGGGAACTTTATTATACTACATCAAAGGTGACATTGAGTTTGACGTGCAGCTCCGCGGGATAATCTGGTCGACAGATTTTGTGACATTGAACACCGCAGAGATCGAAAATAAAGGAACTTGCTAGCTTGGGAGGAATAAGATGGCTTACGCTGGCAGTCGCTGTAGGACAACGGCCACCGGTTGGGTTGATCTGATTGCAATGGGTGTTCGAGATTGATATTCCATCATCAATATTGTGGAAAGAATGTCTCTGCCCAGTTTATCTAACAATGATGAAGCACGGTGTCAGAAATGACTTGCTAGATAGTCTCTGCGTCTATATCCCTCAAATTCAGCTCACACATCGCACGCCAGCGATCAATGCGCTTTCGATGCTTTCCAGTTGCAATGTGAGCTCCAACGATGCTGATACTGTCGTAAAGACCAATGGATTTACATTCCCAATCATCAAAGTCTCCAGAAGTCTCAACCGCTTCATTTTGGTCTGACATCCATCTCTCAACCCGTGCTTTGTCAACAGTGTAAACTTTCGTGGGGTCCATTGATTCGATATGACCGTCCTCAACATGACTAATGAAACCAGATTCTTGGTCGAAATGTTCGAAGTCGACCTTCAGTATCCTGGCGTATTCTATGGCATCATCCAAATCCTCCTCTGCCTCAATACAAGCTCTCGTCGCCGCTTGGCCTTGCCGAACCATCTCGGTGTCGAAGTCAGTCTTAGTTGCGCCGAGTATCCCCTCCGGCGGTAAGTGGAGGAACTTGTTGTATTCTGCCTCGTAGTAATCATTCCAATGATCAACCCTCTCTTGGGTTTCTTGTAAGCGCAATCGCCGCTCATGGAGAATGTCTCGAGCCATTTGCTTCTCAGTTTCGAGCTCCTCTCGAGCGATGTCGCTTGGAGATGGCGATGACACACTACTCGCGTCATATCGACCAGTCTCAGAATTCTCGAAGTCGACTTCACTCTCAGGTGGAGTTTCCTCCAAGAGATTGTTGGACCCCAGGACTACGTTGAGGTTTTGCAGCATTTGTTTGAGAGGTATTCCCTTTTCCGCTGTCCAGTATTGATATCTCTCCACCAAATGTAGTCTCTTCTCCTCATTCATCATCACCATTTTTTCAGCATCGTGGAGACTCTTGAGAAGACCATTCCGATCATCGTCGTCGGCAGCCCTTTCAATGAGCTCCGGGAGCTCGGAGGCCAAGGAACCCCAGTCTGCTAGGTTTCTATCTATTTCGTGGATCGCTTCTTCATACTCGTTGGCTTTGTTCTCAGATCGGTATACGGCGTTTAATTGCCAAACAAGATTCTTCGTGAGCGCGAGTCCAGTCCCCACTTCGCCAAACTCTCCTTGGAATGTGAATATTTTCAAATATCGCGAAGTGAGTGGAGGATATTTAGCATCGAGATCTGGCGAATGGTGGGACTGTGAAAAAGAACTTCGACTTTCGTGAAATTCGTCTTGAAAAGTTTCCGAGCCATAATCTAGATGTGGGCGGGATTGGCAATGTTCGATGTCCATAATACTCGTGGTTGGACTAACAGAAGTGCAGTTGGCTTCTGAGGCTCGTCTTTCCCTGGTTTGGCTGACCAACTCTGCACCGTCTCTTATGGATGTTGTCCTTGAGCTTCTTGGCTCTGAAGGCTTTCCGTAGTTTGCAGTCCATGAGCGATCAGCAGCCTCTTTTAAATTCCGACTGTCTCCTCGAACGAATGAGGCGAAATTCTTGAAGATTCTTCCATTGACCACGCGATCAACAAGGACATCCATACTGGTGTAGACGTTGAGAAGATCAAGTATTCTACACTGAGTCAAACTTCAAACTGTAGTCTTTGGCTGAGTTGAGAGCGTCTGGCATGAATGGCCTAACAGCTTTCCGCCTAAAATGAATTGATAATGAAATGCTACTCAAATGGACTTGGTGTATTTCCTCTTGTGGCAATCATACAAAGAAAAGCCAAACGGAGGCGCTTCTGTTTGCGGAAGTCTCGTTCGATAATTTGCAATAAAGTGCGTGCTCAACGGAAAAATATCTTCTGCAGAACTGTTCAGAAGAGAACAAACAAAGAACAGAAGAGTCTGAAAATCCCTCAAAGTTATGCCGGAACGAGTAAGTTCTCATAAGCTTCCAAAGAATCAAGACGAGATGAGTCTTTGTGGTGAGGTCGCTTAGCTCAAACGGGTGTCCAGTGCGTTCTCTGAATCTCTTTGTGCATACCTACAGAAGTAATCGCAGGGAAAGTGAGGACAGGACGAAGAAATAGATGAATCATTGTTTTTCTCCTAGCCTACCTCGCACTTGCAAGTCTGCTGGAACCACATATAGATCAGAAAACATAGTGCAGATACCGGCTACAATATGGGTGAACTTGAGGAGCAGATGCTAGCTGAAGTACGAGCACGCGTCCTGGCCGCACGCCAGGTAGCGCAACGTGCGGCAACCCAACGCAGCTCGGCTTCAACAAGTAACTCGATGTGGGCACAAGACATGGGTACTGAATATGTCCAGGAAATACCTTTGGCACAACGAATGGCGCCAACAAGCCATCCCGTAGATGATTTAGGAACTACGCAGGCATATGTCGCTGCTCGGAGTACTACATCTTCCATCGGTATCAGCAAGATGTCTGTCAACGAAAAAATACCAGCGCTACAAGGTGCCATGCACTCCGCGTACGGTCAGTCAGTGAATTCTCAACATAATCATGGCCAGAGACCAACAGATGGTAAGGTTGTCTTGCATGGCTTTGAAGCAGGTACTTACAAAATCCAGTGTTTCACCACAAGACAGAGTTCGAGCCGGGAGTGGTATTCAGTACTGTAACCCATGAGCACCATTACAGACAGGATAGAATTGACCGCAGCAATGTGAATCAAACTGAGACGAATTTCGGCATAACGAACTCGAAGTTCAGAAAATTCATTGTACTATCGCGATTTGAGCATCACGTCATAGCATTGCCGATATTGACTCACGAGGGGCGTGGATTGAGTTCGAAGCGCCACAAGGATGAGTTTGTTTCTGTAAGAGATAGAATGGCACAGTCATCTGCTGCACCTGCAGAGAGTAGACATAAGACCTTGTGGGCTGAAACATATCCTGAATTCCAATACGCAAGTGCATGGCACAGGATGAGCAACACTTGTTGCTTGCACATCACAAAGCCATATTCTCATAACATGGCTCACAAGTGTACTATATCTGGTCGACTCGAGGATGAGTCGTTCATGAGGCTTCAGGAGCTGTTCAGAAAAGCAGTCCTTATGGAAGGTTCGACCAAAACATCGCAGGTTGCGCCTCAGGGGGATGGATCAGCTTTGGAGGAAAGTCCCAGTACGTGGATGGGACATTCATTCTCGCGCAACAGGACATCAGTTGCTGGCCAGGGACCTCGACAAGTCTACCCATTGTCTTCAAGTAGATCAAACCTGAGTCAATTTTCTATAAGGGCACGTTAGGGAGTGTAAGGACAAGGCAGAATTAGGTGGTATATCGAGAGAGAAAGTCGAACACTGACAGACTTGGGAAATGTGGTGGACGGATATAGGAAATTAATGACACTGAAATATCGCCCCGAATTGCTACTCTTAATTGAAGCCAGGGTATTTCAATCACGATTTGTACATTGATGCAAGTGGTGCGTCAGGAGTGTATTTTGTCTATGCGGGGAGACATCTGGTGAGGGAAGGACTTGGAAGAACTAAGAGCCTCAAAGTATAAAGGAGGTGTTTGAGAATGAGAAATAAACAGGCGTACAGTCTATAGATCCTAACTGTTCTTTGACCAAAGATAAATAGTATTGTTAGCCCTTTGTTAAGATAAGTCAACGCATAACTAGGCAGCTAGCCTTTCAGTGACAATTCCATTGTTCTGTTCTCTGGACCTCAGAACAACGTTTTTCAGCGATTATATAGAGAATCAGGGATTTCCCCGAAGAGCCGTAGAGCGACCCTTCACGGCTGGTTGAATTGTTCTTCAAGCTCGCAATTTCCAATTATATAGTAGCAAGTCTACACAGGAAACAAGACTTCTTTGGATATGTGTGCTACTGAGATCACTTTTGCACGGGCATGCGGGCATGTAGAGCACTCTATTATGAGATGCCCCCAAAACAATGTTGCTAGTTGCGAGCACACATCGCAAAGGGCAGTTCGGTTTGGCTTTTGCACCAGATGTGTAGTAGATCCTACTTCCGCCCTTCATTACGAACAGAGAGAGTCTAGGTACCGCGAGTTTGAGACAAGAACTCAACTAGATGCGGTTCGAGACTTTAGAGAGGAGTTCAACGCGGATCTCTCAGAGAGCCATCTCCTGGCAAGTATACACCCCGACATGATTTCACATGAAGAAGCTCGGTCACTTACTCGAGAGCACTCTCTCGTCATGCAGCGACTGCAAGATAGAGCCAGCAATGAGGCGGAAGATTTTGTTTGGCCAATCGAAAGACGAGATCCATTTCACGACGATAACAACAGATATCACGTCCTGAGTGCTGCTCTTTTCAGAATTCCAGAACACATTCTGAGAGAATACACGTCCAATCAACTTATGGAGCATGTCAATCGCCTAAGTGAAGACCTCGAAGCTAGAAGACACGAGATGAGAGCAGATACAATTGCACTTCGACTCGCAAGGCGAATTCTGGTGACTTCCACACCTCGTGACCCAACAGGTAGAAGCTTATCGGAGAGAGCAGCCGAGGCACTGGTAAGAAGAGCTCGCAATATACCGTCACTTCTCACAGCCATAGACATTAGCGGCCTCGTCGATAGCGAAGTAGACCGCGAGTGCATCATATGTACCAACGCCTTCGGCAGTGTTGCAGAAGGTCACGCTGCTGAGGAGCCATGTGGGCTCCCTTGTGGTCACGTTTTCGGTCGAACATGTATCTCCCTATGGCTGAAAGAACATACCTCTTGTCCGTACTGCCGACGGAACTTCTCAGCCGAACTTAGTCGGACACCAGCTAGTCCAGCTCTCATCCAGGGTCCGTCAGTGGCTATCGAGCCGTCACGCGAAATCTCAGCCGACACGCGACGTGAGGCACAACAGGCGCAATCCGAAAGACGAAGAGAACTTCGACAAAGGAACACAGCGGAAGATCTTTTTCAGCATAATGCAGTCCGGACCAATAGTACCATCGCCGAACCACATAACACCGAAGATCCTGAAGCACCAGCTGGCGATTCCACCTTTCAATCCGAGTTAGCGGCTGCTGTCCGTGTAAGTGTGGCGCAAATCCATCAGGAACAGCTCGAAGCCAGAGAAGCAGCACATACGGCAATGATCGCACCCATCAGAGGTGCAGTAAGGACCACAATGCAAATGACCCAGTCCGGGAGCGATGTTCGGAGACGTATCCGAAGTTGGAGGATCCAAGAGCTCGAAAGCCAACTTGCAGATGATCGTATGTCTGAGAACGCCATTCTTATCGGTCAAATCTACTACCAAGATCACATGGACTGCCTTGATCGGTACCTAGTCAACCTGAACAATGAGCGCGAGGTAATCCTGAACGACATGCAAGGAAATCGTGGCGAGAATCCAATCCTCCGCCGTCACGATCGCCTCCTCGATGACACTTACCGACTGCGATCCCTACTTCAACAAGCGGAACAACAAGCAGAGCTCGAGATCCAACGGTTGCGCGTTGACATCGAACAAGCCCACATCAGTATTGATGATGCGTATATCCACAGCGCATTTCAAGACGACGCTGAAACACATGAGGATCTGGATGCAATCTTTAATGAAGACGTTGTCGAGATAACCCTCGACTACGGAGACGATGACAGGGAACCCCGAGTCCCAAACAATTCCCCCAATCTTGAGGACGGGGAAGTTGTTCAAAACGAGACAGAACAGCTCCCGGAGATACTCTTGTGAGTTATTTCATGACATTTCCACTAAATTGCAAAACAGCCAAAAAAAGAGACATAAACCCCCAAAAATTGTTATGAGTCCGGTGTTCCATTTCGTAGAAATAGCGTAAATATTGTATTTTAGTTTGATAGTCAATAATTCACAGGAGAATGGCACCAAGTTATCTACAATGTGACATGATATGTTGGAGTGAAGGAATATATTTTGCGTTTGAACATTCGTCCTTGCATAAATGCAGTCAAGTGCGCCCCGTTGCGCCGTTTTGTATTGATGCTCTCAATTTAGCTAGTACAAATTTCCTGCCACAACCCGAATTGCCTGACTATGGGCTACATGTTACAGGAACATTCTGGGACATTGACTCTTCTATAAAATCTCTCAAACACCTAGCCAAGGATACCACCGCTCTCCTACTTCTTCGTGATTGTGAGGATAATCCGGCATTTCTTAACCGGCGGTTTGTTCTCCGTAACCGCCTCGCAGCATGTCCTGGTACGCTTTCCACACTTTACAGGTCGGTCACCTGATTTGTTGGTGGAAGTTTCCTTTGCAGAGTCTTTGTCGCGGCGAGTTGAGCTACCGACCTTGAGAACAATTTTAATCCTTCTTGATGATTGAGATAGCGGCTTGGTGGTGCTTTTGGTCTCGCTATGTTCTAACTTGGAGGTGGAGACTTCCACTTGGTGATGAGGAGAGGCTCTCCTAGCAGAGCTCGTAGCTTTCCTGGTTCTCGTCGATACTGGTGTAGATTTGTCGATGTCTTCGATTGCATTCGATTCAGTAGCGGTAGTAGGAGCAGGGAGAATCTCTTCATTTTCACTGTCATCTACAACCGACAGACTTCTGCTCCTTTCTAGTAGGACCGCAGCGACCCTGACCTCTAACCAAACCACGAGTTAGCACATGTATGATGGGTCTTCTGCTAATGGAGTAACGATAGATATAGCGAGAAGATCCAAGTATCCTAACACGGAAGCAAGATAAGAGGGATACTTACGGGCTTGATCATGCCATTGAATTGGGAACAATGGGATAGCAAAGTACCCAATGGCCTCTCGGGCCTCCTCCGCTGTCTGAAAACAGTGTCTGGCAGCCCGCTTGATTATTGCCTGATTTTTGACGGGCATGGTGGGGGGGAGACTTGGTGGTACTGTATGGATGCGTACGGGTATATTGTGTTGATCTGTGGATCGAAGGAGAGCTAGGGCCGTGCCGATTTCACGTATGAAGTTCTCGAGAAATTCGGAGATTGTGGCAGGGAATAGAGTTGGTGACAACGTGCTGATGACAGGAGTCTTTTCGGATGCAGGATATGACTGGTATTCTGTGAGACTTGAGAAGAGTTGTGATTGAGAAAAAATGATGGAATATCAGATTTGGAAAATAATGTGGGTTCGGTGACTGGATAGTCTAGTGCAAAACGGATTAGTGCAGGCACTCCGAGTTTGGTACCGATGGCTACCAAACTAACGATAGCATTATCTACGATGGTGAGAAGCAATTTAGTAGTGTGTATTCGCACTCTGCTACCTTCTCATTGTGAGCCGACGGAAGGTCGGCTTCTCCAAGACTCCGACTCTCAGAAGCGGTGGCGGTAGGGATCGCTTGAATTAACATCCCATGCTATATACCATCAACAGATGAGATACTGTAAAATATCAATACTTAGCGACATACGATTGCGCTTTTGATTTTCTAATCCTGCCCAGCACACCAAAGGGGCATGCCCCACGCATGCGCACAAGCGAGTGTTCCGCCATAGGTCATCGCCCAGGAAAGTTTGAAGACTGTATATTATCAACGATTATCAATGAGAGACATCAATATCTGTGCAGTCAAGATGCTTGTAACCTACATTCTTTGGTTGTTCTCCTCGAGTTCCCACTGTCGCGAAGCTTTTCGTGTGGCAGAGATGTTGAGTGTTGCTGTCGTCATATCCTGCAATGCCAAGCCTCGCTAAAAGACTTTTGTTTGTTTACTTCGCATGAGCAGTGTGGTTTCTTCAAGTGGTTAATTTACAAAGCTTTAATTGTGACGGACTATTTCATTGACTTCGAAAAGGTATTATGTGGCGGCAATACTACTGTGATTGAAGGTTAATTTACCCGCCGAGCTAGACGCGCATTTCGGAGTGCGTCCCTTCGCGGAATTCTCAGCTAACCCTACCGAGAGCGGTGTATACAAGAGGCGAGGCAGAATTGCCTGTGAATTACTAAAGCAATACAATAACGAACCTAGTCTTGCTGTATTGACCAAAATTTGGATTCGCTCCACGCTTACTTGGATAGCTGTCCCTCAATACCACATCCTATCAATTGCACCAAGGATCAAGGAACAATTAGCTGTATTCGAATGAAATCAATGCCATATGACATGCACCATACCATTTTAAAGGTATTGCCTCGTGGTAGGCATCTATGAGTCATGATGTCGACGTAGGAGCCAATTTTGGAAGTTGATATCGCAGTCATAGATTTCCACGAGTCTTCAGGGCTTATCGTAAGCTGCCTTGAACCACCACCCTCGGATCTTTAGGGTGAATCTCTTTTAATCTCTATGACTGTATCTCTCAAATATCTCGCGTCATCAGCATCTGTGTCATTGGTGGTGGTAAAAATGGATTGAACGCCCGGGCCCTCACCAGCTCCAATATTATCGACGCGTGCGCAGCAAAAACGACTGTCTTGTTTCCGAGGCAACACTCAAGCATTACCGTACGGTGTACTAGCCCGTTTGAAAAGGGCAAACAGATAGATTGTCAGTCCTCAAGACTGACCAAGATTTAGAGACCTTCCTCTTCAATTGGTGTTGATCTCGTTCTGCGCTTTTCTTCAGCTCTATTTCGATATCACCTTCACATCATGAGTGAAGTACAGTCTTCTCGCCTGGCATAAACAAAAGTCCGTCGAAAATTGACTCAACTCCGAGACTTTGGTGCGAAATCAAACAAGCACAGTGAATCTCCAAGAAACTAGATTCTGCTCGACAGATATCTTACTCACATCAATCTCCGACTGCCCTAGAACTTGCGAGCATATTTTTTCATCCACATACAGCTCTAGCCTCGGCTTCGAACACCAAACGAAAAACGCCAAGTCGACACATACACTGCCAGAGCTGCATAAATTATACACCACTCCCCAACACCTACAAGCTTTGTTGTAGTACTTGCATACAGCCACAACAGGAAGACATGATCCAAGCCACCACTGCACTCGGAATTGCTCCAAGCTTCTGCACAGATTTGAGACAACCATAAGACTATCCACGCCAATTGCACAGGATACCTTTCTCAAAAGCCCAAAAGATCGTAGAATTCGCTCACCCTCGTCGCAGTAACACACGCTGAAGATCTTTGCCACTTATTGGGACCTACAAAACTTCAGTAGCGCCTTGTCTACCAAATAGTCTCTACCTCCGATACGCAGACAGCTGGGAGGTAGTTTCGTTGTCGCTCATCCTTACCATAGCCTTGGGATCTCGAACCAGAACCACCTACTACGCACACCATCACAGGCGGTACAACGTCTCAAGACACCACCACCATGTCTGACTCGGCGATTCTGATGGACTGGCCTTCTGCTGTGGGGGGTCCGTCCTCTAAGTACAGTATCGTCTACAGATCTCCGAAGCATTTGGTATGTGTAGAACAAATGTTGAAGGAGCAAATGGAGCCTACGCTGACCACTCTCAAGGGTTTGGACCTACAGAAGGAGTTGGAGATGCTGAAAGAGAGGAACAGAGAAGACAACAGACTCAAGGAGAAGTTCCCACTTATCAATGGTACGTTTGCGCAGAATGACTGTTATGTTAGATCTTGTTACAGGTCTGGTAATACTGTCAATCCTCTCGCCTTCACCGTTCTGCCATCTTGTCAAGCTTTGGCAGATACAAAAAGCGGATTGTTCAGATCTTGGATAAATTCCCTACAACTAATCTCTTGGGTTTTCACTTGAATGGCACGCTCGGGGACGACAATTTTTGCTCTTAGAATGGCTAACCGCTTTTCTTTTCACATCATCTTTCGATTGGTGCGCTGACATCAATGAAACCTTGAGCTAACACGACCGTAGGAGAAGCGACCTGGCTCCTTCGCCACATTGAGCTGCTTCAGGAAGCTTATGCTAGAAATGGCTGGGAGTACGAAATTCAGATTCCTGGGGAGTGCCAGCACCGCATCCGCCCCAGCATAATTGGCTCCTATTTGATCTTCACCAGAGACAAGAGTAAGTTGGACCACGAGTACTTTCCTTGGCTATGCTAACGCTGTCCGCACCAGAAGGTCACAAAAGCAAAGTTACCAAGGAGTATATCCCGGTTCCACTCTCCAACGGCGCCTCTTGGGGTACTTGGAAGCCTATGGACAATGACGCTCGCCTCCAATCTGATGGTCGCCTTCCCTACCTCCCTGCGCTGACTTCAGCGGAAGCAAAACTTGGCCACGGCCTTCTCGACCACGAGATCGATGCATACCTAAGCGCTGGCGAGAACCCAGAAGATTATGAGGAGTATACCATCAATGAGATGGGTGTTCTCCCCGAAGACCGACCTCGGCGTCGCATTGTGTCAAAGGACTTGGGCAGTTCAGCCTCCAGTGGAAAGAAAGAGAATCGACCTCGCCGTCGTGTCATATCCAAGGGACCGAGTAGTTCATCTTCTAGTGGAAAGGTGTTTACGTACAGCAGCCGTTCTTTCAATACCCCTCAGGCCTCGGCTCCTAGCCAGAGTATAATGAGCTCCTTTGCCAACTACGCACACGACAGATCGCTTCGCTCCACGCGCAAGGTCTCCAACAAATCGATCTCCTCAGACTCTACCAACATCAGCTCCACTTCTAGCGCGAGTGTCATGACTAATTGTATGCCTATCCCTGGATCCATCCGCATGCCAATATATGGAAAACAAAGTGACTCTGAGGAGATAGAGGGTGAATCTGATGGTGGCGAGGAGCGCGATCTCGATAGGGACCATGACGATGAAGAGGGTGACGAAGAGCACGAGCACATGGGCGTTCAGGAGCCTCTTCACAGATACCACGGCCACTACCAAGTCATCCAAAATTCCGATGATGAGGATGAGGCTGCGGACGAAGACGAGGGGAAGGAAGAAGATGAATTTTCCGTAAAACCAATCAGCAGAAGCAAGGGTCTTCGCGACGCTACTGACTCTTTGCATTCAGACCGCATGGACAATGGCAGAGGTGTCTCATTAAAATCTGCCCCCAAGCTCAATAATCTCTCAAATGAGACAGTTGACATCAGCCCTTACGTCGAAAATGAGTATGAGGAGTACGATGACGAAGATGGCTTTGATGAGGATGAGGGCGATGCCGAGATCGAACATGAAGAGGGAAACACGGCAGGCGGCGACGAACTGCTGGCTTATGGTGGAGAAGAAGGCGGTGAGGAGGAATATGCCGAGGATTTAGATGGGGAAGATGGATATGGCGAAGCCGTTGAGGACGATGAGTGGTTCGACGAGTCAGGCTATTGCAAGTTCTGCGATTTGCACCAGCATGAGTGTGAGTGTATCCGTGGAGATGATAATGACCCGATGGAGCTTGGGGAGGACGACGATGACGATTACAAGAACTAATTCTTACTGGTGCTTCATTACACCTACTTGCTCCAGCACCTGGCTGTTGGGTTGTGTGCAGCATAGGCTGAAAGGATCCAGAGGCGGGTTTGACGATAATTGTCTGTAGCGGAACGGGTTGCGTATTATTTCTCCACGCGAAGACGGCATCTCGTCGGAAAGGAGCCTGTTGCTAGGCTGGTAGGGTCTCAGGAGGCAAACTTTGCAGGTGGCCGTTCAGGCTCCCGGTGTGACTCGTTATTACTCATACTCATAGACAGTCTCCGCACAAAATAACAGCGTTGTTTTCTCCAAAATTCCCACAAATTCTACCTATAGTGAAAAAAATCGCAACGTCCTTGCCCGAGTCCATACATTTTCAATGTCAGTAAATCAAATTTGTAACAAAAGTCAAATAAATGTGCCGCAGGCACCGGCAAATCAAATTCCAAAGAATAATCTCGTTCAGCAACCAGAGTCAAGCCAGAAGTAAGTTATATTTCTACGTTACTATGAAGGATGATGGTCTCATCGTGACCTATGATTAAGCACGCTTCCTTCGCCAGAACATATTTACAAGTTGAACTGCAGTACCGTGATAGAATATGCCCTGAATTTCGTCAGCTCAAATCTCATTCCGGACTTATACTCGCGACTTACGGAACACTCCAAGTCCAGGTTCGATTACCCACTGGTGAGGAGTTAGTGAGATTCAGCGGTCTCGGTACGATGGCCGTGGCGTTGTTTTTGAAATTGAAGCCGTTGGGATCCGGGTTCGACATGCTCGTTCCATTGACAGAGGTCCAACTCGACTCCAAGTCCACCTTCAACGGCACCTCCGTCCCATTCACATTTCTAACACTCGTCAGTACATCATGCTCCACTTGACACCGAGGTAAATACTCACATAACTTTCAAAAACACCTTCCCTTCCTCAGCCGAACTCGCCCAATACAAATCCCCAAAGTCTCCCTCAGTATTCTTCACCGTCACACTCTCCGTCCCACGATACGCATTAAACAGCTTCTGTAACCAATAACTCGTACTCAGCACCGTATGCGCAGGATCAGCATCAAACCCAATCAGATTCGGCGTCCAGTTATACCAATTCCAATTCTGGAGACTCGGCGCATAACTGCTGAGCTTCACCACATTCGGGTTTCTCTCTGCCCCAAGCAGATACACTCCTTCTGCTAGAGCAGAAATCATGCGCGGATACGAGACATGTAGGTCTGGTGGGTTGGAGAAGTTGACGGCGCCGGAGGGTGTGTCGACTTGGTAGACGGAGTACTCGCCGATCATGATTGTTACGTTGGTGTTGTTGGTGCGCTCTTGCCAGTTGTCGAAAAAATCGAATTGGTTGATGAAGAATTTGGGTTCTTCGTAGTGGTGTGTGTCCCACATTGATCCTGGGGGGAGGTCGATTGTGTAGGTGGGGTTTTCGTTGTATGCTGAGCTGATGAGGATGATGTCTGGATAGGCGGCTTTGAGTCCGTCGTAGAGGTACTTGAAGCGGAAGGGATACGCTTTGGAGAACCAGTCTTCGTTGCCGATCTCTATGTATTGGATCTTGAAAGGCTCAGGATGGCCGTACTCAGCACGCTTGGCTCCCCAATAGGTATCGGTGGAGCCCATGCAGAACTCAAGCTCATCGAGAGCTTCTTTGAGGACGGGATACATAGCTTCTTCTGTGAGGGGATACTCGGCTGAGTTGCCTCCATTGCCGTCAATGAGGGAGTAGCCGCTGAAGATCCCGAGGACATTTTCTGCTTCCATTGCCTCTGTCCACTCCAGAAACTCAAGAAGACCCATTCCGTTGGTATTGTAATACTCTGATTTCATGTCAGCCCTCTTCCTCTTCAGTGTTTTGAAAGGATCAAAATACTCACGCCAATTTCCAGGCCTTGGCCATCTGTCTTCCAGCGGTCCAATCGTCTCCCACCATTTCCACCGTCTCTGAAACGAATAGCCCTCCAAATTATTCCCACCCGGCCACCTCAAAAACTTTGGCCCCAAATCATAAATATGCTCCGCCAAATCCTTTCTCAGCCCATTTCTATACCCTTTAAACGTCTCTCCAAACAAACTAATCTGATCAAAATAATACGTCTGACCAGCTGCTTCCTTGGGATCAAACGTAATAGCAAGAGTGTTGTTCGTATTCGGGGCCTGAACATCACAAACTATTTGCGCAGTGACATGTGTGTAGTTCACGACATTCCAAGACTGAGCGGGGATTACTGTGGAAGCGAAGATCTCACCTGTCAGGTTTGACTGGAGCGATACTGTGATTTCTGTCTTCAGATTGTTTTGGTTCCGGAATTGATTCGGGTAGATGAAAAATGAGACGTTGTAAGTCTGTGGCGAAACTGGAATCCCCCACCATCCCATGTTGGCGAATCCGACAGGTGTAGTGGAGGTGTTAACTGTGGTAGGGATGTCGAGGGCCAGGACTGTTTGGTGAGAGTGTGACAATGGACGATAATTGTCCAGTCTGATGGTGGCATTTCCCAACGGTTTGTATCCAGTGATTACAGGACCTGGAATTATCAGTCATGAATTTTGGGCTCACAGTATGGATTGAAGGTACCAGTCGGATTGCACTCGTTTTCTTGCCAGACGATGCTATTTCCCGTGAATCCTGGAAATGACCCGAAGGTAATATCGGAACCCTCAAAGGCTCGATTCGTCAACAGTTCCCCGTATAATCCTCCATCCCCAGAGTGGTTGATATCCTCGAACATCCATCCGTAAAGATTTGGTGCCGTTGCGTTTCTCACACCAGTCTTAGTCAAGATTGAGAGCGAAACGCCACTTGAATTCGTCAGTGCACGAGAGTGTATTGGTTCAAATCTCGGTTGTTTTTGTCCTGCTTCTGCGCTCGAAAGAAGAGCTGTAACAGCCAAGACACAAAAATTGAGAGATACCATCTTGAATAGTACCATGAGGCTCGCCGCTACTCAGGAACATTTCTGACAAGCAGAGTCCGTCTGATCTATCCGCCACCAATTCAGAGTTCAAGCTAGTCATTGACATCATCCCGTCTTATTCTATCCACCCCAGAACGGAATAATTACAGCAATACACTAGAGATGCGGGGGATATGGAGTCCTGGGGAACAAGCTCCCAGGGACGTGATCATCGCGACCATTGTATGCGCACCAATGAGCACTTGGCATCGTTCTTAAGCGAGATAGAGTACCCCTCCTCACCCCTCTGTGACAAGGGAAGTTCGTTTATCCGCAAATGTACCGATGCAGATTCATTGATTTGAAAGTGTACTTGCCGGACGGATTTCCGAAAAGAAATTGGAGATGACTATAGAGGCTTCAGAAATGTGCCATCTGTGAAATTCAGAACCATATAATAAGGCTCTTGGATGACAGCATTGACTTTTACATTTTCCTAGACCAAATGACGGAGCTTCAGTGGAACCTTGTCTTCTCCCGTGCCTCAGCAGATTGGACGAGAAAATACCAGTTCTCAATGATAGCCAATCGGTCCTCTTCACTGCACTTCCTGCTTTCAGTCTTACCGTTTCCCAGCTGCGTGGACTTCAAGAAGTCGTCTCGCTTATTCTGGACCTCCTCATAGACTCCTTTGAAAGTATATGCAGTCAATCCAACAGCTCCTAAAAACCCCATCAACATGTTACTCGAAGAACCGGGGCGACGATACATACCAGCAGCAGGCTTACACACCACCCCTCCAAGACCTTTTCCTACTCCTGCGAAGAACCCTCCAAGCCCGCCCTTCTTGGCACCATTCATAGGCTGAGTAACAAGCCCTGTAATCCCATCATACAACCCAAGCCCAAGTCCCTAAAACCAGTCAGAACATTTGCAGTCGACAAGACCCTGTACCCACCTTCCCAGCAGCACCAAGTCCACTCGTAATTCCCGTAACTCTCTCCTCCTTCCTCACCGTCTCATCACCATACAACTTCGGCAAATTCCCAAAGCCCCTGGATATGTTCAACGTCATATCCATCGGAGCCTTCAAGCCCGTGCCCACAATCCTCGAGACTCCCTTGCCGCTGTCGAGCGCAAAGTCTGTAGCGAGACCAGCTGCGACGTCGCGGTTCGCTTTCGCCATCTTGGTTATCTCAATGGGATAATCTGCGACGCCCATGATGACGCCGCCAAGTGTACCGTGAGCGGCGGAGAGCACGCCTGAGATCGGGTCTGTGGGTCCGGGTGGTGGAGTGTGAGAGCGGGGTGGGTATCTGAGAATTTATAAATATTGTGTTTAAAGGAAGAGAAAGTATATCGGAATGAGTTGTTCAGAGCTCCACTTACAGGGAAAGATTGTCTGGAGTCAAAATAGCTGCATCGATCAGAGCGGCAGCAGCAAGAGGAGAGAGCTTGATTCTACTCTCCCTCTCCATCCAGCCTGCAAGACGCTGAGGAAGAATAGCACAAAACGGAGACCCAGCATCATTCTCGCGGGCCTGATCTCTGGCCGGATGATCTTGCTCTTCAGCTTCATATTGAGGTAGGTGCTCGTTGAAGTAGTCTTCTTCTAGTGTGGTATGATCGAATGCACGATCATGTTCATGTTCGAGGGTATCTGGAGTTGATGCCCCGCTTGTTCGTGGGGTAAGGCTTGGATGCTGGGTGGAACTTTCTGAGGCAGAGTCGTTGTCTTGCATGTGTATGCCGGTGCCTTTCATTGTGAACGGGCGTTGAGGGGGCAAATTCTGCTTTGCTGGTTACGACCAGATTGTGAAGATGAGAATATTAACAATCAGCTACCTTCAGAGCTGTTATCGTAAAGCTCTTATTTGGGAGATATTCACTCTTTCAAACAATGATAATGGTACGTTTTTGAACACTTAGATGCTGACGAGGCTTGTAGGCACCGAGAATATGTTTGGCTTATGCGGGATGAGAAATACACCCGGTCGCAGATATTGGCACCGGCAAGGCGGCAGACATGGATATACGTCCCACTAATCTTTCTCAGGACTACCTATAAATGTTATTCTCAATTCAGAACTTATTTCGCTTCTTTTAAGACTTGGAATTCTTCAGCCCTGCGTAGAACCCTGTTTTGATGGTATTTCGAGCCAATATCATTGCTGCCATTTCTATCTAGAATATTTTATACAAAAGGGCTAGTTACATTCTGGTCATGTTCATGGCAGCGACACTTTGCAGTGAGTCCTACGCTCGATGTCATCTATCAGATCTTTTATCGGCGTTGCAATCCCCTCCCTTTCCTGGCCATTGGCATTCCCAATGAGCATACCGACCAACTCAAATCTCTCATTCACGATCCAGGATCCGGAATCCCCAGCGCCACAGAAATCAGCATTATTAAGGGGTAAGATTTCTATCTCGTTCGAGTGTGCGTGTTTTTCCCGGTCCTCCCACCTAACAACTCTTTGGACCTTGTTCACAAATCCTTGTCTCACCGACGTCCTCCCGGCTCGAACAACCCAGTCCTCTCTCTTCCAATCCGAGCCAAAGTTCCGTACGTAATCATTGGCCTTTGGAGCGTACGTGCCTTCGATGTAACGGCTGCTCTCAATGATTACTTGAGGCGGGCGATTGAGCTGTGACGTATTTGGGGAAGGAACAAGGGCCCAATCGAGACGTCCATTACTAGGTGTTCGAGTGGCGTGACCAGATGCATATCGGATTTTTCCAATAGTTCTTCCAGAGCCTCTTAATTGATTGAGAACTGAGAGTGCGGTTGCAAATTCTGGATTCTTAGAGCCTTGAGCTACTTTCTTCTCACAGACAGATCTGGTGTATTGCTCATCGAGGTTCGATGGCCAAACTACTTCAATGTCTGGTACCAAATGAGCTCCATAGAAGCCGATACCGCTGACAGCATTGTCAAGTTCTCCCTCTTCATCGGCGTTCTCGAAAACGTGATATGCCGACATCATGCAGTCAAGAGTTTGGCTCGGATCAGACTTGCGTGTCAATCTGATCCAACCACCAAGACTGCCTGTCTGATCGACCAGATTGCTGGCGCCAATAGATACGCCCTTGTAGGGCATCGTACTGGTGATGTGAGACAAGGATTTGGGGTCCGAGTCCATGTCGATAGCACCTGAGATCGTCCCTGGCAGAATCTCCAGATGCATTTGCATGGCTGGAAAGGTTGATGTGGTTAATGCTTGAATAAATTTGGCCTCGACTTCTTCAAAAAAAATAGCTAGTACCAGGCTTGACAAACACGAGGACAGTGGGTTTTGGTGCGGCTTGTCCTGAGGTCCTGGATCCTCTCATGTGATACGCGATGCTTGTCCAGCTCGAAGGGAGCTTTTCCTGAACTACTTCTAAGAGTCTAGGTTGAATGTCTTCGATGTACTGGAGAAGGTTTTTGTCATCTGGCAAGCATGAGGATACGTCGGAGTACATTTTCAATGAGTTTCTGACTTCCACCTTGAACATCTCCTGGTTCCGAGGTCTCGTTTTCTGAACGAGGTCGTGAAGATCAGTAGCAGCTTCCTGCCAACGACGAGTATCGGTATCATTCGTGTCGATGATCAGACATGGTGTTCCCTTGTGTTCGAAATCTTTCCTCATTAGTGTATCGACTCTGACATCTCGAATTGTGATGAAGTGTTCGTCGCATATCTTCTCACAGTCGTGCATGATCTTCACAAAGAGATCTTCGGCTTCTTGTGTCACAAGACACTTGACATAAGGCCACGGAGTGGGTATCTCATTGGGAGGGGCGACTCTGTAGGGGTCTTTGCCGGCAAGGTATTTCTCAATTGTTACTGCGCCGCTTTCTATAACTCTATTAGAACACTGAGGAGGTCCTCACTTGGAAGGCTTTTAACTTACGACCTGGATCAGATGGGTCTGATCGATATCGTCTCTTGACACCTTGAACCATAGTGTAGTAATTCAGATGTCTGATGTTGATCTTCAGAGAGAGCCAGGGACAGCTGCGGAACTTGTGGTGCTTAGTGAGAGGCTTTCGTGACGATGATACGTTTGACTTGATGGGGGTAGGTAGCTGAAGTAAGATAGCTGAGTGAGGTTACTATGAGACTGCAGCTCGGGAAATGTGAGCAAAACTGGCGGATAATTTATAGAAAAAGAGGCTGGGGAAGACGGAGCGAAAAGGCTGTGGCTAAGACGTCGTGTATGACTCCTTTCATTAGGCGCGAAACTGTGAATCATCCATGGAAACAGAGTTAACTTTGCTGTGAATAATCCACAGAGATAAATTCACTTTTGTATCATAAATCACAAGCCCTGAGGTGCTAGTATTGGAATATGGACTGCGCAAAAGTTTGGTTCGCTAATAAAAGCTTGGTTCGATGGTCACGGCACCCCTCTTCTAATTCCGAAACACTTGACTAAATTCGTAATCACACCAATACCTAGGACTTGCCTTAAAACAAACGCTAAACTGCTCTACTGAAAACTAATGAGGTAGGGCGCAGCAGTCTGTGTACCTGTTCACGGCAACTGGTTCCCAGTGTAGAGCTTATATCGCCTCTTTTAAAACTCGGTATCTTTCAGCCCTGTAGCGAACCCTGTTTTGATGCTATTTTGAGCTTGGCATTCCCTCCTTACGGTTAGCGCATTATGTCATCCTCCAAGCGAGACATCTTCTTTCAACAGCTGATGCTCCTCCTCAGCTCCTTGAACCTGTTATTATAAGATTCTGAGAACAACAGCTAAGGCCATATATATTGTGTACATTTCAGAGTTTACACAAACCACGATCACTTTATATCTGAATTTTGAGACGCACCTTTAGATCTGTTCGACAGACTCGCTTTCTCTGCTCAGACAACCCCGCATTCCTGTAGCCAGTGTCAAAACTGCCCTTCAAAATCTCAAACTATGGCGGAGTGGACGAAAAACATCACAGCCCGCTTGGGTGACATGGACTTCAGCTCCAAGGCAAAGCCTAAGAAGTCAGACGACGATAACGAGCAAGGAGAAGAAACAACCTCGGCAAGTGTCGCAGGTGGTGGACATTCAGCTCGTCAGTCCGGCATCACGAAGAATCAACTCACTGCGAGCCCTGCCTTACGGTCGTTTCTTGTGGCTCAAAATATGCTTTCAAAAGAGGATGCCGGCGTGGATGGCTCTGACCAACCCACTGGGGCGCTCAAGGACCTCCTGGAGAAGCCCCATATTGATGTCCCAGCTGCTCTCACAGACAGGTCACATCCGCTACCTGAATACTTCATCAGCTCAAGTCATAACACCTACTTGATGGCTCACCAACTTTTTGGTAGTTCGTCGGCTGAGGCATATGAAGTTGCGCTGCATGCTGGCTCTCGCTGTGTTGAGATTGATGCCTGGGATGGCGATGACAATCCGGATGAGCCTAAAGTTACCCACGGATACACTCTTGTCTCCAATATCAGCTTTCGCTCCGTGTGTGAGACCATTAGAGACGTCCACGACAAGGAATCTGCTGAGGCCGTTGACGAACAAGGCTACCGAGCTGCTCCAATTCTCATTTCTCTCGAGAATCACTGCGGTGCTCATGGCCAGCTACGTCTCGTGCAAATAATGACCGAAGTCTGGGGTGACCGTCTTTTGAGTAAAGCAATCAGAGATGAAGGTCATGATGAACAGAACGGTGGTCAACATGTCCGCCTGGAAGAGCTAGGATCCAAGATCGTCGTCATCGTTGAGCACCACATACCCGGAGAGGTCGAGGACGACGACGACGACGACTCAAGCTCATCAGACGAAGACGAGGCAGAGAAACAAGAGAAGCAAGCCTACAAGGATAAGAAAAAGGCTGCACCAGCAACAATCATCATCCCCGAACTCGCCGAGCTCGGCGTATACGCTCAATCCGTCAAACCGAGCGACAACTCCTGGTATGCCTCCGGAACCCTCACCAATGGCCCCCATCACCACCTCATCAACGTCTCCGAATCCGGTCTCTCCACACACATGGCAGTCCCCGAAGCCAGCCCCAAAATCGGCTCCCACAATGCCCACCACCTCATGCGTGTCTTCCCAAAGGGAACCCGCATCTCTTCCAAAAACCTCCAGCCCATCCCCTTCTGGGGTATCGGGGCCCAAATCTGCGCTCTGAACTGGCAGACTTTCGGCGCAGGAATGCAAGTCAACGAAGCGCTATTCAGCGGCTCGGACGGCTATGTCCTCAAACCACCTGCCCTCCGCCACGGCGGAACCGGCAAGCTCAGTACAGGCCGCATGAAGAAACTCAGTCTCCACGTCGCCGGCGCATCGCAACTTCCTCTCCCGGAAGGCAGAGAAGCAGACGAGATCAAACCATATGTAACATGTATGCTCATGCACCCCGACAACATCAAAAGCTCTCCACCGAAGCGGAAAACTGCGCCATACAAGAAGCATAAGCTGGGGTTTCTGCACAAAGGCGAGAATAGTCCGACTACAGACCCCGTGTGGGATGAGACGCTGGAGTGGGAGTATGAGGAGAATGAGATGGTGTTCTTGCGGATCCTGATTAAGAGCGATGATAGTTTTGCGACGAATCCTGTTTTTGCTGTTGCGGCTGTGAGGTTGCTTTATGCGGTGCAAGATTGGAGGTTCATTCGGATGTTGGATTTGAAGGGGAGGGAGACAAAGTGTTCTTTGCTGGTAAAGTTTTCTATTACGGATGCTTAGATTCTTGTTACGTCTTTAATTGAACGATCTACTTCCGAGAGGGAATACTGTAGCTCTTGCCGTTGACCTGGGTTTAAGTACATATGTAGTAGATACCTCTGCTGAAGCTGATCATATCACGTGAGAAACCAATGACTTAATTTATTCATGTAAACAAGCTTGAACATTTCCACCTTCTGGTCAAATATGCTTTCATTATCTTCCTCTCTTCATTTGACTTATACAATCAAACCATTGGAACGACGACTCTAATTGATTGAGTCCACCAGACGCCCAATTACAACTCCCACCGCCCAATACCGTCAATTTCTGAACGGGAACACATCGGTATGCTGTCAGACCTCAGTCCAAGACCAGCTCACCAAAAACTTTCTGTCCTTGTGGAGCAAATGTCCAGCTCTGCAAGGCTATCAATACTATGCTTCCTCCAATTTGTCTCAAACTGAAGAACTCCCATCCACCTCACTTACCTTAGTATTCACTATCCCCTCAAATTCCTTTCCATCCTCTCCCTACTCACTTCAAACACGTCCGGAAACCACTCCAGCACTCCCTCTTTATCCGTCCCCCTTAGAATGTCGACCAAAGATTTCATGCCCCCGCACAAAGCCAGCAAAGCAACATCCTATGCCCCTAAAACCTGGCGCAACCAAACAACCCGTCATTTTGTCCACCCTATGGATTCAAACCCAGCATCAGCACTTTATCTTGAATTTCATCAACGAGTAACTGATAACCAAATACCGCGAAGTACAATTGCTAAAATCTTCACCTGGGTTTGTTTACTTTTAGTGAAACCTCTCATAAACTTCTCGCTTCCCATCCACCAGAGCCGGCAAACACCCCACTCTACTTACCCCTCCATGACCCCTTGCAAGCCCATCCCATCGTCACCTCATGACGCAAGAGAATGTTGAATGGCATCAACCCGATTTATCCACAAGGGTCTCCAATTTATCCACAGCTTCCCTGCATACTCGTACACCTGCATAGAAGCTTTCCAACAAGCCAATTAGATGTTCGCAAAACCGGTTCGGAGTTAATGCCCCACCGCCGGGGGATTATCAAATTGTCGCTCTCACCGCCCGCAGTCTTGGCGGCAATTCTTTTAACCTCAAAGCTTGGAGCTCCAGCTTCCCCTCATCTGCAAAAGCCACCAACCACTCAAGAGTAAGTGGGTGATGCAATCAACGCGGGAGCGGTGTTATGACTTTAACCCCGCGATTCCCCCCCAGTTGAAACTCAAAGCTTGGCCGAGTGGAAAAGGTATAAGAGGAAGACCTGCGCTACGGGCTTTGCGGATCTTTGCTATACAATATTTCCTCCTAACTAATATTTTTGAACTTACCACAGCACAGCAGGCGATTATAGCACATCCTAATAGAACGAAAGCGGCAAACAATTGAAACAAAAACACCACAATATACGAAATCATGCAAGCACCACCACTTCCCGATGCTCTCAAGGCCAGCGTCGAGGCCAGTAAGGTTGAATATGTCAACTTGGGCAAGAGTGGATTGCGCGTCTCAGTGCCCATCCTCGGTGCAATGAGTATCGGAGATCCAAAATGGGCACCTTGGGTTGCTGGCGAAGAAGAGGTATGTCCTGCTCCAATGTCCCTACTCCCAGCACCCAATCAGTTAAAAATCCCCATCCGCATACCTCCTACCACACTCTCCCGCAATGTCCCGCCATCCTGCAATTGAGTCAATACTAACAATACACCGTAGTCCCTACCCCTCCTCAAAGCTGCGTACGATCGCGGTCTCAATACCTGGGATACAGCCAATGTGTACAGCAATGGAGCTTCAGAAATTATCATTGGCAAGGCGATCAAGAAGTACAATATCCCGAGACATAAGTTGGTTATTTTGACGAAGTGTCATGGGTCGGTGGGTGAGACACCGGAGGTTAGAGGGTTCTTCTTTCCTAAGGAGATTAGAGCCAGCAAGGACTATGTGAATCAGGGTGGTAAGTTGTCTTTCTTTTCACATTCGTAGTGCTATTTGTAGCAGAAGCTGGAGGCAGAGGAATACACCGTATCAGTGGCGCAAGTGGGCGACGGAAGGAGATAGAAACATAAACTAACACAACCCAGGACTCTCCCGTCAAGCAATCTTCAACCAAGTCAACGCCTCCCTCGCACGTCTCGACATCGACTACATCGACCTCCTCCAAATCCACCGCTTCGACCCCAACACCCCCATCGAAGAAACAATGCAAGCCCTCCACGACCTGATCCGCAGCGGCAAGGTCCGATATATCGGCGCAAGCAGCATGTGGGCTACACAATTCGCCCGCATGCAGTTCGTTGCTGAGCAGAGAGGATGGACCAAATTCGTTAGTATGCAGAATCAGTACAGCCTGTTGTACCGCGAAGAGGAGAGGGAGATGAATAGATTCTGTAATGATACAGGTGTTGGCTTGATCCCGGTATTTTAGCATATCTTTTCCCCCTGGCTCCCTTTCCGAGATATCGAACCTCTCTTCCTTCGCACCCACTCCACCATCAAACCTACTAACTCCCAACCCATCCAGTGGGCACCCCTCTGCCGCGGACACCTCGCCCGACCCCTCTCCGCCCTCGGCAGCACCACCCGGTCCGCACCCGAGAAAGAAAAGGGCCTCACCCCTGAAGACAACAAGACCATCGAGCGCGTACAAGAACTCGCCGACAAGAAGGGCTGGAAGATGAGCCACGTGGCGCTAGCGTGGATCAATAAACGTGTCACGAGCCCGATTATTGGGTTCAGTAGTCTGGATAGGTTGGAGGAGTTGATTGATATTAGGGGGAAGACTTTGACGGATGAGGAGGAGAAATATCTTGAGGAGTCGTACGTTCCGAAGGCTATTAGTGGGCATTCGTAGATGAGATGGTTTGTCAGGGGAGATGGAGAGGGGAGATGGAGAGGGGAGAAGATGAATGTCGTTATGGAGAAGACGAACAAGCGGCTGGAAAAAGAAAGTTCAAAATGGAAGACTTGTTAGATAATCTCGCCAGAAGAGCAGATCAGCATTCTCTCGTCCCCCTCTCTTCATTCCTGACGAAATGCACAATCTTTCTCTCTCATCATCTCTCTCTCATCCTATCAGCTAGCTCATTTATAATAGCCCACCCGCCTCTCCTCCATCCAACTATAAACATTATCTCACCTTATCAATCTGCTTACATCACAGTTACTCTTGAACCTGAAAACCCCCAGAACGAAGCAACCAAGCAACCAAGCAACCAAGCAACCAAGCAACCAAGCAACCAAGCAACCAAGCAACCAACCACCCAACTATGCACCACCCACCCTGCCCTTCAACTACATACCTACCATCAGATACCTTTACCTCCCTCCATCAAAAAAATCACATCAACCACATCAACCTCATTTCGGCTCAACCCAGTTCAGCTTACTACATACATACCAAATCTCCAACCAACCAACCAACCAATGACGTCTACGGAGTAGTAGTAGTCTAGATATAGAGATATCACAGTTCGGATTCGCTTCACTCACGTGTGTCCCAGGTGGGGGCTGCTTCTCTACTACTCGCCTGCTCGCTTGTGCAAAAGCACCTAACTTATTCAAGCATACCTACTACTCCATCCCAAGCAACCTACTCCATCTCAAGCATTCTAATTATTTCCCGAGATGCCGCTGCTGCTTACATACATTACCAGGACTCGACCCGACCCTGTTACCGAGACGAGGTGAGGTGACGTGAGGTTCGCCGCTTTCATACATAGATATGTCATAAAGAGTAGAATGGACCTTCTTATTTGGGAAGAAGAAGAATGAGTATTGGTATGATTATCTATGAGTAGCTAGCTAGCTTGGTTCTACTGTATTATTGAGTTCTGTTCTGCTGGGTCGAGTCAGGTTGGGTTGGGTTGAGTCGGGGTGGTGCTTTGTGTGGTGCTTTGTGGTTGTTCGTTTGGGCTGTTAATTTAATTCAGTCAGATGGTGTTGGTTTGGGATGGTTTGGAGTCATTGGCCTGAATTGGTTTCGATGGTTCATTCAGGTAGCACAAGTCCGAGAAGGTGTGGATGGATATTGGTATATGACTGAATGGAAGTGGGTTTAGACGTGAAATCAAAGTCGGATGTGGACGGCAGGTTGGATGGATGATGTGTGGATCTATCCCGTCTTGGACAACGTTGGAAAGTGTGAGGATTGACGCACAGACGACCCCCCCTGTAGTCGGACGAATCAGAAGCTTCAAAAACCACGAACAATTGAAGGCACAAAGGTATTAAAATCACATTCTCGCACGCTTTGGTTAGCAAACCCCCAGAGGGGACCCCGTGCTATACTTACGCTCTAACCCTAACTAATCTACTAACCCTAACCGTTTGTAACCTTTGGAAATCTGCTCAGGAGTAGTACAAGTGTGAATGTGCTAAGTAGTGTTAATAGCAGTCCTCTATTGGCTGCAAGGGGGGGGTCGTGTGGGGGAAGGGGTCGTCTGTGTATCATTCCTCGAAAGTGTGCAGTGTGGGTCTATGTGGGGAACAGTAAGGTAAAATGGAATGCTGGGACCTCGGTGCCAGGGTGGAAGGGGCTTGTAGCTTCGAGAAGAATTAATGTGGTGCCAGGATGGTGCGGCGAATGATGACGCAGGGAGAAATAAACTTGCAGGTATAGAGTATACAGATCGTGGTTTTTGATCCGGTTCGGGGAGCACACTGGAATTTCGGACTTTGTACCTCTGGAGTTTGGACTTTACCATTCCATCTCCTCTTTTTTCTATTCATGATATTTCTGCTACTTCCATAGCAAATCGAGATCGAACTTATGTCGTATCAAGACCAAACCAGAGAAAATGAGGTTGGAAATGAAAAAGAAGAACCCTACACGGCACGGTAAGTTATCTCAATTCTCCTCCATGACACCCTGTGTTCCACAAGCTCTCAACCAACCAACACTCCACATCAATACTTCCACCATCAACCCATCATCAAACCCTCGGATATCTCGGGTCCTTCAAACAAAACTTATACGTAGTATACCAGCTCGCATCAAACCGCATCAAGAAGGTCAACAGAACAGTAGCTTCCTTCCAAGTCACCCCTCCACTAGCTCTTCCGGAGTAAAATCAAACATGCGGCGCAGCGGGAACTACTGTAGATACGATAATCCCGCGTATCACTAGGTAATCCCGAACCAACAGTAGTACAATTCCTTCTTTACCCTTTACCCAATATGGGTAAAGAAGCCTGTTTAGTGAGTGCCTCTCCCGTACATTACAGTATAGTAGTCAGCATTACAGTAGTCCCTTCCGAGCTCCCGGGAAGCGAAGCGAAGCCACCCACCAACAACAGTAGACGTCAGATCAGGCCAGGTCGGGTCCGCTACTCGCACTACCTACACCATACAAAATACAATACGCGAAACCGAGCTCACCACTCTGCCTACCTAAGTGTGGTACGGAGCAAAACCACCTACCTATCCATGCGAGATGGAGATATGCACACGAGCAGGACCACAAGCACGAACTCTCCCCGCCCCCTAGCTCGCACCCCCGCTTAGAGACATGAATCCACATTTGACAATGACACATTATTGACACATCGACACCTTCCCATCTAAGCCTGGCGTCGACGATCTCCCTTGGTATATCTTATCAGGAGCTTGTTCGTGATTGGCAAAGTCTTGATCTAAAGCTTGGTTTGGGATATGCGGATCATCTAGGTAATCATTTTTTTGAGATTATGTTAATAATGAATTACGGGCTTGGCTGCTTTTGCAGCTGCCGTTTTTGGGAGAGTGAGAATGAGAATGAGAGATGAGGGTGAGATTGAGATTGAGAGTCTGACTGTTTGAGGAGGGGAGGTAGGCGCTGTGTTTACGCCGCAATGGGGACTTGGCGGGCGAGAATGAGAGGGGTGATTGGAGGATGATTGGATTGGGTATGGGCGAGAGAGGGTGATGAGAGGGTCTGAGGGCTTTGGGGATTAGGATCTGGGAGGCGAGACTGAAGGGAAGGGTTGGAGGTCGTGATTGTCCTAAAGGAGTTAGTGCATTGTGGATACAGATTGAAGAGTGGATATAATATGGACTAGATAATTGGGGAAGAATACGGACGAGAGGCCGACAATGAAGCCGAGGCTGCACCTAGCTGGAACACGAAGGTCTGCATGGGCATTGAGCGGGTTGTTGTTGTTGGTAATTCGGAAGTGATTTTGCTTGATTTGATCAACTGGGTCGCAGGTATGCACAATTGGTAAGTACAGTACGCGATCTCATACACTCCACTGCGTTATCTACCTCCCCATCTATTCCCACATATATAACACTCTCCCTTGACTGCCCCCCTCTCTTCTCTCCTCTCTTCCTCTCCTCGTCCTCTCCCCCTCCTCACCACGCATCAGGGCACACTCCAGCCCAGCCGTCCCAATCCAACCATGTCCAACCTAGCCAACCTCGCCCTCGACGGCGGCGACCCCCGCCAAGGCGAGAAGAAAAACCCCAACCAATACGCCCTCGACAACGGCCACGAAGCCGGTCTCGCAAAAGGCTTCACCATCGAAGCAGCTCAAGTCCACAACGACCCTGACATCCTGTTCGAAGAGTACTTGCACTATGCGAAGATCACGCGAGCCGAGGAGCGTGCGTATGAGAAGAACAATATCAAGAGGGATGAGCCGTTCTCGCTTGGGGGGATTATTAAGAATCGGTTTTCGAAGGGGCATAAGCATGAGATTAATGCGGTTGTTGAGGGGGGTCAGATTACGACTACGCATAATGATTGGTGAGTATTTTCTCTGCTTTGGTTTCTGAGGTTGTGTTTATATTAATCAATGGATGGATGGACGATTGAGAATTGTAGAAGAGATGAGAGAGATGGTGCTAATGCTCTATGTTTCACAGGTCTACCGTGACTGATCTGGAATGGAGACAAGCCTCACGTGCTACGCGAACTGCATCTTGGGGATCTATCTTCTTCCTCATCACAACCGATATTCTCGGTCCTTCTAGTGCTCCGTAAGTTCTCCGTCCAGCAGAACCTACCATATCATTCTGACAAGATATCAGCTGGGCTTTCTCAAACACTGGATATGGACCTGGAGTCGCACTCTACACTGTTTTCGGTCTCATGGCTTCGGTCTCAGGGTGGTATGTCTGGGGTGTTTACATGCACAGTAAGTACCACCAACCCACACAACATTCCTAAAATCTTCCCCACAGAGATAAACAAGTCTAACACCTCCCCCCCAGCCGACTCCGACCGCCACCCCCTCCGCGACTTCGGCCAAGCCTTCTTCCGCGTCTACGGCCCCTCCATGCGCCACCTAATCAACGTCCTCCAATCCCTCCAAATGATCATGCTCGTCGCGGTCCTCATCCTCTCCGAAGGCGGCAAAGCCTCCCAAGTCTCCATCGGCCGCAACGGCGAGCACGGCAACGGCCTCTGCTTCGTCATCTGCCTGCTCATCATCGCCCTCCTCGGCATGGTCCTCGGCCAGATCAGAACCCTCCAGCGGTTCGGCTGGCTCGCTAACTTCTCGGTTCTGACGACTGTCGTGACGAGTTTTCTGGCTATTGGTGTGGCGGCGACGAGTGAGCCGAATTATGCGGCGATGTTTAGCTCGTTTGGGGCGACGACTGCGGTGCCGTTTGGGGAGGTGAATTTCCCCAATGGGACGGTGGGGAGCCATATTCCGATTAGGAAGTTTGCGGGGACTCCGGATTATGGGTATGCGTCTGGGGGTGTGGGGTTCTTGGGTTCTTTCCAGGGAATCAACAATATTATTTACGCTTATGGAGGAGCTATGCTTTTCTTCAATCTGCTGGCTGAGATGAGGAATCCTTGTAAGTTGTCTCCTTGTGTTAATGTTTGAGCGAGAAATTGGGATCTGAGTGCTGACTTATGCCTATCGTAGGGGATTTCTGGAAGGGAATGATTGTTGCAGATCTCTTCATCTATTTCGTTTACATGTTCTTCGGTATCTTTCAATATTCGTACCAGGGACAATATACTTTCAGTTCGGCTATTCAGAGTATCACGCCTTTCAACTACCGAACTGCTGGTAACATCTTGGCTATTATGGGTGTGTCAAATTCCAATCCCGCTTCCGCCACCATATATATTACATGATTTCACTTCTCCTTTGGAGTCTTAATGCTAACTTTACAAACAGGTGGTCTCATTGCAGCGGCCTTGTATGGTAACATCGGCATCAAAGTCATCTACAACAACGTCCTCATGGAGCTTTTCAGTAAGTTCTTTCCCACCACCATTTCACAACTACGTATCTAACACTGACCAACAGACTTCCCCCCTCTAACCTCCAAACGCGGCAAAATCGCCTGGGTGTTCGTCGTCCCCGTCTACTGGGGAGTCGCAGTAAGTCTTTCTCCATTCCAGTATCCTTCAACTTTAAAAAGTTCCACCCCCCTTCCTCTCCAGGCCCCCTACTAGACCTCCTGCCAACCACCCTTACTAACTCCCCCTCCACCCCCACAGTACGTAATCGCCACCGCCGTCCCCAACATCGGCGACATCTCCTCCCTCGTCGGCGCCTTCTGCATCGGCAACTTCACCTACACCTTCCCCGCACTCCTCAAACTCGGCTTCGACATCAAACTCCACGCCATGCTCCCCGAAGAAACCTTCGATCCCACGACACGCAAGTACACGCGCTTAGATGGCGGCTTGAAACGCTGGTGGAGAGGCTATAGGAAGAGTTTCTGGATGAGTACCTTTAATGTGGTGTATTTTTTGGGGAGTCTGGTTGTGTGTGGACTGGGTTGTTATGCGGCGATTGAGGCGCTGATTAGTGCGTTTGGGGATGGGGGGACGACGGCGACGCATTTTAGTTGTACGAGTCCTTTTGCCGGGTAGCGGGGGGTTTTGAGGAGGTGGTATGTTGCGCAGGAGATGAGTGAGATGGTGATTATGATTGTGATTAGGGTACGGGAAGGAAGTGGAGATGGTGGGAGGGTGAGGACGCAGGAGAGTTGTACGCATGTGCTGTTTGGTCTGTCCCTTTGGTGCACCGAAGTGTAGAAATACATGCTCAGGATAGATGAATACGTAGACAAGACTAGACGAGGTTGAAATGTTCGCTCGCTAATTGAATACCTGATCTTTCTTAGTCAAAACTGAAGAATCGACCTGCCCAGCCGACCTGGCAGTCGCAGGATAATCCAGAACAAGAGTGTTTGAAGGCACAAGGATAAGATCGAATCAGAGGTACATCGTTGGCTGCCATATTGTGACGATAGTTTGATCAAACTTGAAATTTAGATTATCCTAATATTCTTTGATCAAATACACTAGAATATTGTTCGTCTTCAAACGAAAACAGACACTCACCGAGCACTTTTCGCCTCTCCCACAGTCCCCATTCCTCCACCCCACCCTCTTAAACCCCCGCCTCACAAGTCCGCCTCATCCAAATTCCTCACAAACAACATAAACCACCTCACAGCATTAACATGCCCCCTCACACTAACCCTCTCATTAACCGTATGTATATTCCCCAATCCCTCCTCCTCACCATCCCACCCCGGCGCAAATCTAAAAATATGCCTCGTCAAATCCCAGAAAAACCGCGTATCCGTATTCCCCGTCATGATCCCGGGCGTAGTGATGATCTTCGGTCCGTATATCGCTCGGTTGGTACCTGCGAGGACGGAGTACGGGGTTTGGAGTCGGGGATTGGATGGGTTGTGTGGGTGGGAGGGGGTCACTGGCGCGGGGGCGAGGACGTCGTTGTGCGTTAGGGTTAGGGAGGAGGGGGCTTCGATTCCGTCGAAGGCGTGGAGGGTTAGGTTGTGCTTGGTGGCAATGTGGGAGGCGATTTGGGTGAGGTGGATGAATACTGCTTGGGCGGTTTCGCCGACTAGAAGGGGCATGATTGTCAGCTGATGCCTGGGGAGCATGGGCAGAGAATGATTGAGATGTGCTGGAAGAAGAGAACATAGATCGATTAGATGAAAGGAAGTGGCAGTCAGAAGCTTTGAACATGTGAAGAGAGAGGAATGGGGAGACACTGACCATTAACACGATGATTGACAATCGCCTGAGCTCGTTCTGGCAAAGCATTGACTTTCACTCCACCGGAAATGATATCCACAGCCTGTGAAGTCTGTAACAGATACTTGATCTCAGGCCCCTGTTTGGCAGCTTCCAAAGCAAGAGCATCACTCTTCTTCGCACACGTGTTTCTATTCTCCCCACTCTCCAGCTCCAGCAACCTCTGATCAAGCAATTTCTTCAGTTTCGGATCAAACTCCGGCGAATAAGCGGCACCGCACTGTAATTGCGTGAAGTACGGGTTCTCATCATACAGCCTGGTAGGATATTGTGTGCTCTCAATCAGGTAGATAAACTCGCTCAAAATACCAATACTGGTATGGTCCCTCGGAATCGACGAATGGCCACCCGGCGAACGGACAGTAATCTCAACATTCGTCGACCCTTTCTCAGCAGCACCAGGCTTTGCAAAGAGAGTTCCCCACGCTGATTCGAAACTTGCACCTTCGTCAACGATAACAGCAAGTCCATCGTCGCCGTAGCGTGAATGCAGTACGGCTGATAAGTTGCCTGCCCCGTGATACCCGAAGGTCTCTTCGTCGAAGCCATAAGCGAGGATGAGGGTACGTTTTGGGGCGAAGTTGGCTGAGATGAGGAGTTCGACGGTCTCGAGCGTCGCGATCAGTTGGTTCTTGCAGTCGGATGAGCCGCGGCCCCAGATGTACTTGCCGTCATAGAAGCCGCTCCAGGGTGGGTGGTCCCATGCGGGGATCTACAGAGTGGGGTTAATCAACTTTTTCCTTCTTTTCAATTGAGGTACTTAGAAAGAAACCTACCGTATCAACAGGCACAGGAACCGTATCTTGATGAGCAAGCAAAGTCGTAGGCCTCAGATCGGGATTGCTTCCCTCCCAGGTATACAGCAAGCCATGCGTGTTCACTTTCTCCACTTTCAGCTTCGAATGCACGAGTGGGAAAATCTTCTCGAGATATTCGTGAAAGCCGTAGAAGACATCCCATCTCTTATCCTTGCCAATGGCGCCAAGATCATCGAAAGTCTCGGTCTTGATCTTGACGGCACCGGAAAGCCGCTTGATGCTGGCGTTGCGGAATGTGGGAGAGGAGATGAACTCATACGCTTTGATCAATTCTGGAGTGTCCTTGGGAAATAAAGCATCGGGCTGGAGACATTGGGCTGTATAATTGAGAGCCGGTGAGTTTGTCCAGCTGTTTCGCCAGGTGCCGTGGAAATAAGTGAGATAGATGAAGGCGAAGGGTATGAATGCCCAGATGAGCGTGCGGCGGACACCGTGAGCTCTGCTCTTTGCTTTTGAGCTGGGATCTTTATCAACAATTGATGGCAACGCCGAATCTAATTTCAGCTTCTCCATTGTGTAATTGATTCTCAGAGATGTTGTGTCTTGAAATTGTCAATGATGGGATGACGCCCAAAAGAAGAAGGTCGTTGATGGCTTAGTCATCCACGCTTCATCCCACTCTTGGCAGGTGAGGAGACTGCACTGGGATGTTTTGAAAGGGGCGGTCTTTAAGCGAACATAAACAGAAACAAGTGTCATCTTTCTGGCAATGCAATGCATCTGATATTAAGACAGTTGGACAACGACGACGAAGGTCCATGGAGAACTTGACTGCCCCGCTTAATCATCTACCACTTTTAGCCTCCCACCTTCCTTTCAATCTTTGTCCTTTGAACTGGAAGGGTCTCTGTTTGCATCTTCCCTTGGCTTTCTCTGCTCGAAGTGCATTTCTGGTGTCTCTCCTCTCTCTCTTCAATCTCTTCTGTTCCCGCTTCCACTCTTTATTTCTCCTCTCATTCTCCACATCAGCCACTACCCAATCCACCTCCTCTTCATCATTTGCCGCCACATGAGCATCATCATGCAGAACTCCACGATTCAAATCGTCTCGTTGTGCTAACGATTTTGCCAGCAGATAATTTAAAAAACTCAAAAAATCATCAAACCGCAACCGTCTCCTAAAACACAGGCTCCCACATGCTTGCCATTTTACCACTTCCTTCCTGTCCTCGCCACTCAAAAGGTTCCAATCATTGTCGAGGTGAATGTCCCAAACTGCTCTTCTTAGGACTGGAATAATCTTCCACTTCCCTCTCCCACACCTTCGGTTCGGTACCTGCCACCTCACCACCGGCCATCGCTCTTCGCACCCACCCCTTTCACAGTCACAACGTCCCCAACACAATCCCATAGCTTCACTTAAGGTTTCAATTATTTTGTACTTTGAATCGTCGCTAGGTGGCAGATCGCAGCGTATATCGAATCTCTTAAGAGAGCTCATGTGTCGGAATTGAGAAATTGTGGGAGAAATTGTGTCAGAGATTGTGTAGGACACGGGTTCGCTCTGGAATAATTTGTGGGTAGTAGTAGTAACTAGAATGTGCTGTACCGTTTCGCGAAATATCGTATCATTCATCGCGAACATCAGTTTTCGATGTGTAGGGGTTCTAGTATGTGTCACGTAGATAGCGGTGTCTCTGTCGAAGTGTCCTGCCCAGGGTATGTGGCTTACTGAAGGTGCTGCTTGTAACCAGTATTCCACTTGTTCTCTGAGCTTTTTGTTGACTAGACTGAGATAGAAGAGTGCACCTCTGCTGTTGTCGGATCTCGAGCACCTTGAATGGCATATATCACCCACTGAAGATACATCTATCGATCCTTCTGGATTGTGACCGATTGGACCGTGCTCTACATTTATTATTCGATCCTTGACTGCGTAGTTGAATATATTGAATCTGACCTCGAGTGGGATGTCGTTAAAGGTGATCCTTCTCCGGACATGCTTCTTTGCTGTATCAGCTGTCGAGGTTGCTATGTCGCCTATTGTGGCCGAGTCGCATTCGCACTTGGAGTCCATTGTGGTTTCGACTTTGGAGATATTGCTGAAAATGGGTCCACGAAAATGAAGATATTATGATTGTATTCTTGACGAGTCCAGGTTGCGGATAATATCAAGGTCGGGTGGCAAGTTCAGAGTGGGGAAAATCAGAATTAAAAATAAAAATAAATGGAGGTAAGAGACCTCTAGTTGTGCGGTCATGCGTGATACTAATTTCTAGCTTACCGTTGTATCAATTATATGATTTAGTCTCGGTCTGCGACTACAACGCATCTGCACTAACACCTAGGTCCACAGCACCCATACTAATAGTCTCCCGTAATAAGTGCGTAATTTACGAGGCATTTTGGGGTTCTGCCCATTTCATTCACTAGCAGCACCACCAAGACGGATTTTCTGAAAATATTCCTGCCAGTGCTTTCTGAAACTACTCTCAGAATCGTCTCGCTTAATCTAACCCTTCGACCACCACCAGAATTCTTGACGTTAGACTGTCGAGTGGGGCAGCACAGCTAATGTCATTGATGAACATGAACTTGCAAAAGTCATGAGAGGTGTAAAATAAAACTCTCTTGCATTTTCAGTGGTTTCTCCGACAAGTATGGGAAGAGAAGCCTCGAGGCGCAAATGAAGGGTTGAAATGATATTCTTATGAATCTTTCATACCGAAGAGCCATTCAGAATCGGTTTCTCTGTGTGTTCAGCCACCAAGACCCCCCTATAGCTAGTCGAACGAAGTTTGTATATTGTGATCTGGTGCAACACCACCTTTCATCTTGCATACATACTTCTAAATAGCCCATCCTCCTTCGCAACCGTTTTCCACCCATAAGCGCAGCCAGTAAGGCATGAAACCCAAGAATACTGCGTATAAGCTTAATGGAACAGATAAAAAGGATGAGTGGTCTCCATTAAATTGCTCCGAAGTAGTAACCTGTGAAGCTCAGCGACAACTCAATACTTAGAAACGCGCCACGTTACCCACAGCAATAATGACGGGCAGTGTCAAGAAATCACACAATTTCTTCGCTAGTACCAGTAGTCCGAAATGTATGACATCACAGAAGATTGATGAAGCAAGAAAGATTGTTATCAGCGTCGAAGGTGTGACGGAACGCCCGTGATCGAAAAACGATAATGGGCAGAGTGCAGCAAATGCGGCTAGAGATATGACAGCTGCACCTTTTGTGGCTTTTGCATCAATACAGACAGCAACAAGCTGTAAAGTAGATAGAGTCGCTCAGGCAAGCTGAGAACTGATCAATATTCTCTTTTGGTCTGCCTAGACCATTGACTCACAAGTTTGACGAGGCCTCTCGAATATGGCTCTGTCACAAGTTTTTCGTTGTACAGTCGATGGACCCTGAACGGCAAAGAGAGTAGCAGATAAATCTGTGGACCAAACAGTAGAATACCGTGCAGAAGAGCGTCGACACGCTTTTCTTGAGCAAGATAGCCGCGACAATCAGAGGGGCCCAGATGTAGGCGTTGGGCTGCAGGCAAGCACAAAAATTTATTTCGCGTAGAGTGCTGGACTTCCAGATTTAAAAGCATGAGATATAATTATATGAGCCCAAGAAGGAACGCCACGAAGATAACAAAAGATCAACGACTCCCCGGGTATTATGTGAACCCCTTGGGCTAGTCCATATGTGAACGGCACCCCTGTGAACCAACAGAAAACCAACGTACGAATCAGTTGGGGACGTCGTAGAAAACGTACATTTAAAAACTACAGTAAGAGCAATAAAACAAAGCCACATAGCAAGATAGAACAACTTGACGTCTAACTCCACTACGTTCTATTAAATCAGAAGCAAAATTATCTTAAGCTGGGGAATGCTCAAATTGATCCAAGAGCACGTGCTTGTGGAATTGCACTTATGGATAGACACACAGAAGAGAGAAACTTTGAAAATCGATGAGCTTAGTATATCTGATAGACCAATGAGTAAATTCTTGCTCGAGTTTATACTCGGACTCTTCGCTTAAAAGTCAACAAAAGCGCGAGTCATGGCAGCCGTAACAAGGTTTCAAGGTGGGGTAGGCCACTAGCATTCCTGTGCAGCTACACCGAACTTCAGACATGGCCCAATCTGCCACACTGTACAATTTTGATTTCTATGGACTTTCTTCGTTGTCCTCTGATCGGGCAGCAATGTTCGTCCTCCTCTTGTAGCTTTGAAAGCCCGCCAAGAGTCCAATGTCATATCCCGCTTTCAGCAAACCCGCCACCAGAAAAGTGACCCAGAATTTTCCAGACTGAGCAAGAATACCTGTAATGACAGGTCCACCGCTCTGGCTGAAAGTGCGAACCACAGAGATGAGTCCCATTACCGCTGTTCTTTCGCCTGGCAAGACCACCATGGAAAGGAAGGCTGCCTTGGGTGCGATATCCATCGATGCGAGCGAAGATCGAAGGATGAGGAACACGAGAGCACCTGCAAGTGAGGGTGGTACTGGTATCAACATGAGGAAAATTGTCGATGGCAAATGTGTGAATACCATAGTTCGGATGAGACCAATCCGTTTTGAGAGCGATGCAGCGACTAAGGAAGATATGGCTGAGAGGAATGCCATGACGGAAAATATTGTTCCCAGCGACCCTTCCTCGAGCGAGAACTTACCATAGAAGAAATACGTCATCCATGATCTACGTCGAGTTTAGCTCATTCTGTAAGTCTTGAAAGCAGAAAGTACTTACGCTGGCACGAGTCCAGATGCTAAAGAATCTACCGCAAAAAGACAACAAAGCTTGAACACGATTATTCGACTTTCTTTACTGATATTGGGTAGCAGCGATCGCTTTTCTTTCACTGTTTGCTCTCCATCCTCACCATCTTCCATCTCCGACATCAGAGGTTCCTCATCTTCGCTTCCGTTATCTGATCGTTGCTCCTCACGTCCATACAATTCCACTTCATCGCTCAAGGCGAAAGTGATGAGGAAATTGACACCACCCAGGACCGCGTATGCGAAAAACACAGCTTGGTACGACTTGATCTGGTTCCAGCCATCAAGAGTCTGTAAGTGCTGCACGATAAAACCAGTGGCGAGCTTGCCCGCCGCATTACCAGCTGATCCGAACACAGTGTACCACGCGAAGATATCACTCCGGATATCTAGAGGTGTGAGATGCGCGAGTGTCGATTCTTCGATGGCACTGAACGGCCCAATCTCTCGACCGCTGTTACCCCGCAATGTCAGCATCTCTTGAAACCATCATGACGACAGCATACTTTGGACTGATAATCCCAACAACACCTGCTGCTAGCAAAACCCAAAAATTCCCGCTAAATGTAAACACCGCTCCACTAAACACCATCAACAATGCTCCGAGCCCAAGAACAACCTTCCGCCCTACTCCATCAGCCAGCAAGGCAAGCCCGAAGCTGATCACATCGCCCACGAGCGCCAAACTCATAAATATTCCAACCTTTGAGTCAGGGAGCTGCTGAGCATGAAGGTAGAGTGCGAGCACAATTGTTGAGCCTCCGAAGGCGAAGAAACGAATGAAGCGCTGCAGAATAATCAGTTTGGTGTCACGGGGCGCACGAACTAAAGATACGAGTCCTAGCTCCGCAACAAATTTTTGAAGAAGTCGCATCTTAATTACGATTCTGATAGAAAGATGTTGGTACGGCGTTGGACATTTGTTTTGATCTTGAATTCGAGGTGAAGGAGCTCGACGGAGTGGGATGCGGCGAAGGCTGAGATGACAACTCAAGTTCGGTCGCACCGCAGATGTGAAAGATATTCCCTGTCTTCAAAAGAAATTATACCCGGGACAGCCACCCAGTTATGTCGACCAACGCAATTGTCCCACTCTTGGACACACCAGACAGCTAGCAGAAAGTAAAAGTGTTCACGACGTTTTGTAAACTCTAAATGTAAACAAAGCTTCCTAAGCGATCTCAATGTTTATACTGCGATTTCTACTCCAGTCATCCAGCCATTGATCACGAAGCTATCAACTGTGAGGTCTATCGCTCGAAGAATACACATCCATCGCCAGCTCTAGCCTTGCTTCCAAGAGCTCTCATATGCGCCAAGTTCAACCCCTCCAATTGTCCCCTCCTTTAAGCGAGGGAAAAGATCCGCCCCTGGTTCTTACCACAATTCCAGGCATTGACACACGGTGAGCATGGTTGCAACAAATACACGGAAGATAATTCAAAGCTACTACACAAGCCTAAGCAGTTGATCAGATAATTATGTGGTCATCCCACGTATTCTAGTACCTTCGAGGCAAACTCGTATATGTTAATTTTAAGCAACACACGCAGATGTCCGTCAAAGGAATCAAAATAATGCATTTTAAATACACACAGATCGGAGAAGAACTTTAATTACGTCTTGCTCCCATCCCAATACTTTGTCAAGTACTTTTCCACGCTCACTGCTTGCACGCCTGAACACATTTCATTGACCACAGGGTTCAAGACCGCAGATCCGATTTCATCGTCCAACATCATGAGCTTCAACTGAACCCACATTGCCTTCAAAAGATCATTTCCACTCCTTAGCGTCTCGACCTGTTGCTCCAATTCCTTCTTTCCAAGCCTTTTTACGTCAAACTTCCTCCCCGTCAATCGTTCCGCAATCTCAACCACCTCTTGAAGCGTCACTGTGTCCCCAGCGATGTCCATATTCCTTTCCCACTTCTCCAATCCCAAAGCCCTTGCCACAAATCTTCCTACATCACCAATCTCCGTCATCGTAATCCTCGGAGTCGTCCCATCATCTTTGATCAACAATTCCACCGTACCAGAACCCATCGAAATGAGAAATGACCCAGAACCATCGGGCATATCGCCTTCGCGATCCACCCCCGCACAAGCTTCTTCCTCATTCTCACCACACCCAATGCCGAAATAATTCATGAAAGCACCAACATTAAAACGCGACCATTCGATCCCACTCTTTTCGCATGCTTCCCAAACAGGAGTTTTTGCAGAAGCAAGTAAGTCTACTTTCAAGACCCCTTTTGGTCCGCACGCCCACTCACTAGGTACAAATCGTTTGCATCCAGCTTGAACTGCTGCATCTAACAAGGCGATTTGACTCGATGCGTGAGTTCCGTCAACTGCGAGGATCACGGAGATGACGGTATGTACACCCTCGAGTGCGGAGATCAGAGATGAAGAGTCTTTGTAGTCGACTGCTTTAATCTCTGGCTTCTTATGGAGAGTGGAAAACCAAGCCGGTTGCTTTTGTGAGCGAGACAAAATAAGCGGAGTCCATTCTCCATTTGGATAGGTGTGTAGGATTGCTTGGACGATGGAGCGGCCGAGGCCAATGGATGTTCCTCCTGCGATGGCAACAACAGACATTCCGATTAATTTGATTGAGTATTTTCTGATATATTGTTCAGAACTGGGGAGAGACTGGGTGGCAACTTTTATACTGATCGGGTATATTTCAAGCCTTTGCTGTCTTGGCGAATCGGAGGGGTTTGACCGAAGATGACAAAAATGATGTGCGGATCAACACCACTAGCTCCGATCCATATGACTCCAATGAAAAAGCCGTCACTGATGGTTCCAGAGTCTTGATCTAATAGTAGACAGAGACCTAGCTCAGATGTATCGTTAGCTTTCGTCTTATTGCTTTGAGCCAACTCGACTTTTCTCGGTCAAGAAAAGTGGCACGCATCCCGTCTACAACACCTTTCAAGGATGCTGTTGATCTTAGGGATAATTATGTTAGGGAAGGAGCTACTCGAGGTTTCCTCTGTATATAACCGCGGCTTCAGCTTACCTTTAACAATCAAGCTTGATACACCCAACACTCTGTCTCCCAACATGGGTTCAATGCCAACCCCTGGATTTTCAGGAGACATCACAATCTGACTTAGCATAGACCAGATTGCCGCGTTTTGTCGAAACTATGGATCGTGGGGCAGAGGGAGAATTCCTTACACTGAGTGGAATGTGGATCTCATCATACCCATGGTCGATGCTATGACCATATGCTGGGACGACCATGCAGAACGAACTGCAACATCCATGGATGAGTTGGAGCGACAAATATTGAGATCATTAAATAGCCTTTTGTCTCAAGTGAGTGGTATGTTGATAAGCTCTCAGTCTCGTATATAAAATCGGATGACACTGACATTGATTAGATTTCAGCGGGGCCCCGTTGTTTGCTGAAGCACTGGAGACCAAAATTGACTCTATCAAATATGCCTTTGAGGTCACAATGGCAGACCTTGATTCATAATTAGAGTAATTATCACGCCATTTGATATTAGTTTCCTGGAGCTTCAGCAGACGTTGATCTCTAGAGACGTCAAGAGAGATGCAAGCTTTTATCACAAAAGCAGCTACACCTACCAAATCATGCTACCAGCATACCGAGATTGCAACATGGACAAAGGTAAGCCAATCTCCTCTAATGGTAATGTTCATATACTAATGCGATATATTAAGAGATGGTGTAACAGCTCGACGACTCACTCGAATGCGTCAAGCGATTGGCTCGTCTAGATCACCAGTCCTATTCACAGCCATCCGATCTCGCTTGCAGAATGCCGTTAATCCACTCATCAAAGACACACTGAAAGATCTCCATTGTGAGATAAACGAGACATTGAGGCAGATCAGCAGCATGTTGAGATGCTGCGAGGGTCGGAAGCGCGTATCCGGGCAGCGAATGGGGATTTCTTGGATAGATTGGAGGTTGTTTTGAGGGGTGTGACGGATGAGATGGAGAGGATTGGGGAGGTTGCGGCCAGGGTTAAGAAAGAGGCGGAGGAGAACCAAGAGTGAGGAGGCCATGTCTTTAATCGAAGTGTAGTAGTACATAGAACCAGTTTCATTCATTTTGTTAAGCTTCCTGCTTCTAGAATATCTCATTTCTGTTGATGCTACCACTGTGCATGTAGACTTTCAGGTACTCTGCATGTAGCCTTTCAGGTAATGCTCTGGAAACCGGCCTACTCATGCGCCCGCCGCCAGGCAGGCTGAACGACAGCTGAGGATAGATCTGGTCATTCACTCAGGCATGCCAGGTGATATTGAATGAAATGGGGTCTTCGATCAACCAGAGTTCACCAGGCCAGGCCAATTTGGACATGTAGACCCTACCTATTTGAGGCTTGGCGACAGTTCCAAGTGATGTAAGTCGGATCTCGAGGTTGGCAACGCGAGGAGCCTGATAGAATTCTAAAAATCAATCTGCTTTCTCTGTCCCACTTTCGGCCATCCTTTCTCCCACTGCCTTCTCTACCTTCTCTGTCACTTCCGCCTGGCCTAATCTCCTCTTCGCCCAGAGCTGGACGAACTCGATATCCCTATCATGCTGAGAAGCAGGCATGTACCTCCATTCCGAAAATTCAGCATTCCACCCGCGATTGGGTAAGTATGCCTCCAGCATATAGTAGTTGTCCCGATGGAACGGGAAGTCTAGAGAAGGTGGCCCGCTCCGCTCCAGAAATAAATCTGTCTCCGCTTTTGCATCATCCGCCGACATCAAGAATCTACGACGCTTGTTTCCCTTGTTATTGCCATGACGCCGGATAGATCCTATAGTTGACTTCAGGTGGCACTCCAGAATCCGCGCGTGCCACAAGGAGCTACGCAAAGCCTTCTCCACTACCTCCGCATTTGTCGCGGTCAGCTTCTGGTTCCACCTCGGGCTCTTCCCACGGGCAATCATAGGGATTGGCTCTCCTTCTTCCAAGTTCTTTTGCCAATGTGAAAAGTCCACGACAAGATTCAGGTTGTTCCACGCCAGCATGCAGGTTAGGCACGTGCAGATAAGATACTGGTCTGGGGGTTGGATATGTTGGTATGGCCGTTTGTGGATATTCATCGCAGCTTGTCTTTCATCACTGAGCATTGCTGGATGAATCTCCTCGTCCACATTTTCGAGGAGAACTGGAAGAGGGAAGCATTGTGATAAAACGGCATAGCGTTTCGCCACAATCTTCCGGCAAAGTCTGCCTTCTTCGTCTTGAATGAAGCCCCGCAAAGGACGGTTGACCCTTGATAGTCTGAATATATCACTTGGTTTGAGGAGGGTCAGAATGTCTGTGATAAGTTCAGAGGGGAGGTCCCATAGTGTTGCATGTTGTTTGGACGACTTTTCTTTGAGGTGGCGTTTCTTCTGACGTCGTTCGGTTCGCTTCGAATGGAGCGGTATTGCCGCAGTGGTATCGACGAGAGGCTCTTCAAGGCCGTACAGAGTGTCAAGTGCACTAGCCTTGATGTCTTTAGACATCGTGAGAATGTATATTGAGGCTGTAGTAGAACCGCAAAGCAGGACGATGTCAAAACTTGAAGGATGAACTAAAGTTTGCCAGCGATCGGAGTTAAGGTTAGTTCCCGGCTGACTCAGCCCCCGCAATACTTCCCCTCATCACATAGTGGAGCTCTTCAGACAGTGTCCACTAACTACCTATATTGCCCCCGACGCTCAAGTCAAGATACTAAGAGTAGTTGCACATTGCGACGTTTTTCACTGAGACCGTCTTCTTTGGAAGGTTTGATACTGCAGCAAGGGTATAGCAAGGGAAAACAAACAGTATCGTTGTCAATCTTCGATAGTAAACGCAAGATCCTGCTCACTTATCACCTAGCGTTCTTGGAGGTGCCTGAGCCTGCTCAGATTTGCTTGTCGTAAAGATCGATATCGATTAAGAAAACGGTAAAGGGAGGATCACAAGCCGAGCAAAGGACCAGTGAACAATGGCCACCTTCTCATGAATCCAAAACCGAGTCCGTGATCGTCGAATGTAAGTAGGTGGTTTCGAGATTCTACGAATCTGCTTCCTATTCTCGGCCAGATTTCAAACAAGGGGGCAAAGGAAGTGAACAGCCGGACTGGCACGAATCACGCAGTAACACATTTTTCATATCAAGATGAATTAATCTGTGGTATTCGAGAAGTAAAAATGGTCCAGTGACATATCCAAGATTTGGCCACGTGTACCTGGGTTGTACTCCTCTTCGAGTCGAAAACTCAACCCTTCACTGCTTTCTGGTATTCTTCCTGCATGTTGATGTGTCGAGCAATGAATTTGTCCAATCTCGGTTTCGAGTATCTCGCGGTTGGCACTCCTCCATCACCAAATGCATCGAGGATCTCACTCACATAGTCGGTAATGGCGGAAAGGACTGGCACACTCAGTGGCTTGCCATCTGCTGCGGCCACTACGACCGTACCGATTCCTCCCTGCCAATTATCTGGCGCGAAGCCAGTCGTAGGATTGATGTTTAACCAGGTGGCATGCTAGCAGAAACCAACCAGTCAGCATATGTCACGGAAGAGCCTCGATTTCGTAGCTTTCATAGACATACTTGATTATCTGTCCCCGAGCCCCGTGACAGACCTTCCACCTCTCTGAACATAACAAGCGGGTATCCGAACTTCGCCGTGACTGGTAGAGCCTTGGTCTTGAACACAGGATGATCGGAAGGTATCTCGACAGCTTCGTAGCGCGTGCGGGGAGAGTGAATCTTAACGCAGGATATTTTCTGGGGCTCGCTGCTAGGTGGGTGGTTTTGCAGGAATTTGCAGCGGGTCTTGTGGACAGGCCAGTCTTGCTTCTGGCAGTCTGCGCCGCAGTAATAGGTTGACTTGCAGGCATTACATTTCTTGTCTTCAGAGGGCTTCTCGCAGATTGTGCAGAGGTTTTGGGAGGTACTCATTGTCATGATGTTGAATGCTCAACAAGCTCGGCGCGTGGAGGGATAGAATAAATGACGAACGACTAGTCGTATGGCAAATTTTCTTTCCGAAATGGAATTGGATTTGGGTGGTTCGGCCGTTGAACTCTCGTCGTGTATGTCTTGGGAAATGTGCCAGTCTTATCGCGAGATTTTTTTAAAGAAGTTGTCAGAGGTGAGGTTCAAAAAGACTACGCGTCCGCTACTACGCGAACGCATGTGACACGATTTCCAAGCCAATCTGTTATAATTGCAGTTGCATAAGAAGCTACTATAGAGAGAGAGAATCTCCTATATAAAGGGGTAGCGTACTTAGTAGTACGGCCTATAGTACTGAGTCTACGCCTACAATCCCTATATTTCTAATAGTCCCCCTATTCTCTATATCTGTAGTAAATAGAGCCTTCTAAAGTAGTATAGCGCTGAATATTCTCGAAGCGACGCTAGAGTATCGCCGAAGTATTACTGATAACTTATATTATATAAGGAGCCTCGATTATGCCTTATTAACTCCTGTAATATACTAGTATATATATAGTGCTTACGTCTCCTGTTTTCCTAGGAGTTCAGCAACTTTGCAGTATTAAGGTATATAAAACGGTACAAGAGTGTACCTAAATCGCTTTCTTATTGATGATCTCTTGCTCCTGCTGCTCTTATTTACTCTTCTTTATAGCTACCTCGCACCTTCCTTTTGTAGCTACTAAGATATTTCTTACTAGCCTTCTCTCTAGCCTCTAGGGTATATAAAGGTCGTCCTCTTCTAGTTCTGTTTCCTTTCCTTCTTCTTTTAACTGCGGAACAAGATTTGTCTTAACTATTAGGTATAGTAGTTATATGTCGTGTTTTACTTGATTCGTAGTTATATATTATCGTTAAGGAAGATGTTTATTAAAGGACTGATTTTCCGCGAAGAATATTCTATTTTTTTGTAAGTTCTACTACTAGAAATAGCTTTAATTTATATAGGTCTACTGTTAATTAGCTAACTGTTATCAATCTTAGAGTTGTTATCAGAGAATTAGTTATTACTAGGTAACCCTATATATATCTTGTATCGTTTAAACGATTCTAAAGGTAAAGCTTTCGTAAGAGTATCTACTATGTTATTATTGCCTGGAACGTGTTTTACTACTAACTTATTATATGAAACTATATCGTCTCGAATGTAGAACTAGCGGATATTAATATGCTTTGCCTTTAGATAGAATTTCTGTTCTTTTAAGAGAGATTCGGCTTTAGCGTTATTAAGATATAGCGTAGGAATTCGGGATAGCTTTATATCAAGGTCTTTCTATAGCTTAAGTAACTAGGCTGCTTCTCTGGAGCTATCACTAGTAGCTATTATCTCAGAATCTAAGCTAGAGAGAGCTGTAGACCTTTGCTTATTAGTAGCTCAAGAGATTAGACCCTTGTAGAACCTTACTATCCATCCTTAGAACGATTTCCTGTTGTATTCCGTCCCCTACGTAGCGTCAGTCCAAATATTAAATATATCGTCATCTAGCTTTCCCCTGTATTCTATTCCGATTCTAAACGTTATTCCGTTACCTTCTATACGTCGTAGATATCAGAGGAGAGGTTTCGTGTCTTAGAGGTGAGATTTAAGGGGATTTAATATATGCTACGCTAGCTGGCCTGTTATATAGGTAATATCAGGTCGTATAAGGTTCGAGAGGTATATTAGAGAGCTAATAATCTGCTGAAACAGTAAGATCTCTTCAGGGGAGGCTAGTACAACACCTTTATCTTTAGCTAACTCCCTTAGTACTATTCCAGCGGCTACAGGTAAGGTATTGCCTCTAGCTACGGCTATTCTAAACCTTTCTAGTAGCTTTTGTATATAAGCTATTTAATAAATCCGTAGAGTCTTATTCTTCCTGTCTCTCTTAACTTATAGGCTTATAAACGTATTAATAGCTCCGAGGTCTTTACCTTTCCAGGTCTTTAAGAGCTGTTTCTTAAGATATTTATAGTCGGCAGGGTTACTTATAATTAGTATATTATCGATAAAGACTAATACGTACGCTCTATTCTTAAAGATAAAGAGATTAGGGTTAGCCTCTAACGCTTCTAGACCTAGCTTTTTTATCTCATCTTTAACAAGGAGCTACTATTCCCTAGGTGCTTGTTTTAAGCTATAGAGAGAGCGTAGGAGCTTTAGATATACGTCTTTCCTTCTATTTAGCTCTAGGTGAAGCTTATTCTATATCTCCGGCGTCTTGTTATTCGGAATCGTTATATATATATCTTCTTTTAGGTATACGTTCAGGAAGGTAGTGTTAATATTAATATACTTAATCTCCAGGTCTCTTTTAGCTGTAATAGCGAGTAGTGCTCGTAAGGTAGAATAGCGTACGACGCTCGCGAAGGTGTTAAAGTAGTTAAGGCTGTGTTTTTACTTAAAGCCTCTTACTACAAGCCTAGCTTTTCACTGTGCTATAGAGCTATCGGAGTTGATTTTATTGCGTAGAACTAGTCTTAAAGATATCAGTTTCAAGCTAGAGGGAGGCTTACTAAAGCATACTCTGTAGGTTCTAGCGCTTTATATAGCTTATAATTCCTTGAGAATAGCGGCCTTCTATTCTACTAGATTATCTCTTAGAGCCTCTACGATAGTTATAACCTTAAGAGGTCGTATAAGTTCACCCTCCAGCGTAATTAGCGCTATTTGATAGGTTAGTGCCTTATTAAGGATTTACTAAGAGTATAGCTTCGTAGTTATTACCTAAGCGGCTTACTCGAAGTGTTGTTTTCTACGCTGTTTCTTACCATATCTTAACAGTGGAGTATTATTAGACGCGTTTACTAGTTGAGTCTATTTAGGGAGGCGTTGATTAGACGCTCTCTTAGTGTCTCCCACTATGTTTTCTGTAGCTGACCTTCCCCTTGAAGGATTTTCAGCTTCTATAGCTAGCCTCTCTCCTGGAGGTCTTTCAGCTTCTATAGCTGGCCTCTCTCTTAGAGGTCTTTCTAAGCCTTTAGTACCCTTAGCTAGCCTCTCAGTAAGTACTGGACCGGTAGCCGGTAGCAGAGGTCTTTTCACTGCCTTATCACTGCCTTTTAGTGTAGTTTCCTTACTACTAGTATGTATAGAGTATGTTATATACTCGTTGAAGCTGCAGTCGGCTGTTTCCAGTTCCTTGAAGGTTTCTATGTTCAGGAGCTTATAGGTTGAGGTGTTAGCTATACCTACTAATACGAAACACCCCGGAATTATCCTTTGCTTTATTTTGCCCTGATGTAGCTCTGGTGGATGCAAAGGGTACGCTATAGAGCTAAATACTCTTATTTTGGAGAGGTTTACAGGCTGTCCTCTATACGCTTCGATTAGAGTAAGTCCAGTAGCTGTTTTGTATAGCAAAGCAGTAGTTAGGCGTCTGTTCTTTAGCTTTGCCGCTTACTTAATAGCGTAGCACTATATATTCTCGGGTATCTTCGCGTCGTAGAGGATTAAGCGTGTAATCTTAACTAGTTCATATATCCATCGCTCTATAACTCTATTCAGAGAGTGTTTATATGAAGGAGAAGGTTCAGGAACGATTCTACTCTCTTACAGCTAGTTGACAAACTTAGGACCGAACTCTCCCTTGCCATTATTAGTCCTCTAGTAGATAATTGTACGGAATTTACTTTACCCTTGAGTTTCAAGCTATAGCTTTAATTTCCGAATAACTAGTTGAATAGTTAACGTAGACTTGTTAACTAAGAGATCTACCTAATACGTCCTTATAGTATTATCTACTACTAAAAGGAAGTATTTATAGCCGCGAATTAAGCGTGGTAAGATGCTAGAGATATCAGCGTATAGTCGACGAATAGGTACGTTAGTTCTACTATCTGACTTCTTATTAAAGTGCTCTTTTATACGGCTTATAAGGTAAGCCTTGTAACACTTCTCTCCCTTTAGCTCCGGAATAGAAATCGGTCTTATTCTGTAACCGCTATAAGCAACTAGTTTCTTTAAATAGGCGTAATTTATATGGCCTAAACGCCTGTGGAGTAGATCTGCCTTTGTTTCCTCTATGCTAGGCTAACTCTCTATTCGTTCCTTTAGTAGCTTTAAGTCTAACGGAATTACGTTATACGTAACTTAACATCGAGGATTCGTATCTAGAATATATAAACCTCTGTTTCTTATGCCTATAAAGGCTAGTTCACTATTCCGGTATCTATTTGCTAATATCTTAGTCAGTTCCGTATTAATTCCTTCGTCTGAGAGTTGATATATTAATACTAGCTTTGTAGCTCCGAAGTTAGGTACATACTATATATCTTTAAGGGTTAACCTATTAACGGTAATATCTCTATAACCTTCAGCTATTAAGTACGAATTAGTCGCTGTTTTAACGTATTTGACGTTGCGCTAGCGCTTAAGTTACTTGAACTCAGCTAGAACTCCACTGAAGTGGCGAGTGGCGCTAGAGTCGATTTTCTAGATAGATTCTATAATAGAGATTATTAATAAAGTATATTCTATATCTTCAGCGTAGTAAATCTCTTCCGAAGGGAACACAGGATAAGTATTATCGTCTTTAATTTCCTCTACTTTGTTAGCGCTATCTCTCGCGTGAGTATTCTTAGCTTCTGTGTAGTCTGCGTACTAGTGGCTATAGCCTTTACACCGGGCACACTGATTTCGGCCTAATTTAGGGCGATTTCCTCTCTTTTCCACGCGCTCTCTATATCTCTATTAGCCACTACTCTTGCTGTTGTTATTCCGTCTTTCCTGTTCTCTCCTGTTCTTACGTATATTACCTCTCCTACGTGAGTGGCCTCTACCTCTCTGGCCTCTACTGTCTCTACTACCTCTCCCTCTATTGTAGCTTCTATTCGCGTAGTTCGCGGCGTTACTAGTAGCTATAGGTCGAAGCTGTTCCCTCTATTAAATTTGATATTCGTTAAGCTTTCGTATAGTATCTCTAAGATCTAGGTCTTGCGATTCTAGGGTAAGCGCTATAGTAATCTAAGCTCCGGACGCTGGCAACGACTGTAACAGCTTGAGACGTATATCCTTATTAGTGAGAGGTTTACTATCGCCGCTGAGCTTTACTTTAAAGAGTAAGAGCCTTATGATATAGTTCTGAAGTGTTTCCTCCCCCGGGATAAACTTTATCTTAAAGAAATCGTCTCTTATATTAGTAAAAGTAAGACTCCCTTGAACTACTTTACCTTTGTCTACGTGAATAGCTTCCTAGAGAGGCTTAGCGTCGTTTAGTTTAATAATATCTCTATACTTGGGAAAGAGAAGCTTAGAGATTAAGTTAACGATTATTTTAAAAGCTTCCTTCTTTTCCTTAGCGTGAGTATTCTGCTGATTAACACTATTCGGTACGCTAACTTTAGTAAGAACGTGATGAAGAACACTAGCCTTAGCTAGCTCTTATTTAGTCTCAAGCTCCTATTTAAAGAAGTTATCGAACTCTAGTAGAGTTTTACCTTTTAAGGCTCCAGCGACGTAGGGAATTAGTACTTTTGATTAGGATAATATCGTGGCGTAGTGGCAGATATACTAAGAGTTAATGAAGTAGAGATCTTAATAAAAATGAAGTTTTGAGGTCTTTTTCGATCGATTAGAATTGCTACTATGTTATAATTGTAGTTGTATAAGAAGCTACTATAGAGAGAGAGAATCTCTTATATAAAGGGGTAGCGTACTTAGTAGTACGGCCTACAGTACTGAGTCTACGCTTACAATCCCCATATTTCTAACACAATCAAAAGGAGATTTTACCTTGATTTTGATCTCTCACTAACATAATGAATACTGCGAGTATATACTTCCTCTTTGACATTTTTAAAATTCAAACCACTGAATCAATACGACATTTCAAAGGAGCAAATTGCGAATCAAGAGGTGATCCGGCCTCACCCAGCAGTGGTCTTTCTCTCTTTCCTTCGCTCCCGGCAATGCAATTAATCCCTCAACTTTATATCAAGCCAAAAATCAACACAGCTTGGACGATGATGTCAATCAAGGTTGGATCAGCATGGAAAGCATGAACCTCGCCCAATCATCCATGGTTTCTTTGCACAATTGCTTTGGCTCATAGCCGGAGTACATGCTGCACCAATCTCATCCAGGTCCTTGGAAAACGAAGGACTGAATCTGATCTGTTTCTCAGCAAAGAGTGAGTGTAGATGTACCTAGCTCGAAGGAAAGATGTCTACGAAGATTCTCTCACTCGGCTCAGTCTGTGACAAACAAGACCGAAAGCAGATTACCTGTACGACGGTAAGCAGTCATTCTCCAGGTGAGAGACCTTCTATCTGGCGGCAAGTCAACACCTATGACGACTGGAATGCTAGCTAACCCTCTTTACCTTAACAGAGCTGCCGAAAGACCAATTGGCACTATGTACATTGAGCTACTCATTGACGCTTACTGTCCTCAAATACAATAAGCGCTCATTCCTGCCCTGCTTGAACGCGCAACGCGTTGCGAGACCATACTTGAGAAATTCTCCATCTCCCCCCTCTTTGAGTCTTTCTCAACAATTAACCACATAATCATTCAATCCACATCAAGCGAAAAAAAATCAACCTCAATCATGGCTTGCGTTGAATCAGCTGTTATGTTCGACAGCGAGTGTGTTGCTCTGGCGCTTCAACTCGAAGAAATCGAAGCTCAGCGCGAGCTCCAATCCGGGAAATGGCCTGAAGATAATCCTCCGGACTTTGTTCTGGCATTTGATAACTTCGAGGCCGAGATGAGGAATATGCTTTTCCTGATTGAGGACTTGAGATTCGCTCACAGCATTGCCATAGCTGTCGATTCTGACGCAGTAGCCATTGAAGAGCTCAGGGTCGAGGAATTACAGTCGGCTCGGGATCGAGAGCTCGCCATAAGCCTGAATCCAGACGGAAGTCTGCCATCTCAGGATATCATCTCTATTCCAGAGATGCCTACAATTGAAGAGGAGTCGGTCAGCTGGGATCATGTCTTGCGAGCTACAGAAGCTTCGACTTTCAGCGACCAGTCCAGTACCATCATTGCCGGCCCATCGACCCATTACACTCACCGCCAGAACATAGTCCTTGAGCACATGTCCCAACTCAAAGTGGAGTGCAGTGTCTGTGGGGACGCCTTCCATCCTCATGCCACAATGCGTTTGGCTTGCACTGATATATACTGCAAGCCATGTCTCAAATCTTTCTTCCTGCGCGTTACCAAGGACGAAAGCCTCTTTCCTCCAACATGTCACCGTGAGGCGATTGACTTCTCGCTCATCGAGACAAGCTTCACAGTCGAAGAGTTGACTGCCTATCGAAATGCTGAACTGGAATTCACCAGCACGAATAGAGTCTACTGCGCTAGCTCAGAGTGTGCCAAGTTCATTCCACTGTCGCACCGAACGACTGATCGGGCGTCCTGTGAGGCCTGTGGTGCTGGGACTTGTATGCATTGCAAAGGCCTAGCACATGATGGGTCATGCCCATCAGAGGAGTCAAGGCAGAGCCTTATAGATTTTGCCGCCGACCGAGGTTGGCAATCTTGCTTTGGATGCGGCGAAATGGTTGCTCGGGATGATGGTTGTGACCACATGACGTGAGTGATACACACTGCTACATGGTTTTCAACTAGGTGCTAAATAAAATGACAGTTGTAGATGTTGTGCAGAGTTCTGCTACAGATGTGGCGTGAAGTGGAAAGAATGCCAGTGTGATGATTGGGTTCCGGATCTGATCGATCGAAGAGCACAGCAGATTGTTGACAGAGAGGCAATATTGCCCTTGGCACCTGCTGTTCGTCAGCAGCGTGTGGTAGCTATGACACAGGAGCTACGAGCAAATCACGAATGCAACCACAGTGGCAAATTCACCAAGCTAGCTGGGTCACGCCGTGGAAAGGTGTGCGAGATGTGCGGTGACAGACATTGGAAGTACATCTTGTCTTGTAAGCGGTGCCATATGCTGGCGTGCGAAGACTGCCGACGCTACAGAGTTAGGGGCTGAAGTTTGTCACATTGAGAAGCAATGTCGGATTTCACATCTAATTTATAGAGGGAAATGGCCGACACGGTGATGAACGCAAAAGTTACTGGTTGCGCACTTGATATTCATTCATTCAACTTCATACACGAAAATCTTTAGATTTCAGTTGCCAGAGATCTTTCTTCATCTCCTGGGGAAATGGGAAACAGCAACAATTAGTGTTTCATAACAACTACAACATTATCAACATATGTTTTTTTCTTTTTCTAGTATCGATTGAGACAATGCAATTTTGATTGTTGTCATATTCATGGATAATCTTGGACAAGAACCTGGAGAGATATACTAATTGACTAATTTCCCATATAATTCATCTCTAAATACCCATTTCTAGTCTACCCCATCATTCTATAAATTCTCTAAACAGATTTGCAGCGTCTAGTGTCATCAGACAAAAAAGTGACAACAAATAGCCAGTCCGAGGGAGCAAGGCCACCATTTCGGCTCTACAAATTGCCCATTTGCAGACGCAACTGCCATCCGCTCCCTACGCAACCCTATAACTCACCCGACTAACCCCCTTACTCCTCGCAATCTTCCTAACCTCCACCTTCCCCACCAAATCACACCTCGCCACATGCGTCCCCCCACAAGGATACGCCCCCAACCCCTCCATCTCCACCACCCTCCCCTCCGTCTCCCCCTCCGGCAACTCAAACTCCTCACCCACACCCAGACACTCCCTCCTCAACCTCTCCATCGACCACCAATGAATCGACACCTTCCTCTTACTCGCCACAAACTCATCCGTCTTCTCCTGAATAGCAGGCAAATGCTTGGAGTCGATCAGCCCGACGAACTCCACGGCTGCTGAATCCGGGTAGTGAGATGCTTTGGACTCGATCAGCGTTGAGGGGAGAGTCCCGTCTTGCATTAGGGCGTTGATGGCGAGGCCGAGGATGTGTCCTGCTGTGTGGAGGCGGGAGTAGTGGTCTCTTTTGGGGCCGTCGATGGTTTGTTGGATTGAGTCGCCTGGTTGGAGGGTTGGGTGGCTGGTGAGGGGGTTGAAGCGTCCGAAGTGGAGGATTGCGCCGCCGGCTGCTGGGTGTCGGACTGCGGTGACCTCGAATGTAGATTTTGCTGGGGCTTCTGAATCTGGTGATGATGAGGTTGAGGAGGCTGGAGTGCTGATTGAGCCGGTGTCTGAGGGTTGACCCCCACCTTGGACGTAGAATATCGTCTCATCTGTGACTAGTGCGTAGTCATCTTCTGAGGCGTTCTTCAGGAGAGATTGATCTGATGGCGGGAGAGCTGAGACTGGTGAGATGGAGAGGACTTTGCTGAGGTGTTGGCGGAATTCTTGGTGGTGTTGATAGATGAGTTTGGTACGTGCTGCCATATTGACTGGAGACCTATTGGTCTGGAATACTCTTATATTGGTGCTCCAAAATCCAGTTGATTTATGGGAGTCTTGCTTAGAAGGATCTCAGTGTTGAGTCTCGAATTTCGATGAAGGATCTCCTGGATTTTATATGGAATATGAGTCGAAGAGTGGTAGTGATGAAGTAGATACATTGGAAGTGGACAGAGTAGGCGGTGAGCTGATAGCGCGCCTTTTAAGTGACAAGCGAGGGCAGAATTGCCCACCCGTGAATGAAAACAGTCATCTCGAAGAAATGCGAAGAAGGCTGAGGAAAGCAGACGAAGGTTGAGAACTTTGACTACGATCTTTCTATGAGGTCATGTATGGTTCATGTATGGTTTACATCTTGAATGGGGATGCTAAAATTCATTCGCGCCCCGATGATCCTGATAATCATCCCTATCTCGTTCTCGCTATCGCTTCAAGGATGGTGACAGGGTAGACAGGGTATTATGAAAGTCAACAAAGAATAAATTTCACTTCCGAGTACAGCCAAAACCCTATAGGCAGACTGTTGTGTTTTTTTCTTGTATTTCAGGCCAAGACTTTGGTACTGTATCGTCAGTTGAGCTTCTGGCCGAAAGAATAGCACTTTTTATCTAATCGCTACAGTATTTCTTATTTTTGGCTGCCCAGATGATTGGGTCATTTTTCAAGGCTATGTCCCTGACTCGCTTTCTCCTCCATCCAGAACAGGACACCACCTGGTGGATGTTTAACACAGTGTCAAGTTGAGCCGATTCTCTATTCCTCATTTTGTCTTTCAATAACTTAGATGACTGACCCCTTTTGAAAATCTGATTAGACGCAGCCTTTGTTTCCAGATTGGTCTTGATCCAAGATGCATCACGTGCAGCATTAGTAACACACCGACTCCAGGTTTACGGCTGGGACATTTCCGCTAGCCGCAACCCCGCAATGTCTGGAATTCAACGTGGAATTCTCTCTAACTACACTGTCTTTCCTCTCGCCGTTTGTCGCCTCACGCGTGGACCAGAACTTCGTATGTGACTATGAACATTCTTGAAAGCCAGGTTGCAGATATCAACTACCTCGTGGACTCGCCCATCACGCCCATCTCGCCTGTCGCAATTCCGCGCATTATGAACAGCCAACGCCAGTCGTCGAGTGCGGAAAGCCCTGCGGAAACAGGCAATGGGAGCGGAAACAAGAGGAAGAACGACGAGACTAGCACCAGTGCGAATGGAAATACACATACAAGGGCGAAGAGGAATAGATATATCTCCATTGCGTGGTACGTCTACCAGTTTTTACTGCGGGAGCGGGTCTGGATGCCGCGGCGCATCAAATTCAACAGAAAACAACAGCCATATCAGATTACTGACCTCGGATCTCCAGCAACGAGTGTAAGCGGCGCAAGATCAAATGTAATGGAAACACGCCCTGCCAACGATGCGGCAACCTCAATCTAGATTGCCAGTATGCGCCGAACTGTTGCTCGAATGGCTTCAAGGAGTCTGAAGAGTTCCGCCAAATGAACGCACATCTCGCCCAACTCCAGGAACAAGTAGATAATTTATACGCGAATCTCAATGCTCTGCGAGCTGCCGGAGATGGAGTCTCGTATGTGCCGCCCTCGGAGACCTCGATGTCAGTTCCGCCGCCCTTATCTCCTTCTAACAGGTTCCGATCTACACCGAAACACCCCTCCTTCCGCGGCCCGACCAGCTCTGCGTTCAGTCTAGATGTCGCAAAGAATACACTGCATAATATGGGATACCAGGGGCTTGGAGACGAGGGTGCAATCACATCCGATGCTACCCCGATTGGATCTCCTCCACGAAGACAGAGTCAAGTTCCGACTATCAGCAATGGCAACCCAACCAAAGATCCAATATGGTCACTGAGTAAAGAGGAGATGAGCCGGCTGTGTAGGGTGTACGAAGAAGAAATGGGCTTGATGTATCCGGTTGTGAACATTGAGCAGGTTATAATCCATGGGACGAATCTGTACGACTTTATCGAGGCGGCAGTAAGGAGCGGTCTAGTCAACCCTACACTCCCAGGACAGGGGATACACGATGAACAGTCTTTGGTATTGAAAATGGTTCTTGCATGCGCCACGGTCACCGAGGGAAATGGACATAGTGAAATCGGATCCCGGCTCTTCGAAAGTGTCAGGGAGGCTGCAGACCGGGTCTTGCACAGTGAGACAATTGAGGTCAAAAATCTACCGTTTGTTGTACTTGTGGTGAGTTGAACTTTCACCTTTGAGTTTACTTTTTACGTTGCACATTTCTTTTGGCTCAAGGAAGGAGAGTTTTTGGTTTCCACCCCTTCCGACAAAAGAAATTCGAAATCGCAGCTTTGGAAGGTTGTGGTTTGCGACCAGAGCGACAAGGAAATCGTGGATATTGGGCCTCAGCAAGGATCGAACTTGCGTCTCCTCGCGTGGCAAATTTATGCGAGACGTGCGACCACTACACCATGAGACCTTGACTTGAATGGATAGATAACGTCTTATTTGACAACAAGTCCATGGACGAACCCGATTTGGCACTTGATTGGAGAGAAGTGGCAGCCTGGCTCTTTCAGCTGGTCTCAAGCGAGCGCCACCCTCACTTTCTCGATCCTGAGGCATAACTAACAAGAGCCTTTGATCTTTCTTGGTCCTATATTTTGATTATTTATTTGTAAAGACACAAGCTGACGATCAGATAGTCGATATATCACTTCCATTGCGATGAAGAGGCACTTGCTTGGAGAATCATTGGCCAAGTGTAAGTGATCGCGACAACTGTGTTCGATATCCATTGCCGTGATCATGGTACTAATATGTCTTGCAGTGCTCGCATGTGTATCGAGCTTGGTCTACATCGGCGCGAGTCGTTCTTCAAAGTGATCACTGACGAGGAGGAGAGAGCAAACGCCATCAAACTGTTTTGGTCAATTTATGTACTGGATAGGAGGTGGAGTTTCGGGACAGGCATGCCGTTTGCATTACAAGATGCAGACATCGATCCAAGCTTGCCCGAGCCTGTACGTTGACCTGACCCCTTTCCCAGCATCAGAGAGCTGACAGACGAGCAGGAACTCAGCATCCCTTACCTGAACGTCATGATCTCCTATTCTCGCATCGGATCCAAAGTCTGGAAATCCGTTTGCAGCTTCTCACCAGCACATGGTCCAACCCTGAACTTAGACGATGTCGGATATCTTGATTATCAAATCCTCCAATGGCAAAAGACCATCCCACCAGAACTCCAACTCCCCACAGCCTCATCAACGCAAACCTCCTCCCGCGCCATCCACCGTCTCCAAATCCTCCTCTACCTGCGCGCAAACCAAATGCGCATCCTTATCTATCGCCCTGTCCTCCACTCCGCCTCCTCCATACAAGACCATCCCCACTACGCCGATACGGTCGTCGAGCTCGCCAAAGACACCATCCGCGCACTCACGCACCTCAACCAAACCTCCGACATCTACCGCGTGCAACAAGTCTGCTTCAACTACTTCCTCATCTCCGCCCTTGCCGTCATCTTCCTCGCCAGCTGCCACGCCCCAGTACAATTCAGCGCCCTCTGCCGCGACGAATTCTATATGGCTCTCGACCTCGTCAAAGGCTTCAGCACTAAATCATTCGTCAGCAAACGTCTCTGGAAAACTATTAAAGGTCTTAAAGAAGTCGGTCCCAAGCTTGGCCTGAACCCGGATATTCGCAATGGTCTCCATCATAATGGTATTCATGAGGATGATGCGCATTCATCGGCTGCGTTGGCGATGGCTGGTCTTGCGGGACACGAAATCTCGGGGATGGGTGTTGGTGTTGGGACATACGGAGGGGACATCGTGGCGAATGGGAATAGTCCTATGAATGGATTTCAGATGAGTACTGAGATGACGAATCTGTTTGAAGCGGCGCTAGGGAGCGTTGGTATGAATGGCGGAGGGAATTCTGGGACGCCATCAGCGGGCGGAGCGGGTGGGAGTTATGTCCCGCTTGAAGATGGCCTTGGTGGCGTTGGGAGTAATGTGTTTGGTGGCGACGAGGAGTTGTATCGCCAATTGAGGGACTTGTTCTAGTTGAATTGCGTGGAGGTTTTGCCTGTCCCATGTGAGAGCAGGGAAAGAGTGCTTGCTATGTTTATGGATATATGCTATCATTATTAGCGACGCGATATAGAAAGTGCGACGTTTATGAAATATACCAATACCAAAGTATATCTCAAATCAATATAGACAAGCCAAAACAAACATCATCCCATATATTCACCCCCGAGTCAATGCATATAAAACGCGCGCGTTGTTGCAATCCACGTACAGTCTCTAAATCGCTCAAAAATACACCTTACAACAGGGCCAGATGGAAGCGCTTCTCCTACATGACGAGCTCTAGAGTATGCTTTGTGGTTTCTCATATTGATGCCCTGTTTTCTTTCACCTCCCCAGCATGTCGTATTGCTTACTTTTGCTTGAATAGAGCAGCTGGTCATGAGAGAATATTGGAGAACCAGGTTGAATGACAATAGTGAAGAGAGTGACAATATTCCGTGCGAATATTTATTTTTACAATAATTACTAATACCCAGCCTATATTTTCCGTAGAATTCGAGATCTATATACAGCGCATGAGGTACTTCAAGCAGCTCTTGGCGTCCGGCAGTTTGCGGACATTAAGATGTGTGGTGGAAGCTTGACTGAACAGTGGCAACGCAGAGTGAATGGGTTGATCTCCATATTTGATGTGTTTGGTGGAAGAGTAGGGTAGTGGCAGATGGGAGTTTATATAGGTGGATGAGTAGGCAGAGGGGTTTGGAGGTGGGGAAATGGATGGAAGTGAAAGTACTGTGAATAAGTCGAGTGAGAGGAGGAGAAGAGGAGAAGAGGTAAGTGAATAGCTAGTTCACATCACAGAGCTCACTCACTTTTAGACATGTCTTCGTCTTGTTGTTTGCTTGAGGGTATATAAATTCTCCTCCTCTTCTTCCACTCAAGAGTATCGTACATGAACAGCACATGCCGGTCAAACCACTTGGTGGGTGTGCTCAGCCCGCTGAGCCCGTGGGGATGGAAGGACTTGTACCAGCATTACCAGGGCCTTATATTTAAAACAGATAGTTTTTCTGGCAATGGTTTGTTGTAGAGGGGGATTCAAGGGCTTTCCAAGGATAGAAAGAATTCATTTCTGTGTAGTGCTTCGATGTTTGCAGCGAGCGCGAAAGTTTAAAATGACAGCAAGACCTAATTTGGCAGCGAGGAGCTGATTTCGATGATCACCAATTCACCACCTGTAAACTCTGAATTCAAAGACAACTCGTAAGATTGGGAAGTGGTTTTGTTGGGGATTAGACTTTCGGATCACTTCTACTCGTAGTGGTACAGTTTCAGTTAACCGAATAGGCCACGCGAGGCAGGACGCCAAGTTCTCTCGCCGCCATTGTGATGCGTGAGGGTTGGAGGTCTCCCTTCTTGGGGTTTGCTTTGTTATAAAATGAAAATCGGCATATAGCTGTGATTCACTGTGTTTTCCCTTCTGCCAGACTTTTGGGGATCGTGGCTTAGCTTAGTCCAGAATTGTCGTGACAGGCCAGAGATTTATGCCAAACCTCCTGGGCTTTGTCACCTCTTAGGCGGTGAATGATATTCTTGATAGGGGTGAGTATATAAACATCCCCATTGCTCTGTCGTGCTTGCTCCCTCAAAACAAGAGAAGAAATCACCAAACGCCTAGTTCATGGTCTGGGATCTCTGTAGGTACGTCTATTGCATCATTGTCAACTGTGTATCGTTGCGAGATTCCTGAATTGGCAATGCTTTGACCGAAGATGGAGGCTCTTTTGACACCTCTTAGAATCATGATCGCCAGTTACCCTGGGTATTTTCAACTAAAATCAGAAGCACGAAGAAATTGAATGTAGATGAAGGTGTTCTCGACTGAGAATCCGGAAATGACCGCAATGACAGATGTCACAGCGCCTTGGGAAATCTAAAGCTTCTTGACTGTGAATACAATAATTGCTTGGGAATTAGTTTAGAGTGATATTCCGAAGCTTAGAGCTATATTTTGATTGATCTTGCAATCCAACAGTTCGCGTGTACGCTTGTACAGGAAACGTTTGGTCATGCGTATCTGCCTGTAGGTGAGTTTGACTTGCAATATTCCAGAAGTGATACATCTTTCTATATATTGTGACTTGCAGTCGGCGTCGAAATAGATCTTTATACTGTTACCATTTTCTATCATGCAAGAAATACCGATTTCTTCACCTATTGATGTAGAAACCCGTCAGCCTTTCCTCGCTAGAACTAACACAAAGCCTCGAAGAAGTGTCGTGTGGAGTCATTATATTCGGAATTAGATTGCAGAGCAACTTTGTCTGAGGCTTTTGATATCTTGTGCTCTTTCATCAATCCTTCCCACTTTTTAAATTACATGAACGGGACAGCGGTCAAGCTAATCAATATTTTCCACATTCCCCGCACAACTGAAGTGGATATTGCCTGCAAGTGCGGGCTGCAGTTCAGCCATATCTTGGCAGGCAGAGGCAGACAATGGAAAGCGGGAGGATCGTCCTGTCCAGCTGCAAGTCTTCGTCACAGAATGTTACTGGTCAGAAATCATGCAAAGTGCACGTCAGCTCAGGTGGCACAAAACAGCAAAGGCCGTCCCGCAGATAGTGATTAAATAAGACCCCGCTGCGCCTGCCTAACGATATGCAGATTCATTTGGACGATGTTGTACAATTGCAGACAAACCAAACCATAATCAGTGAACGGATCATCCGTCATCTAGACAAAATAGGATGCACGCTGCAGGAGTCGTGAGATCATGTTTAATGTTTCTCCTGCCCTTTCTCATCCTCGTGCAAAGCATGTACCTAGAGCATTCGCAGGGACCAGGTACGAGATGAACTATCCTAGCCACCCATGATCATCTGTCTGAACCGATTGAAGCAGTCAAATATCCTTCCTTACTTGATGCCAGCCTTGAAACACTTTCTGATGGCTTGCAGAAGAAGGTATTCACCAGTGTCGACTTGGTCAAGGTGAGCCACTGACGACGTTTGACCTGGACGTGAGAGTGCTAAATCATTACAGGCATATATCTTGAGGATAGCAGAAGTCCAAGATGATTTTCATGCTGTGCTTGAACTCAATCCTGATGCCGTGAGCATTGCTTCCAGCCTCGACCTAGAAAGGGCTCGAGGACATATTCGTGGGTAAGGATAAGTCATCGAGAGCCGAGATCAAAGTCTTACTCTTCTAGACCATTGCACGGCATTCCGGTCTTACTGAAAGATCTGATCGGGACCAGCGACAACATGAACACTACAGCGGGATCCTACGCTCTTCTTGGCGCAAAACTTCCTCGAGACTCAACCATTGCAAGAAAACTTCGCGAGGCAGGTGTGATCTTGCTAGGAAAGACTAGTGTCTCGGAGTGGGCTAATTTCAGGGCATTTAATTCCAGTAATGGATGGTCTGCAAGATCTGGTCAGGCATATGGGCCGTATTATCCTGGCCAAGATCCATGGGGAAGCTCGACTGGAAGTGCTATTGGTGCTGCGTAGGTCACAACCACAACCTTGTCGGATGACTTTGGACATTATCTATCACTTAAGTGTGTGCATTCGAAAAGCTCCCCCTACTGACGATAATTTAGTCTTGGTCTAGCCTGGGCAAGCATTGGCACGGAAACAGATGGCTCTATTGTGAGGCCAGCTTCTGCGAACAACGTTGTGGGAATCAAGCCCAGTAGGCTCCTCTTCCAAATGAGAACGTTGTGATCGCTAACATATTTGTAGCCTCCGGTCTTACTTCAAGAAACTTGGTGATCCCTGTTAGCTCTCACTTGGACACCATTGGGACTTTTGCAAGAACTGTTAAAGATGCCGCCTATCTTCTCCAAGCCATTGCTGGCAAAGACGTGGAGGACAACTACACCTTAGCCATCCCAAATATCCCCAATTATGTGAAGGCATGTCAAATCTCTGCACTCAGAGGCGTTCGTATTGGTGTTCCCAGAAATGCAATAGTTCTGGGATCAACCCCAACCTTCGAGCCCGCCCAGTCGGTAGCATTCGAGAACGCACTGGATATTTTGCGTGACGCTGGCGCAACTATCGTCGACAATACAAACTTTACAGCTGCCGAAGAATTCTGGACCTCGTCTATTCCAGGGCAACTCGTATCAGCAGACTTCATTGTCGAATTACCCAAGTACCTTAGCAAGTTGACGAGGAACCCAAACAATATTACAGACCTTTCATCCCTGCGAGCTTTCGTGCAACAATTTCCCCTGGAGGAATATCCCGACCGAGACACAGGGATCTGGGACGTAACGCTACTAGGCTTCAACTCCACGTCTCCTGAATTTTGGGCAACTTACCAGAAAAATGTCTTTTATGGAAGTGAAGGTGGATTACTTGGTGCATTAGATCGACATAACCTTGACGCAGTGGTCATGCCAGCAGATTACGCAGCTCATCACTTCGCCGCACCGGTTGGAGCGCCAGTTGTGACTGTACCCATGGGAGAGTATCCTGCTGGATCTACCGTTGTGAAGGATTCAAGAGGTCTGGTAGAAAGAGCTGAAGGAATTCCGTAAGTTGGTTTGATGTTGGGGAGAAGATCTTGATTGTTGACTTTCGCTTAGCTTTGGTCTGAGCTTTCTAGGGAGACGATGGTCAGAGAAGAGGTTAATTGGGATGGCTTACGCCTTTGAACAAAGGACCAACTTTAGGGCGAAGCTGAAGCCGTTTAAAGTTCCTAGTAAAGAAATTGCGGACGTGATCGGGAGTTACAGAAGATTGCCGGCTTCGCTGGTTACGGGATAGACTATCTGAGGCGCTACCTTCCATGTCCCCGTCCCACCTCAAAAGAATGATTTCAACCGGAAACCTCTCTCAGAAATGTACATAAGATTAGAACACCTGTATGAACTATCTATGCATAAATCCATGCTCATGTTCTTGTGTCCAAAGTAGCCAAGCCAGAAGTGCTCTGCTCAGGCGCTTTTCTCGTTTGAGCATCACAGTCTGACCACAGATAGGCTCTGGAATTCAGAAGAGAGTCTGCAATAATTCAAGATTATTTGCACTTCTGGTGAGTCCGTAGCATGTCCGTACGGAATGAAGAGTGTTTGACTGCAAGCAGACCAGATCTGTTCCTTACTGTTGACTTAAACATCGATTCACCATTCAGTACTTTCCCAGTCTCGATCTGATCCAAACCAATTCTTCGCATACCTTTATCTATCAGGATGTTGGTTTCAATTTGGATACATTCAGGAGATCCATACCTTGTACCGATGGTCCAGACAGTTTCGAGCTTCAAGCCATCCATTCCAGTCCATGTGATATCCCGTCAAATATGCTTTGGTGAGTCCCTTGGCTTGATCTATACCTACATTGGCTTCGCTCTCTGTAGCAAGCCGGTAAGAAATTTGATCTATCCTCAGACTAATGTACGTGGGCGCAGGGAAATACGGATAGGTCCGAGGCGTTGAACGATTCTTTGTCTCATATGATGGAGCACATCACATGGTCACAGCCACCATCTCCACACTTTTCAAGTGAACCCTCTTGTTCGGACTTGCTTACTATCTAGTGACTGAACATGCCGCATCAGGTAGTGGCTTCCGTTGAGTGCTCATCCATGCATTCCAGTAATGAGAAGATAGTTTTCACTGTGCATTCTTCGACCCGGACTGCGTTTTCTGGGCTCATGTATCACTATTTAACTCACGCCTTAATCAGGCGCGAGACATTGAAGACGAGTATGAAGACTGCTTTACAGCTAGAATTGTCTAGATTGACTTGATTCTCTGGGTGGCATGGAATGTCTTTCGGTGGACAGGATTCATTGGTGTGGCGACGATATGTCCCAGAGCTTATGGCCGCAATAGGTGATAACTTATGAGAAGTATCGTCAACAACACATTCCTGTATTCTTGAAGTGCTTAGAGAGTCTTGTCATTCTTACGATAGGTTCACTTTGAATATCAAGGAAACGATGTTCTACGCGGTAAAACTTGCCAAATGATCGACATTGGCGCTAAGGAACGAGCATCTGATACATTACACCCAGAAAGTCTGAGAATCTTGAGACATCTCGCATAGGCCCGCCTCGTGGCACGAACTAAAAACATCCACAGCAGACAGTGATTCAGCAGAGTTCACGATGGTGTTCTTCCACTCGCATTCCTTGATCATACCATTCGACTATAAAAGCTGCCTTCTTCCCTTCTGTTCTGCTCAAATCATCCATCTCTACTACTCAAATTAATTCACACACTCTTACTACACATATCCTATCTACTCAAGCGACTTCTAAAATGCCTCAGCCCTTACAATTGATAATCTACATCGACCCACGACTGTTACAAGACAGTTCCGACCTTGGAAACCTTTGCTTCGCTCGCAAGGTGAATGGGTCCTACAATGTTGTCTTCCAGGGGACAGAGAATACCGACCTCACCGCGCAGAATAACTTCTCGTGGGTCGAAAATTATGCCATGGGAGCGGTCCTGACCCTGGCCGATGGTGCGCACGTAAGTCTACAAGCTCAGCACATCACAGTGCGGTGGTTCTAATACTCTCGACAGGTCGGAGGAGCAACTTCAGTTCAACCCATTCAAGCTGGTCAGGCATGCACCTGGGGACCAAAGTCGGCAGACATGCCGATTGCTGGGCCAGCTCCACCACCACCTGACTTCCCCGCGGGTAGTTTTGGGACCGTTGGGATGCCGTACAGGTATCATGGCGCAGTCTACAGTCAGACGGGCACTAATCCAGCGTGGACCTGCATCTATGTTGATGCAAACCCAAAGCCTGGACTTGACAAGATTTCATATATCCCGAAGAACGAGTATTCTGTTCGTATATTCCATCAATAACCCTGACACTGAAGCTCATTTGGTCCAGCTTTTCTTTGACGCGGAACTGCAGACCTCAAGTCTTTTCACGCGCGCTGTTAGCAACGCCTTGCAGTTCTCCATTCCTACCAACTCGTACTCATACTATGTAGGCTGGGTAAGCAAGCAGACTACCCAAATAGAGATCAGTAGGCTAAAATGATGCAGGGGCTAAGCTCAGACGGAAAGACAGCGACCTGGAGTGTAAGTGTACGCTGAAGCTTTTTCTAGCTACAGAGCTAAATATTTGAAGGACTACGGGATCAATGACCCAGGACACTGGAAGCCCATAACATCTTTGGCTGCATTTGGCGCCATCACTTCATTGGGTGTCACTATTTATCCTGATGGTTCAACAAATGAACTTGAGCCTGCTTATATCAAGCGCTCCCGGGCAATTCGAGGCACTGACGCTAGTTACGGAGCTGCTGGTTCTGAAGCTCTCTTCGCTTTCCGCTTGGGATGGGAAACAGAACACTTTCCAAGCGACGAAGAGAAAGCATACTATGCAAAAACTGTCGCGTCTTTCTTGTCACTGAACTGTCCCAGCTCGATGTGAGTTAGCAATCATTATATTGATGAATCAACTGCTGATGGACTTTCAAAGTCGCCTTCGACTGCAGACTGTGAGCACTTTCTGCGTAGGATACGCATTCTTGAACAGCATCGGACCAGACTGGTTGATATTAGAAGGGGAAGATGATGCGATGAAGGCGAAAAATATGCTCCAAAATCTTTTGGCAGATATCAGAACGGACTTTGCTCCCGTTCAGGTGGACTGGAATTACAAAATTCTACGTAGGTCAAATTCATTACCTGATATACTAAATGACTTACAAATTTTAGCCTCGAAAGCCGTAGGTTCAGGTGAGCTTGTTGAAGGCGGTGAATGGGTTCAGATGGTGATGCAGATGGGTTGGCCAGCTGCTGTTGGAATTACCGCTGCCAGTGTCGCTGCAGGCTACGTTGCGACAAAAGTTCTGGATGTTCTCAAAAACAGTCAGATCAAATTCGAGAAGGCAACCATTAGCCCCAGTGGTGAGATGCTCGTCGTCAAGGGCTCATACCGAGCAAACCAAGCTCAAGTGCCTACTACAATCCAGCAAGTCAACAACGTGGTAGCACAGGAAGCACTTCGGACTGCACCATCACCCGTTCCCGGACTACCAACGCCAGATCAAGTGTTCCTTATCGAAAATATGCCAGCTCCGAACAGTAGCCTCAAGAGAACGAACTCAATCAGAACTACGCCTAAGCGACTGGACTTCAATGGGAACAGGACCGCCAATGGATACACCAATGGCAATGGGTTCTCCAATGGAGTTAATGGATATTCCAATGGCGTGAAGGCGATCTATGCTTGAGCAATTGTTTCTTTTTGTACTTTCCTTTGCTATCAGAGAGTTGAGTTTTTTTTTTCTGGAATTCTGGGGTTGTACTGGCTGCTCAAGAAGAAAAGCATAGGTATATTTACATCTATAGCAAGTTTAATAGAAGTGGTTTCTATTCTAAAGTTGTTTTACAAAAGGTTGATCGTCATGAAAATAAAAATCTGATAACTGCATACTCACGACTAGGTAAATGTTGTGAAAGGTACAATGAGTAAACTGCTGTTGATCTTTTTCCCTCAGAGACTTTATGCAAGGACTGTACCTTGAAACAAAGTAGGAGATAGACTCTCAACAAATGCTATATCCTTGTCAGGTCCGTGCTTATCTGTTACATTCTCTTCAAGTCTCCTTAAGAATATTGAGAGCAATAGCGGTACTATACTCTAATCGACTTTAGATATAAAAATGTTTTTATTACGGATATAAATTTTTTGCGTCAATATTGTCGTCCGGTGTCGGAGACACCTTCCCCGCATGTCTGACCTTACCCCACAATTCAAGATCAACACAGACCACATTCATATCAACAAACTTCACTTTGAAAACATCTTCGACACTTCAATTGTTCTTAAATCCTTATTACACGCAGTCAATATTTTCATTATGGCAGTCAAAGATTCTGGCGCCTCTTTGGCGACAAACCTGGTGTCTCGAACGACCGCCACCAAGCTACATTCTATTCTTCTTCTCCCAGGCGATGGGGTCGGACCCGAGATAGCTGAAGAGGCTCTCAAAGTACTATCGACTATCACAAAGACATCTGGTGTTCAATTCAGAATCCGCAAAGCAATAACTGGTGGCTGCAGTATAGATGCACATGGCACTCCTTTGACAGACGATGTTTTACAGCTTGCCAAAGACAGTGATGCAATTCTCTTTGGTGCTGTTGGAGGACCAAAGTGGTGAGTACAACACCATGCTTTGAGATGAGTTGTGCGATACTGAATTTGATAGGGGAGCTGGCGCTATTAGGCCAGAAGCAGGTCTTCTTACTCTCCGAAAGGAACTTTCTCTATTCGCCAATCTCCGTCCTTGCAATCTCCCCTCAGCATCACTCACCAACCTCTCACCTCTTCGTCCAGAAATCATAGCCGGAACGGATTTCGTTATTGTCCGTGAGAACTGTGGAGGTGCTTATTTCGGCACGAAAGTCGAAGAAGCTGATTTCGCGAGTGATCCATGGGCGTACTCTAGATCTGAGATTGAGCGAGTAGCTCGAGTTGCAGCTAAGCTTGCTTATGCAATGGGAAAGGAAAATCCAAATTTGAGCTCTGATGGAAACGGTGGACCGACTCAAGTTATCAGTTGTGACAAAGCGAACGTGCTGGCTAGTTCCAGACTCTGGAGAAAGGTTGTGACGGAAGTCTACCAGGAAGAGTTTCCAGATATCAAAATCAGCCATCAACTTGCTGATAGCGCGGCTATGCTAATGATGAAAGCGCCGACGAGTTTTAACGGAGTTGTGGTTATGGACAACACTTTCGGAGACATCCTCAGCGATGTTGCGAGTGTAGTTCCTGGTAGTTTGGGACTATTACCAAGTGCCAGCTTGAGTGGGTGGCTGGGAGAAGACGAAGAGGGCAAGTTGAGGGGTCTGTATGAGCCCGTTCACGGAAGTGCCCCAGACATTGCGGGTAAAGGGATTGTGAACCCAGCTGCGATGATACTCTCGGTTGCCATGATGCTGAAGTACTCATTTGGCATGACCAAGGAGGCGAAAGACATCGAAAAAGCGGTAGCAAAAGTACTCGACTCTAAGGATGCTGGAGGACTGGAAATCCGCACCGGGTAAGTAATCCTTCTCTTTCGGCTTTCGGCGCGGCCTTTCACTAATTGGCTCTTCAGCGATCTCGGAGGAAAGGCAAGCACAAACCAAATAGGAGACGCAATATGTGAAGTACTCTTAGATAACAACAAGTAGAGATAATCAAATATATACATGGCTCTTTTTTCACTTCGATAGATAATGTTTTCTTGTAGAAAAAAAGTGATTGAGATGCAGTAAAATTCAATGGACAAGGGTTGTGAGGATCCCTGCGTCATCCTGCATCCTTGAGGCTCAGCTGTCAGACATCCTCCGCGTCTGACGTTGTCCATATATTATCTATCATCACTTCGATTTTGCAATATGCTCACAAGTTTGCAAAGTTGAGAACCATGGGCTCAAACGCTTCGAAAAGCCGGACCAAAAAGAATGCAACCAACCTGGAGAAGCCACGAGAGATTTGGTGATGGTTCCAGAAGGCAGCAGCTTATCTGACGCTTTACTCATTCTCTTGAAACAGTCCAAAGGGCATGAGTTGATGATGTGGTTAGCAACTCGGATTATCGTATCACGGGATATAAATAGATGGATGGAAGACATCGAAAACATCATCAAACGCGATGTGAGTTTGGGCTCTATGATACGGACTTTCCTGGACATCATCGTGCAAATGAGCGGCGATAAAGACGAGGACTATCGGTATTCTGCCATTATGAATGCTTTACAGCGCCGGATCGCATTATGGATATACAGGAGCCTAAACCAATCAAATAACGAGATCAGACTGCTTAGAATTCATCCAGTCTCACAACAGCCCTCGAATGTCAAGGACACCAAGGTTGTCTCATGTTCTCTGGAAGTTCGGTCACTCGACGATGCCAGCCTCGAGTTTGACGCCCTTTCCTATGTATGGGGAGACGCAATGCAAGCTATGCCAATATTCATTGACAACAAAGTCCTCCTGGTATCACGAAACCTGTACGAGGCATTGGAATCTTTCAGGGATAACGGGAAGATACCTGGCCTGCTATGGGTCGATGCAATTTGCATCAATCAGCAGGATAGCTTGGAGCGAAATCATCAGGTGACACTCATGGCTAGACTGTATCGTCAAGCGGAGAAAGTACATATCTGGATGGGTCCCGAGATGAAGTACACCGCGGCTTTGTTCGACAAGCTGGAAGATTGCGGCGGAGATGTGCTGCGGCCAGGTTGGAGCATAATGAATGCAATTCATCTCACAGACGTCGAGAGCGGCAGCCTTCACGGCTTATTGCATCTGCTAGCCAGCCCGTGGTGGTCAAGACTTTGGGTTGTCCAAGAGGCTGAGCTGGCTCAAAATCCTCGTGTGCATTGCGGCAGCCAAGAATTCGAATTTCGTCGTCTGGCTGAAGTGCTGGTGAATCTGGCCACTATGATTTCCAACGAGCTGGATGAAAAGTCGCCAGTTTATCAAGCAATTACCAAGTCTAAACTTTCACAGATACAGCAACTGTTCTTCTTCTTGGATTATTCTCGCGACAATGCAATCAACCCAGCGAAGCTGCTGGCCAACACAGCTCATTGTGAATCCACCGTGCCCCATGATCGTATTTACGCTTTGCTCGGTTTACTTCCCAATACCTTGGACATTACTCCGAGATACGAACATAGCATCGAACACGTCTTCGAGGAGGCAGCTTTCAAGATTTCAAAACTGGCAGGCAATCTCGAACTTCTACAAATCACAGCTCTGGTTGACAACAGAAAGTTGAAACTACCATCTTGGGTCCCAGAATTCGGCAATACAATTGATGGACTGCATTTTTATGCAGCAAGTCCATGCTTTAAGGCAGACTTAAGAGCCACCTGCCTCATCATCCAAGATCATCCCCGTGAGCTGAAAGTTCGAGGCATGATTTTCGACCATATTCTGGGTTTTACGAGACCTCTCAATCATGGCCTGCCTGATCCAAGCCTTATGGATGATATTCGTAAAAATCTGAAATCTTGCCACGACTTTGTTCAAGCTACACTTCCTTCAGGTACCATAAACGATCTCGACTTTTGCCGAACCATCACGACGGAGAGATTGATAGGCTCTGGGTCCGGTACCCAGCGGTGGGCCGAAAACGAACGATATGTCGGCATAGCCGCACAATGGACACATTTCTTGACGGACGATCAATATGTCCTGGAAGAAAGCGTGAAGACTCTCTTCAAACACTCCGTCTGGGCTATGCATGCTGAATCCAGGCTTTTCGTCACAACAGGCAATCGTATTGGACTTGCCGATAGAGCACCAATGGAAGAGGGGGATGTATTAGCTATCTTGGCCGGATCTGACGATCCTGCTATTCTGCGTCCTGCTCCGGAGCGAGGCATTGGAGCTTTCACGTTTGTGCAGAACTGCTACTGTCATGGTATGTACTTCGCAAGTCTAGCCTCCTCGTTTCAAGCCATACTAAACTGCTCTAGGTGTAATGGATGGTGAGGCTGTTGTCGAGGCATTCAAAAATCAGAGTGGTTCGGACCCTGTTTTCGGCGAAAAGATGCATGAGGCCGCGCTTGCAAACAAAAGCATGCACACAAGGTACAAGTTCCGAGATGCCCAACCGAAAGACTTTCAGGTCAAGTTACGGGAAGCTATTGATCCCTTGTTTGAAGAGATAGTACTTGTCTAATTTGAAATACTCATATTCTTTCACTTCAAGGCTGAATCAGCGTCTTTGACTCCTCATGCCCCTTGGGTTGTATAGTCCCTATAACAACTTATCATTCCGAATGCGGACACATACACCTTCCTTGTTTGCTCTTTCAGCTGCAGTGTTCCCCGAGCTTGAGACCATTCGAATACCTTAGCTTCCTTTATAAACTTCAGACAATTTCATTCTTCGATCAGCAAAAGGGTATCTAGCAATGGCATCTCCGGCGCCGGGTATGGCGGCGAAGCAATCCGGGGACAAACAGGAGAGAGCGGCAGAGAGAGCATTTGTCCTTGGCTCTGTGTTACATTATGTTACGGAGCAGGCAACGACGTAAAATCTCTTGTTTTTAATCCAGGATTCCAGAAGGCTTATTTCATTACACAGTGATGTTGATTCGTGAGCAGGCCAACGGCAAAGAATATTTCAGGATGATGGAGCCACCAAGTCCTCTTTAATAAGAGCCTTATTTTGAAGACGAACCCCTTGCAGAACTTGGGGTCTCGTTAGGCGAAATGGGAAGCGAAGCAAACGGAGAAGTCCTCAAAATTGGAACATGATTGATCGTACTATTCGGTGATTTCTGTAACTAGCTTATGTATGATCTCTTTGGAGTGCAATCGATCCTTTCTTGACACTAGTCTATCGACGTCTTTTCACAAGTTCTCTCTCAAAATCTGAGTGTGACTTTTTAGAAACCCCATCAACATTACCTTGGGCCAGGTAGGTGAAGATGAAAGCTCCTCATGCGACGTCTGATGTAGAGTTTGCACCCGGTACTTCCGTGCCACGAGTTTTATCTCTGATTTCATACCATCTCTTCCCTATGACGCTATCTGGAGTGAATCCCGTCATTGAGGAAGAGCCCGTCCAAGTCAAGGCTTCCTCGGGCTTCATGCTAACGAATGCTTGGTTACGACTAATCTGTGCTGCCTTCCAGATTTGGTCCATGCCAATCTTGTCAGCCTTTAGTCTCAACTCATAGAAGTTATAAGCCAGTTGATCAAGTCGAATCCAGGAGAATCCTTCATAACCATCAATGTATTTGCGACTTGTGATAGGATAGTCGGCTTCGAAAGCAAGGATGTGCATATCATCGTAGGGCGCAGAAGCTTCATCAGGTCGGAGAAATTCAATACACTTGGCATCAATCATGAGGAAAGTGTTGGTGAGAATACCAGACTCAGGAATCTGATCGGTGAATGGTGACCAATCCCAGGGTAGAAGGCCGTGAGCGTTCTGGTATTCTTGAGGGTCGCGTAAGAGATCTTGAAAAGCGCCGCGCAGGATAGTGCCGTGGTCCTGAGCAGCGCCTCCGGTGGATGCAGAAGTATCGGGTGCGTAGAAGTGAAGTAAATCCCATCTCCTAGCTATGAGATCCTGTGTCCCATTGTACCTGTATTGTTTAAGACTTTAGCATATATTCTACTCAAATTCTTTGTTTCCTGGGGATCGATAAACAAACAAGCTCTCCGATCCCGAGATCCTAGATAGTAGACGTTTGATTTTCAAGGCCACCTGGCTGGGATTAAATTACTGACCTGCATGCATCTTCCAAAACTGCCCCCAAGGTCTCCATGGCGTCTTCCAGCCATTCTGGATCTGAATCTTTCCAAGCCGCATCCCATAGGCAAACGAAGCCCCAGCGCCCTTTGCCCTCTCGATATAATTGTTGGATCCATTCCAGAGCATTAGGAAATGCTATGTCAGCAGCATCCTGTACCTTCTCGTCAGCTGCATGTTTCTCGCGGCGATGGAATTCGTAGCTGCCAATGCTGAATGCCTTATTCTCATCAGAAGCCAGAGGAATATTTCGACCCTCGTAGAATTCTATTTGCGCTTCTTCACTTGTCGTAAGTAGCGCATTAAAAACTGGTGTATTCTCTTCGTATGTAATGGGGGTCCAGAATCGGGAGAGTAATAGTACTGCCTCTTTTGTTGTGAGTTGGTCTTGATGGGAAAGTGCTTTCTCGATAAGTTGTGAGCGCGAGAGGCTTGTTGCTTCACTGATATTTAAATCTTCCATATTTTTATCAGGGAGATCGAAGTACAGCCGTCGCTCGTGATCTGTCAATGTAGGCGGAGAAGAGAGACTCTTCTCCTTGAGCTATAGATAGCGAGGGAATCAGCAATTGCCAAATCAGAAATGTACGCCGCACAGGAAAAGGCATGTCGAGTAAACTATGAAATAATCAAAATAGAAGAGAAGTCGCTGTCTCGGAACCTACCAGTGGCCATGCAGTAATGAGGTCTTCAGCTGTAGAGACTTTGCGCAATACTCGCATGGTAGTAGCGATTAAGGGATCGATTGAATTTATCGTGACCGGGGAGGACGCCATCACGACAGTCGAGACTATGGGTCACGCAGGGCGACGCTGAAAACCGGACTGCAGCGGCCGAAAGTTGAAACTTCTGTGTTATGTTTGCTAGCAATCTGAGTGTGGTTGAGATCTAGTGTCCTGCTCTCCGTCGAGTTAGACCAAAGAATTGCTGGTCCGGGTGTTTGCTGGGAGAAAGTCTTTACCAACATTATTTGGCGGAACACTCAGTACCCCGTCATGTGATGCCAATATTCACTTCCAAGATTCTGCTGCGGTAATTATGCATGATGATGCTTGAGTGTGGCACATGGTGAGCGCTCTTGAGCTTCAAGGAAGTTTGGCTCGGGTCATCATGGTTGATGGCGTCTAGAAGGATTGAGATCAAGTTCTAGACGATACTGTATCTTGCTACAATTTTCTCAAGAACGTCTTGAAACTTGAGAGATGGAGAACAGCAATTGAACTAATGAATGAGACTAATCAGAGGGCGTGCAGCTGATGCTCGAGAGCGAGATCATGTTAATAATGCGTGGGGTGAGGACGACACCCGCCTTTCTTCTCAAAAGTGAGCGTTCCTCTCCAGTGGAGACACGACAACCTTCGGAACCCCAGCGATTACATGAGAATTTCGGGGAGCTCGATAGGCTTTTCTAGCGAGTGATGCCCTGCACTACGAAGGGGGTGAAGCCCTCCATAGTACCTAACCCCTGTAATCCCTGGACTTTTGAGACAAACCTCCGTATAGGCAAAATGATAACCACGTCAAAGATTGCTTTCCCAGCAAAGACTTCATTCATAGGCTCATTGATAAGAGCATCAAGAATAGAATAAACACGAATTGTTTGCATCGAAAAACACTACGTCACAAAGTAATCTTCAAGCTGCCGCCAGGAACTTAAAACACTGATTTACATCCAACGCTGTCATGACAAAGCGTTACTGCTCAATTCTATAAGAACAATTCAATTTGGCACACTGTCTTGCTGGATAGAGGAATTGGTAGCTCCGGACCCACGCTGCCACACTCGCCACGGGCCGTATGTTCCGGACAAATAGAGTAGCGAGCTCGCTTGGATGCATCTTCGGCTATCACCACCCTGCCAAATCTTAGTGAGGCTGTGATTGGCGTCGATGCACTTTTACCCTTGGTGCAACTATCCCAAGTAATCATTTCTCGATCAAAAGCATCACCACTGCCACAGCTTGGTTCCACGACTTTATACTGGTAAAGCCTCAATATATTATCAAGTCTCTACTCGTTTTGCGCAGAACATACACACCTCACCCATCTCTTGTAAATAACGTTGACAGGAGTAGCTCGGCTTTGTTGACCTTCGCTTATTCACTGCCCAGCTTGCACACCGCTGCAAGTACAGGTGCGGGAACGGAGTCGCTGCTGAAAACAAGAATTTGAAAGACTGAAGGATGCGTGATATATATATATATGTATCGTATCCTCTTCTAGATTTACCCAGTATCTCAAGTGGAACCGGAATGATGGCAAAGTGGCGTGATGTTGCTAGTGTCTCTCAAGTGGCACCACTGACTTGGAATCTAGAAATTAAGACAAGGAGAGATTGCGTTCGCCACATTTCGTATCATTACGTTTTCTATAACTCAGTCACAAAATCAACGTCTGACTTCGGTTGATCAAGAGCTAACGACAACAGAAGCTCATAATGACAAAAAACAATAGTTTGACAGCTGGCAGCACGTGCTCACGAATCCAGCCCTCCCACTATCATTCAAAGTGTGTGAGGGAATACCCCATAAAACGCATCTATTCCTCTGTACTCTATTATACTCTTATGATAATTGTGATGATATCATTTGCAGACATCTGTTCATGCTCCGTGTCCACTTCGTTTATTCTGAGGAGCTACTCGCGAGTTACAGCAACGATTTTATATCACACCATTGATATCCCCACGTCCTGGTACCACAAGATAACAATCACAAGAACAACTTTTGCCGCGGCATTTAATCAAACTTCTATGACCGGTATTAGGGACACATCCTCCATTCAATCCGTGATTCACGCTGGTCGAGTTGAGAAACTCTCGTCCTTCGCTCGGGTCGTATTCCAGAACAATATTTATATTTCTGTATATGCTTTCGCGGAATTCGTATCACGCTATTCACTATTGCCACACATTCCAAAAAGCTCAAGGAAAGCGTCAGAATAATGACGTTTAAGTACCCCTCATTTCATATTCAAGTGACTTAACAGTAAAACATTAAAGTTCCGCGGGGCGAACACATGGATCGTTGATAAACTGTCCATTAGTCAATTTTCAACGCCATGTTCACTCATGAGACACGAGCAGGATTGCATCTAAGGATGTTAAGAGCTGCAAGACGGGACGAAGTAAGATGTACAGGATCAGTATGAGGCTTGAACGACAGCACTTCAGTGTGGCAATGACAGGGAATATGACAATGGGAGCCGAGAAATAGAAACTCTATGACGAAATTTTGACTATCTACGAGTCCACATAACGTCCTGGCCATGAAGATTTTATAGAATTCAGCCTCATGTTCTGAACATTTCTCTGCTATTTGCTATCAAAAGGCTTCCTAATGACTCGCCAGGGTTCATTTGATTATGGTGTATGAATTTCCTTATCATACCACAAGTAGACCATCATATATATGCATGTGCCCCTGACAAAATATCTCTATCCCTGATTCCAAGGCATCAAGTCCTCCCTCTGTTCTAAAAGAACTATTCACTACTCAATTCCTACCACCCGCGACAGAATCGTCTTCTTCACTCTCTAGAAGTTCACTTCAGCTCAAGTTCGCAATGCTCACACAGAATTCTCAGCGGGAAAGTATAAATGACTCCCAAACTCGCAGCGATAACTCTTGTCCAAAATGCATCGTCCCCATCAAAGCAGTTAAGTACTAAGCAGCTGTCGTTTTGAGCAGAGAAGGGTGTCTATCTTGCCCCAGAGACTGATAAATATGCTTTCCACGATGCAGAGCCCGATTTCAAGGTTGAATCTTGACACATAGAAGCAATGAGCTTCCTCTATCAAGCGGAGTAAGGTGGTACAAAAAAGCCAGTTATATGACAACAAGATGGCAGTCGACAACGGAAGACACTTGACCCTGTCAGTATGTGCCGCTGACTCACTTCAATATGCTAGAAGTCGGAAAGACGAATTTGCTTTGTTACTCCTCATCTTAACACATTAAGTACTAAAGCCTGTAACAGACACCAACCTCATCAAAGTGTCACCCACGCCCACTAACCTCAAAGTTCATCGCGAACATTCATTTGTTAATCATTGCGGTTTGAAGACGCTAATGATCCCTGCCCAGATTCCAGCGAGGTCTTTATATCGTCAGCTCTCGTAAGCTGTCTTGAGTCGAGCCTTGCATCATTTCTCCATTCAATATTCTTCGTCACGCCATTTTACACTACCGAGTACATACCTTGAACACAAAACGTGTCATTTAGGGACAAGGAGGAGTAGGGTATATAAGTCACACCTCTTGATTGCAGAGTCGACGTGAAGTATTAAATAAAGCAAAAAGCCAGCCGTTACAGTTGGAAAAAAGCCGTAGAGTTACATTGACATGTTATGATGGCATGGCGCTCCCTTGGCTTAGATAGACATGTTGAGTCGGTATCAGGAGCTAGAGAGAGGAACATTCTCGGGCTGCAGTCTTGATAGATCTCTCAACCGGAGGGCTGAGTCCTAGGGCGAGAGGTAAGACATCGATGGCAGCACCCAAGAACTCGATAACGCCAACTAGAAGGACAACAACCCTGAACCGTTCAACAATATCTACTTCCCTCCCAGAACCTGCAAGAAATGCCTTGAACTTACCATTCGCTCCTTTCATGTACCCTGAAAAGACCATTCATTTCCTAATAAAATGTAAATTTCCCGGAAATATTAAGTTCTCCACACCTGGATAGTTCGTCGCAGACTCAAGGACTCTCGTCCTTACAAGTACCCAATGAGAGGAGGTTTACATATATGGCTGCCTTCCCCTTTACTAAGGGCCTGTCTTTTTCCTTCCAACTTCCAAATTCAATATTCCAGTCACTCTTACCTCGTACCCAGCCTAAGTCTCTGTAGACAATTCATCTAGTCTATTCTATTCACAACTTATTCATCACAGTAGAGTGAAAACTTGACCATACTTCCCTCCCGCTGCACCACAGCTGCACTTTACGTCATCTCTCCCATCCGTCCACCTCCTAGATATATAAATACCACACATACCTATATACTCTTCCCAGCTTTAAGAGAACGGATGGATGGATATCTTGAAACTCTTGAAACAGTCCCAGAGAGGCAAAGTATGGTATTCATTCCACGGCTCTTACTCAATATCTAGCCTGTGTATGAGGAGAAACCACACACACTCGAGCAAGGATAGCATATACGCATAACCACACAAAAAAAATAAGAAAAATACTATTATCCAAATTCAGATAGTAAGTCAGCGAATGGTATTAGCAAGCCATTGAATTGAAATGACAACAGTTTCAGGCATGACAACAAACAAAATAGCAGGCCATTTTTTTGGTATCAGAACATTCTTCTATCCTCAACAGCCCCTTCTGTACCGGGAATCCCCCCTTTCCATTTCCTATCCTCTAACCTAACCTAGTCCTCAGTTCTGGTGAGATCCAAATCCAGCTCACACTGACGCACCGCTTGCGGGCGCGCAACACAAAGACAGACAAGCCTGCTGTACGTGAACAGCAGGACAAAGCCTTTTTCCAGTTTTGAAATTTCTAGCTCTGGAGATAGTGGAGCGGGCTGATATAGGTAGGTACTTCTCGCCTCATCTCACCTCACCTCACTTTACCACTGTCACGTTTATTGATTGATCTTGTATGTGAATGTGTATGTGTATATGTATGTACGCGACTTGAATACTCGATTCAAGATGTGCTGATATCATGATTGGTTCAGCACCGGATTTATTTAACTTTGTAACTTTATAAGTCACAATATCCACGAGATACACCTTTAATTTCAGACGTCAGACAGACAAAGTTATTCAAATTACCCCCCCTCCCCCTTTCTCTCTCTAATATTACATTTTTGTGATACCTGCCTGCCTGCCTGCCTGCCTAACTAATCGAAGACCAGAGCTGCAGCTGCAGCTGCAGCTGCCTACACTCAATCCATCCATCCCGTATGCGTATCCCCAAATATCCTTAAATGCAAGAACGAATAATGAAGACAAAGAAAGACAAACCACCAACGCCGCGCGCGCCCTGCGCAAGGATGTGTATCTACTGAATGCCAAAAAGAAAAAGAAAAAAATTGGGAGGAAACGACGAGGTGAAACAAAGCCTAAATATGAAGAGCGCGAATCTCCACCCAAACCCAACCAAACACAAGATGGTCTGTATTTCCCCCTGGTTCCTTCCACCCATCCTAAATCGTTTTGATTTTGGCCTCAGCCGCTGGCCCACTGAAAATTCGTCCCCCAATTCAGACCTTGAACGCAAGGTACCATCCTCCCAACTCAACCACGCCTCATCATCCACCTTACTCATCCACATGCACACCTCCCAAAACCCCAAACTGTCCACCAATCCCCCCATAAACAATTTTCTTCCCCCTCACAGCCGAATTATCCACCCAAGTGGCCTCAACCACATCCTCGGCCGTTCCCTGCCCAGTCTGATAATTGCTGCTGAATCCCCATGTATAAGCCTTCCCGTCCTTGTCGACAGCCAAGCAGGTATCAGGACCAGTGGCGACGTAGACAGCCTCGATGTCGGGGACGACGTTGGGCTTGATCAGGTATCTGGGCTTGCCGTGCTCGTCCAAGAAGAGATGTTCCTGGTTGAGATCCTCCATCTCGACACCAGCTTGATCACCATCGATACGACCCCAGACGAGGACTTGGCCGGTGGAAGTGCAAGCTAGAGTGTGGTGAGCTCCGCCGGCGATTTGCTTGATATCGAAATCAGATAGAGACTTGACGACGGTGGGTGTAGCGATGGCATTCTCGACGGTCTCTTCGTCCTTTGGTACGCCCGTCTGGCCGAATGAGTTCAATCCCCATGAGTAGACAGCTCCCTTGTTATCGACGGCGAAACTGTGATAGTCACCACAGCCAATATGAACGATCTTCTTGCGCTGAAGGCCAAACTCTCGTGGGATGAGAGCGCCAATAGCGGTACGTGAAACGACGCGACGAGCGAGTTGACTCTGCTCGCCAGCGCCCCAGGTGAAAACCTTGCCCTTGGTGTTAAGAGCGAGAACGTGGTTTGTGCCGACGGCAATGTTTGTGATGTCTTTGAGTTCGGGGATGAGGATGGGTGTGGATTGGGTGTGGACGCCGCTGCGGAAACCAATGATACCATCGTTTCCCTAGCACACTTAGCAGATGATCATAAGAGCACTCAGGGGAGACTTACTCGGAACGTACCCCAGCCGTAGACCAAGCCAGTGTTGGTAAGAGCGAATGTAGTAGAATCTCCAGCATGAACAGACGCAAAGAGAGTACCTTCAGGGAAGTGAGAAGGATCAATTTGTCTTGGTTCAGCCTCAGATGGGTTCAAACCAGAATCATCATCATCAGAATCAGAATCCGAATCGTCTTCTTTTCCTGCCTCGGGCAGATCAACCATCTTACCCTCATTAGGAGTGGCACGACCTAGAGCACCTTGATCATTGACACCCCAAGTCAAGATCTTATTATCGCGTGTGAGAGCAACGCTGTGCATGCCACCAACAGCAATGCACACGACACCAACATCCTTTGCAGAGAGGAGAGGGTTGAGACGAGGACGAGTAACATCAATGACCTTCTTGCCATCTGCTCCCTTTCTCGCGCCGAGTCCAAGTTCACCTGAACCGCCTTCACCAAAGACAAAGACATCCAGGACTTGTGTAGGGACTTTGTTGATGGTGGGGAGTGCCTTGACTGGCTTGGGAGGGGCGACCTTCTTTGGTTTGGGAGCGGCTTTAACCTTGGGGGCGGGTTTCTAGCTCGAATCAGCAATTATGCTCGCAGAAGTGGAATTTGAACTTACCGCATCTTCATCATCGGTTTGTTCAGCTTTCTTGCTTTCAGTCTTCTTTGGAGCAGTCTTAGCCTTTGGGGCGGCCTTCTGTAGATCGATCAGTAAAAAGTCTACGACGCGCAAAAGTGAACTCACAGTGACCTTCTTCGCAGCAGCCTTTGGAGCGGCCTTGGCAACCTTTGCCTTCTTCGGAGCAGGTTCTACTTCACTCTCCTCACTCTCCTCAGCTTCAGATTGTCTCTTCTTAGCTGCAACCTTCTCGGGAGCAGCAGCTTTCGCCGTCTTCTTCGCGGGGACCTTGGACGCGGCTTTGGCAGCTGGAGCTTTCTTTGTAGCAGTCTTTGCAGCTTTAGGTTCGACGGTTGGAGTAGCTTTCGACTTCTTGGCATTGGGTACGGATGCGTCGTCCTCGATCTCGGAAGCCTTTCTCTTTGTTGCCTTGATCGTGGTAGTTGTTTTGGTGACCGTGGTCGAAACAACAGAAGCACTGCCCTTGCTTGGAGCTCGAGTAGCTTTGGTATTAGCAGACTTGGGCGCAACCTTCGTCTTTGGAGCTGCCTTTGCAGCGGCGGCGGTGGTTGTGGCCTTCTTTGGAGGCATAGTGATTGATCTCGCGCGTGGCGGATGGATGGAATGGGTTTGTTGAAGCCTGAAAACAGGTAGTCAACGGGCAGATTGGTGTTTTATTGACACAAGATGTTGCTGGGAATCCAATGTATGGAACTGAACGTTTCGATGCACAATACAGATCGAAGTATTGAGGAATTTTTGGTGTTGTGTCGAGATGTTGATGCGGAAAGGAAGAAGAGGAGGAGAAAGAGATCAGATCAGAGCTCAAATAATTTGTGTCGCGATCGCGTCGACTTACAATCCCTGCATCCCTGTCCACAATAGCAGCAGGGGTCGAGCAGCTAACCGAGTCCGGATCGCCGTGCACGTGCTATCTAGCACTGGGCCCGTAGAAGAGCCGCAAGTACGGGGAATTGTGGGTTTTGATTGGAGGAGGGGCACACGGCTTTGTTCAACCCCTGGCTAGAGAGACAATGTGTGGTTGAAGAGGCGAGATGAAAGCAGAACATTGTCCAACGTCACACTAACAGCAGTATAACACGAGAGCTTTAGTCACCAAGAATAACACTCAATCCGAACTATTCAGATGAGTACCTTGCCGTATGAATCACAGTTCACCCTCAAGAACTCGTAAGACACCTGTCATAAAGATACGTAAGTGCGTTTATCAAGCAAACGTTAAGTAGAAATAGACCAGGAGGCGAGCAAAGGATTTCTGAGTTTGGTCTAGATAAAGCGTCACATAGTATCATCATGTACATCAACCATACAATCATCTACCTCATCTTCATCGCTAGATTTCTATCTTTCCAAGACTCTGTCAGATCCCTCAATCCTCTCTCTTCCTCCAACTCTGCTCAGCTACCTCCACCTCTACTCTCTCTGTCTTCCTCTTTCCACTAGCACAAGCACCCCCTTCCAAACTCCACTTCTCCAACTCCCCTCTTCCATGCAAACCACTAACCCACATCGGCCACTCCATCAACTTCCTCCAGTCCACATCCCTTTCAATACCACCCTCAATTCCACTCCCACTCCCAAAGCCCTGGACCTCTCCCCTTCCCAACTCATTCCAAATCCCTGGGATCCAAGTACTCATCCTAATCCCATAAAATGACACCGTATACTGTCTGCGCTCTCTACAAGAGATAGGACGCATAACAAGGTGTAGGGCAGTTAGGTAGGCGAGAAGGATTTGGTTCGTGCGGATGGAAGGGTCGAGGAGTTCGGTTAAAGAGGCGGAGGGGAGAGAGGAGAGGAATGTGTCGAGGGAGATGTAAGCGTCGTAGCCTGTATTCAACTCGTCAGAAAGGTTCGCCGTCACCCTCTACACCAATCCCGTCAAGTAACATAACCGAAAATCAACTCTTCGAAATGGATCTTGGAGATTCAGAACGGACTTACAAGCCACAGCACCAACCCTCAACATCTCAAACGCCCCCCTCAACACCCCATACAACCCCCTCTGATACCCCTCCCCCTCACACAACCCCTCCAACCCCCCCAAAGCCCCCACCGCACCATCGACAAACCCGCCCTCAAACCCCGGCGCACCCCTCAACCTCCCCTTCATACCCGCCCTCCTCGTCCCCTCATCATCACACGCCAACAAACTCCTCACTCTCTGCTCCCTCACCCATTTGGTCGTACTATTCACACTCCTAGTCAGGATAATCGATGCTGATAAGCCATCGTCCATGTACCAGCTCTGCATGAGGAGAGCATAGCATGTTGCTATTGCGGCGTCGCCGTCGGTGCTGGATGGTAGGAGCCGGGAGAGGGCGGTGTTGAGCCCGGAGATGGCGAGGAGGCGGTGGGATTGGGCGGTGCTGGTTAGGTGGGAGGGGGTGAGGCGTTCGAGGTGGGAGGCGGAGAGGGCGAGCATGGCGTGCATGAGGTATTCGCACTGGATGGGATGATTAGCCTTATTCTTGCCTATGTCATTCCAATAGACAGGAGAATTTCGGCAGGGAAAGATTACATCTGCACTGAGAAGAGAGTGGATAACGATAGGAACGACAAAGTAGAAACGATGATGAGAAGTCAAAACATTGAGTGGAAGTAGAAATATGTGCGGAAAGCTCCAAAGAGAACAAGCAATATTCGTCGAATGAATGAAAGCTCCCTCAATACATATAAAAGTAGAGGAACAACCCCAACTCCTCACCCCCAACAAAACAAAACAAACACAAAAAGAACTAACCTGATGCCCAATAGGCAACACATACTCCAACCACACATTATCCGCCCTAACCGGCAGATGCGGCCACGCAGCCACCAGGAAGTGATGAAACAGCCTCATATCCGTCATACTAAACACATTCGCTACCTGCAGTGCCGAGAACGGCTGCAGCAGTGGCGTGCTGCGTGTTACTATCGAGGCTGAGTCTGGGAGGTATCGACATCGGAGGGAGAGACGGCTGCAGTTTTGGCAGGTGGGGCGGGTTTCTTGACACTGTTTATGTTTATGAGAAAAGGGTTGGTGTGTGAGCTTGGAGTTGTTTGGAGGGCTGAGAGGAAGGAGGGGAGTATGTTTACGAGGAAAAGTAAACGCAGATGAGATGAGAGGAGAATAAAGTCCAGTACAGCAAAACACGGAACAGTACAGAACAGAATAGAACATACCTTTATCTTCCTCCTCTTACACTCATAACACCCCCTCCTCGATTTCTTATGTCCCTTTCTAGGCTGCCTATCTCTCTCGCGATGAAAACACCCCCCACCCACACCCACACCCACACTCAAACTCGCAGATGGATACCCAAATCCTGCGTCATTGAGCGGAAGGAGATCCAGTGCGTCGGGATATGCCATGTTGAACAGATGAGAGGCCTATTCTCTATTCTCGATGGATGTTGATATTCGATCTCGTGATGAGTAGGTTGGAGAGTTGAGGTCGGGGAAGCGAGGTGGCGACTGATGATCAGGAGAGCCTGGCCAGTGAAGCCCTGGAATTGGGAACTTGAAGAGCGGTTGGAAAGCGTGGGATGTAAGGGAAAGGCCCAAGAGGACATGGACACCTGTAGCTATCGAAGAAACTCCGGAGATATCGTTATTCAAATTGAAATCCGGGGGAAGTATGCCGTAGGCACACTTCTTAATCCCCCACTTCTGCCGATCTTTCTGGATCTCCCAGGGATAATCAATAATGTCTTCCTTTGTAATCAAAATTTAAATCTCAAGTAACAATCCGCCTTCAACAAACACCGAACTGACATCACAGAAAGGAAAATATTTCCTAACGGCGGGGGATATCTTTTCCGCTGGGCCACCAGCTGTCGTCAAGTCACAGACCCCGCCCCCGCCAAGCTCGGGTTCAACCCGACCAATCTAATCACCCCATTGGCGGCCCGGCAGGGTTTTGCCCCGATTTTTATGTCAAGCGAGATCTCGGCTCACTTTCCCTTTCGAGCCGTGTCTGACTTCCTTCATATCAACATTGATTCTGATGTCCTTTTTCCTACCGCCAAAGTGTCGGTCTTACTTTCTTACTTAAGTTCTCCCTCCGACTTTAAAAAGTCGACCATTTATGTAATGGGGGTGCGGTTTCGCTGAATGGAGAAACATCGCTTAGAATACATACCTAGGTAAACTAACCACGTTGTAATATCGATTAGTATTAGGGACATTTCTTTTCACCACCCTTCGTCAACCTTATCTTCACTTTCCATTACCCAGGTGGATGTACAGTATCCTTCTAGAGTATGACTCAACTTAACCCAAACCTACTCAGGCTAGTTCTACCCCAAGTTTAATAATAATAAACCAGCTCTTACAAAGACCATGCACCGCGGTACTTGCTCGGGTTCAAAGCGCTCGGTATCGACCCGATATGGCAGATCAAAACATTGTCCGTCACTACATGGTATGTTGTTTGCTGAGGTTAGGTGCCATTGTACCTTCCGAGCTGTGAAATACTTTCATTTGGCGTCAGTGTGCTTAGAAATAGATCAGTTGATGAGGTGTGATCTTTTCCTTGGTTAGTTGAATGAGGCGTGACATTCTCCCCTGCTGTATCTTGTTCTGGATTTTTTGATGAGGAGGGTGGATTGAAATATAAATATCCAGCTTGTGCCCCGATCGCTCGATCTGATTTCTTCTCTTCTATCACACGTTGAATTTTATAGAATTTCGAACTCTCGAATGAAATTACAACCAGAGACCCATCAAATGTTATTCTTGGTTTGATTGACCAATTCTTTCATTCGAAAAATTTACTTCACACCTGCCCTCTCATCAAGTCAACCAGTCCCTAATTGGGAATTCCAACAGCAAAATGTGCATCAAACCCCCTTCAGCACACAAATCCTGCAACGAGGTAGAGGCAAGACCAAAAAGATTTTATCGCCAACATTCTCTCGACCTCACTTCCAACCACAAGACACCAGCCTCAACCTCAACAGCAGGCAAGAAACCACTCAAGGCCCACCATAAAACTACGAGTATGGCTGTTTTGACGGCATCACGTCCATGTACTCCTCTCTCGATGTTCAACAAAGCAGTCCGTGTCTATATCTCGCATTTCAGTGAGAAAAAGATGAGGAAGGCATTGAAGGAAGCCACTTCACAAGGTACTTCAATCCCCTTGCCCCTCTCCCTCCCGCTCACACTCCCTCACCACCCTCACAACCATCACACTAACCCACCTCCTCCCCCTAGAAGAAACTCCCCCCTCACCCACCACCATCCAAACCCTCCAAACCCTCAACACACCCACCTCCTCTCCCCTCTCCCTCCCTCTCCCTCCCTCTCATAAAAGCCCTCCAAAAACTCCCACTGGAATATAGACCCAGCTACCTCAAAACCACAGCTTCGATCTATAGTGGAATGGGGAATAGCATTCACAACGCATCGAGTGTAGCGAGGAGGAAGGTGGATTTATATGGGTTGAGGGTTTGGAAAGGGGTGTGTGTTGTGCATTGTTTGGTGAGGGGTGCTGTGGAAAGGGGAGGAGGGGAGCAGAGTGCGATGGCAACGGGAGTTGATGAAGGTGTAAGGGAGGAGTTGGGGTGGTGGTTTGAGGTTCTAAGTCATGATTTGGGAAGGGAGGGGGGTGGGAGAGGTGAGTCCGCTTGTCTGATTCTCCATTTTCCCTTGAACTTCTGAGACATACAGACGGCGTGGTCTCTAGCATGGCGCAGAGGGAGATCAGAGCTAACATAATAGAAACAGGATACGGACCCCTCCTCAAATTCTACATCACATACTTAAAAGCCCTCCTCGCGTCACTCTCCACTGCTTCATCTATCCAATCAACACCAGCCCGAATCCAAGCCCAGATTCACAACCACCTCACCCTCTCGCTCGCGTCGCACACCCTCCGTGAAGTTCTTCTGAAGTCAATCACCTCCTGCCCAGCATCCACAAGAGGCGCCAAACTCGCGGTTCTCCGCCTCGTTATCCTCGATGCGCTGGCGCTTCCGACTGTCCATCAGAAATTGGTCGCAACGATGAGGGACGAGGGTGTAGGTGAAAGTGTTGTAATGGAGAGGGAGTGTGTGTTTGAGAGGAGAAGAGAGGAGGTTGTGGGGTTTGTGGAGAGGTGTGAGGAGTTGGAGTTGGGCTTGGATTTGGAAGACTGGGGAGACGGAAAACGGGGAGGGGACGAGGTGGTAAAGTTGGAGAGGGCAGTTGAGGTGATGAGGATCTGGGCCGAGATGCGAACTCGCGTTGGTCTTGGATCGTGCCTTAAGGGAGCAACGTATTAGTCATAAAATGTATCTAATGAGATGTATCAAGGCTTGAGTGGGCTGCACTTACTTCTCGAGCCATCACGATGTGAATTGATCCATCGTTCGGGGAGTGGAATATCAGCTTCCACCCGAATTTCTTGTCGTCTGGTTATGCCACAAAGGTTACGGTTCAACCTTGCCAGGCGCAGGGAAACGTGCCGTGAAAGTGCCCAAAGCTTTTCCAAAACCCAAGAATCGTTATCAATCAAACGTACGCCACTACTAATGAATACTAGAGCACCCCCAAGACACAAAACGGACAACTGGTCAAGATCTAGCACAGATGTCGACGTAAGGGGCGGCGACGGATAGAGCCAGAAGTATACGGGGAACATGTATGCCAGGTACATGAATAACATAAAAAGGCAGAGGTCGGCCCCATAGAGTGCAATGGTCACGCCAAGTGTCAATAACGGTGTTCGCCAACTCAGTCTGGATTTGGAGAAGAGACGAACAAGACCGGCAAGTCCTACTACTGGGTACAATACCACTCCCAGATCTGTCACACAGGAGTTGTCAAAGATCGAGGTGGGAGCCAAAAGACATCCAAAGTAGGAAACTATCTGCGCGTGTTTCGAGTGCTGGAATAGTCGAATGAGCTCATTTCTCCTGTGTGTTCGATGGGCTAATCTAGGCAGCAAGAAGAAGCCTAGTGCAAGGTCTGTCGGCGAACATCCGAGGAGCCAGCAATCGAATACCGAGTACATGAGGATGAAGGTACAAGTTGCCAATGCGCCAATAAAAACAGCCGCAAGTTCCGTTCCGTACAGGTACCATCGTCGAAAACAAATGCTAGTGAGAAGAATGCCAAGTCCAGTGCCTACGTGAAGAACTGTAGAGGGAGCAGCAAGACAGGAAACTTGCATCATTGGATACTGAAAATAGTGTTTCGACCTTGTGAGGAGGTCAAAGCCTGCGACCATGGGGTAGCTGTAGACTCCGATGATGTTGAGGTCGATGCCAGTAAAGTATCGATGACTCAATTTTCCAGCCTGGTAGGGTTCTGGTTTACGAAATAGTCTATCTAGGCAGCAGGCAGCAGTAGTAAAGAGCCATGATGCCCAGCTTCCAGGGCCATAGTAGCTGGATACTTTGTCGATCCCATACATCCCTATGTCTATTGTTGATATTGCTGCCCGATAGCGAAGACCCTTGCCTATGGCATAAAGGATGCTGATCGAATAAATGACGAGGGTGATCTCGACGATGTCCCAGCGAAGAAGGAGCTTCCCCACGAATCGGAAACAGATCATCTTCAAACTGTATTGGTGATTGCCCAGTTTCGAGCCGATTGAACCAGTAAAGCTATGTGACCAAGCTGATTGTGCTTCTTAGGCACAGCCTCGTCTTGCTGAGTGCAAAATACCGGGTGCTGTAGATTCAAAGTAGTTTCAAAAGCGATTATGAGAGGTATCGGTGTAGTAGCCCAGCAGACAGTGGCTGTAAAAGGGAGTTTGCTTTACCAGTCAGGCTGGAATCGTCAGGTGGAAGATGAGGTTTGAAGACTCAGGTGAGCGTGGCCGCTACATTGAGCCTGGCCAATCAACAATCAAGCCACAAAACCTTAGAACCTCTCTTGCGAAATATCAGCAATTAAAAAAGAAGTACTGAACTTATCCTTAAAATACCAATGCATCAAGTTTCAGAACATCAGAAATAGAGCAATCAGGGCTTTAGGTCTAGTACTCCTAATACCGTTCGAGGTCATTCTCACACCACGTCAGAACTGGCTGTTTGAAGACTGGACACTGGATAACTATCCCACGGTTCGAGGTTAGGGACGAGAACAGCAAACGTAAGCAACTATCTTCATCATCGTAAGCAAATTGGGCGGCAACCTGCACACTCAGCATGCACCGTCCCAACAAGCCGGATCCGGATACTTCCAGGTTGAGATCTGCAGACTGTGCAGAATCTCGTAACATTTCGTCATCAGTTAAGTATCAATACAGGGAGTACAAATTCTATGAAATTGCAATTGAGACGAAACGAAATTTAATATGAAAATACGAAAATATAAAAGAACAATTGATCAGAAATTTCTGGAGTTTTGCTATCAGGAGAGAGATTTCAGGGCGGAAGGAAGCAAAACAAACCCCACAGCGCAAGCTCGGCGCGCTAACCACTAGCGCCACTCCAAACTGAACGTTCCGGCTCAAGCGACTTCACCAACGACGACATCTCAGTCATAGCAGCTTGAAGCTCCTCCACCTGTAACCTCACCTCTCCTCCACACCTCACCAAGAGCACAACGGTCAACATGCCCCCTCTCCAACCCTCACGCGCCGTCCTGCGCGCCGCTCGCAACATCCACATCTCCTCCACCCGCACAACCGCCATCCGTAGCTTCACCAGCACACCCTCCCGCGCGGCAGACACCACGGTAGACCCCAACGCCGCAGCAGAACACGCAGAAGAGGAGGCACACGAAGAACACGCACATGAAGACCACTATGATCCACCTACTGGATGGCTGTTTGGTGTTAAGCCCGGAGAGAAAGCGGAGAAGGAGGGGTGGGAGAATGTTTGGATGTATGGGTTTTTTGGGAGTTTGGCAGCGGGAACGGTTGCTTATGCGTTTAAGCCGGATACTTCGTGAGTGCATATTTCTTTGTTGAGGTCTTGGGGTCTGGGATGCGGTGGGGGAACCGAGGAGTTGGGGATGGGGTGAAGGGGGACTGAGGACGAGTGATGTATGGATGGATGGGTGTAAAGAGATGGCAAAGGAGATGGATTTTAAGAGCGAAAATCGAGGATTAAGAAAGAGAGAGGGGAGCTGGATGGTGGATGATCGATGGATGGGAAGCCGAGTTTCGAGATGGGCAATTCTGGGATTGAGTCTTCGACAGACGCCTCAATTCAGGTCCAATTGATGGTCATAGAGCGAAGGAAATGCCCTGATGATCCGCGAACTACCACAAGCAGAGATTCAGCCATACCTCAAGCTCCGCAACCACTCAGCTCCCCACCAAGATCCATCCAGCCATCCATCCACCTGCCCTCCAGCCTATCTCTCAACTTCCATCCAACACCAACAATTCACCAACCATCCACAAAGTAGATAACGAGGCATTTCTGGCAGAATATAAGCTAATCACCATCTTTTGTAGGATACAAACCTGGGCCCTAGAAGAAGCACGTCGCCGGTTAGAAGTGGAGGGGATCCTCAAGGAGCCAGAAAGTAAATCATAAGACGATTCAACATGTCACCTATCGCATCCTACATTCATTCTCGACCCAGCACTGCAATCGAAATACCCAGCAGTATTAGAATTGATATCGGCTTTGAGTTGGGGAGATACATGTTAGTGGATGGATGGTTGATGGGTGACGGGTGATAGATGCTGCAGAGAGGATGGGATTGTACATATGCGTCATTGAAATCTGAATTTTGAAACCGGCTCTTCGCATGGCTGGGATGTGGGCAAGTGGTAGATGGGATGGCTGGCTTACGGGTCATGTCAGCTGGGAGAAGGGGTTTCCTAACGTACGTATAGAATGGATGCTTTAAGGCGAAATGTCAATTGTTGTTTTGTTTTTCCTGTCCTTTGCTTGACTCGTGGAGGAAATCTTTCGGTTTGAATCGTGCTGTGAAGTTGGTAGTGACGTGTGATGTGATGTATTTGCTTTGTGAGAAGGTCAAGTGAGCTAGCTATTCATCGAGTGGGTTATGAATATTTTTAGGCGTGAATCTGGCTGAGGAAAGGAATGGAATAAGTTGAGACGCAGCATGGATGAGAAGAATCGAGATGACATCCAACGACTTGCTTGATCCCAGTGTTTCCATACCAAAATTAAGAGGTGGGGGGCTCGCCCTTGCCAGGTTTCGATATGTATGGAAGGTTCAGAGGACAGGACTGCATCAAAAGGATCTTAGAACAGATCTCCAGCCAAGCAAATCAACGCTCGCCGCACCGCATTCTCATTTCATTTCAGCAAAAAGCCATATCAGATCTTATCTTATCTACCTCGCCAGGCTTTTCGTTTGTTTATTTTCTTTGAACGACCACCCCATCTATTTTGGTACAACATAACTCCACTCATGCTCCTCATCCCCATACTGCCTCGCCTCAATCCAGTCCTTCATCCTCAACGCAATCTCGCCCGCCTCCTGCTCCGGCCTCAACCCACATTCCACCAACTGTCCTTTCCAGCTAATATTCCGTACTGGACTCACAATCGCCGCCGTGCCCGCTCCAAACGCCTCGAGGAGTCTACCTTCCTTCGCTGCCTCAGCCAGTTCAGGCATTGTGTATTTCCGCTCACTGATCACCCACCCCTCAGGAGCAAGTTTCTCCCTCGCAAGACTCAGCACCGAATCTCTCGTCACACCCTCAAGAATCGTCCCATCTAGAGGAGCAGTAAGCAACTCCTTCTGTCCCGTCTCCTTGTTCTTAACCGCCACAAACATATTCATCGTCCCCACCTCAGTAACGTACTCCTCCTCACCAAACAGCCACAAATTCTGATGAAACCCCCTCTTCGCAGCCTCCAATTGCGGCACAATACACGGCGCATAGTTCGCTCCCAGCTTCTTATCACCCACACCCCCAGGCCACGCCCTAACCGCATAATCCGTCGCCTCTAAACTGACAGCCTTGAATCCTGTAGGGTAGTACGGCCCCACAGGGCTGGCAATCACATACAGGAGCGCACTCCCGGGTGGTCCAACGCCCAGTGTTCGCTGCGTGCCAATCATAGTCGGGCGCAAGTACAGCGAGTATCCTCTCGCGTCGGGGATGAATCGCTCTTCTAGCTGGGCGAACTTCGCGATGAGGTTGATCATTGCGGCGGAGTCGAAGGTCGGGAGGGCGATGCGCGCGGAGGATTTGTTCATGCGTGCCATGTTTTGCGTTGGACGGAAGAGTCGCACGCGTCCCTGGCTGTCTTTGTAGGCTTTCATGCCTTCGAAGCATTCGAATGCGTAGTGGAAGACGCAGGAGGCGGGGTCGAGGGAGAGGTTTTGGTAGGGTGTTATGCGTGGGGGGAGCCAGCCGTCCGAGGCGGTCCATTCGAGGGAGAGCATGTGGTCTGGAGGAGGGTTAGCATATTTATGTTGATGTAGGTTGAGATATGTAGAGAGAAGTTGGGGGTTGGGCAATGGGAGGAGGGTAACAGCGAGAGTGACAGGCATACCAGTGAACGTCCTTCCAAACACCAATTCATTTGACGGCAGCAACTCCTTCGGTGTCGTCGTCTTCGTAATAGTCAATTTCGACGCATCAATATCCTGCACCTTCACATCTGACGCCGCAGTCGCCTTGATACTATATAACCTCGATTGCTGACTTGCTGCAGCAGCTATCAGCCTCGAGGGTTGCTGGAACAGCGAAGCTCGCGGTCGTAATTGACGGAGCATTGTGAGCGATTGAATTGAGGGAGAGGAGAGAAGAGGTTGAATTCGTGTTCTCCAGCCCGCTTTATAGCTTGAGGAACTCAATTGCGGGGTGGGGAATTGTCTAAGGGTTGAGTCAGAGAGGCTTTGGTATGGTTGAAGTATGAATGTAAATATCTCGCCCTCCTAACATCGGAGCTGTGTCTTATTTCTGCCAAGCTTTCTGCCCGCTGATTGCCGATCCAATGCGTGCGCCTTTTTGGTCAGCTTTCACCTCCGCTCCACTCCACTACTCCGCTGAACAACGCTGCTGGAGTGGACTGTGAATAGTCTTGGCATGTACAGGGGGCAGTGAGTGAGTTGAGCTGACCAAAGCCAGAGCCTCGTCCGAAAGGCCACCACTGTGTTCCTTTCAACATCAGCAAGCTGACAAGGCTCGAGAACTTAATTGGCTTGAACTGCACCAATCCTTGCTGAGGAAATATATCTTCAATATCTAGACTCTTTCGACAATTCTGCTTCTTGCCCACTCCACGACAACGCATCAATTTCACCCTGCTGCCCTGACAGTCAACACGTTTCCTTCCTCATGCGACCATAGTCCCCCCGCCGCTGCGCAAAGCATAGCTCCCAGGAGCTCCCATCAACATGTTCAGCTCGGCCCTGAAATCCTTCTCCTCGAATATCAATTCCAATTATTCAATAGCATCAACACCTAGCTCTACATCCGGTCCTTGGAAGATCTACGATGCGAAGAAGAAGTTCACTGGGAAGGCCGTCTCGGTATTTGTGTTCGATCGCAAATCTCTAGACTCGCATTCTGGCTCCCTGGGAAGGTCGAGTGCTTCGTCATTGAAAAGAGCTACGGAGGAGGTGGTGGAGAGGTTGAAGAAGGAGGCTTCGTTGCTGGCTAGGTTGCGGCATCCAAATATCCTGGAATTGGTTGAGCCGGTGGAAGATACGAGGAATGGCGGGTTACAATTTGCGACTGAGACGGTGACTGCTTCGCTATCTGGATTGCTGCTGGAGAAAGACGAGCAGGAGAGGGCTGGTGGTGTAGGAGGGAGGTCGAGTCGATACGTTACGGAAGATGGAGAAGGTGGGAGACGGAGAAGGGAATTGGAAATCGATGAGTTGGAAATACAAAAAGGCTTGGAGCAGATCAGCAAGGCGTTGGAATTCTTGCACGATAATGCCGGTCTTGTGCATGGCAACTTGACACCGGACGCCGTTTTTGTGAATGCAAAGGTTGGAATGCCCTCCAAGATCCTTAGACCAGCGCTGATGATTGCAGTCCGATTGGAAGATTAGTGGACTGAGCTTCTCAAGTCCACCAGATGGATCAACCAAACCCAGCTCAGTAATACCCATAAGCCTGTCCGAAACCCTGAACCTCGACCCTCGATTACCTCGCTCTGTACAAATGAACCTCGACTATGCCTCTCCTGATTTCGTGCTGGATTCGAATCTGAACATAGCTGCGGATATGTTTTCCCTTGGATTGTTAATAATCGCCCTATACAACTCACCACATACTTCACCACTACAGAGTAATGCGAGTGTCTCGACGTACAAGAGACTGTTTGCATCGTCTTCGTCAATACCCTCTGCTAGCAATGGCTTTCTTTCCTCTCGACCAATCCCGAAAGATCTTACCGCCTCAGTGCTTCCCCGTCTGATAACTAGGAGACCCGCCCAGAGGATGACGGCAAAGGAGTTCCAGCAAAGTGCATATTTCGACAATATTTTGATCTCGACCATACGTTTTCTGGATTCATTACCAGCCAAGACGCCGAATGAGAAAGCACAATTCATGCGGGGACTCTCGAGGGTATTGCCATCTTTCCCCAAGTCTGTGCTTGAGAAGAAAGTGCTTCCTGCACTTCTTGAGGAGATGAAAGATCGGGAATTACTATCTCTGATCCTGAAGAATATCTTTACGATCGTGGAACTGCTACCTTCAGGACGGAGAGCTTTCGCAGAGAAGATTATACCAAGATTGAACGAGATCTTCATCCCTGTCGGTAATAGCAAAACACCTCCTGAGAGGGATCCTGCAAAGGAAGCGGGCTTGATGGTTCTATTGGAGCATATTCGGGCCGTTACGAACAATTGCTCTGGGAAGGAGTTCAAAGATAGTAAGTCTGACAGTATAGTTTCTTGACGCAACTAACAATTACAGACATTCTTCCCATTATCCATCTTGCAATCGAATCTCCAACACATACCATCGTGGACGCCGCACTACGGAGCTTACCAATCATCCTTCCAGTCTTGGATTTCTCTACCATCAAAAACGAGCTATTCCCTGTGATCGCTTCGGTCTTCACCAAAACCAGTAGTCTTGGAATCAAAGTACGAGGCTTGGAAGCATTTGTGATTCTGTGTGGAGGATCAAATGACCCGGCATCAAGCAATGATGGCCTCGATGGTATCAACAATTCTAATGCGAGCAAGAAAAGTTCATCGACTGCTCTGGACAAATATACCATGCAGGAGAAGATCGTGCCTCTGATCAAGGGCATTAAGACTAAGGAACCAGCCGTCGGGATTGCCGCACTGAACGTGCTACGCCAGGTGGGAGGTGTTGCAGACGCTGACTTCGTCGCGATGGATATCCTGCCTGTCCTCTGGAGCATGAGCTTGGGTCCATTATTGGATCTGAAACAATTTCAACTGTTCATGGATCTTATCAAGAGCCTATCAGCGCGAGTGGAGGCTGAGCAAACGAAGAAGCTCCAAGAGCTCTCTGGGGCAAACGGTACTCAAACCAAGGCAAATGATGACTTCATGTCTTTTGGTGCCACGAATGCTTTCAGTACCAACGGCGCATCAGACGATCCGGAAATCGATTTCGAGCGCCTAGTCAAAGGTAATGCCGGTCCAGCATCACCGTCAAATCCTCTCGACGGTGGTTGGGATTCTGGACCTGCACTAGCATCGCCGAGAAATGTCTCGAACCCATCAACCACCGCTTCTTTCGCGTGGTCGACCCCGAATTCTGCGACGACACCGATGTCAGGAAACTCAATGACCGTCCCCATGAGACCTCAGCAGCCCACATCTCGCACGATCACCCCAGACTTATCTCGCTTCGACACCCTGAGCCCAACAACAACACAATACTCACAACCCCTCCAACCTCAAAACACATTCAACGCACCAATGCAACCTCAACAACAAAACTCCTACTCCACTCCTCTTCAACCTCAAACACCCTCTTACCAAGCACCTCAATCCCAGACATCCGTCAACTGGGGCGCCGCAGCGTCAAACCCCTGGGCCAGCAACACTACCACCACCTCAAACTCTCTAAATAACATGTCCATCAACCAACAACGACCAGCAGCCACAAACCCCATGAACGCATTCTCGCTCCCACCGCCAGGCGGTCACACTCAACAACGTCCACAGATGGGCAGCGCTTCGAATTCCTTTTCTTTGCCGCCACCGCCGGGAGCGAATTCGTATCAGACAAACTCGAATGTGGGGGGATTCAAACCGCCGCCGCAGAGTAATGCGTTTGGTGCTCCTCCGCAGCAGCAGCAGATGGGATTTGGTGCTCAGCCGCAGAGTACGCAGCAGGGACAGAAGAAGTCGGGTTTGGATGCTTGGGAGAGTTTGCTATGAGTGGATGTTCTGCTTTTGAGTGGACAAGATGTTCGCCAGGGGTTTAGTTCGGCAGTTAGCTAGGATTTGGGAAGCAGTCATCGTGCTGGAATTTTGATTTTTTAGCGTGGGAAGGAAAACAGACTTGGATTCGTTGAGTTCCAAAAGATTGAGCGAGCGACTGAGTGAAGGGATGATAGATAGATATATGAGATACCTGTGATTATGCATATAGAATATCACAATGATGATTCAGGATGGGTGCGGAATCCCCCCACTTTTCTTGGATTGGTGTCTTGCTCTCGGCACTATATTTTGATATAAAGCTGATTTCGTTCACCACCCGAATCAAGCTTATTTCATGTCAGTGGCATCTACTTGTTGTTATTCAACTTCATTTGTCTAGTGATCTGACACCACTCGCGCGCATAATGCTTTTGTATTTATTTTGCTTGGCAATATGAACCCGCACCATTAGATGGACTATTGTTCTCTAATCCCAATGCAGCTTAGTCAGGAGAATTAAACGAACCGAAAAGTGACTCAAAGTTCCCTTCACATATAAACAAAATCCCCTCGTCAAGTTCCAGCTGCATTTATGTTCCGACCTCACAATTTTTTTAAAATCCCACGCTCCCTAGTCGTTTAAGAGCAACATGGCATCTTCAATTTCCACTCCCCAACCTCCAAAAGTCGTCTTGGTAACTGGCTCCTCAGGCCATCTCGGCACAGCTCTCATGCTCACCCTCCCCTCCCTCGGCTACACCCCCATCGGCATCGACATCCTCCCCTCACCAACAACAACCCATACCGGCTCCATCACTTCCCCCTCCTTCCTCACCTCCATCTTCCAAAAATACAACAACTCCCAATCCCAAATCCACTCCATCCTCCACACCGCCACCCTACACAAACCCCACGTAGGCTCCCACACCAAACCCGACTTCATCTCCACCAACATAACCGGCACCACCCTCCTCCTCGAGCACGCCGTCGCAGCAAACTGCACCTCCTTCATCTTCACCAGCAGCACCACCACATTCGGTCGGGCCCTCTCCCCAGCCCCAGGAAAACCAGCTGCGTGGATAACCGAGTCGGTAACTCCACAGCCTAAGAACATCTATGGCGTGACCAAAGTCGCTGCTGAAGAGATCTGCGAGCTTATTCAGGCTCAGACAAAACTCCCTGTCGTCATCCTTCGCACTTCGCGCTTCTTCCCTGAACAGGATGATGTGGAGGAGAGACGAATGGGGTGGAGCGATGAGAATCTTAAGGTTAATGAGCTTTGTTATCGGAGGGTTGATCTGGAGGATGTAGTTTCTGCGCATGTGTGCGCTATGGAAAAAGCTGCGGCTGGGGATGTCACTTGGGGGAAATATATCATCAGTGCACCGAGTCCGTTTTCTTCTGACCCCGAGACTCTCAAACTTTTAGATTCCAATGCTGCGGAAGCGATGAGGGGTGTGGTGCAAGGATATGAGAGCGTGTATGAGAAGTTGGGGTGGAGGTTTTTGGATAGAGTGGATAGGGTGTATGATTCTAGTTTGGCAGTGAAGGAGTTGGGGTGGAGACCGGTGTGGACTTTTGAGAAGGCTGTGGAGTGTGTAGGCAAAGGAGAAGAGTGGAGGAGTGAGGTTACGAGGAGGGTTGGGAAGAGGGGGTATCATGCTGTGCCGACCGGGGTGTATACTACTGCCGTTAGTGGTGGTGGTGGTGATGTTGTGAGTGGAACAAGCTGAGATGGATGAAGACTATTAAGATGCCTCAGGATTGGCTCATAGCAAGTTCAATGCTTATCTAGAGAGGTTCACTCGTATTGATAGTCGATTACCTGCCAGGTGGTAGCACGGACCGGGTCTCGGAGTCAAAATGAAATTCAGGGGCAATTACGCGAGTTTCTCGCCTACCAAGTCAACACAACACCATGTTACATCACGTACAAAATAATGTAAATTCGAATTTCCCGTCACCTAAACTCACTCTCCACTTATTTCCCACAATGAAGAACTTCTACCTGGCCAAAAACAATCGTCCAATCAGCATGGTTACACCGATCACGTGGCGTCTTACATGCATCAATTTTGATGTTTTACAGATCAGCCCCCAAGGCCAAGAAGCTAAAGAAACCCCGCATGAGATGAGACATTTCGACTCATGTCTTTGAGGTCCCTTTCGCATTCTGACAATTAAAAGCGAGAGATCGTACTTATTTCCTTTTTTGGTACCAAAACCGGGAGACACCGTATTAATTGCTTTTCTCGGTGTAGTAACAAGTTTGGCATTTCATATAATATTGATGTCCAACGAACCCCGCTATTGTTGCCTTCGATTCTCAGGATATTATTCTTCCTCATCGCATCTCATCAAGTACGGAACATAATCTAAAAATCTTTGTTACCCTCCAAGTTCCACAGCACCAGACCACAATCTTTACTACCGCATCCCTTCAAAATTCCTTCCTTACCCACGACAACGACCTTTTCCATCATCAGCAACCATGGCCGCCGAAGTTCAAGGAACATGCGACCCCAAATTCTCCACCGTCCGCACCCTCCTCCAAGACGCCCTCACCTCCGGATCCGAACTCGGCCTCTCCTTCACCCTCAACATCCACGGCAAAACCCTCATCGACCTCCACGGCGGCCAAACCTCCCCCAACAAATCCAAATCCCAACCCTGGACCTCCCATACCCTCTCCCCCGTCTTCTCGTCCACCAAAAACATCGTCTCCCTCTCCCTCCTCCACCTCGCCTCCAGCGGTAAAATCTCCCTCGACGACAAAGTCTCCAAACACTGGCCCGAATTCGCATCCCACGGAAAAGAGAATGTGAAGATTAAATCCCTGATCAGCCATACGAGCGGTGTCCCAGGCTGGGTGGACGACATGACGCTTGAGGATATATGTGACACGCCTACCGCGACGGCGAAACTAGCTAATCAGAAACCATCCTGGGATCTTGACAACGGCGCGAAGAGCGGGTATCACTGCTGGTCGCACGGCCATCTCGCTGGAGAAATAATCCGCCGCGTCACAGGACTCTCTCTCAAGGAGTACATCGCGCAAGAGATTGCCGCTAAGAGAGGAAATGCGGATTTCCAAATCGGTTGTAAGGAGGAGGATTGGGACAGGATTGCGGAATTGGTGCCTCCTCCCGTGTTTACTAGTACGGAGTGGAAAGTCCCTGAGAAGGGGAGTGTCGGTTTCATGATAATGAATCCTCTTGCCAGTGCGGAAATGGCGAATAGCGAGACTTGGAGGAGGGGCGAGGTTGGTGCTGTGAATGGGTTTACGAATGCAAGGGGACTCGTGGATGTCCTTTCTGCTGTCACACTTGCTTCTTCTCCTGACGAGGATCCTTTGCCGTCTTTACTCAGCCCTGAGATCAGAGATCGGATTTTCGAGGAGCAGTTTAAAGGTGTAGATCTTTTGCTTAATATTCCGGTTCGGTTTGGGATTGGCTTCGCGCTGAGAGGTGCGGATGTGCAGTGGGATGCGAGTGTGGAGAGGGTTGTTCCCGAGGGGAGAGTGGCGTATTGGGGAGGTTGGGGTGGGAGTATGGTTGTTATGGATGTGGAGAGGGGAGTTACGTGTGCGTTTGTGGGGAATAAGATGACGAATGAGGGAGTGGGGTGGGTGCCGTTTGTGAGGGAGGTTTATAGGATTTTGGGAGAAGGGGATGGAGATGTGAAGTGAAGTGAATCTTGACAAACAATTGGACGTTGAAGTAGATTCATTGTTCCCAGAGGTTTCTAGAATCAGTACAAAACCAAAAAGATCCTCAGCGCAATATTGTTGAAAGAAGGTGTGGATTATCATTTCTCATCGTTCTTCAAAGTATCGTTGTTGATATGGATAACAGAAGCCACAAGGCTCGCAACTGTGAGACGGTCTATTTTTAGACCATCATCAGCTGAGCCTCACACTTGCGAGGCTACCATCTCAGTCCTACAGGACATCATACAGACCAGGGCTTACCTTATCATTCAGTGTTTTCAATTTCCGTTCCCCGAAGTTCGACCAAATCTCAGATGTCAGGTGAATATGAGAAACTAGGCCGCTCAACCGCGAAGTCGGCAAACTCCATCGAACTCCGCCTCGCCCAACGGCTCTCTATCTACACATTCGGCATTTTCTACATCCTCTGCTCTGGTCTAATCAACTTCCACGCACCATCGGAGGAGTTGATAGCTGAGTATGGTATCGACAAAGTATCTGGTTTTTACGGACCAGGCAGCTGGGCGGCATGGCTCCTCACCACCATGGCCTGCTGTATAGACCAACTATTTAATCGTCGGCCAAGAGTTGACCTGCCACAAGGTCGTCTCTTGAATTCAAAATCCGGCATGAACATCAACCTCATTGCCGTGTACAGCTATCCTCTCATCGCCGGCGTCGACCTTCTCTGGCGCTCCAGTCAACACGATTTCTCCAAGGAAGCCTCATCTATAGAGATCGGCTGTATCGCAGCCTCCCTCACCGTCCTTCGGATGGGAGCCGGTCTCGGGACTCTCCTCTCAATCTTCTGTATCCGACGACAAGTGATCCATCCAACGTCCCTCGTTTCCGTCATCCTCACCATCGCCGCATCATCCACACTATTTATCATGTCCCTCACATTCGACATCATCTTGATAGGTTTCCGAGCCAAGGATTTCGCACTCAACCTGTTCGGCTTGCCAGGTCCAAACTTTCAACTCGAAACCCCTAATTCCGGCTTAGCTGCCCTTCTCCAAACCTCAAACCTGGTCGGTGAGCAAGCGAGACTCCCCCGCCTTGCTCTGTACTTCATCGGAGGAGACATGGCGATCGCACCTAGGATTATCCTTTCTTTTCTCTCAATATTCACTCCCGTGTCTCTGTTATTCACGTACGGTGCAAGCTGGGGTCTGGTTCCTCGCACGCTAGTCACGGTCTTCATAGTGTATCTTGGAATGGCGCTACTCTTCACGTTGAGTACGTTCTTCGTGACGTTCTTCGGGTGGTATTTCTGGACGGGTACGGATATACCAATTACGATTGCGAGATTGGGGGATCTGGATCAGCTTTCGGTTTTGTGTCTCAGTGGGGTTTTGATTGTGGTTAGTACTTTGATGAAGCTGGTGCCTGGGTGTGGGAGGATGAAGAGGTAGGTGGTGTTTGTGGAGGAACATTGGAGAGGCTGGCTTGGATCGGGACAAAGAGGTTACGGTGGGGAGGGACATGCCCCGATTCTGGAGTATGACACGGTGCAGGTTACTTCCGTATGATATAAAAGACTTGTCACCATTGGGCAATTGAAAGTTTCTACAAGGCCAACTGCAGCGTTATACACTTGTGAGTCTGATAGAAATTGCGAGAGCCAGTCTTCGAGGGATGGTTGCGTACTGTTAAAGCGAAGAATTGACCTTCTCAACCTTCACCTCCGCGGAGGGTTCATAAATACTCTGTTTACGACCATTACGATCTTTCATCATATCATTGTCTTTCAGTCACAGATCTTTATTACCACGTTTCTTTAGTCAGGGAGGGAAATAGATTATTACTTCGAAGAAACGAAGAAAAAAGCAAAATCAAGATGAATCTAACATTTAGCAGATATCATCCCCGGTAGATTATTCAGTGACATTACATTCTCTAGAAATGACTCCATTGACGACAAATTCGCCCAAGATCAAATTTACAACTCCATCCTGCCAGATATCAAGCTCGCGATGTCTTGCAATATTAAACACATTTCATTATTCATAACACGGACCTAGACAGCATCCCTACGTTCACTCATGACTCACACATAAGTTGGTGCAAAAATCACCCCATTTGACTCCGCTGGAGGCTCAACCATCATCGGGCCAGCCAGAATGGGCGCGAAAACAAAAGGTTCCATGGGCTCCTCTGGTGGAGGAGGAGGTAACACTGGTGGAGCAATAGGTTCCATAGGCAAGCACGGTGGTTCAGCCGGAGGAGGAGGAGGCAGCACTGCAGGAACAACAGGTTCGACGAAAGATGGCTCGACTGGAGCACAAGGAGGGGGATCAACGGGCATTTCTTGCTGTATCACGGTATCGGTTTCGGTGAAAGCTGTGATTTCCATAGTATCGACCTCCGTCGTAACAAAAGTTGTGGTTGTCTCTTCGCCAGTAGCACATAAAGTGTCGGTCGCCACGATTGTTGTTTCTTGGATGGTCGTCTGCTCAATTGTTGTTTCCTGAATGGTTGTTTCTTGCACGGTTGTATCTTCAGTCCACAAACTTTCTCCACTGAATGCTCCGGAATAGGCTGCTTGTTGCTCGACTGTCAACTGTTCTTCCATAGTCGTTTCTTGGAATGTTGTTTGCTCCACTGTGATGACTTGTTCGGTTGTAGTCTCCTGAGTGACGATCTCCTCACCGCCGCATCCTACGTCTGCTGTCTCCATCTGGACCATGGAAGTTGTTGTTTCTTCAGTGATTATGGTCGCCTGTGTAGTCTCCGTAGTCACTTCGGTAGATTGCATGTCCTGACATCCAGGATCTTCGGCCACGAGCCCATCGACATAAACATCATCCGTCGTCTCGCACTCAACAGTACTATAGTTAACCACGACTTCTTCTTCTTCTTCCTCTCCCTCCTTCTCTACTTCACCGCCTTCATCCTCGGCCTCAACCTCCTCCACTTCCTCACCCTCATCCTCAACTTCAACCTCCTCAACATCCTCACCCACCTCAATCTCCCCCACATCTCCACCACCCTCTAAAAACCCCTCTAACCCACCCATATCAATCCCGGTCGTATTCTTCAACACCAAATTCGCCACCTTCAGTGTCAACCCAATAACCTTCCTATTATCCTTGATCGCCTTCCCAGTGACTTTCACTCCCTTCATCCCCACCTTAGCCACACTCTTCGTCCCTTTCACCGTGCCTTTGACCATCGCATTCGAGGACGCAGATGTCGGGAGTTTGATCTTTGACATTGTCTTCGAGGATGCAGAGCCAAGTGATGAAAGGGAGAAGTTGCTGCGTCGACGGGATGATCGCGGGCTGTTGTAGTCCGATGCCTCCCACTCGATACCTGGGGAGAGAGGCGAGATAGGGGTTTGGACGAAGGTCGAATTTGTGGAGGCCGAGGAGAGTTGGCGTTCCAATACCAAAGGCTGAACTGATTTCGGTAACATCTTGGACATGGGTATCGGCTCCGGGGCTGATGGTCGCTCCCATGTTGTGAGCTGGCTGGTGAAGTGGAAATAGTATACTTTCCCGTCTGGAGTTGTGCGTTCTTCCCAACCTGAAGGTAGTGGCGTGGGTTTACTTTGGGGTCTGTTCCATGAACTAGTCTTGGTGATGTGGTTCATGTAAAAAATTCTTCCATCTGGATCGTACGCAGCTGTCCATCCTGCTGGCAGCTCCTGGCCAGTGGGTTCGGCAAGGCTGGATGGAAAGTATCCTGCTAGTCTTCTGACATTGGGGTCTGTTGTAGTGGGTGAACTTGGACTTTGAGCTGGCTTGCTAACCTCATTGGTACTTTTTGTAGCTTGTTGAGGCTGAGTAGCTGCCTCTGTCGCCTGTGTTGGACTTGCTGGCGACGCTGGTCCTTGCCCAACAGGTTTGCGAGTTGGGACCGCTTTTCTTGCAACAGGGACTCGCTGGACAGGCTTTGAAAGAGATATTGGGACGAAAGAGTTCAAAGGATGAGCAGTTGCTGGGCCATTGGTTGCCATCGTTCATAGATCGCCTTCAAGTGTAGCGATTATTAGAGTGCCAAGACTAGGGATGGACGTTTGGCAAACGACACTTCTGCACCGAAAGATCACTTCAGCAATTGCGAGAGAATGGAGACAATGGAGACAATGGAATTCTTTGTATAGATGAAAATATGCGTGAGAGGAGAGGTGGGGTTTATTCTTGAGGCCATTATGATAGTTTGTCGTTCACGAGGCTGGAGCTGAAGAGGGTGGCTTGATGTGGCTTGGTCTAGATGGCTTCGGGACGGTACGAGGCAGCCTGAAGCAGAATAAACTGTAGAGCCCTCCCACTTCGTCTTCAAAAGCCTGATGTGACAATGCGCTTTGGCGATCGCCTTTCAGCTGCTCGTGCAGTTCCTTCGGTAGTCGCATGCCTCTTCCGCTTCTAAATAGGTCACCCGCAGCCTCTTGGTAACTGACCTGATATCACGAATTGATTGATCATGCCATCAATCAATTGAGAGTGTTGCTACACTATCTTCATACTGATTCAGGTTGTCCTTGAATTTCGACAGAACCCTTGAGGATATGTGTTAATTCCTTCGTCTTTTCGTCGATCAGCGTATGCTCCGAGGTTTCACGTGGTTTTCCTCGGTATTTCACAAACTCTTGTGATATTCATGTTCAGTTGAACCTTTGTCACCAAAACTGAAGACCTTGGATAAAACCTTGAAACTGCACGGCTTGGGCCACAGCACTGGCAGATACAAGTCTCATCTTAGCTTGGTGGTATAAATCAGGTGACTTTTAGTTTCTGGTACAGGTACCTTAGGAGCCGCCACAGCATATATTTTTAGCCAGACTCATTTCTTTGGTGGTAAGCGAGTTGTCAACATTGGGAAAAAGAGCTCGTAATTCTCAATATGGAATCCTTCTAGAATAACCTTAATTGACCGTCCTTAAATGGTAGATGATTCTCGTCTCACTATTGGACGATCCCCAGTTTTGATCTACTGAGTCCAAGAAATGCTCTCTACTTGAAACTCGCATAATCTCAAATAACATCCGCTCTGACCAGGAGACCCATGCGGGGAAAATTCGGTTCCCCTTTGTAGAATGAAAAGAGGCTGAGCGCACTGTTTTGCAGAGAGACACCTCCTGAGGGTGATGTTCGGTGGTGTTTTCATCTGAATAATTTCGGATTCATCTGTGCCTCAAGGCTGATACCGAGAGCTGACCTGCTTTTACTACCCCACCGTCATCTTCATCCAAGACCGTGCCTAGGTCAAGCTTTGACAACCGTGGTTATGCCTCGAGAATGTCAGCACATCCGGTTTCAACGACTTGAGATCCTCGATGGGTTCTGAGCAAGTGCATCCCGGCATGAGAACTATAAGACTGGTCGGCACCCTCACCCTTTTTCAATCCTCATCCTCATCGATCTCACAGTCCTTTGGTCTCTAATCCATAATTCTTTCTTCTTTTTTCTTTACAACACTCTCTTTTCCATTCATTTGGTGCTCCCCACTTTCGTTACAAGATGCATTCATTTTTCAGCACCGTTGCCTTTACGGCACTTGTTCTGTCTTCGCTCGTCTCTGCAGCTCCTGCTCCAGCTGTCGCCTCCATCGATCCAGCCACGAAATTAAACCCCGCTACCCCAAAAATCATACTTGGACCTGTTCGTTCTTCCAAATCTCCTGCGATTGCTTCTCTTTCTTCGGCTCAGGATGCTGCCTCTGTACCTGCGTCCAAGGTTCAACCCATCGCCCCTCAAACAAACATCACCCTTGGATACTCTTCCATCAACGTTACCGACCAGATGACCGCGACGATTCGAGCCACCATGAAGATGCCATCAGTCCTCCTCGAAGACATTGACTCGATTGCTTCCGTCGACTGCTCCGCAACTTCCGTCGCTGTCAAATTCGGCAACAAAGCCGACTTCGAGGAGAGCTTCGCTGACTGGCCGGCTTCCAATTTTATTCTGTTCACAAACCATTTGGGCGATTGCGACACCGACAATACCCGTGGTCTATATGTCGTCAGCTCGGTCGCCTTCGACAATGCCACTTTCACTGTCACCGCATCTTCTAAGAAGTCAAACTTTGACGAGCAGACTGATGAGATGACTGTAGAATACACCAAGCCTGCTGAAGCCAAGCGAGAAGTCACAACGACCTTCTTCGGAGACTTCCCCGGTAACCTCAACTTGAATACTGACCCTCTCAAGAAGACTCTGTCAGTCTCTGTCCACGAGCCAAAGCTTGGCGGCAGCCTTGCCGTCAGCGGTCACATCCACTTCTCTTGGCTCAAACTCAAGGCTACTTCTTTCTACGTCGATGTCGATCTTGGACTATCTGCTTCAGCCAACGTCAAGGTTGCTGCTACCGCCTCGTACGGAAGTGAAGTCTACAGCTTCTCACCTACAGGCATCACCATTGCCGCATTCAGCATCCCCGGCATACTCGATGTTGGCCCAGCTCTTGCGTTCAAGATGGGTGTCGAGGTTGCTGCTTCAGGAACAGTTGAAATCTCCGCAGATCTTTCCGCAACCATCACCAACGGCAAGGCCCACATTGATTTCCTCGACAGCAAGAATACCGTCACTTCCGGCTGGGACCCAGTTTACACACACGCCGTCAATGTCTCCGCCGCAATCGAGGCTCAAGTCAACCCATTCGTTGAGCTCACCGCTGAGATGGCTGTCAACTTCCTTGGTGGCGTTCTAGATCTCTCTTCAGGTATCAGAGCAAAGCCTACTTTGATCAACGTCTTCAGTCTCCAAGCTCAATTCAACATCGACAACGCCAACAACGTCACCATCCCAGCTTCCACTGACGAGACTTGTGTCAATGGAATTTGGTTCTCGAATGCATTCGACTTCATTGTCACTGCTTTCGTTACTCAGTTTTACGACATTGAGGTTTTCAGACTCGATGTTCCTATCTACAAGTCTGGATGCTGGACCTGGGCTCCTGATGTCATTAATGGAACTGCAAAGGCAACTGCATAGGTTTTCTGGTTGGGATTGGACTCGGTATTTGGGGTGGGAAAAACTTAGGATAGACGGGGTATAGATCGACGGCTGGGAAAAGGGGACTGGTATAGACGGAGACTTGGCGTCGGCGTTTATAGATATCATTTACACACCTTCACCTGGTGGAATACAATTGTTTGATTGTTATACAAGTTCTATTTTCAATCCTGACCAGTGTGATTCTGAAAAGACTTCGTACCTTGCTTCTGGAGGTACGATCGTTACCCTGCTGCATGGCTGTCAGAACCTGAAACGTCGGAACTTCGCAATAGAAGATTATGAAAACAGCAGTGAGAAAAACGAGTAAGTGTGTCTCTTTATTTTGCAAAGATGTTCTCGACGCACTAGCAGTGGTGTGCAGTTCAGGTTATCGCTTGAGGTCAGCCTCTAACAATCAATTCTTCACCCTGGCATGGCCACCCGTTGGCAACATGAAGATACGTGTGGTTCTATCAGCCCATGCCACGGTGTAAGCCCTCGTGTTGAAGCAGCAGCCATACTGTAAGCCCCCGCGGATTGACCCAAAATGGTAGGCGACTGACCAGAGGGGGGGGCGGGAAGGCGGGAATGACTTGTGGAAACCAAGTATATATTATCGTTGGCACTGTGGAAATGTAGATTCGGACTAAAATCATGACTTGCAGCAGGAACTTCTGTTTACATTTCTTGCTATATTGCTCGTACAACCGTTTTCCTACGCACTGAAACTCTCTCTCCTTCGATCCACGCCCTGTGTTTCGGCCCCTAGCAATGCACTCTCCTCATCAATTATCGCCGTCTTCGCATTCTCATCAGATGCAGCTTGAGGTTTGTGCAGAGCAGACCACAAGGTACTACCAATAACAATCGATCCACCAAGAATACTCAAACCGCCAGGAATTACTCCCCAAATAGCCCAATCGAAGCACAGCGCAAACAGTACTTGGGTATATAGCATACTGGTGGCCTTACTGCTTCTGTCCAACTGTAACCCAGCCGTCAAGAGAAATTGCAGAATGAAACCAAAAACACCCAGAAGCGTGAGGAGAATCCACTCGCGAGCACCATGTGGCATAGTGAACCCGATCCCTGGAACCACGAGCAGCGCAATAGCTGAAATGGCGGTTCCTAGGAAAGCAAAATAGTTGACTGACATCAGTGTATGAGCTCGATCTCCGACGACGCGAATCATGGTGTATGCGCCTGAAGCGCCAATGACACCAAGTAGCGACGCGGCAATGGCAATGAGGCGCTGAGTAGGAGTCACATCGTCAACTGTCCCGGTTTTGCTGGCTTTGATGACATCGTCCACCTTCCCGAATATACTTTCTGGGTGAGCGATGAAAATCACTCCAATCATGGCTACGAGTCCAGCGATGAGATCTTTTCTGAAGAAGGTCGAGCCAAGGAATACGGAGCATGCCCAGGCTGTGACGATGGGGACCAAGAATCTGAACACTGTTGATTCGGCGAGTGGAAGGTAATGAACGGAGTCTGAAAATGCGTGTAAGTATCCAAAATGCTGGCCAGGCTTATATAGTCACTTACAGTATAAACAGAAGAGCCCACCAAACCCGAAAAAAGCACGTAGGACCAGCCATATCCGGACCTTCGGATCTCCAAATGGGAAATCCGGCACCTTTGTCCACCACATGTACAAACTGCTCAGTACACAAGTGATGCCCATACGAGCGACTATAATCTAGAATTTTGGTCAGCGACAATTCAGATGAGTGCGGGGTCATTCCCGTTGCAGCAAAGATTTACACACCTGGAAAGGATGCATCCTATTTCCTCCTTGCTGAAGGAACCGAACCGTAGCATCCATCGAAGAACCAAACACCTGAGCCAGAACAACATAAATTGCACCTCGATTGGACCTCCATACTGTCTTCAATACGCTTGGCGTTGGCTCGATGCCAGCAGACTCATAGTCTCCAACACTGTTATTCCGACGAGCCATCTTGATTGGTGAGGTCTTTTGAGTCAACGGCGGGGAGGACGGGTCACGGATGGGAAATATATACGTTGTTTTGAAGTCCAATTATTAAAGAAGAAAAAGTGGCGATCCCTCGGTGCAAAATTATAACCCGACTTTTCCAACCCCACTTCTGACACTCGGGCCGGGGCCAGCTGACAGCACGACATGACCGTATATTTTACGTCATTGTTATGCCTTGTCTCGAGGATTAAAACAAGTTTTATTTTGCCCCGGAAAGTACTGTCACAAGTAAGAAAAACATTACTAGAGCGATGAATAACAGTGTCGCGAAAGAAAATAAACAAAGTCGTTTAGAAAAGGGGCTCGCTAGTTGAGCGCGGTGAGCCGGAAAAAGTCGGGCCGGGTGGCAGAATTGATTTTTGATTTCATGATCCAGCGAGTTGCCTCAACTTGATTCCAACACATCCCATATCATCTCTCTCCACGACGATACACAATTCTTCACTTGTATTCTTCTGCCTTTACGATCATATAGTTCTTCTAATACTCCCTAATACAATTTCTATTTTTGCGACGTTATCATGGGTTGGTTCTGGGCAGATTCCGATGTCTCTGTTGTCAATGCCAGAGGCGCGCCACATCCTATGCCAGCTGACAGCAATGCCTCACCACCAGTATGTATGCCGCAAACCACTAATTGCATATTCTGACAGATTCTAGCCGCAATGCCCGATGCACCAGAGCAATGCAGTGATAGCCAAATTCCCAACGCCTCCAGCAGAATCAGCATGCCCCTACACACCACCTTCCGATCCGTCTGCAGAGACCAAGACATCCTCGAAATACTCCAAATACAACCCACTGAACTACATGTTCTCAGACTTATCGCAGGATCGAGCGAAGGACCAAAAGATAGCTCTACCGACTGAGCGCGAACCATCTACGATTCCCAAAGGCAGCGGAGAAGGCAACTGGGAATATCCCTCACCACAACAAATGTATAATGCGCTTTTGCGGAAGGGTTATACAGATACCGATGCGACAGCGGTGGAGAGTATGGTCTCAGTGCACAATTTCTTGAACGAGGGCGCCTGGGCAGAGATCGTGGAATGGGAGCGCAGATTTGCAGGTGGCTTGAAGCAGGGATGGGAGATGTGTAAGAGAGGAGAGCAAGGATCGATGGCCGGCGCAAATCATGCGGAAGGCGCAAATTTCGATGGTGTTTCGCAGCCCAGTCTGATTCGGTTTATGGGGAGGCCGAAGGAGATGACACCCAAGGCTGCTATGATTCAGGTTATGGGGTGGATATATCCTAGTGCTTTTGCGTAGGTGTCTTTTATATGCTGATGGGAGATTATTGCTGACTGGATATAGTACGGAACCCCCATTTGACCGACACGATTGGTTTGTACAGAGGGAAGTCGCGGGCCAGAAGAAGGAAATCAGATATGTCATCGACTACTACTCCGGACCAGACGACCCAAGCGGCGAGCCGGTTTTCTACCTCGATGTCCGACCTGCAGTTACACCTACCGCTGCTGTTGAGAGAATGATGAGGTGGGGAGGAGATGTATGGTATAGAGCTTCTGGGGCACAACTCCGGGAGAAGGGAACCAACTGAGTGGAATCTACATGGCCGTATAATACTTGTGTCGTTTTTGAGCGCTGGATTTTGGGAGTAATAAGGGCATGGATCTGTCTTTCAGGGCTGTACTTTCTCTGGATGGGTCGGTCAAGCGTGTATTAGTTCTCCTTGTCTTACTTCTGATGTCTTGATGGTAATGCCTCCCTGTCGTTCGATTCTCCCCTCTTTTTGTACTATAGTTTGATACCAGGGATCCATAGGTCGTCCAAGCAAAGATACGCTTCTAATGACTAACACCATATATTGGCATTCTTTGTGAGCCGTGCTTCTCTGCTCAGCTGCTTTCAATGCTTTTGATATATTAAGACAATCGAGGTCGCTTCTTCCCTTGCGTTGTCTCTTCTCCCGCTTGCACCACACCAAGCCAGGACTATGGGCTCCCCCTGGTTGTCTACTCAATCAAATTCCCCCATCCTTGTCCAGATTTATGTGGTACACATGAAGTAAACAACGTCAGAGAACTGCATTGCTCTGATTGGGTGGCGAGAGTCCCTGAATCTGTAGAAGTATTGTCACGTGCTGATAAGATAAGAGCTTCACCTCAGTTCGACTTCACTCGATCCCCTTGTTATGATTGCTGGCATATATCGACCTCAAAATCTCTATCATGGCTCACATATCAACCCGTAAATTCATTAAATGGGGTGTAAGTCCCCCATAATCCTCCTACAAACTCAATTGACACAAAAACAAGGACAACCCCGCAGGCGAAAACACCGAGTTAGCCTCCTACCCCCACCTCTCCCCCTCCCCAACTGTGTGATATCTCCCTCTGATACACCACCAATAGCACCCTCGTCCTCACCACAGCCGGCAAACACTTCGTCGACATCCGGATCTACCTCCCCACCTCACCAAGCGAGCCCTCCCTCCCCAGCCTCGCACCTCTCCCCCTCTCACGACTAGAATGGGGCTTCGCAGGCACCGCGTCCCCCACCCCAGCTACATACTCTTCTGTGCCCGGCCATGAAAAGGAGATTGTCAAACCGGCACATACAGTATGGACGCATTGGGTGGATAACAAGACGACGGAAGAGGTTAGGGATGAGGGGGATATGGTTCCATCTGGATCTGGAGACGGAGGGGAGGTGAGTCGAGAGGTCATGGAGTATGGCAGGATGGAGAATCCTGCGACGGGGAAAGTGGAAGCGTATGAAGAGTGTTGGGTCGATTTGGAGATTGGGAAGGTGGATGGAGAGGAGGAGTTTAGGAGTTGGGTTCTGAGGGCGGAGGATGAGGAGGGTGGTGTGAGGGGAGTAATTGCCCGGGTGGGGGTTTATATTCAGGGTGTCTTGAGGAGGGGCGAGGAGTTTAGTGTCGGGAGGTGGATGTGGGATTCTGAGAGGGGGTGGCAGCCTGTTGTGGAGGCTGGGAGGGCGCTTGTTCCGAGGGGTATGTTTTCACAAGAGGAGTTTGTGTTGGGGCAGAAGCTGGTTGGTGGTGATGGGGTGGAGTGGGCTTGTGTAGAGAGCTTTTCTTGGAAGTGAATGCAGCCCTTTTCCCAGAGCTATTTTCCATATCTGTGACTTTTCCTACGTGAGACCTTTGCAGTAGTGTGATTCAAATTCACAGATCTAAGTAGCGCTGACAATCGCCCCCAGGCGAATTCTCGCTTAGTTCTGAAAGTAAACAATCTGCCACCTTGTAACAGCAAATCCATCAACCTCCCTACAAATAGAAGCTCAGCTTGTGTTCTCCTTTTGAATGTAGTCAGCAATTTGGTCTTCGCTGCATTCATTTGTTTATCGACAACGTACTGGCTTTCCCTCCTTCCCTCACTGCTGCCTGTTCCATCAAGCTCTCCACCAGGAACATCGAAAGTCCCAGCTGTTATCTGTGTCTTGCCCGCATGAGAATTGTTTTGCCACCTTTCTAGTCACCAATCACATGTCTCTATCAGTCTCCAATAGCCGTTTGAGAGATCTTCTCTTCCAGCAGCCGTTTCTCTCTCGCTGTCTTCGATTCCTTCCTCAAACTTCGAATTCTTCTTGCCTCTTCATGTTTGCCCAAGTCTTGCAAACAGTCTGCCATCCATCCGAGAAACTTGATAGATTGTGGGTGTTGCCAGCCGACGATGCTCTCATACAAAGTATAAGCGCGCCGGAAGAGCTCTTCCGATTCTATAAGCTTCCGTTGACCGCAAAGATTAAAAGCCAGATCATGTATCGACTTAAGTATTCGTGGATGATCCGGTCCATGGTCTTCCTCCTCCGAGCTCAAAACTTCCCGAAAAATAGTTTCGGCTTCTCCGAGTTCCCCCATTTTCTCCAGACAACGCGCAAGATTATTCATGACTTTCAAGGTTGTCTGGTGTTTAATCCCAAGCGCCCTTATGGAAATTTCTAGATTCTCTTTCAATATGGGCTCTGCGTCGCTGTGTTTTCCAAGTTTTCTAAGAATACGAGCCTTATTTATTATGATGCGTATTGTCTGGTCGTGGTCTCTACCCAGTACTCTCATCGACACCTCCATTACTTCCTCTAAAATTCCGTCGGCCTCCTTGTACCTGTTCTGGCAGACAAGCAAATCGGCCAAGCTGTTCATGCTTCCCAGTGTTGCGATATCTTCTTTCCCATGGTTTTTAAAATCAGCTGCAACGCACTTACGTAGCAGCGGCTCTGCTTCATCATATTTCCCTCGATTTAAGAGATATGTGGCGAGCTCGTACATGAGTGTGACACTTTTAGGGTGTTCTTCTCGAAACTGATTGGTTGTCCTAGGAAGTACGACTTTACACAATTCTTCGGCTCTTTGGTAGTGGCCTTGACGACCAAGGATCTTGTAGTAAGCAGATGCGCTATCTAGCAGGTCTGTCCCCTGCACAAAGTTCCAGGAATCGTGGAACTCTTGCGTTGTCGCAATTGAAGCATCGACGTGTGCGAACATGAGTTGTTTGGTCTGGAGGTTCAAATTAACCCATTGACGTCTTGAACTATAGCTAACTACGTATTTGGACAGAATCAGCATAGATTCATTGAGGTACTGCTTCGCTCTTTGAGTTCCAAGTCGTGCTTTGAGCCAGTCCTGGATAAGTGGGTGGATAGTGAAGGATGCTTCCGAAGAATCGATATTCAGACTTTGCAGTAGTGAGAGATTATGCAGTTCAATTAAGATGTCTCGGAGTGTTTCATTGTTCCAGCCGTCTGCGCCTTGGCATATTGGCAACCAGCTCCGAGTTGCCGATCCATGAGGGGCAAAGAGGGCGTCGGTGAGTTTGTTGATATCGAAAAATGCCATCAATGTCAGTATATGTTGTTTATTTTCTCGCTCGCACCTCTTTCCTGATAGTGACTTGAGGGACAACTCAAGTGTGGCAAACACGGTACAATTTCTTGCACCTTCATCACTGACTTTAGAAATTTTCGTGTAGTCCCAAATCTCCGGCGCTTCATTGAGAACCTTCTTTCTTTGTTGATTGTAGGATTCAAGGTAGGCTGCGAATGCCATGCCTCGTTTCAGAACATAAGCACCTGCTTGGTCTACTGCTAGAGCGTGGTAACCTAGTCGCTCGATGATTTTGGTTGCATCTGTAACATCTTGCTCAGGCGAGTTCCGTCTTGTCCGACGAAGAAGAACCTCAAGAGCCTCAGCTTTCGAAAGCCGAGTCACTTCAAGTGAATGATTTCCCATGGATCTGACTTCCGCTTGTCGACTAGTGATGAGGATTGAACCCGGTCCGACGGAAGGATAGTAGTCTTTGAGACGCTTGGTACGAAAGGAACTTGGCCCATCGAAATTGTCAAATACAAGAAGCCATCGGTGATTTTCTTTATCGAGGGTCCTTATGACATAACGGAAGTTCGCTTCAGAATCCGTTGCTTCATAAGCGGGCTTTGATAAAGCCTCGGCAACTTTCGAGAAGCTTTGCAGAGCAGTTTCGGGGGAAGTGGCATCGATCCAGAAGATCATTTCATACTTTCGGTGGCGACGCGCTCTTTCGCAGTACTTTAGTGCCAATTGAGATTTTCCACAGCCACCCATGCCTTGCAGCACCACAATTTTGGGAGCTTGAACACCTATCACATCATCTGCGGGACCGAAGTATCTTTCGAGTTTTTTCAAAGCTCTGGCTCGGTCGACGAAGTGCGTAACGGCAAATGAAGGGTACATGAACTTCGTAGAAGTAGTTATGAGATTAGACGAGGTATCGAAAAGAGGAATCCGTGGTGGTATCACATCTCGGGAAGATCCATCTAAAAGACATAAGCGTTGACCAATAGCCGAGTATTGAACTCACCTAAGGTCGCTAAAGGGTAAATGTGATGAGATTTGCCGAGGAGGCATTCGACGATGTCATCTATCTTTGCGTCTACCTCAGAGAGGCTCAAATATGCTAACGTGTGGGTTTTTACTTCTGCGAGTCTTTCCCATTCGCCAAGAGCAATCTCAGTGAGTCCTCTTTGAACGTTCAGTCGATGATACAACCCAGCACAATGGCGATACCGATCTTTGAGGGTCCTTGAAGCCACCTCTGACGACGTTGCCATCGTCGCTAGAGCCTTGATGAGATCTACTGGAATGACTCTTTGAAACAAGCCCGGCTTTTTGAATCGGGCGAGCCTCGTCTTTCCCGTCCCTATGCTGACAATACAAGCGACCTTGGTTTCTGGATCGAAATTATCAATGGCTTCTTGAACGGCAAGCTGTACAGGATTGTTGTAGCCAAGGGCTCCGTCGACAAAATCTTCCTGCACGCCAGGCTCGCCAATAGAAATCCGTTTGAAGAAGCCTGGGGCTGCCGATGTTGCGCGGGCAGCTTCCCATATCTTTGGATTGAAGCTTGATCTCTTGTGACATATGATCGAAAGAGTCTTGGACTGCTATTGACGTGATGAGCAGGTACCGCACACACGAATCTAGAGGAAGTTTAGCCACGTAACTGTTGTCTGGCTGTAGGGACGATGCTCACGTTTTACAGCCACTAGTGTCTACATCGAGCATCCTCTCTTCATCCCGATCCGGACCCAGAGTATCAACCAACACCTTTCGAATGGCTCCTTCCAGTCTCGATGCTTTGAACTTCCCGTCCTGCCAGCCTCGTTTCTGTTCAGAGAACACGTGCTTCGATAGCTCGCCGTACTTTTGGATTGCCTGCGGCACAGACAATCTCAAACGCCCGAGAAGGATGGCGATGAGACTGAATTGTCAGAATGCAATGATTCACCCTTCATCGTTGGTCGAAGAAGTAGAAGTCGATCAGGCTGTGAACCTACCCGCCAGTACTTGTACCGCAAATCAGGTCGAAATAATCAGCCGGTAGTGCAACCTCAGTCGAATTTGTAGCAAGCTGCACTCTATGCATGATGACTTCCAATATGTAGAGCTCTGAGAGCCCCCGGATACCTCCTCCATCTATGCCTATCAGTCAGGTACACCCGTAATTAAGGTCAGGGCAACAAGGCTACGCACCAAGTGACAGCAGCCTCAACGGAGGGCGAGCTACAGACCTCCGCTCCATAATCGAGATCTGACGAACGATGATGTAGTGTAGCAATATATATGTGGGACTATTCGAGGATGAGGATGAGGATGAGGATGGTCAAGGGACATCATGAGGTCAGGTTGTGGTTCAGCTGTGATGTTCATAGACTGCTTGGCGCTAGTGATGTTGGCTGTGCAGCTCGGGTGTTGGTCCAATGATGACTTTGTGTCACATCGAGGCAATTCTCAGCCTCAATGGAATGTCTCACATGCCTCTACAGTCTCGTCCATTCCCATTGGAGTAGATGGACTCTAGATCCGGGCAGGAAAGGAAGTACTCGAGAACTTCTGAAGCAGTTTCAAATCGAAAGAAGTCACTGGTTGGCTCTTTCATTCTTCTAGGATTAAAGGGGGCTTAGAAAGCAACCGCTTGTGTGTATCTTCCGTGAATACGAATCTCTGATATGAAGATGGTTTGATGTGAGGCAAGAATATATCTCAACGTCACCATAGCTAATGATAGCAAGTACATCCTCTCCTGTAAGCGAGCTATAGACCAGTAATTGCTTTCAGAGCCTGCGTTACCAATACAACAAGGATTAACTCCATTTCAAGTCCCAGCGGGCACAAGACATGATACTTCCATGTCTCGTTCGCCAATTGATTTCGAGCCACAAAACAAATGAACGCATGCCCTGCGAGAATGATCCCAGCCGAGCGAAAATCATGAAAAAAGCAATATACAAGTAGTACATACTGCTCCTGATTCATGATCACCGCCAACCAGACCCGCAACAGTTTGGGAACAAGTTGTTCTTTCTGCCGACGCATCGTCCCATACCCACGACTAGCCAAAGCCTCCTCCCAAGCAGGGAATATTTCTGCTCGCCGCACGAACTTTTCTCTTGCTGCGACATTGAATACAAAAATAAACAAAACGTACCACCACCATCGATCGGGCCGTACTGAGATGGCAAAATAGACAGCAGTGCAGAGGATGAAGAAAATCAGCCAGCTGGCCCGTTGAGGGGTGAGAAATACACCGTTGAGATCAAAGTCTCGGTAATCTGGACAGCGTGATTTGTGCCAGTGGAAACAACGCGGCGAAAGTTGATACCACGGGAAGAATTCGGAAAGTTTGCGCGGGAGGATATACCAGGGTGATAGCTCTGAAACGTCCGCAGGATCCTCTCCGTTGCGAGGTTTGATGATCTGGATATCCGGGAGATTTGGATGAGATTCAAGTTGATTGATGCCTCGAAGATCGAAGTCTGGCTCTAAGTGGAATTGAACGGTTCCGAGAATCTGGGCATAATAGTGTGGACCAAACGTGTGAAACGAAGGCAACGTACTAGACCTCCGCGACTGAATGATGCGCCTGAGAGTTTGATTTCGACCATGATGTCGCTTGGGTCTGTGATGGTGACTTTCCCGAAGTTGAAATTGTACAAATAGTTGGTCTGAGACATGAGAGATCCGAGAGTTTCTCTAACGTAGAGAAGTCTCTCCGGCGTTGCTTTGGTGTGTTCTACCAGATTGCGCAACTTTGGTACGTGGCGTTTCCATGAGTAAACAGAGATCTCCAGATCAGCCTCATTCCATTTATCATGAAATTTAGCTACTGAGATGGTGAGGTAGTACCCGAACAGAGGAGATACCGGCAACACATCAAGAAACCAGATTCGAGCCGAAGTGTTTGTCATTAGGACTTGGCCTGGATGGGTGGACAGCCTGGTGATGTCAATACAGAAGATCCGTTTGTACCAAGATAGAATAGTCACCACGATAGAGGACTCGTCCATGGACGTCTGTATGGAAAAGAAGAATATCACGGCGTAAACGGCGTCATCGACCCCGCCACAGAATTACTGCTGAAGGTATCTCCAGGCTGAACTTTCAATGTAATCAGCATGTTCAGATAAGCACTAATCTTAGCATCGCATCCCTCTATGTTAACGGATTTCGGATCAGCACCAGCCTGGAGCAGCAGTTCAACAACTTCTAGAGGACGAAGATGATCCAAGCTCGATATTAATGCCGAGCGTTGGACCACGACTTTCAACGCCGGGTCATGAAGTTTCTCGGGAAAGTACTCGGAGCAAATCTTAACCAAGTCCAAGGAAGAAAACCATGCTGTATGCAGCGGGTTCGATTTGTTGACATCTATGGCATTTGGATCGGCTCCTGCGCGAAGCAATGCTTTTACGGAAGCGATATCTCCACTTCCGGCAGCGTGATGCAGAGGTGTTCTTTGGTGCGAGTTCTTTGCAAGTGCTAGTCGAGGATCTTGCTTCAGGAGCAATTCCAGACAAGCTGCGCTGCCTGGTACTGCACCATTGGCGGCAGTATGTGCAGCGGTGTTTTGCATGCTGTCCAGAATTCGATGCCAGATATTCGCACCATGTTTTATGAGAGCCTCTGACATCTTCGCATCGCCATTCGAAGCGGCAAAGACCAGAGCAGTATAATGGTTCGACATTGGTGAAGACATCAGTGCTTCTGTATCCGCACCTGCAGCCAGGATAAGTTGCGCACATTCGTGATGGCTGTGTACCACAGCTGCGTGGAGCGGGGTATGGCCGTCATTGCTCTTCTCATTCGGATTTGCGCCGATCGCTAAGAGTGCCTTCACAACAGTTGCGTTTCCAATCCGACAGGCAGCTGTCAAGTAGCCAAAACCTCTTGTACTCTTGTAAGCTTTCATTTCAAGCAGTGTCTGTGGAGCCCACAACGTGGAAGCCTTCAGTGTGAGAAGCACGAACTCTTTCAAGTCAGACTTCGTCATCCCTGACCAATCATGGTTCAACGGCCAGGGATCATCATTTGCTGAAGCATTCCCATTCCTACTATCCGTCATGTTTGATAGCGCTTGATGTGATTGAAACAAGAGCTTCGAGAAGTCACTGTCGTTCTGCTCCAGGGACGGATCGGTTCCCTTCACTGCCGCCAAATCTGGCCGCATGGTCCTCAATGTTCGATATATTGCAAGCATGCGATGCGATGAGATTTTATCATTTTTCAAAGCCTCCTGAACTTGTTTGATCAGGTTTTCTTGGATAATGCTCGGCAGACTGGGAAATACACGGCGAATGAAAGATGCGTTGTGAAGCGAGAAGTTTATTATTTTGGACTCGTCAACCTGAAAGCAGTTAGTAAATAGACGCTTACTAAGTAGACGGCAGTACCTCATGTGATAGATCTCTTCGGAAAGGGTTGATGGCAATTTCCCATAGATTGTTGTGGGGCTCATTGTTTTGCTTTCTGTCCACTGATCATCAATGACAGTTCCGAATTCTAGACAGGACAACACTCACAAGATCGATTCTCTGACTTTTGCTAACGACTTTCTCCTTTTGGAAGGCTCATATTGTAAGCATTCTTCAAGAATGGGAATAAACTTTTCCAGCCACGGATACTCAGGCGTCAGCGGCTTCAGATCCGAGACCATGGTCTTCGATGTTTCCGAATCTCTGTCCATGGTCGGTAGTCTGCCAAGTATGACGAACATGACGACCAAAGCAAACGAGTAGATATCCTGTGGTGATTCTTTCCTGTACTCCTGGAATGATTCAGGTACATTGTATTGAAGTTCAGGCGCTGCCCACGCGGGTGTACTTCCTCGAGGCGAATCCTCACTAAACAGACTACCACTAAATCCAAAGTCACATATCTTGGCTTTTAGTCCATGGACACGATCAGTGGTTTTGAATATGAGGATATTGTCGGGCTTGATGTCTCCATGAATCACACCGTAGACATGAAGTACTGAAATTCCATCCGCGATATCACCGATGATATCTGCGACCTGGTCGGAGGGCAGCTTTGCCGGACTGAAGCGAGTGAGGCGTGTCAAGTCCGGATACTGTTCGCAAGCAGGTTCGACTATGAGAAATGGATATAGATCGTCACTTGTCTCGTCAAAAGATATTCCTTTGCGCTGCACGATGTTTGGGTGTTCGCAGAGTGGCTGGTGTGACATGATTTGGAGCTCGAAATACAGATCATTCAACCACTTATCACTGACACCTTCAACATGACCTTGGCCTCGAGGGTTTCTGTTTGCATCTCGGCTCTGAACTTGTTTCACAGCAACGAGTTCGTTCTTCAAGGTGGCCATGCATACCTGCATGGCGGCCCCTGACCCGATAGACTTGCTTTGACTAATCGTAAAGTCCAGGTCTTCATAATTGATGATCGGTATGCTCCTGAGAGCGATGAACTTGACAAAATGGACATAGTCAAATGAAGAATCGATAACTTCTCCGTTAATTACTGGCGACTCAGCGGGCAGAGGGATTTCCGAATCATTGAAGTTGAGGGCCGGTCGGCGCTGCCAGTAGTCGGAAGCGAAGTTGTCTTCGGCGTTTCCGTCAGCCATCGCTTCCGCACATATCGGGCCTCAGAGTTGAAAAGAAAAACCGTAGAGCACGGAAAGATAGCTTGCGAACGTCATGGTGAGAATGATCAGTTGGTGTGGTCCAAGGAGAAGCTTTTCAGCTGAAGTTGCTAGACCTGAATAGGCTAGCTGTGGGCTTATTGTTATGCGCCAAGTTCTCGACATATCCTGACCTCGCGTTGACAACGATACACCTTCAGCTTCGATATTCCAGCGATCATAGGGATTGCTCGTTGATACGTGGGTGTACGCGTCGCTGCCTTCAGAAGTTACACAAGCAGAGCGTTCAGAGAACAAGATCAAAATGTCGGACCATATGATGAGCATCGTGTCCCTCACGGCAGGTTTGCCTGGGCTGATCGAGACATGTATTCATGGAGGAGAGTTCTTCGTCTCCAGACTTGACACCTACCGCCAAGCCGATCAGCGTATTGCCGAGTTCCTCCAAATGTTTTCTCTTCACTGGGATTTTCAACGAGATGCCCTTAAGAAGCTAGCGAGTCTCGAGCCAAGGCTGGATGAGGACGTGAAGCAGAGATTCATACAAGTTCTTGAGAGCCTTCGACGCCTGCTTGAGAAAGCATCAAGCACCATATCAAAATACACTATACCGACATCGGTCGCGGCTGGCCCGTCAGCTGTCCAGAAACTCCGATATGCACTACTTGAAGAGAAGGTCCTGGCAACTCTCGAAAAAGAGATCACAGCGTGGGAGAATCGATTCTTGATGCGCTTGACTGTCCTTGTTGATATGGGATCCGTGGATTCAACCACAACACTGGCAAGTGGATCCAAGAACGCAAAGGTAAACATGCGGGTGCCGCTTCTACGATTGAAGGATGGATCGTCCGTGGAGGTGCTCCAGAGCCCTGGGGAGCTACGTTCTTTCGAAAAGGAAAATACCACTTCCGGGATTTATCAAACGAGTGATCCTACTGTCTTAGTGGAATTGTACGAAGCTCAATACTCGGACGACCCGAAACAGCGAGTCGAAGACCTAGCTGGATCTTTATGTGCTGCCGAGCCAGACCTGATGCACATAATGCCTTGCATGGGATACATGAAGTCTGGTTTCGGAGTTTCTAAACCTGGACTGCTGTTCAGATATCCTGTATCCACGCAAGGAATGAAGCCGAGGTCACTCCGTAGTCTCTTGTTAGAGCCAAGTATCAAGCATCCACTGGAAGATAGGGTACGCATGGCACTGGAGTTGGCGACTGCTGTCTGGTATATACACTCTGGCGGATTCGTACACAAATGCATACGGCCGGAAACGATCTTGGTATTCGTTGAAGAAGCAGACTCCTCTCTGCCACCGGACTCATCGTATTCAAAATACCCCTGGAAACTCGGTCCTTCATTCCTCGCTGGCTTCACCCGTTTCCGAAGTGATGATCGAGCCTTCGAGTCTGGTCGCAATGAAGACAGCGAAGTATCACGCTATTGCTACCGGCACCCACGGCGATGGGGAATCGTTGCCCAGGAAAAATTCTCGATGTTACACGATATCTACAGCTTAGGGGTTATACTACTTGAGATTGGTTTGTGGAACTCTCTCCTGGAGTGGAAAAACTCACAGGATAAATTACCGCTTGGTCTAGCTGCACTGCTAAGAGGATATACCCTGGAGCAAGTGACAACAGACCCATCGTTAGTCAGAACAAGACTCATTGATACGGCAAAGAGGCAGCTCCCAAGGGTCATGGGAAGTAAATATACGGCTGTGGTAGTTTCATGCTTGTCATGCGTTGAGGGTGGTTTGACGACTTCCTCAAAAGGGCTTGCTGATCGAAACCCCGCACTTGCATACATGGAAGCTGTTGTGGAAAGGTTGGAAGAGATTGAATTATGAATCAGATATCCTCGCGTATACGTTTTCCTCAATCATACTAAATAGCATTGGCATAGCATCCCCCATCACCAATTTCGACTTTCGCCACTGGTCGTCCCACGACTCCCTCCATTTCCGTGAGGTTCATGACCTGCCAGATCTCAACATATCCCCTCGGGAAATCCGACAAAGCCATCCATTCATCACTGAACGGTGCTGGAGATACTTGATTTGCAATGCCGCCTGTTGTAGTTGTCGGCTCCATAAACAGCAACTCCCCGATCTTTCCGTCGGAGCGAAGCTCAAAACAAGATATGTAACCCACATAATCAGTGCCGCTGTTGGCCCTCGCGGATGCCCAGAGTAGTCTGTTCCTATGTGATAACACCACTTCTGCAGACCAGTAGCCCGAAGAATTCTTGCCTGGAATAATTTGTCAATACTCTGCGCTCTAGTGGATGAGCTTTTCAGACATGCCTTCCGGGAGCAGTGAGAATACCTGGACTTCCTTGCGCGGGGCACCAGCAGATATTCGAAATTGCAACTGATCCACTTCCATCGAAGCTTATTCTTGATCAAGAAGCTTGCCCCACGATTTGTATCCTTGGACCCTGAATATCAGATCTCGCTTAACTATAAATAACCTCGGCACTGAGAATCTATGCCTGCCAAGTCGACAGCTCAACTTCTGCCCCTGTTTAAAATTCTTCGTTGTCTAGCCATGACGTTGGATCGCCGGCAGAACAACAACATCGGATGAAAATACAGGATGGAAAACCGGGCCAAAAGAAAAATTAATGTGGTGCTATGGAGAGGGTGAAGTATACATCTCCATTGTCTTTCCTTCGTCGTGTCTCCTTTTTCTCGTTACACAGCTTTTCTACTCTTCTGTGAACCCCCCTCAATCTATCGTGGCTTTCATCAACACATTCGTTATATACCATACCCCTAATCATGAAGTCGATTTCACTCGCTCTAGCTCTCGCAGCCTTCCTCTCCACAGTCAATGCATACTGGTCTGGATTCAACGTTCAAGCAACCCTCGATAATGGCGCTTGCAAAACCCAAGCCGACTGGGAGAAAGACTTCAACACCATGAGATCACTACCTGGCGGATACACCAGCATGCGGGTCTACGCCTCATCAGACTGCAACACTCTCGCCAATGCCGTGCCCGCTGCCATTAAGACTGGTGGCACAATTCTCGTCGGCGTCTGGACGGAAGACACCGCCCATTTCGAAGCCGAGAAGGCAGCCCTGCTTAAGGCAGTACAAACATATGGATTCGGATGGATTGTCGCTGTTAGTGTTGGTAGCGAGGATCTATACAGAGGAGATACATCTGCCAGCACGCTGGCCCATCAAATCTACGATGTGAGGGGTATGCTGTCGACTGTCAAAGGATACAGCACAGCCGTGCAGGTTGGACATGTCGATACGTGGACGGCGTGGGTCAACGGCGCCAATGCAGATGTTATCCGAGCCTGCGATTTCGTCGGTACGGATGGTTATCCATACTTTGAGAATACCAAGACCAACGGTATCGATCAGAGCTACAACCTGTTCTGGAACTCTGTTCAACAGGTCCGGGAAGTCGTCAATACTGTCAAATCCGGAACATGGGTTTGGGTTGCGGAGAGCGGATGGCCTACTTCTGGACCTACGGAGAACAAGGCTGTGGCAAATGTTGCGAATGCTCAGCAGTATTGGAGGACGGTTGCGTGCTCTGCCTTCAAGTCTGGGCATACTTTCTGGTACTCGCTGCAAGACTTTGCTGCTAGTCCTTCGTTTGGTGTTGTTGATGCCAATTACAAGCCTCTTTACAACTTGGCCTGTTAGGACAGGTCGATGATGCTGAAGGCCACGCTGGCGATGTGGGGTGCTCACCAGGGACGATTATGAGATGTTAATGATAATGTTAATTCACGAGGCGCCCACTTTTGCTCGCTTCTGTTCATTTGCGAGATTTGTGCTTACTTAGTTGAAGCAATGCCCTCATTATTGTTATTATCCGCTCAACCGTCGCTCAAGCGGGTATATGTTAGTGGATTCAACGGATATATATGAATCACCAAGTGGTTGATCAATCTGTGACTGGTCCATTGCCACAACTGGGCAGATCAGCAGATTCCATTCAAAAGAAGAGGTTAAATGTCGTCAAGATACCTGAAATTATTTCTGCCAGCTGGTACAGAAGGGTCAGACGATTAATCATGCTAGTGCGGAGTGTGAGATGGCATTTAGCTGAGCTGAAAGGGATGAGGATCAACGATGGAGGTCCTAAACAACATGATCTCCCATTCAACGCATAGGTACTGTGATTGTCTTTCATATCCTTCTCGAACCTCTGCTAACCAGAGTATCCGTCTCCGAAATAGCATCCGGATGACCGCCAGCTTGTGACTGCGTCCATCTCCCAACAAACGCTCTTTTTTCAGGTGCCATATCTCCAGCAACGCTTCCAGCCACTGTATCCAAGTACGGGATCCCAGCGGGGCTATGTGCAACACCTCCTCCGGCAGGTAGAGCAGGTTTGACCTTTCGCGAACGTCTCCAATGACATAATATGACGACTAGTAGCACCAAGATCACAATCACTACTCCTACTCCGATCACCGCGTATTTCCAAGCATTCCCCTTGAAGATGCCCGAAGATTCCGTTCCCTTTGAAGTTCCGGGCGATCCAGGATCTGCACCGCTTGTGGGGCCTGATGCAGCACCCTGAGTCTTTGTGGCAGCCACATTCTGCTGGGTGATGGATGTCTTCGGGGCTGTTGGAGATGGGTCTTCAGTCTGAACAGCAGCTTCATTAGTTGGCGTAACAAATACAGTCACGTCATCGGACGCCGTTCCACAGCGATGGACGTAAGCAGGATTTAGATCTTGTGCGTCTGTGATTCGCATGTACCGAAAACATGATGGTGCTGGAGACTTGCTGTAACCCACTGTGTTAGTAGGAGCCGTAAATCAAAGCTGAAGATTTGACGTACCAGTGGAGTACGCTTATAGACGACAACGCACACATGTCACTATATGCGCCAGAGCAAATATCCAGACCACCATTCTTGTCAACGCAGGTCGCGATTATGCTCGTGCAGTCGACCTGGTTACAGCAAAGCCCGAGCTCTCCATCTGTAGTGAATTGAAAGCCTGCACCACAAGCGAGCGGAGAGTCTGGAAAAGAGGTAAGTCATTTTTCAAATGAAGTTTGAAGATGAGTACCTACTGATGTCGCCTCCTATGTAGCCATACGGGTTGGGTCCAGTATCATCTTGTCTGTATGCTAGCTGGGCAGCTGTCGGCGCCCTTGGCTTAGGAGTAATGAGTGGGTGGTCTGGTGCTGCGAATGCCAAATTCGTAAAACATAAAACGACAAGTTCCAACAGTATTGTTCGAACGAACATCATCTTCTCGTCTTTGTATAATATTTTGTGAGCTTGATCATGGAAGAAATGGTCAAGTGGGGCATATCTATGTGATCTTCTGATTCTTCTCTCCTAGCGGGAATGTCCCATCCCCTCGTCAGAGCCGCAGGGGCAAGCCACAACATCCTCTACGCTTTGAATTCACGCAAAGTTGGATTTGCCAAAGCGGAGGCGGTGCTCGAAACATGAGCTGAACTTCGAACAGCCACCAATGCACATAAAGGGGCGCATATTTATGCTTGGCATCGCTAAGCTTCTGCTGATATCTGGATGCGTTTCAGCCCCATCCGGCACAATATGGTTACACAGCATTCAGGATGGAGAAGCAATCAAATAATTGGCTGTGATAGCGCTACACTTTGTGCTCAATTGCGCATGGTGGACGTCAACAAAAAGACGCCTTGAGTTGCATCCCTTATTTTGATACCAAAAGGATCCGTGGGCGGAGGTGCTTCCTGAGGATTGGGCATACTGCCGGCTCAAACAGTGAAACCCAGAGGATCGAAGTGCAAAAAGCAATATGCTTCAGGTAGCGACAAATCTTGCAGCGGACCTGACGGCTTGCATTAATCTTCCGCATGTCATGTATAGCATTCGCGTTTCTTCGACCCCTTACCCCTCCACACAATTGTCCAAAAAAGAAAGAAAGAAAAAGGGTCTCACGTAGCTTCGTCTGGGCATACCAGCTGGGCAGAACTCCTCAATTATTCAACAAACCTCTTTCAAGACGGAAATTTGTATCCACAACAAACTCCAGAATTTAGTTCTTATCCAATTTTACTTTGGTTGAGAAATCGAACATGGCGCAAGAGCTCGAAGGAACAATGCCCAAGCGAGGACTACGACTCCTCTGCCTGGATGGCGGCGGGGTTCGCGGGCTCGCTTCGCTTTTCATGTTGAAGCAAATTCTATCTCATGTCGGGAATCCGAATCCTTACGAGTTCTTCGACATGATAGCTGGAACCAGCACTGGTGGGTAAGAGTTTCCACCTTCCAGAATTACCCAAAGATGCTGAATAAGAAGTCTGATTGCAATCATGCTTGGTCGTTTGCATATGAGCGTCGATGAATGCATCATGCATTACGCGAATATCATGGATGACATCTTCAAGAAGAAGCGACTTCTTCCGTTCAGTGTGCGCACAGGGCAGATTTCCTCTCGATATGCGACAGATGTCCTCGAGGAACACATCAAAAAGATCATAGAAAAGTCTGGTAAGCCAAGGGAGGAGAGAATGAAAGAGTCAAACCCAAGATGCAAAGTGTAAGATGGAGTCCATACCTTCAGTCTCTAACTCTCACTGACATTTGTAGCTTCGTCGTTGCTTTAGGTAGCGAAAGTAACACTGTATCCCACTTCACCAACTATGCAAAACCGCATGAGCAGAGTCAACTCCTCGTAGATGTCAAGATATGGGAAGCCGCTCGGGCAACAGCCTCGGCGCCAACATTCTTCGACCCTATCAAGATCTCATGTAATGGCTTCACCGAAACCTTCGTCGACGGTGCACTCGGCCACAACAATCCCGTCAACCAGCTCTGGATGGAAGCCGCAGAAGAATTCGGAGATCCGCTAGAGCCCAAAATCCAGTGCATTGTCTCTCTTGGAACTGGGAGGCCTGCCTTGAAAGAGATCGGGACTTCTATGAAAAGCTTTGGAGAAACGCTCCTGGCGATTGCGGTCCAGACTCAGCGGACAGCAATCATTTTCCACAGAATGCACAAGACTCTTGCCGATAATGGAGGCTACTTTCGCTTTAATCTTCCAGATTTGCAAGAAGTGGGATTGTATGAGGCGAAGAAAAGAGGCCTGATACAACAGAGATGTCGTGATCATGGGCAAGACCCAGATGTGGAGGATGCGATGAAGAGATTCAAGAAATCTGTTACGGTTGGAAGATGTTAGTTTGCTCTACTGAATTTCATCAAAATGATCCCGTTCATATGTTTCTAGCATGTTTACTTGTATTGTGTTTCCTTGTCACTGAAGAGACCAACATTTATGCCACGTTCTGTGGATTTTGCTGACTGTTTGAAGCTTCCGTCAAGCCCAAACAATACGATGCGCCCACACTAGAGAGCGGTATCACATTTTCAGCCCTGGACAGAACCCCTCGTCACATGAATCCCGGTGCTACAAGTTACTGGAATCACTTGACTCTCGAGGGCTATCAAATATATGAGAAAATATACGAGCAATGCAGACTGCCGAAGAAAACCGAAGGAATGGTGCACAGTACGAAATCACTCATCGGAAGCCAATTTAGCTATAGCTAACGGACGAGCAGTCAAATCTTTCCTTCATCAAATCGCCAGATCAAAAGTCATACCAGAATTCACCGCAATCGAGACCTGGCGACGGCTTCTGGGCCCAGAACAACGCTCCGGACCAGACATCCTTGGAACAGCACACCCCAAGGCCTTCGTCATGGCAGTCCTCTACATGCTTCACGTTGAGCATTCATTCAATTCCATGAAGCCTAATCTTCCCGATGGAGAAATTGGTGTTGACAAGAACAGAAGAGAGGCACTGAAGAGGTTTACCAAGTGGATACCTTGTAAGTGTCAGGAGCTGTGTGGGAATGAATGGAACTTTGCGAATGATGTCGGATTACCGAGGGGTAATGATGAGAAGTGTAAGATTGTGAAATTTCTTGCGCAGTGAGTGCTACAGAATTTGTTCAGATCGAAGGAGCTCGCGTGGTTGAACGCAATGCATGATAGCTGGAAGCGTGTCTGAATGAGAATCAGATGATAGAAATAGTGAGAAGTCTTGAAGAAATGATTCTTGTTGCTGGAGATCAACATCTGACCTTGATGCTCAGAGTCTAGCTTCTAGCTCCTGACGTAAGAGTGGCCCACTGACGGTTGAGTGAGCCTCCTCATTAGTATCTCGCTACTGTAGTAGTGGACCCCATAAACTCCACTGCCGAGGTGTTTTCGAACCGACCTCCCTCATATTCACAACATGATATTTTGGTTAGACATCTCAAATCGAGGTTACACTCATCATTAACTTTCTCTCCTGTGTGTAACACAAATACTCGTCGCATCCGTTCTATTCATCCTCGCTCCTGGCGCATGTTTGTTTTCAAGTCTGTCTGATTGTTGAACACAGATTAGTCTCAGACAAGAATACTTAGTTCGACAGTCAAATTGCTATTTACAAAGTTGAAATCTTCTGGATTCTCCCAAAGATATTGTTATACTGGTTATCATGGATCCGTGCTTGTTAGGTGGATTTGTTGACTCGCTAAGAAAAGTGGGGAGACTGTGGGGAAGGCGATCACATGGTTGTTTGCCACTCTCTGATCTCCAATTCCACGCCTCCAACATATACGCTAAGCTCTCTCTGCTGACGGCTACAAAAATCTTAATGTTTCATAAAATACGACTTTTCATGTGTTTCTGGTTTCTTGCATGCTCTTATCCTACTCCACTCTTAGCGCCGGACAATCAGGGTTCAAACGAGCCGAGGCTTTATTTTAGCGAAACTTAGCATGCTACTATTATCCAATACAGCGTCACTGCGTCACTGCGAGATATAATCTGTACTTATCTTCTCCCTTCAAAACTCAGCCGTTAGAGGGAAATCTTCTGATTTTTATCGACATTTGCGGCAACAGACAAAAACAAGATGACCACGAACGTTCCCGAGCCTAGGCACCAGCCAGCGCAAAATTACAAATACGGTTAGTCTATGATGAGTCATGATCACTACGAACCTGGTAACACAATGATATAAATATATAAATACACATTCATTTATCGCAGCTTCAGATAATGCAACATGGCGACCAATGAGGTGAAGATGTCTTCCCGTCCAAGCACCCAACTGAAGACTCCCAAGGGCACTCGTGACTGGACTAGCTCAGATCTGATTCTGCGTGACCATGTATTGTGAGTAGGAGACGAGGTGGTCGTCTTGGTCGAAAGTTCTGTCTAACTCATCAACAGTCAGACAGCCAGCGAAGTCTTCAAACGCCACGGTGGCACCCCCTTAGATACGCCCGTCTTCGAGCTTAAAGCAATTCTCGCGGAAAAGTACGGCGAGGATGCGCGCCTCATGTACGATCTGGCTGACCAAGGTGGTGAAATCTGCTCTCTGCGATTCGACCTAACGGTCCCATTTGCTCGATGGCTGGCTATGAACAACGTGTCGCAGATCAAGCGCTACCAGATCGCCAAAGTCTACCGGCGAGACCAGCCAGCGATAGCCCGAGGCAGATTGCGCGAGTTCTACCAATGCGATTTCGACATTGCGGGACTCTACGACCCTATGATCGCTGACGCCGAAGTCCTACGCGTCGTTGTTGAGGTTTTTGAGGCGCTTCATCTAGACATAACTATAAAGGTCAACCACAGACGGATTCTGGACGGCTTGTTTGCAGTTGCAGGAGTTCCGGACGAAAAGATACGCTCCATCAGCTCCTCAGTTGACAAATTAGACAAGATACCATGGGCCGACGTCAAGAAAGAGATGGTTGATGAGAAAAGCATATCGGATGAAATCGCGGACAAGATCGGGGAATACGTGACACACAGCGGTGATATACGCGAGATGTTACAATTTCTGAAGTCGGACGCGAAACTGAGCGCAAATGAGAATGTGAAGGCTGGCATCGATGACATGAGTCTTCTTATCACCTATCTGGAGGCATTTGGCGTTGTCAGTGATGTCTCTTTTGACCTTTCGCTCGCTCGCGGGCTAGACTACTACACAGGTCTGATATTCGAGGTCATCAACAAACCACAAAAAAGCAATGGAGGCGGTGTTCCTGACAGGAGCGACAGCCAGTCCATCCAGGTTGGTAGCATTGCCGCAGGCGGGCGCTACGACACCCTGGTTGGTATGTACGCGAAGAACCCTATCCCGTGTGTCGGCATATCGTTTGGAGTGGATCGAATCTTCACAGTCCTGAACTCACAGCCCAAGGAAAACCTTACCCACAAGGTCGATGTTTATGTCATGGCGTTTGGCAGCAAGAATTCTGATGGACTGCTGCTTGAACGCATGTCGGTGGCTCGCCAACTCTGGAACGCTGGCATATCAGCTGAATTTGCTGCAAAGGTGAAACCCAGATTTGACAAGCAGGTCACAGCGGCGAAGGATCTACGCCTTGCTGTAATTCTCGGCGAGGACGAACTAGCAGCTGGTCAAGTCCGGTTGAAGGCGTTGAAAGGAAGCGACGATGATACAGCCTCGAAGGACCGCGGGCAGCTTGTGTCCAGAGGGGATTTAGTTGAAGAAGTCAAGAAGTTACTCGCATAAAAATACGATTGTCATTGGCTTCCAGCACGGAGACTCTGTGGTGATATCTACTCAGTTACCTGATGATATACTTCGTGTTGTCCTGGATAATAACCCCATGATAGCTCTCTGCTTGCCACCCACTCACCAATATCGATGAATCGGGCAACTCAATGGTAATTCAACGAGCCAATACAATTCACAGTCTATTCTCTGACAATGCAATAATGGCCGAATTGTGTTTCAACCACAATACTGAGCCACTACGGTAAGAATGGCCTGGAGCTGGCGAGATAGGCTGTTATCAAGGGTGAAGCAATAATTGTACATTCGGTTGATCATCGTGAATCTCAACAATCAAGCCAATAATTATAGCGTAAGATTATCAAGATTGAGGGTTACATGCGTTTAGTTTACTTCCAAGAAGAAGGGTAGAATAGGTGGGTATTGACCCACGAACAATGTTCTTTGATCCTTTTTGTACAGTTATTAGTAATGAAGCAATCGCGTAGTATTACCTGGTAACAGGTCATGTCAAGGATCTTGCTCTGAGTATCGCTCGTTACGAGCTATAGGATAAGGGCTCGAAGAGAGCTGCCAGATTTCTGCTACCTTATTTCAAGATTACACCCTCGGAATGAAACACGAGTTGCTGTTGAGGTTACAAGAAATGCCGGCAAAGGCGCTTGGACCTGCTCCGGAATAAGTTCCAGTGAAACTCGTGAAGACTGGTGGAGTAACAGATTTGAGGTTTAGCTGAAGTAGATTAGGTAAAACTGAGAGAAATCACAACATATGATGATAGGGTTACTCATGCTTGAGATAATCTAAACGTTCAGGCCAACTGCTCAGTGTGATCAGCTAGATTACTCAGACTAAGACAAGAGTGAATGGCGCCTGCACAGAGGGGCAACCGTATGACCCTAAAGTGAGGCACAATAGAGAGATGTAGAATAAATTGATGATATTCGTGTACATATTGATTGCTACTCAGCAATATATCTCGATTCAACAGTCACCAACTCCCTCCCCTTCCTTACAGCAAACTCACAAGACCCACTACTTCGTTTCAGACCCGTATCAGCACCCTCCGAGAAATCATTTAATTCGACCACAACTATCCCTTCTGGCAAAAGCTCGTTCTCATGAAGCCATTTGAATATCTTTTTGCATCTTTTTGCGCAGGATAAGCGCTTATTTGGCTTCCACGTTTCGAAATTCGTGAACGAGGGCGAGCTGAAAGGTGGTGCTTTATGGTTGGCAAAGTCGAACGTGAGATGGATTCGCGACGCAAGGATTCCGTTTGTAGGATGGGTTTGTGAAAGTGTGAACAGTGAAAGTTGCTGAGGCTCCGCGAGGGCGAGGGATGGAGAGCTATGAGAGAAGTATTGTGGATCCGGGAGAAGGAGATACTGGGTGCGTTGATAACTCGGCGACAGGCTGTGGTGTTTGGATTTGGTTCTTTCTTTGGCTAGGTTCAGACTCGATGATATCTTGTGACATGGGGTCCATAGAGGAGTCGGTATCTGTCTTATCGGATGATGAAGATATGGATACTCCTCTGGTTTCTCTTCGACGTCGTACCCTGAATCAAAAAGGTTTGCAGCTCCAGTTAACGAAGTAAATTTCTAGATTGCTTCAGAAGGTTGGCTATCCTGGCTGGTGCAGCCAACGTTACACCTGTATCACTCGTTTTTATTACCCCAGTCAGACTGCTGTCTACGATTATGGAACTTCATGGGCTCTACAAAAGATCTTGATGCCGGAACTGTGGATCCGCGGTACTTGTTTTATTGACTCGCTTAGAGAAAGGCGAGCTGCGCACGATTCTCTACCATTTTTGGGGACCCCACTTCATTTATTGGATGCGCAGGTTCAGGCCCGTCGGTTGATGCTTGTGGGATTCGGAATGTTTTTGCATTCTCCTTTCATATGTTTCCGGGGTTTTGCCTGCTCTCTCTACTTCGTGCTTAGCGCCGGAGTTGGATCAGCGTTCCAACGAGCCGAGGTTTAATTTTAGCGGATCCTAGCATGCCACTACTATCTAATACGGCGTCACTGTACGACGGTATCTTGATTCATATTCTTACTTGGAATCTCAGCTGATAAATTCAAATTTCAAAGTTAATATCGAGATTTGTGACATCAAACAGGATCTTTCCCCAGGTCATTCATACTTCCCAAAGCAAGATGACCACGAACATGCCGGAGACCAAGGCTCCAGCGGCAGCCATCCCAAAAGAAACATCATTTGACACCATACCTTACGATGCTCCACTAGATAATCTGAATACCGTCCTTCAAAAGCGAGGATTGACAACCGCAACCCTCCCAGCCTGGGCCAAGAAGAAATCCCAAGCAGGCTCCAATTCCAAGCATCTCACTGTCCCCACAGCGGATCTCCGAGGGAAGCGCGTGATCATCACCGGCAGTAACAGTGGTATCGGTCGCGAAGCTGCTCTACAAATGGCAGCATGGGGTGCAAATCTAGTTCTAGGATGTCGCCCAAATCCTCCTCCTCATGAATTGCACCCTGATGTGGTGGTCGAGGAGTGTATGCAAGCTGCCAAGAAAGCTGGAAACGTGATTGAAGCCGAATGGTGGCCCATCGACCATGCGGATTTGAAGACTGTGGATGCGTTTGCGCAGAGATGGTTGGCTACTGGTCATGAACTCGATATTTTATGCAGCAACATAGGAATGGGTGCGAAACGTCCTGTGCCAGAGGAACAGGCGAAGAAGGGCGAGAAGTATCGCAAGACGGTAGATGGATTTGAGGAGGTTCATTCGGTTCGTGATCTAGCTTTTCAGTACCAATGTCTTTGACAACTATGAACATTGTCTCTAGGTTAACTTCCTTGGACATGTCGAACTCATCTTAAATCTTCTCCCAGCCTTGGCTCGCGCGTCTGAGCCTCGCGTTGTCTGCACCACGTCATGCTTCCATTATCTCGGCAAGTTCGACATCCAAAACTGGAACGGCGAAAATGACGACGCTGGGATTGGCGGCGTTCAATTCTACCAGAATAGCAAATTGAGGTACCAGATCTGGCTTACCGAGCTGCAGCGTCGCCTACTTCTCCATCCGGAGTATCGTCACATCACCGTCATTGGGTGTCATCCGGGCTTTGTCAATTCTGGAATTTGGTATATGCCTGGAAAATCATGGGTGTCTTGGATTCAAGAGAAGGCCACGCAGTTCCTGGCATCGAGGGTGGGCATCAACTCTCAGCAGGGGAGCTTGGCTATACTTCACGTTGCGACAAGTCCGGAAGCTGGACCAGATCCTAAGGTACAGATTGTTGGCAAGGAGGGAGGAGGTGGTGGTGGTAGGTATTTCAATCGAATTTGGGAGGATGAGGCTATGCCACATTGTGAGGATGCTGACTGTCGGTCGAGAGTATGGCGGAAGGTGAATGACGAGTTGAAGCTAAGCGAGAAGGGTCTTCTAGACGTGCTTGGAGTTCTTGGGACCCTATGAATGTTTTGTTCGTAATTTGTGTGACATTTCGCTGTCGTGTTTCTGTATATAGTAATAATGATTTGGCCGTTCAGCAACCTGTCAAACTGTCATAAATATCATCTCACCTTCCCTCTGCTGGCTTAAGTCCACCACAAGCCATCAATAAGCGAGATCCCCCTAATAGTATACTTCTGTTCATTCTCCATGAACTCACGATAGCTTGACATCTTCCAACTTTCATACCTGGTCAACATTCATTGTTCTTCACTCCTGTTCGCTCAAAGGCTTCCGTCCATACACAACAACATACGGGTAATACGCATGCTGTTTCCTATTCTTAATATCCTTCCTCACACCCGCAAAGAAAACCGTCGACTCCTCCACCGACCACCCTAACCCCTTCTGAAATACCCTCGTACTAATCCCCTCCAAATTTGACGTGAGGTTCTCCTGCTCAAAAGCTCCCACCAACCTCAGCCTCGGATCTTTCGCCCACGGACTAGTCGGCATCTTGAAAATGGTCTCGGTGACGCCTTCGAATCCGGCTTCTTCGAACCATCTCTTGTAGTGGATGGGGTCTTCCAGGGGAGTGCCGAATGCGGTTGCGGCGGCGCGGAGGAGGCGATCGTATTCTTTGAACTGGCTGGTTTCCGGCATGGTGCCGTCGTCGCAGTGGATTGTGCCGTTGATGTTTTGGAATTCGAGCCATCCGCCTGGCTTCAGATGTCTGCACTGGACGTAAGTGTGATGAGTCTTGTAGTGGTGAGGGTGGAGACCTACTTGTAACATTGCTTGATCAAGCGTGGAAAGTCTCGTATACAGAGGAGAAGATCTCGGGAGAAGATGTAGTCGAAACTGTTTAGCTGCCAAGTCCATGTTTGCTCGATGTCATCGATTTCGAAATGACAATTTGGAGCAGTCCTAGTATCCAAGTCAACGCTCTGAAGGTGTATCTTGTTCAATAGACTCACCATTTGGGCTGAATTGGTGCAATATCGACACCGGTCACCTGCTCCTTGTCAGAACTGTCTCAATAAGAAAAGTAGATAACTTGCATCTGCTGATGGGTTTGCATCGGCAAAGTCAATACTCCAGATTCCTAGAAGAGAGGTCAGCCCGGATCGTCCGCTGTTGACGACTTGGTGGATTTACCTGTACCGCATGCTAGGTCCAGCACTTTGTGTGGATTCTCTGGGATTGGCGCAATCCATCGTTTCTTGTCTAGCAGAATGAAGTATTTCGCATGCGCCATATCAATTCTGTCCATTTCTTGTTCATCCATGGGTGCGCCATATTCTTGTCAAAGCACATGTAAGCCTATTTTCATCTCCATATCAAAAATATCATTTGTCTAACCTTCTTTGCCGTATGATGCATACGTCCTTCCATTTTCTTCGACTCCTTGTATGATACTCGAAGAAAGAGAAGCTAAGGAGCTTTCTCCGCCCGTGTCGGCTCCCTAGATGAAAGTCAAAAACAGGTCGTAAGCCGAAGCACATGTCAGCTCCGTACCTCATCACTGAACTCATCATCATCTACTGCCTCGATAACATCAGTCGGCTGCTCGACCGCTTCCGTGTTCTCTTCAGCAGTCATTTGAAACCGGACAAGCACTTAATATATTTCAAGATGTCCTAAATATCGAAAACGTGGCGCATCAGCTAGATCAGGGAGGAAGAAGATGCGACTTTAAATGTGCCGTTTAATTAAGTGGAGGGATGTGCCTGCGGGGCGGAGTGACGGCACGGCATTCTCTGCAAGCAAGGGTATGTCCGAATCGATACAGGCCACGATATATCAGCGATTGGTGAAGGTGCACGACAAAAAGCAGTAAGTGGACTGCCGTCCCTGGTTGCGTCCGGATCAGACCGCTGCCATTTTCCTAGTGGTTCTGTCACAACGTGGCGTGACGAACCGTAAGCTTCGGAGAACTTCAATTGGCGGTTCGAGGACAATGTTCAACGCTATCCACTTGGCAGTCTTAGATTGCTTTTGATAGACATGCATGCTTGTCTTATACATCCTCATTGGGACAAGAGGCCTCGGTTGGTGGGTTGGGCCGGAAACATATCCACAAACATCCAAGTGCGATTATGATCCACCCCAGTACATGACGCTCCCTTGCTCATGTGGATGACGCTGCATCACATTTCGAACTTTCTCGGTAATGTTTCAACATCGCATCGTACTCCCACCTTGTATCACCCGAGAAACGACAAACGACTATGGCCGCTCCCCAACCTGGTCCGAATGCAGAGCTTATTGCAGCTGCGAGTGAGTTCGCTGCAGCTGTCAAGGATTTCAATGGCGATCCGGTTAAGCAACGTCAGCTGTTGAAGGAGGCTGACCGCCTCCGCCTATTGCTGGAAACCCCAATGGATGTGCTTATGAGGCAATGGGAAATGAGCCAATGCATCGCGGCTATGAACTTGCTGATCGAGCTCGACGTTTTGGAGGCCATACCAAAGGAAGGATCAATCAGCTCGAAAGACTTGGCCCAAGCTGTGAATGTCGACGAGTCCGCCATAGGTGGGGGTATTATTTAAATTCATTGAACTCTGTTAATAAACCTTGTATAGCTAGGGCGTTGAAGCTTGTGGTAATTAATGGCATCTGTGTCGAGCCGACACCAAATACATTCGCCCTCAACGCCAATGCCTTTGTCTTTCTAAAAGGCGCGGCCAGAGAATTCTTCCAATTCATGATCGACCAGACAGGACCGTTTTACAAATTACCCGAGTACTTCCGCACACACAAGCAAGAAGATCTTTATGACTTGAAGAAGTCGCCGTATGCCTGGGCAGTTGGCCTGGAAGGCAAGGATTACTATGAAGCCATCTCAAGCGACCCCAAGAAATTGCACAATTTCAACTTCACCATGGCCACATCGGAAGCTGTCACGCCTATCTTAGGGATGTTCCCATGGGCTAGCATGAAAGAGGCGGTTGAGGCTGATCCATCTCGCGCATTCGCGGTTGATATCGGAGGTGGCAGAGGTCAACTCCTGAAAGCCATCCAGCAAGAAGCTCCTAATGGGTTTGGCGCCAAGATGGTTCTCCAGGATCGCCCAGACGTTCTTGCTTCTTTAACAGATGAGGACATCCCTGGTATTGAGAAGATGCCATATGATTTCTACACGCCGCAGCCAGTCAAGAGTAATATCTCCGAAGTGTAGCTCATTGGCCTTGCTGACTGAACTTAGATGCGCATTTATATGTGATGCGCCGCATCCTCCATGACTTCTACATCCCAGTGTGCAAAGATCTTGTGAAGAATGTTGCAAGTGCCATGGGACCGACATCTCGATTCATTATCGCAGATATGATCATGCCTGACAAGGTTGAGATGGGAACGGAGGTAACGCCCTACTGGATGGACTTCAACTGTAAGTCGTATCTGGCCGTGTGAGTGTAGTGCTCCAGCTAATGTTATCAGTGATGATGTTGAATGGAACAGAGAAATCGAAGGCGCAATTTGAAGAGATTTTGGATGCAGCAGGATTGGAAATTGTCAAGATTCACCCGTTTGCGTTTGGATGCCATGCAAACATTGAATGTCGGCTGAAGACCACGACTTCTTCATGATGCTATTGAAAGCTTAGGGGCCAGAATCAAGACTACTCAACACAGAGATTTAATCAACTGATAGTCGAACTACGATACGATTGGGAAGATAAGGCCCGACTGAATCTCGACTGCAAAGAATAAGTCCCCTCTCTCATTTGAAATCTTCAAACAGCTTCCTTTCTAAATCCTCCATCGCTTCTTGCATAAGGTCAAGTCTCCTGTTTTCGATCATCTAGACTTTCATGTTCCATTAGGTTGTGATGTGAATATGAATCCTGGCATGTCGCACGTTGACCCATCGACTGGCGTATTTCTGACTCCTCGGTCGCACCCTACTTTCTTTGACACTAGTTTTCTCGTTCATTTGAGGTGATTTCTTGAATATGGTAATTCGACAGTCTCGACTCAGAAACATCGTTCTCGAATAAGCCAAGCAGCCTTGGTATGTATACTTCATTTCTTTTCTTGGTCTCCAACACATGAACCCCACTGACCTCCTCGAAGCTTTCATTTCAAGTCCACACACGAAGTAGCTATCCCACCACGCAAATCTAGCCCCACTACCAGAGCGCGGATCCCCATTTTCGATCTAGTCAAATCTGCCACCAACGGCCGCTACAACATGCCCGCACTAACGTCGCCCCAACATCAACAGCCAGACATCGACCTATCTGATGATTCATCGTCAGATATCCAGGTGCCAGAAGAAGAAGGAGAAGAAATCCGGCGGCGTCTTCGGCCTCTTCGGAGTAGAAGCCCAATCATTGATTTACGTCCTCCACCACCCCCTAGATTCTATTTCAGCTCTCTGGATCCTCAGAATCCTCGACTCAGACAGCGCTCAAGCGATACCCCTGATGATAGTACAACAGCACGGGCCGGTGATTTTACATGGTGGCGACAGGGGTATGGGGACGTTGGTGGTCCTGGTGAGCGAGAGACTGGTGTAAGTCAGAGAGGTGGTACTCCAGCACTAGTCAGTGGAAATCCGAGGCCACGACAGGCAATTGAGAACGTTGATAGTCACGGTCAGCAAGAGATTAGGGGGAATCAGAGACGACCAGTTTCAGTTCAGCCACCTCCTAATGTCAACAAGCCTACGAAGACTCAGCGAAAAGTGGCTAAGGAGGTGGTTCAATACCCGGTGTTTCCACTGTCGCTTCACACAGGTAAGTTGCCTCTTCCTGCTTAAGTGTGTAGAGACTAATCAACAATCAGAACCTATTCCTCATCCTCGTCGTGGAACTCCTCCCGGGCATCTGTCTTGGACAGCCTATTTCAGCCAATTCCGCAACGAATTACAGTTTCAGCAAGTTCGGCTTTGTAACAAGCCTTGTTGCAATGGTGATACGTTTCGCTTTTAATAAATTGCGATTGTCATTGCTGTGGTGTCGCTGGGGGAACACGTGGTGAAAGGACGTTTAAGCTTTTCGGAGCACGGTGAGCTTTTTTTGGAGTCGGCTTTTGAGGGCATCTTTATGTACCTAGAAGTTGGCGTGGCTTCCAATTGGTGGATCAATTGGAGAAAGGCGGGACAATAAATTTTTGGAAGAAGCAATTAACGTTATAATGGTATGTCAGGAAGTATTTATGAGACGTCGAACGTCACAAAAGCTATGCTGTGTTTACATGGAAATTCACCCAAGATTTCGAATGACCATGACATGTGCATACGAGTCGTAGTCGTATCTTTTAACCAGAGATCCATGAACAAAGAGCTGGAGGACAAAGGATAAACTGATATCATTCTGCAATTGAATCAGAAGTATAGCACTGCGGAAAGCAGAGGTCGCCTGGGGTTCAGCTTCTTTCTAGCTTTAGAAAACATCCACAATAGTCTATAGAAGTCACTAAGCAACCTAGGCTCTCGTACAAGACTTTTATCATGAATGACCATTGCCTGCTCTAATGAAGTACTAATAGCAACCGCAGCCTTCAAGTTCTCCTTGGCTTTGACAAACCCTCATGGGTTTGCGGCAACAATTTAGTTCTCGCTTATTCAAAAACTAAACAACGCTGAGGATATCCGCTACCCGATTGTTTACTTTATGTCACAACATCGTCGATAACTCAACACAGAGCAGAAATATCGACCGAGATCGACAGCTACCATGGGTCTTCCATTGTTCAAGACTCCAACGGCCGGAGAAGTCTCTGCCAAGGCGTAAGTTTTCCCTAGTTGCCCCGCTCTGCTCCACATGATGGCCTTGATCTCGATTTCGAGCTCCGCTGATAATCGTGAAGGGACATAGCCATAGCTGTCCACGAAGATGGCGTTCCTAATTCCTTAGAGTTGGCAGAGCAAGTGGCCCGTTCTGTAAACGAACATTTCGTGCGGCAGAGTGCAATGCAAAGTGAACTTCATAATGCATATTGGTCTCTTTCTCGAAGCAACACAAGCAACCAAAGGACGCAATCCGTGTCAGCTATTCAACCATACTCACCATCAATAGAGTCAATCAGTTCAAATGGAGATCCGTACGCCCAAGATGAAATCGCACGTCAAGAAAGTTCTCAAACACAAAACACCTGGCGCCCCATCGCGGTACGACCCACAAATACAATGACGGGTTCTGAATATGTGGAGAGAAGACTCAGAGATGCTGTTGGGCAGGAGGTTGAGCGTTTCGCAGAAAGTGTTCACCCGCGAGCTAGGAACAGTCCGGCCGACGAAGATAGACAAACGCTTGCAGAAGTTGAGGCGATGATCAATGCGGTGCACTTAGAGATGACACATTTGGTTAATGCACGGATGGGATCAATGCTTAGGCCAGGCTGGGCCACCGAGACAAGCTCTGCTTCAAGGGCACCTCGATGGGTTCTTCCTCAACTTGCTCCTCGTCAACTTGCCTCATCTGCAGCAGCAGAGTCTGGAGCTAGACCTGAAATGCCAACGACTGCCAATCATACCCGTCGTCGCTCGATTGGGTTTCTTCGTCGTAAGTCCAGCTGTTGTATTCCAGTCATTTCAGTGTAATACTGACTTCGGTTTTCTAGCTTCTCCGGCTTCTATTTCACAAGTCGTACCGCATATTGACCCACTGTCAATGGTAACCGCAGCAGAATCTACTCCGATACCACACCATGTTGATCGTGCAGCAACACCACCGATCCGAAGTGCCGCTCCGAGCCCGCCTGCCATTGCTGGACATGTTCGTGGTCGACACAGTCCCAACTCTGGAGTTTGGACAGATTGTTGAATGCTATAGAGCAGTCAGGGGGATTGGGAATGGATATGTTATGATCACAAAGCTTGGAGAGTTTATTTGAGAATTTTGACTGTTGAAAGAGCTGAGGGCAATTTGGCACTGTCAGTGTGCTAGTACAAAGTCTTGATTTCTCTACATCATTGTGGAGCCTACTCAAGTTGGAGATGGCACTTGTGGGCTTTGCAAGACAATAATGTGCTGATAGATGAGGATCTAGGGCTCTCCTGTTACATGAATGGCATGCTTCAAGGATAGATTCATGAGACTCAGAGACCACCATGGTGGAATAACATTCATAGCTGTTAATGGATGCTACTCATCTAACTTTAAATGTGCTTCATATTTCTTTAGTCTTCCAGTTCCTGATTCAGGATGACATTTAACTTTGCCAGAAGACAGCAATTCCCATACCGCACACCGGCAGCATTACAAAGAGAAGTTTATCAGTTCTTCTGTTCTCAAGAAATGTCATAAGTGCGACCAGAAGCTGAACTCCATGTAGTCTTCGTGAATATCTGCCCCAAGGATGATGTCATGGCAGCCACTTCAATTTTCTTCTCTGTGTTTGCTGCCTGCCTCGCTACTCTCCTGCCAGTAAACAAAAAAAAAATCACTGTAGCACAACGTCTCCACTCCATTCTCACCTCCACCTCACAACCTCGTCATCATCGTCGATCTTTCAACATTGCACCTCTTGCTCATTGCGCAACCACCAGAATGTCAGATCCATTGCCTCAGCAACAAACTTTCGTACGTCCAGCGCCTTTGGGCGAGGCCTGGCACCTCAGCTACAACATACCCAATCCCAATGCCAATGGTTCAGGCCTATCTATTACTGGGAGAGGACAGGTCGAAGTTTATGTCTATCCAGGAGCTACCAACTTCCAACTCGTGAATACGGGAGAAATTGTGTTACGACCTCTTTCACCTCGTCAACCTGACGTTCCAGTCCGCGAATGGCCAACAGTTCCACCACAAGGTTCAGTCCAGCACGTTGCTGTCACCAATAGATGGAGCAGATTCTCTGTATCTAATTCTGATTCGGCTATGCCAACGCGGCCTGCGCGTCCTGCGCGTCGTGCTGCATTCACTGTATCCTTTGAACCAGAAGATGATACCGAGAATAGCAATCAAAATGTGCCAGCGAGCGAAGTGTCAGTGGAAGGCCCAACAACGGGTGGCAGTCTATCATATCGACAGTTCCTTGCCCGTATTGCAGCAGCCGAACAGAATGCAGCATCTTCTGCCACGACCCGTCGTCATGGCCGACCAGAAATCCCTCGTCAGCATGAAACCCGTCTTCCATTCGTCGTCGACACAGGACGTCTCCGGCTAGGCCGCCCATTAGGTCTTGCACAGGAAAGAGGTGAAGGATTTATTCGACTTCATGATAGTGGCATAAATATCAGAGATGGTGGCACGAGCAATAGTGGTAGAATGAACAGATCGTCGAGCACACCCCAAGCTACAGTCTCACAGCGTACAGAAGATAACAATCTCAATGATACAGATGGACCAGACAAAGTTGCTGATTTGTCGCTCGATCATGATTCAAGAGATATGGCTACTGCTAATCCGGGGTATGATCGACAACCATTGATTCGTCAACGGACACACAGCACCCTCGAAAATACACACGTTGAAATCGAAGCACGAGAAGAATACCCCCAGAGCCTCCAATAACCCAGTGATGATATTTCATCCATACGAGCAGCAGCCCCAACGGCGACTGAGCGCTCAGAAGAAGAGCAGAATAGGCAGCACCTACGAGAAGAAAGCTCCTTCCTACCCAGCATTTTCGAATCTACCTCACGCCATGGCTCATCCTTCACACTCCTCAATATGCTCCCCCAAGAAACGCTCATCCAAATCGCCGCTGACCCCAACGTCGAGACTCGCTCGTTCGCCGCAGACATGGCAAGGATCGGCTACCCTGAAGCCCATCGTCTCCACGAATATCGATATCATCTTCGACCAGATGGAACAATCGGTGTTCGCATACCTCCTGAAAACGCTCAGGCTGCCTGGGAGGCTGAACTAGCCGAGTACGTACAGAGTGCCATGGTTATGAGAGCAACACAGAACGCTTCAACCCAAGTGCCTGTTGCAATTGTTTCCCCTGATACACAACCTCTTCCAGAAGATTTTGAGCCCCCTTCACCTCAAGATATCTCTCAATATTTATCTACGATGCTACCACCGAGCAATGACTACAATGCAGACACAGAACTCAGTTCTACTCCCAGTAAGTTATCCCCCGAATCCCTCTCATCACATCAGGTTTCTTCTATGCCACTATCTGGCTTCGCCTTAAGATGAAATGAATGATAATTAACCTTCCCTTAGCAAACAACCCAGACATCCAGGACCCGCCCCCTCCCACTTTAGATCCCGAGTCTGACCACTCCGAGCTTTCCGAACTTTCAGACGATCCTAGGTCCTTCTCTTCTGGTTCCCTTTCAGTCACAGAAAGCGATTACATTGATGGTATTATGGATGTTCCGAGGGGTAGGATGGGATGCTCGTGTCCAGAGTGTAATGGGAGGTTTTCATTCTTGTGAGCTGAAGTTGGGCCTGGGACTCTTGTGGTCTGATGTCGTCCTGAGAACCACCATGGTATGCAGCGTGGAATAGGAAGATTTGGTCTGTTGATCGGACGGATATAGTGATGAAGGGAGAGAGGATTAGCAGCAGAAGACTCCATGGGATGATTTCTACTCGGCATGGGAAGTGAATCCCTGGGACTGAGAAGGGAAGCTGTAGCTGTAGAGTATAGATGATAGAGAAGAGGCAGACGTAACTAAATGAAAGGCAAAAACAACTTCAACACAACCGTCTTCACCTAGCTCTCCCTTCTAACACCGTGAAACTATGTCACTTATTCCACCAATATGTTTGATTACCAGCAACAAGTTCCTCCATATTGCGCTTGCTTCGGTACCGTCTGATCTTCGTTATTCTTAACATAGCGATTTTCCAATTTCTATCCACTTTTGTTTTCCTATCGGATTATAAGATGTTTCACTCTTCGTAAAGTACTACTCAGCAGCGCAGCAAAAACTAGCATGTCCTCGCTGTTTCAATTCCACATCACGGCTCGTATCCGGACTTTCCAGACACTTCAGAACCCCGAGAATTACCCCCAATCATCAATTGACCAGTTCTAGACCTCTGTTCAAGCCCAAGATTAACTTATCGGTGTGACAATATAAGCCGAAGGGTCGAGTTACAGTGAGATATATCTAAGGTACCGCATATCTATTTCCACGCCGAAAATACAGGCTTCTTAACGCTAGACTGAGACTTAGTGACAACAACTGTCTCCGGAATTCTTTTGTTGCACATCGCAATCGTATCTCCGTACAACCCGACGCTCTCGCATTGTTTATCCGCGGAGTTTACTTCCCATACCCTTGATATCCGGTTAGCGAGACGCGGATTGTCTCCCGATCTGGATCTGATCTGGCTCCCCGATCTCTTTTCAGGCTTTTGACAGATCTGGTATGTCCAATGGTTGTTGAATAATTGGAAATCAAAACATGCCCTCTGATTGTTAATTGGTATGTTTGATAGTAAAACAGCAGGAATGTGCGTACCTAGGTAAAGTCCGAGACCTCATACCACGGGATTGAAGCCTGGCCGACTTACCTCTCACTCAAGACAGCATATTCTAATCCTACTCCACCATTCTGCAAGTAAATCACCCCCCTTTGTTGCACATCGCACCCATAACTCCGTCGCGCCATCTCCCTCCTGTATCTACACAAATTGCGCACCAACACACCTATCTCCATGCTCTTTTACCTGGGCCCGCCCCGCGCTTTCCGAGCCGGATCCTCGGGTCCAACCTACCTACGCCACAACCACATTTCACGTCAGTAAACCAATCGCAAGATTTGTTTACTAATCCTTTCTTTCGAATCGATTCAATGAAGTCTTTTGTTGCACATCAGAGTATAAACCCCGTCGCCGAGGGCGGCCGATGGACGGAGATGCGAGCCGATGCGTGGAGATCGATGGCGGTTAAAGCCGATGGCTTGCGGGAGGGTGAGCTAGCGAGACGGCGTTAATAGTTGTGGAGGACCTAGTGGTAGTGTTACGGAGCGGAGTGGAGAAGAAGCGGAGAATACGGCTGGGTGAGAAATATGAGATGAGATGGGACTTCGGGCGAGAAAAAGGTGGATTGGATCTGGATTTGCGATATTTGGAGGATGATGTGAGATGAGATACGGAATTCCGGAGTGTGTCCGCGGCGGAGATATGAAAGAGACTGGCGCGGGGTTTCTGTGAGCCCGTGGAAAGCGAGTCGGCGACGGCGAAGAGCTCCGATGAGAGTAAGATCATATTTTGTAGCTAATTTATCTAGACATACTGGTCGAAAATGGATCTCCCAGAATTTAGGAAAGATCCCCTTTCCCCGCGGTTGGGTGCGGAGCGGAAGAAATAAACACCCTTAACCGAGCTTTCTCGGCCGAACCAGTAAACATTCCACCGCCTCGTCAACGGATGAATTCTTCGCGCGGTGGAACAATAAAAGCTCATATTGAATCTAAACCAACAAAATCATGAGTCTCAACGATCTAACTCGCAGGCAGAAAGAAAACCCTCCGAAGCCCGACTTTCGGGCTCGGTCTCATGATCCCGACGGAGAGACAGTTACCACTGGGCGCGAGTCGGCCGTATGTGGAGGATCTATGGTAAGGGAGAGAATGATCGTGAGAGCGGGAAAGACCGCATTTACAGTACTGAGAGTCTTTGATTTTACGATTGGGTCAAATATGAGGGGTAAGTAAATGAAGTAGGGAAGAGGGTGAGCAGTGGTCTCGAACATGGGAAGATGTCCGATGGAATCTTGCGGAGTCTGTGTATGAAATCAGCCCGTCAAGGACGATAGGATTTCTAGCAACGATGAGAAGAAAGAGGGTTTAGAAACAATACCCGTGAATACAAAACCCTTAAAGAAGAATGTGGCAAGCATTCAGAAGGCTCAACCCGAAGCTATCATCCCCACACCCGAACCAAACTCAATCCCCACCCAATACAGCAAGTTTCACACACCCATCTACCAGTACCAGACACCCAGCATCATCGAGACTATCCTCTCCAAAACTCTTCCTCCCTCTTTAAACCACACGAAACCATCCCTACCCTCATTCCTCCCCAACATCAATTCTACATTCAGCATTTCGGAGTCCGACCCACTCCATCTGATTGGCCAATCCACGGAGCTTCGGGGGTTTGGCGCGCCCGCTCGGAAACCGAGCGAAATATGCGATGTGCAACAAAACTTCATCTCAAGCGTACTTACCATGGTAGAATGAATGAGTAGATTGCGATTGGATGGTACGATGTTGGGGAAATATGGCTGGAGGAAGGTGAGTGGTTTATTGTGCGAGGATGGTGGGGGGGAGAGGGGAGGATATCGCCGATGCGGCCGAAAGGCGTGGTGGTGGAGAGTGCGGGGGCGGGGTAGGATGGATAGATAGATGCCCGACATATGTGAAGAGCTGAAAAGAGAAGCTTTGTTTGTATTCGCTAGTAATCGGTAATCTGAATCTGGGAAACTGTGATTTGTCGATCGCAAATACTGTAGGGCTTGGTGTAAACTTTATCGAAAAGAGTGCCCTTAAATCTAGACTTATGGACAAGCTTTTCCTATCCGTTATGCCTCCTCGTTCCTGATAAGCATAACAACCTCCCGCACGTCTCATTACCCCCTTCTCTACCTAAGCGAAAACATCACTACCTCCAGATGTAGCCAAACAATAACCACTTCCCATCCAACCGGAAGTCGGAAGCTGCTCGTGCCGAGCATGGCTATCACGGCACCGATGGGAACGGCACGAGGCGCAACTTACAGATAAATCGTTCCTGTTCAGTCTTTGGAATATCCCAACTTGGCGTGAAATCATTCAATCGACATGGCAAAGAGATATTATTGGCTGGATGCGGGTAGGACGGGCGTTAGTGAGCCACAAAGGTATGGCTAGGCTGTGTTCGCGAGCTGGAAAGGACGGATGTTCGGATATTGGAGTGCCGTTGGATTCTGCGATGTGCAACAGAGTGAAATGCAGAGAAATAGGGCCGAAGGTATGTTATTAGATGACCCATCATTTTTTTTGTTGGTGTAGCCCCACTTCTCGTGATGGTTAGATATCGGGCGAGTGGCTGAAGATGGGTGATAATTCCAAGTCACATCTATCACGTGTGGACTGTACATCCTATTGGACTAATTCTGTGTTCTCTTGGTCCTACCTTGGTAGAAGTTGTTTTCTTCCGCATTGAAAGAAATCATAATAGCTTTCGATTGCAAGCGAATGAGCTCGCCTCTTGTGCTCTGCGCGGGACTGGGGATGAACTCGATTTGACTTTTGGTGGCATGGCTTAAAAAGTGACAAATTCTCCCTTCTTGGAACGTAATAAGGTAAGTTGGATATTCTCTACGCTTTTGTAATAAAATTTCATTCCTGTGCTTCATCCTTATCAACTTCTGTCACTCATTCGTCTCGGCAACGATACGCTAGACCATTCTCAGCACAAAAACATCTCAGCTTCTTGACCCAGGAAGACAACAGCGGATGCATACCAAGACGTTATTCATGAGCGAACTAAGCACAGATTGCTTCTTGATGTAAACCACATGCCTGACAGGCCTTGAAAGATGGATAATCGCTGAGCCTTTTCGAAACTAAGCTTCTTTTGGAGAAATAGTGCGACGATAAGCGAGTTCCAAGGAGGGGCACAGCTAGCGTGGGACCGTGGGGTACTTTCAACAACCTACCTCCATCATTTACATCTCATGAGCGATTGCAGGCTTCAAGCATACATATCAGTATTTCACGAGTCTGCCCAGATATATGCATCCAACGATATAGCCAGTCTTATCTCATAACCGCTGAAATGTCGGAAGCTCGGCGCCACAAGTCCCGTGCCGGATGCCAACAATGCAAGCGCCGGAAGGTGAGTTTATGTCAACAGTGAAAAGCTTTCATTCATCTTCTTTGCTGATACTCACGCAGTATAGGTAAAATGCGATTTGGGTATCCCGAACTGTAACCAATGCCGTCGTCAAAAGCTCCAATGCCCAGGCTACCAGAAGCCACTCAAATGGGTCAGCGATGAAGTTTCCTCATCACGGCCACAAGCCCAAACCCACCCATCACGGACTTCCAAGTCGCCAACAACTTCCCAAACATCACGATCATCCTCAAGCAGCGGCTCTTATATCCCAGGCTCCTGCCTCGGAGAACCTCTCTACGACGACACCACCACCCTCATCCACCACTACTTCACCCGAGTCTGCCGCATAGCCGGCTGCTTCGACTCCCCCTTCTCTCCCTTCCGCATCATCCCCCCTCTCATCCTCAGCACCTCCAAACCCATCTTCCTCCTCCTGCAAGCCTCCTCCGCTGCGCAACTCAGCCGCCAGCACCCCACCATGCGCATCAAAGCCCTGCGTCTGCAAACTGAAGCATTTTCTGCTGTGCGTGACGACATAGGCATGTTGATGAGTGGTGGTGGCGGGTTCGCCGTCTCGGATGAGTTGATGTTGGCGTCTATTTTTGCGGGCTTGACGAGTGCTTGGTATGATGTTAATGATACAGGGCTGAGCCATGTGCTTGGCAGTCAGATTTTGCTGTCGTTGTGGTTGATGGGGAGGGTGGGGCAGAGGTTGAATTATCAGCAGACGTTCATTTTGGGTGCGTATGTGTACTGGTTTATGATATCGTCGTTTGCGGTGGGTGATCCGTGGCAGTCATTTTGTTATCAGGAGGCGTTGCAAAGTACGTTGGCGAAGCTGGACATGTGTCGTGATGTTGTGGACGATACGGATGTGCCGGAGGAGCAGAGGAAAGTGTATCCACATCCACTTACGGGTTTCTCGAATGAAGTGTGCTTGGCTGTTGGCAAGGTTGGGTCGCTATGCCGTCTTCATTACATCTCAAAAGGGCAGATGAGAGACTTCTTGGAGGAGAAGGCAGGTATCGCCGAGGAGGAATTGTTAGATCTGGAGCAGTTTGACAGTCGGAATTTCCAGGATCCACAAGACCCAAAGACGAACGTTGAGGAGATCTTAAGTGTGAGGGAAGCGTACAGATTGGCGGGCTTACTACAACTCTACGACACTTTTCCACATCTTCTCCATCGACATACTGAGCCCCAGGATTACTCGCCAGAATGCGAGATTGAAGAAGAGCCACATACCCCAGCTCAGCATAACTTCCTCCTCGCCCTATCTATCCACATCCTCCGCATCCTCGCCACCATCCCCCCATCTTCAGGAACCCGCGTCCTCCAAGGTCTACCCGCTCTCATCGCAGCAACTTGGCTCGTAGATCCCCATCCTTCAACATCCGACATATTCAACCACCCTCGTCTCCCCCTCACACCTTCTGTTCTCCAACCATCACCAACATCTCTTCCCTCGTCCAGCCAAGCCCACCCAACATATCAACCCCATCTCGACCAACTGCATTCACCGTCATCCTCCTCTTTATCTCAGAAACAATACTGGCGCGACCGCGTCCGCGACGGGCTCCGCAAACACGACGAGTATGTTGGTCTTCAACAGGTTTCTAGAGTATTGGATATTGTGGAGGAGGTATGGAGGCTTGATGATCGAGCGGGGTATGGGAATTGGAAGCTGGGACGGAGAAGTGGAGAGAAGTGTAAGTGGATGGTTGTTGTTGCGAGGAAGGGGTTGCAGACTTTGTATGGGTAGGAGTGGTGTGTGAGGAGATAGAAAGAGATATTGGGGATCGATTACGATATATGGAGGGGAATTCGGAGGATTTCATCAAAGATTCGCCCAGTTCTTGAGACAGAGTATCGTGTAAGCATTCTCGATATGAGGGGTCTGCTCACTTCGTTGACGGCTTCTCTCAGTTGTTCTTTTATGAGCGCTTAGTATCATGTGGTTCAAACAAGCAGCTACCTATATCACGACATTTTCTAAAAGGGTCAGAATGCTTGGGAGATGAACGGTAGGAAGTGATAATCTTGTGGAGGAGAAGCAATAGATACTTTCAGGCGGTGTGGGCCGGTTCACCGCTGGGGTACTCACTACTGGAATCTACTACCGTTGACGTTCCAATAAACCTCTTGTAACGCACGTGGATTAGCGTAGCATACGTAATCAGGCCCTATTAAAAGGGTAGCCCGAGTGTTACAGGCTGTTCTCTCCTTAGCAATTAGCTTCTGTCTGTCAATCCAGTATCACCAGCGAGCCTTCAGCTATTCTCTAGTGATCTCTTTTGCCTTGAAGGCACCTCAGCGTGCTAGTGATCATTGCACCTGCCCACATGGCATGTTCACCGAAAGTAGCCTTTCCAAATAAACTGTTCAACAAGATCTTCCTCATTATCTAACGTGCCATTCCCAAGTACTACTACAGTCCCTCCCACATCGTTACTTCAACACATTTCTCACACATGACTCATATTGTACATCCCAATGGCTCTCAATTGTCAACGTCCGGATTCTCGTTGTCAACATCCAGATCTTCATCTTCGAGGTATAGATCCTCACCGTAGACCCACAACTTGAAATCCATAGCATCAACTCGCCGTTTATTGCACATATACCTGTTCCGAACTTTCACAATTTGTAGATCTTGCAACATGCGATATATAAGATGTCGCTGGTACCACCCTCGCGAATTATTGAATCTCCAAACATCCTTGAGCTTCTCAACGGCATAGGCTACGGGAACTTGCTCCGCAGAAGCAAGTCCCCTCACACGCCTCATCATCTCGTCCCAGCTCTTCTTGCGGGAAGCCCGCTTCCGCTTCATCTCCTGCTCCTCTTTCTTCTGTCTGCGTTGCTCGTCTTCCCAACACTGCTCGCAGAAAGAGGTAGAACTATAACCCGAGATACCCTTGCGATCGCGAGACCATTCGTACGATTGCTCCACAGCAGGTCGGATGTCGCAAATGTCACAGATAGATCTCCTCCTATCCGCGCGACACTCGCTGCAGTCACAGGGGCCGCCGAAATCGCAACTGCTGCGGTATGGCGGGATGACATGGAACTGCCTGGCAACAATGCTGGGCTTCAGCGAGAACACATGTCTCGTCACCTTGTGGATATTCTTTGTCCCAATCAAGCTGATGACGATACATCTGAGCATATTTGAAGGACTGGCGATGGTTGGTACCAGAAACAGTGATGCTATTGTATATCGTGGGAGGGATACTTGGGAAGTTGAAAGGTTTGAAGAACGACGAGGCTTCGATGTGAGATAAAACCCGCCATCTCGACGCGTCTAAGTTATGGCTATACTGTTTTGGACGGAAGATAAACTCTCGAGTGCTCCTAGGCGTGTTTTGAGTTCTTTCTTCAATCTCGCTAAAATATTTCGATTGGAGATGATAATCTCCCACCCGCAAAATACTTAAGCGACTTTGGGTCTCACATTGTTAGCTATTTTGACTGAGCCGCCGCGCTGAAGCTGCATAAAGCAAATTATAAATCTACAAGCCGTTAACCAATACACTACCTAGTCAGCCCCGGGAGCGGGGATACCGGTATGGATACCCAACATCTCTCTCACCACTGTTGAGGTGAAAATTCGAATTTCTGCTTCTCGCCCCTGACTCTACGATCTAAAGACAACTTCATAAATTGTAGGAACGTTAATTCCTTGATAGACAGGAGAGTTTCGTGGTCAATGTTTGGTAAGCTGTCTGTCACTCATGCATGCTCTTACCATCGACATCTTATACGATCTGACATGGTTGACCCTTTCGTCACTTTAAGGCTGCTATTCCTTGGGTTCTCATAGTACCATTCCCAGACTTTATTGGCTCCCCAAGACCCTATTCATACGTTGGAATAGCCCTCGCTTCAATGATCACAATTGGTCCCCCTTACCGTTTAATGTACGGATCCTATTCTTCAGTATGTAGAGCGAGGTGATCATAGCAAGCTGGCGTGTATATATATACATGAGCATATATGAGCGATGGATCTCATTTCACCTAGAGGAGTGAAGAAAAGAGGAGCAACATAATCACTAAACTAGGTGAATTCATGTGTTTCCGCTACCAAGAAGAACCCGGGATATAGCTAGTTATGTACTCGTAGGCACTTGCTGGAAGATGGGACTTGACAGTCATCAGTATATAAGACGCAATGGCTTCCCTAAGCTGATAGTTGGTGGACGCTGTACACAACCATCAGAACATGGAGTTCATGGGAATTGGAGGACGGAATCCAGCCCCATATATGATGCTACAGCCAATTGCGTTCTGTTGTTGGGACATCGGAGTGCGTGAGAACTTTGGGCTATAAACGAGCGTCTTACTTCTTTGCTCATGTCTGACTATGCGGCGGCATAAGGAGCTGCTACCAAGCCATTTGTCGCTGTCAATACTCAATCTGTCATGTTTACATCCAGTGTGTGGCAGACACTGTCATTGACTGGAAGAAAATGTTTCAATTAACCTCAATATCCGAAATTTCGCATCTGTTCAAGGAAGACATAACTTCCCTCGAGGCACAACCCACCCCCCGGCCTTGAAGTCGTCATTTCCCTTCATGATCACTGATATCAAGATAACTTTGAGACTAGAAGCAGCTCTTTATATATATTTCTGGTCCCATGATCTAGGTACAGGGACACGCTTGATGAGATGACGGATTAGATATGAAAACTCGGACATACTCTAAATTACTACACAGAACGCGATATGAAAGGCTGTGAATAAAGTCACAGGTCGTCGGAAATTCACGCTGTGGAAACGATAAATATGATTTTGTGCCTCTCTTCACATACCACACGTGCGAGGGGTGAAGAAGATTTCAGGCTCTTTGGCTCCGATGCCTAGAAGGTCTCTACTCAGTGCAATATTCGTGCTCAAGCCAATATGGCGATGAAGGGAGCATCTAACCTGTTTCTGCATAGATTGTATGATGAGCTTATGTTAGCTGTTGGGCAGACTGTTTATTGCTGTCATCTGCCCTGCTGCTATCATTCTCATGAAACTCAACTTTCAATTAATTCATCTGTCTGGACAGTTGTCTTGTGTATCCAATCTTTGGCAAGAGAGCAGCCTATTACATTGTCTAAGACCTTCAAGGCTTTTTGTAAGGTACGAATCCAGGGTCACGAGATGTCCCTCGAGCTCCGCGGTCTGGTGCACCTTGAACGGTAGTTGCTGGAGTTTGGTGAGATAATGGAATGCTTCCAAAGGTTCAATTTTATAATCGAAATCTTGGCCTGGCTCAGGGTCAAGATTCAACTTTGGCAGCGTATGTGTTGTAGTAGTAATTCACCTTCACAATAATTCAGTTTCTCAAGTTATTCAAACCTCGGAGTGCAAATGCAAACACTTCACTCCACTTGCCAGCCTATGCTATGTCATGTATATATATCTCCTAATCTAGCTTCCACAATCTTCAACAATCGGGGATCCACCACGTAAGAGAGTGAAGGGTGTGGCAGCTTCTGGAAAAGAGGAATATAGCTGCATCTCATGCTCCTCTTTCCCCTTCCTTCGTTGAAGCGAAATATATGAAGGTAAGAGCGATTGTCTTCCATAAAGTATGGCATCAGAATGAAATCTACTGCGAAGAGAAATACTGCCAAGCTCAGGATTTCCGTCGTGTTGTGTTTGTTGTCATCGGTAATAACAAGGACCAAAGACTGACAGGAAACATAAAAGGAGCAAGTGCAGACTTTGATACTTGAGCAAAGCATGGAGGGCTATCCACAAACGTTGATCGATATGGGAGCCCATTGTAAATGAGGTTGACTGGATAAGCGCCTTTTGTGTCTGTGTGGCGCTACATTTGGTCTTGTGTACTTTGATCTTAGAGATGTGCCGGATAACCATATATACTACTTTTGGTGAACTCCTTTGTAACTGCGATTGGGCTATTGGATGGGACATTGACATGTTGTGCCTGCAGTTGGAATCTTTGCATTCCCATCTTCGCTGACTAGGGACTGAATATGATTTCAACCTCTTCTCATTATTCTGGAATGCCTTAATGCCAGCAACACAAGGAGCGATGAGGTGAAGCTCGGGAAGGTCAGGGACTGCGCTAGACCTTGTTTGTTTCGAACGTGATTTCAACACTTGGTATTCACGAGGAAATAATTCTCACGAGCTGTAGTCTCTCTTCCAAGACAGAATGTTCACTCATGTACTATGACATGATGAGCCAACTTTCTCTTTACTTCACAAAGTATTGGAATTTCGGAAGGGAAAAACATTGGTCACGTTACTCCAAGCGAGCGCCAAGAAACAGGCCAATCCTGAACTCACATCTCTTCCCAGCTCATAACTTACCTCACATTAACATCATCCGAATGGCTTCATCTCAACGCTCCTCACCGCAGCGATCCCCTTGCTCTCACCGCCAGTATGTCACGAATCTTGTCTCCTTTCATAACAAAACGAAGCCCGAGCGCGCCCTCCTTTCCCTTCCCCAGTTAGTCAAACCGTCAGACGCAGCGGCCCGGACCCGGACCCGCTGCGTGCCAGCACACATCACACGTGCGGAGATGAATCAACAAATCGATCACACCGCCAGGAACAACGATGGAGACATCGGAGATTCTGATGCATTTGTATGTCTAGAAAAACGCCATCAAACATTTCGCTAAGCAGCACGAAGATTATTCTACGGGCCAAGTTTCACTCTATTCTCATTCGTCCTCGTTACAGATGGACTTGTCTTCTCTGGCGGATATCTATTGGATGATGAGAGGCACATGTCCTGAAGGCTGCAACTCAAATGCGCCCGCTTCTGCGCCCCGGCGAGGATCCCCCTTTCCGTTGCCCTTTCGGGTTTCAGCTCTGCTGTCACGAGCAGATTGGCGAGATGTGGACGAGTTGTGTGCGAGTATGAAAGACGCAGAAAGGTTATCTCGTCTTCACATGTCAATGGAACCGAGGGGAATAGATGCGCACAAGCCCAAGTTAGACTGTACAGTACGAGTACAGCTTGTATCAAATGATGCATTTGATCAACGTACGTAAATGACGCTTCTTCTCCTGTCCCGTTTTCTCTTCTTTCCTTACATCCAATATTTCTCCCAGCATAGCCTCGATGGCGACAACCACAACAACAACAACACACCAAACCGGGCCATAAATACACTGTTGCTGCAGACCATCCATCCACCGCCTTTTCCTCGGGATACCTTCTCGCTATCACTGGATGCACAGGCGACATCGGATGACGGTCCCAGCAAGTCATCCCCACTACTGCAGCGCCTGCATCCCAACTGCAGAAGTGCATCTGTGGCGGTCAAGAAAGGGTTGAAAGCCCTGCTGCAGCCAATAATTTTTATGCAGCTGGACCTGTCAGGCTTCTTGATTAAGAACCTTATCCGACTCTAACGCAGGGCAGTGTTTCCATCATTTCGATATCCGATCTCAACTGCTTCGAACTTCTTTACTTTTGTTGCTCATGTACAAGACATCCATATCTTCAAGTCACTTTATCGCTCCGGAACAACCCCTCATTTTAGCTCTGGCGAGAGTGGGGGAAAAGTCCAGACTTGTTCAGGGTCCTTAGCCCACTCAAGTCCCCAGTCCTGGCCTATCCCTGTCCCTATCGGTGATTAGAGCCAGACACCAACAACCCCAACTCGCCCAACACACCCCACTATCTGCAAGGACTCTCACCAAAGCGTAGTCACCACTTAAAAGACGCTGAGATCCAACCAGAACATTAAGAAGTCTGGTGATGGGCCCAGATTGCCGCCTTGGCGACACAGGACAGTCATCGGAAGCGATTTACTGGGGTTTATCCCCGGTGTTTGATGGCCTGGCCTTGTCTTTGAAAGGGAACTGCACGACTCCAGTACCGGGGTTGAGAGGAGATTTATAACCTCCATACCAGCCCCACCGCCGTCCTCTTGACAACGCACGAAACGACATTCCTCCTTCACCCACAAGAATATTTTCCAAATAAACAGCTGGAAGAATTTTGATCAAGCATTACTCAAAGTATGAGTCGAAGAAATAGGAAATCATCAGGTCCTGGAAACGCACTCAATAATCAATCATCAACAACCTCATAATAACGTCCAGCCGCTGCTGTACCCGCTCACAAAAATGGTCACTCAATCTCAAATTCCGAAACATCATCTTAATCCAATCAATACACACTGGCATAATCGATCCCTATCCAGTCTCTCAGCCACGTCAGATGCAGCAACTTTTCATTCTGCACACGCTCATCTGTCAAATATGGAATTACGGCAGCTTTCCCTCACTCAACGACATCACCCCTCAGTCCTGACATCTCTACCTCTGTCAGGCACAACTCAAGCTCTCCCATCTCCTCAACTTACAGCAATAAAAATGGACCGTCAAGACTCGGGATATGCAGAATCACAGTCACATTCAACACCCCAATCACCAACATCCACCTCCCACTCCAGACGAACATCTGCCTCATCATCAGTCAAAAGACGAAACTCTCCATCCAGCAGCCAAAACATGTCATCCCGCCCCAAGAAGCGAACCGCACACTCATCCTCCTCTTCGAACACCACTCGCCCGCCCACAAAACGAACCACAACAAGCCAAGGCCGAATCTCAAACTCTGGATCCAGACCTTCCCTATCATCCCGCCATACTACTCCATTCGCTCACCAACAACAACAACAACCCTACCAATTCTTCCAATTCCCCTCGCTAGCGGACCCCTCCTCCCCTCCGCCCACCTCCCGCACCTCCAACATCTCCCCATTAAACACCCTAAACTCAAATTCACCTTCAAATCCCCACCTAACCACCGTCTCCCCACCGCCGCCCCCACCACCAACCACAATCCAATACTGGACCTCCGACTCCACCCGCCGCCTCGAATATGCCGCTATCGACGCAGCATCCAAGGGCATCCGTGGATTCTTTATCAAGCTCCTCCCGGACTGTATCCTTCCTGCTTCGAGTCGACGCACCAAGTTCCATTGTGAGGATGATGAGGGAGGAAGTGATGCGGGGAGTGTGAGGAGGTATAGGTTGGTGTTGCCGGAGGAGGGGGAGAAGGAGATGAAGGGGAGGGGAGTGGAGAGGGGAACTGGGAGTGGCAGGAGGGGATTGCTGAGGAGGTGGACGAGTTTTGGGAGGAGGGGTGGGAGGATGGATTGAGTAGGTCGAGGATACGACGGACGGCTGTGGGCAGGATCACAGCACACCAACACCACGAATTGAAACGAGCAGGAATACACACACGATGGCAGACGGAAATCAAACAGACGGACGGATACACAGAACGGACAACGTACAAACGACAGAATGAACAAACGAACCAACCAGCGAGCATTGATTTAGCGATGAACAAACATACATATACATGGGAGGGGTATGGAGCTTGCATTGCATGATACCCAGGAGCGAGATGGAATTGATGACAGAATGCAGCGGAAGCGGAAATGGGATGGAGTGGTGCATTGTATTGCATATTATTGCGGGAGTATGAGCGCGTGTGGGATGATACCATTTTTGATGCGTTGATTTTTATATTGGTGTTTTGTGTTTGTGTTATGGAAGGGGGTTGAGAGGGCTTTCATTACGGAAACACTTTTTTTTGGAGAGGCTCGCAGAGGAGGGAAAGGGTTGGGTTGGGTGGATTTGGAGGCAAAGGGAGCCGTGGGGGGAGACATATTGGAAATGACATCTGATCTGGTGTCGGAGTTTCGTTTGTTTCTTGGTGATACTGACTTTATGGAATTATGGATCGTGTCCCTGTGAGATGTCGAGTCTGGTAGACTATCGGCATCTAGACCTGTGGTCTGGAGCGCGAGTGGAGGCTGGCATGGAATACAGAACATACCTATTTTAGTTGAGGGCAGACAGAGAGGAGATCAGTCAGATAGGGTGCATGCAAGCAGCTACCTTACCATAGTAACACAATCAATCAATCAAACAAGCAAATAAAAAACACCCTGAATCCCTTCCTCCCCAGAGCCTTGCGGAGTACATTCACCATTCCAGACCAAACTTCGCTTTAGCCCTGTAACTGCTCATCTATAAATACCCTCCTCAACCAACACACTGAAAGCGTTTTGTCCCCAAACAAAAAAGAAAGAGCGCCGAGCCGTCGGAGTAGTTGGGGGACTTGTCGTAAGACAAAGACTCCTATGGCGCCTCAGTATTTTTCCCGTTAATACTTGGCACTTCTTCCTCAGCCTTGTTTATCTACCTATTTCTGTACGAGTTCCTATAGTCTGTCAACTGCAGGAACTGCATTTGCAGAGGTGGGGAGTGACAGTCAGATAGACATCGACAGTGCCTCATTTATTGGCAACAATAGATCTCCGCTTATCAAACTTGCAGATCCCTACCGAACTGTTTATTCTCACCCATCACACAACCAGCACATACTTCCTCTCTTTTAATCTATCGTGCTTATAAACAAATTTTCTGGAAGCTTCATGCACTAGGTAGCTCACCATGCTGATCCCCAGACAGCTCATGGGTTACTTGTTGCGATGATTTTGGAAGGAATGAGGGTTCCAAAGATGCGATGGGTTGTAGTGTTTATATACTACATTGCTGTCGACTAACAGGAGGGAATTCTATACCGAGATTTACGCAAGCATGCTCTGAGAGGATATCTGGGTAGTGTATGCGTGGTGAGTGGCTTATTAAACAGGGTGGCTCTTGGAGGAGTGAATTCTTAACTTGTAGCTTAGCTCCGATCATTATGACTGGACTCGTGGCTGGGGTTTTGGGTAGGGTGATATAAACTCTATACTCTCCGAAACACAATCGACCAGAAACGACCGCGGACTTTGGGCCGATCACACGGGAGGGTGTGCGGCTTGCTGTCCAGAGTCCCTGAATTTACGTTCGAGAATCAGTCAGTGGAAGTGGTAGAGTGGAGGTTACGGCTTTCAGAATTTTCGTCATCCATAGTGAGCTTGCTGCAATCTGGAGTGCTCGTATGGAGGTAGCGAGTGGGGATGCTGACAGCGATTGGCGAGATGACAACAAAAAGACATCTTAACACAAACAGCTCAGAAGAACTAGAGCCAGGGAAAAGCTCAACAGGAATAACGTTTCGAAACTTCTCGACGCTTGTTTACTAACGAAGATTTACTTGTTTCGATTTGTGGGTAGTGAGGCCTACCGTATCTATTGGTCAGCGGACGTGCTTATCATAACGTGCTACGTGAGCCATTGATCATGCATGCTCATTTTTTCTCAAGGGAGTTTAAATACACAACTGATTCTGTTAGATAATCTTGAATCAAGGCAGGGAGGAAGTAACTCAGTAACTCGACTCATCATTCACTTCACCACATACCGCCCACCGCGTGTCGAGGTGATACTTCTGGGGCAATTTCAACTGGCTAGTGCCCGTACCCTCCCATGCCGTATAAATTGCTTCTCATTGCCTTCATAGCTCTAGCAATATAGTAGAGAACCAAGCTTACCAGCAGCAAAGCGAAGTCTGTTGCACGGTGTGCACTCAAAGTATATTCGACGAACCACTAACCTACGCCTGTAGCCTCCTTCAGCAACCATGTTGGTTTGTCTCTTGCTCAGCTCCACAATACATACTTGAAACGGTAGTTGGCCTCCAACAACCTGATGTCACTACGGTGGCAACAGCTCTCCATTCCAATGGAAATATTCTCTATAAATATAGAGGTATTTTATGGAAAATCTTTCCATAAGAATGGAGAGTCGTCACCCACAATTATAGAGAATATTTCCATGATCATGGATTTTATACTATACAAAATAAAACATGGAAATATCTATAAATTATAAATCTATAAATCCATAATTATGGATTTTCCTCTATTTTTATATATTCAGTTCTATAGATAATATTTATAGTTTCCTACTCCCTACCCACCCCCCCCCCCCCACCTTCTTACCTTAGCCTCCCACCTTCTTACCATAAAGAGACCTACCGTGGAGAAACCTACTGTGAGACCTACTGTGAGAGACCTACCGTAGAGAGACCTATCGTAGAGAGACCTACTATAAAGAGAGATAAAGAGAGAAAGAAAAGAGGGGGGGGGGAGGGGATAATATGGAAGGATTAAAGTTTGAGTATAAAACACGCTTTAACAGAGAAAGTAGGTTATATAGGTATAGAAAGAATCTCCATGGGTATGGAAAGAAACTCTACAAGGATAGAAATTATCCTTAGGTATAAAGGGAATCTCCATAATTATGGAATAATCTCCATAGGGATAGAGATTCTTTCCATGCCAATGGAGCTGTTGCCACCGTAGTGTGCAAAAGTCTGTAAATGGCAATGTGTTGGGATTTGACAATAAGTCTTCACTTAGTTGACAGTATCAATCTGACACATGCTCCAAATAACACCAGACGGCTGCCTAGCTTGACTGTCTACTAGAGGAGGCAGTTTCTCGCGCGTCAAATATTGTAGCAAGGCTATCTCATTAACTGCTGAGAACACACTTTTCCAAGGGGCATCGCTGAAGCGGGGCACTAACGCAGCCTATCCTTCAAATCGCGGGGGTATTTTAAGGGTGCCTCGCTTAATTACAGGGCTTTATTTCAGGCTATCTGACCTCGGATCCAGGTGCCATCCCTCACCGAGCGCTTCGGGCCGCCGACCTGGTTGAAGGGTGGCTTTTCGCTTGCCCAGGCCGGCTTTCAAACATTTATCTGCAAATCCACCAATCTTAACTCTATCGCTTCTTTCTGCATTGATCCGCAGCCATACTTTGCTGCACTGTACGTCGCAGACTGTTGCCGAAGCACGGGAAGCCCTCTGGCGTGGCTGTGAGAAATAAGCGAGACCCTCAGCCATTAACTGGCGGGGGAAAGTTGCTCGTCCCCTGCGGACACCAAATATTCTTTGCTTGGAAGGAGGGGCTGATACGTTTATGACCAACATTTCGAGGCTGTGATATGTTGGTATCTATTTCTGATATCCTCAATGTTGCATATATGAAATGGGGGTGGTACGAGGAGGTACTACAACAGCTCTCATTGAATATCGCTCCAATCTAGAATTGATTTGGTTCTTACACTGCAGATTATTTACTTGATCCTTACTTCTCGCAATGGACCGGTTCAGCACCTCCCGCACCTCTCCGAAAATTTGGGACCCAATCAAGATCCTTGGTATCATCAATACCGACCCAGGATACCAGCACATCACCTGCGTCGGCTACGCTCCCTCCAAAAGACGTCGCTGCCGAATCAGAATCAATCAATACAATCGGCAACGCATAACCAACACACTTGACGAGATTTCTTTCCTCCAGCCCAACGATCCAGCCGTCCTGTCTCGGTTGAAAAGTATCGCTGGAGCAGCTCTCTGTGTTCGTTTCCACCAGGATCAAGCTTCAGATATCCTTGAGCAATGGCGCAGCAAACTTCCAAAGGTGAAAAAGATTAGCAGTGGTACGGGGAATAGAACGTCTGGTGCAAAGGAACATAGCCAGACAATGAAGGATTTGCAGGAGCAGCTGAGGAAGTTGAGGGAGTTGATGGACGAAGTTGAAGAGAATATACATTCTCAACAGTTTGAAAGCTCGTCGGACGAAGTGTCCGAAGACTCTACTTCAGATTAAGAGTACAGTCCTTGTACTTCCGACGAGGATTCAGAGGATGACTTGACTGCCAGGACTCGTCGCAGGAGACAGGAAGCCCAGAGGAAGGAGAGAGAACGGCTGGAGCGTGATCGTCTAGACAAAGAGCGGAAAGACCAAGAAGACAAACAGCGCCGTGATGAACGACGACGAGCAAAAGAGAAGCGCGAAAAAGAAGAACGTGAGCGAACAGAGAGAGAAGCAAAAGTAGCCAGGGGGACCGATCGGGCAGCTGCATCCGAACGAGATCGCCGGCGACAAGCCGCCGCCCAAGAAGGCGCCAACAAAGCTGCTCGCGACAGACGTGAGAAAGAAGAACAGGAGAAAAAACGCATCGAAAAAGAACGCGCCGAGAAGGAACGCAAGGACCAGGAGGAAGCCAAGCGGAACCGCGATGCTGAATATGCAGCCAGCAACGAGAGGATTCGTCAGAGAGCAAGAGAGCGAGCTGAGCAGACAGCTCGAGAGAAGCGCGAGAAAGAAGAGAAAGAGCAAGCTGAGTTGGACCAAGCCTGGGTGAGATATCAGGATCAATGGAAGGTATTCCGTGCTTCTGGATCTCAGGGTGTTGATCTAAGGGAAGCTATTCCTTGGCCCGTGAAATCCGGACTGTTGAGAGATGTTGGTGCTTCGAATGTTAAGGATTTCTTGGATAAGTCATTGCCAAAGGGAAGCGAGAGGGTCAAGATGCTGAGGAAAGAGTGCCAGAAGTGGCATCCGGATAGTGTTTGTCGCTGGTCGAGGGTAGGAGAATTGACGGACGTGTGTAAGATGAGTACGGATATGATTTGTAGGGTGGTGACTGACATGCTGAATTCTTGTTCTGGGAGGTCATCGGAATTTTTATGATGATTTGGAAGGATTTGTATATATAGGTAGTCACGATTGTCTGAGAGATGGACAATTTTCATCCCATCGAACCAAGTGAAGCTTCAACTTAGAATTGGCCCATCACGTGCCCTGCCTCGAAGCGAACATGGTGATGTTTCGAAACAAATCCCTGCCAAGACCATCCGATCTATTGACTTCCTGCCCCTGAATCAAGGAGCCCCATTCCAGACAGGAACGAGAAACAAACATCGAACAAGAATATCCGAACTGCTTATCTCCATGGCAAAAGTTTATCTATGAGCTCGTGGGCGATATACTTCATTGAGATCTCGAGTTCGTTTCAAAACATGAAGCGAGCTCCTAATTATCAAGAGACGCCTCTTGTAGAGAATTTTCCCTTAAACGGAATTTTTTTTTATCTTTTACCGTATCTTGATTTACTGTCTCTTAGACGACAGTGTTTCCAATGCAACATGGTCTGGCAAGGCGGATCCAGGACTTTGTTAGTGCTCAGCGAGCTGCTTCCCTTGCGGGGATCTTCCTCGCTTATTATTGATAGCTAGCTGATGAAGCATAAATATCTAGTCGTTGCGGGCCGCTCATCATACGCATGCTATTATGCATCTCTGGGATGAACATTTCAACCACGATTACCATTTCGCTCGCTCGCCCAATAACGGTCAAATTTCAGAAAATCCCATCTGCAACTCCAACCTATGTATACCTTGAACTCCCAGAAATTCCATGCCCTGCGGTCTCATGGCATACAAATATTACTCCACATTAAGAAGATATCCCATTTACCAATTGACCTTGAAATGCTGCAGCAGCAACCAAAGCATCCAGCGCCGAGCTCTGCGTACTCGCATTCGCCGGCGCCACAAACGGCCCATCCCAATCCACACTCAGCTCATTCCCAGCTTTACTCCTATCCTTACTCCAGATACTGGCCGTATTCGATGCAAAGAATTCCAGATACGCATTGTCCGGACTTGCCGTCTGTAGGATCTGTAGATTCCGCATGAAAATCCCCTTGAACTGGTTTCCATCTGCTCCACAATTCGGCTCGCATGGATCATGCAACACGCCGTTGATGGAAAGTGCTTTAATGGCTGCTTTGGCGATGACGTTTGCTTTGGTAAGATATGAGAGGTTTGGCGCTGCTTTGTTGAGCTCGACGAGGCCGCCGAGGATGACGCCTTGGTTGTAGGACCAGACTGTGCCGTTGTTGTTTTTGCATTTGTTGTTGAGGCCGTCGTTGATGAGGTTTTGAGAGTTGATCATCCCGGTCTTTTGGAACCAGTCCCATTGTTTGGTGGCGATGTCGAGATATGTTTGCTTTTGATAGGGAACTCGATTTGCCAGGTGTGATGCTACACTGAGGTACAGCTCGTTGGCAATGGCGTTCACGTATGTGTTGGCCTTGTCCCACCAAATACCTCCACCACAATCAGGCTCCGATCCGTTTTTCATGTCCTTGAAGATGTCAACTGCTGTGTTGAGGTAGTCTTGGTTTCCCGTGACGTCGTAAGCTTGAATCCAGCCCAGAGCCCACCACCCCTCATCATCGTAATAACCATTCAGAAATCCCTTTGGATTGGCGGCAGCAGCAGTTTGTAGAAGATTGGCTGGCATATTTGGCCCTTCGAACGTTTGTATGTTGAAGTCAGGCGTGATGACTTTGGTCTGCTGAAGATTATACTTTTGTGCCTGGACAAGCGTGTTCGAGAATACTTTCCCAGCTGCCGACCTCACATTCCCGTCCACAGCAGCCAGATCACCTATCGTCGTCAGACAGTTGGCACTATTCCACCATCCTGTGGTATTCCAAAGTCCAGTATTAGTATTATACCATTTCTGGAGCGTCGTTAAAGCCGCTTCAGCATTGGCCCGATGATCATTTGCTGCTGCATTTGAGAGCTGCACAGCAGACGAGAGGAGAAAGAATGACCTCAAAGTACTAAACAACATATCGATAAACGCAAAAATTCCATTATGTTGCGAAAGGACTTCATCTAGAGCTGGCAGCAGGGTCGTCCAGTTATACGAAAAGGGAGTGAAACCGATCTGGTGGGGCAAGTCGCACAGCCCTTCCACCACACCGCCAACCACGAAACGGACAATGCTTGACATGACAGCGCACAGTCTTACAGGAAGCTGGTGTATCCGAAGAAGCAACTACAAACAGACGAACTTTTCTCTCGTTTGTTCTGGAGTTGTTTCGAGGAAGCGTCTGATTAGAGTTGCACGCGAGCGATCCTTGGCGGTCAGCCGGACTCTGGATGGGGATGTCGGCTGACTCGTGCGTTCGTATTGAGCAACCTAGCTGTACATCAGATGCCGTTTTTTTATCATTATAATCAATTTTTCTTACTATGCATGACTTTCAAACGATTCTTGGAGATGGCTAAGTATTGAAGATGGTGCCGTAGAGGATGAAACCAAATCAGCATCACTATTCGGCTATTTTAATCTTCATTCAGCGATGCTACTATGGACTCATCGTTCTTCTTCTGCTGACGTTTTAAGCGATCAGTTTTAACCTGTTATTGTATTTACTTCCTACTTCGTTAAATCCAGGCCCAGATGTAGACGACCTATAGCCGACTGCGCCCTCCTAGTCGAACTGGTCCTTTTTCTTCCAAAACTTCTTGCATAAGGATGAGCACAGATAGCCCAGAGTGTCAGGCGATCTTTCAGATCGATACTTGATTCCGTTTCACCGCAAGCTGGAAAATGTGTCGATCCTTGACTGACATACCTGTCACATACTGCAAAGATGGTCATTTTCCGTACCTTGCACCAATGTTTGGCCGGAGACATTCCCTACAGTAAAGATACATGGTCCTTACCAACATTGATCGCATCTATGAAGTAGTAGCTCTCGAAACAAGTAAACGTTGATTCCTCGTGGGGCAGCGCTTGCCAGGGGTCAAGGTTAGTTCAGAATAAAGGACAAAAAGCCAAAGATTGTTCGTATAAAATTCTCTAGCTCTCGTCCCAAGACTATGCATCCCAAGAGCCAAAGCCATGGTCATCGTCATCCCAGTACCCTGATTCGTACGAGTACGGACCTCTCCGAAATATGAGATCGCCAGAGTGTTTGCATCGAACCTCACGATACCCATCTAACATACATTCCTTCACCACATCCCCTGTCTCTGTTTTCCCGTCAAAATCCACTTCCAATAACTTGCCTTTCATCAAATCATGAAAGCATTTCAGGTAAGCTCGCAGGAACTTGAACCAGATCTCCATTTCCTTCTCAAGTGGAGCAGCATTCCAGTATGTCGCTTGTTCAGGCTGCTTCGCGACAAGGCGTAAAACATTCAACTTTGGGATCATAGAAGACCACTTCTGAACATCGGGGACAATCTCCCCGACTCAGCTCCCGTGTTCTGCTGTAAGGAGCAACATTCGCATTCGACGTCGGTTTCTGTCGGTAAAGTTGAGCTTGAGCGGAACGTCGCCCTCGATATGGAGACAATGCCTAAAGACATTCTCTCCATACATAACATCCAATGCTTCATCGGAGATTTGTTTGCACACCAGAAGAATGCAATTCCTCTTTTTGTCGATACCCCAAGATGGGGTAATTTCGTCCGATTCCATTTCGTATGCTGCGTTTGCACTGTCATCCAAACCCGTGACGTCTTTCTTTTGATTCATTTTAGGTAGTCCAGATTCGAAATCGTCACCCTCCGTTTTCAATGGAAACGGATCATCGTCTGGCGTTCCTATGTCTGAGTGTACGGTTTCGCTGTGCTCTGCAGGAGAACTTCCCAAATCGGAGATATCATCGACCATATCTAAGCCCTGGGAATCCAGTCCTGGACTTTCTCTATTCGAGAACATGTAAGGGAACCGAGGATTGTGTACATCTATTATTCGCTTCGTCGGGATCAAGTAACGATAAATCTCCCTCCGTAGCTCGAGTGCCACGCGAAGAAGAGCTGGCCTTTGTACATCACCCGCCCTTGATACCGACTGGACTTCCATAGTTGGTGAGACTGATTTATTCGTTACATGGACTAGATTCGTCGCACGCAAGCGACGAGAGAATTGAGGGGTAGCTGTCATGCAGAGGCGTTTCCCTGAGAAGTACGGCACACCATACAGGTAAGGTGTGCAGCCTCTGCTATGTGGAGTTCCTCCCAAATTATAATCAACATTGCACCAGACCAATATCCTTATATGGTCGGAACCAAAGAAGGGGAAAGGATCGAAGTAGGCAGCATTGCTCATACAGTTATTTTAACTTCCTAACATGTCTGCTGTGTTAAAGTTAGTTGGGCTCGAACTTCCTATTATGGTTTGTGTTGTCATGGAGTGCGTCTCTGCACGTGGATGTACACGACGTCACTCCTAGTTGAATTAGAGGACCATAACTTAAGCCGTAAAAAAACAAAAACTTGGCGATAATGTAGATTACCAGTTGCATATTAGTGTTGAGGTACATCATACATATATTCTTCTAGAAGTTGAATCACTTTGAAAATAGTCTAGCGTTGGTTAACAAGCGGAGGATTAATTTATTATTCTCTGTTGGCGCGGTTGTGGCCATGATATTCAGAAGCTTATTGTTTTATTTTCTGGGTATTTACATTCCGTATGTTTGAAAAGAACTCTACATGAGGTCCTCACCGAAACGAGGAACGGTAAGACATCCAACAGCTCCACAGTGAAACTCGAAGGGCAGAAACTCGGCTTCAGATGCTGTAGTCGTCCTTTATTACCCACTTTGCAGGATTGTGGGGATATTTGAGCTGCTTGCCGATAAGATGCAGTTCCTGGAGGATAGGCTTGTGTTTTTCAGTGTATTCATGCCACCGCAAGACAATAATTGCTGCTTGTTTCTCAACCCGCTTGTGGACGTCTTCGCAATCGTCGTCTTGGTTTGCGACTGAAGTGACCCATTCAATGTTGGTCTTAACAAAATATCTCTCCCAGGCGACGTCCTGAGGGTCTCCTTCTTCATTGAGGACTGGGAGGTATACAAACCAATTTGCAAATCCGAATAGTTTCCTCCAACGATCGCACTGGAAGTTGATATTGAGGGCGGCCGCTGCGGAGAAGGGGCGTTCCCCGGCACTGGACCGCAATTTCTCATATGCTTCTTCAAATATTTCACAGAATTCTTCGCGCTCTTTCTGCTCTCGTTTCCCCCAGGCCCGGCATGCGACCCCATAGTGATGCCGACGACGAGTGGGCTCACCTTTAGACTCTGCCATTCCATCCTCGTCGTATTCCGGATCGCTAAACTCATTATCATTGGAATCGCTCCGATCATAGAACTCTCTGTACAACCCATTGTATCTCTCTAAGAGAGTCCCAGAGGGTGGGGCCTCGGGACCTCGACATGGAAGTTCGGGTTCTGGGCCATCCTTGTCGTCTTCTTCTTTACCATAACCTGGGTTAGGAAGTCGTTTGAAGAATTCCCAAGCAGCTGCCTTTCTGTTGCTGGCTTCGTTACGGTATTCAGCTACGAATTCAACAGTGTAAAGAGGTAGCTGCGAAAACCCATCAACTTTGAATATGTTCTGTAGCTGGAGAAGGAAAAGATCGCGGAGGCCCCAATGAGTGGTACGCCGTAAATCGCGGCGGTCCCGGCGAGTGTTAAGTCGTAAGTCTTGTAGTCTCAAGCCTTCTGTGATGGAGGGACGAGAGTCACTTCCTGGATGAGGAGCTTCGTCTTCTCGAAGAGTATCGACTCCGGGAATCGAAGAATGAATGCCGGTAAATACGTTCTTGATCAACCAGTCGAGACCTTGTCGCTGTGGGTGATCTGCCATGGGTATGGCGAGACGCTGGATATTCTCGAATCCAATCAACTTCAGTTCTCTGGTGGGCTCAGGAGGTCCATGACCATAACGCTGGCCACCAACACCGGGCTCGCCTATTGGAGTGGCGTAGTCACTGAGTGCAAAAAGGGACGAGATATCCATGGCGATTGTGTCACGATTTGCATCGAATCTGACGACCTCGGATTTCGGATCATCTCGCAATTCCAAACGATGTGGAAATCTTCTCTGGTACTCTTCCCACGTGTTGCGACTGATGAAATCCAGTTTACAGGGAGCTTCGGAAGTCCTTAGTCTCCATCTATACTCATAACGCCCTGGTGGAACAGGCTTTCGACCCGCGATTGGAGCGTCAGGAATGGGCTGGAAGTATGGCGACTGAGTGATGTATACTCGGATTGTGCGGCCTTCCCCATGATCTGGGATGTTGACTCCATTGGAGATTGTGACACAAGGTTTTTTCTTAGCATTTTTCCAGACCATGTTCTGGACATCAACAGGTAAGGCACCGAACAATGGGAAAGATTGTGCCAAGTCGGAATTTTGATTGCCTTGCGAGTTAGCATGTCCCTGGTCAGCTTGATGCTGTTCAGAGGGGGGGGCCAAGGTGTACTACCTCTGCTGCCTGTACCAGCTGGACAAGCCGGACTGAATGGTCTGACATCCTTAAATTTGGTGTGTAGTGTTTTAAGGTTCTGATTCGTGTGATGCATCTTCATTATCTCGGAAGCCTCAGCCGTCTTTATACTTTGACATAATTACCATAACTACTGTGATTTACCAAGAAGCTCCAGAGGTGCTGTTCCAACCATCCTAGTGAGTTAAGTCTAGCTTTGTCTCACAGCAACTGCAACTCATAGAATAAAGAAACCTTTCGAGGAATCGATGGCTTGTCTCAATGGCTTGTCCAAATCTGAGGGATGATACAGAGACGACCCCCTGATGATATGGAGACGACCCCTCCCCACTTGAGTAAGCTATGAACATCGGCGGTGAGTGTCGAGCTCAGTGCGTGTGTTCTATTACAAACGCCTGGTTAGGTGGTTAGTTTGTAACTGCAAGCCTACGAGTAGTTACAGCGTAAGGATTAGGGGTTACCAGGTTTATATTCTAATATAGCCTAGATACACGCTTTACATCCTTTGATCTGAGACCCTGCGTCTGCTGTGTCTCTCTCTATAGACCTCGACCTCCTACAAGCCTTAATTATAAACTTTCGCCCTAGCAGCCTCAGGGCTAGGATTAGGGCTAGGATTAGGGTTAAGGATAGGATTAGGTGTTAGAGTAGGAGTTAGTAGGATACCTTTGAAATTCGGGCTACTCAAGGAGGCAGATCAATTGCAACAATAGATTCTGAGGATTCTGCCGCATTTAATGTGGGGGGGTCGTCCCCATATCGTTAGGGGCTCGTCTGTGTATCATCCCTCCCAAATCTCTTGAAAGAGGCGTGAGGAATGCTAAGTGATAAAACAAGCTTCACCCCGCAAAACGAACCCTACGGCAACCCGTTACGGCCAAAGGCTAAGGAACAGGGTCAGAGAGTTCTTTCATGACGCATCTGTACCTCTCTCATTCTTTCTTTCCATGATTGTAGTCTATGACTTCAACACCCACGTAGTCTCACCTACCTCCCTCGAGCCCCAAATTTAGTACCTCGGTACCAGCTTAGTACTTTTGCCAGCTTTTCACCGCATAAAGTCACTATCCATATCGGTTTCTCCACCATACTAGACTTTTTATCTTATGGATGAGTTTATTCAACGCTAAGTCTTGTCTGCTTGACCCTCATACAAACGTCGGCAACACGCCCGCAACTGTCAATCTCATGCCCCGTATGCAAACTCAACTGCCTCACAAGTCTTTTTAAGAGAAGCTGTGTCTCCAAGGACCAAACCGCGCAATACTGTCTCCACCAAATCGTCCTTCATTGTAAGCATTACCGCGGTATAGCTTACATCCATGTATCGAGACTTGTGAGATTTGGTGCAGGTGTGCCGTCGACTACATATGCCTATATTTACAGGCATTTCTCTATCTCTACATCTGTTATCGTCTATTTGTGGGAGGCAAACCTTCTGCCAATTTCATCCTGGAGTTCCAAGGTGATGCTCGAGTCTTGTATCCACACATTCACCCGGGCTTTTCAGCATATTCCCACGGACTATAGAGCAGAAAAGTTCAATATATATATATATATATATCGATGTCTTTCACACTTTCTCTCTACTCTCCAAAGAAAAATCTGTCACTGGCAAAAGAGGCTGCTGGCGGAAAGTAAGTTTACCTCGTAGCTTCCTTTCTTCGCCATCATTTATATCGTACAAAGACTAGCGAGTATTACAAATGCAACTATCGTCAGAGACTCACCAGTGTGTACCTTTCTATGTCTGATTGACAAGAGTCCAGATTGTATCACAGGCTTGACGGCACAGGCGAGGATGACAGCGAAATATTTTGACAGCCAAATCCCCAGAGTATTGAACGCCGTGGAGCTTTGAGGGATCTGATTAGCTAGCAGCTTGTCAATGACTAGATCCGGCGAATGATGTACCAAATGTGAAGTAGAAGCTGAAGATGCTGTTCGGCTCAGCTCTTGATAGACCAATCAAACTCCATGACGAATTGCGAGTGTGGATAATTAGCGTGGCTCTTTCCTCGTAATTAGGAGTATCCTTTATACAGGCAGGAAACCGAAGTCCAAATCTGAGGATTGGATGTGGGTTTTCACCTGGAATTTCACAATCTGATTGTCTTTCCGCAGCTAAAACCAATCATCGAAAAGTCGGTTCTGCTGAGCAGTAGGCTCGTTCTTTGCTGGTTTATTAAATGCAAAGACAGACAACAAGCCTTTTTACATACCGACTTAACAACAACTCTCTGCTCTTGACTATACGGAACAATGACTGTACGAAATAACGATCATCGCCAGCCTTAATGGCAAGAAGACGATGGACTCACAAACGAGCTAGGAGTGTATACTCAGAAGTACAGGAGTCAACCTTCAATATGTGCTCACAATATCAGTTACAAAGGGACGGAACTCACTTCCAAGATTTCTATGCGCTTTTATTTTGCCTCTTCAGCATTCTCATGTCACTATGAACCAAAGTTTCGGCATCGAGTTGTTTATAAGAAACAACAACTAGCAGTCTACGATCAATATATGAAGCACTCACTCTATTCCGTTTAACCCCTACCGCCGGAATCATTGCGACTACCCATCAGGCACACATTTTCAGACACATGTTTCGTCCTAGCTCGCAAAGCAAACACAGGGATAGCATACCAAGAAAGCTCACCGTAATGTGATGAAGCGTGTTACAAACTCCTGGAATCTTCGTCGAACATACTCGCTCCTCAGGCCGAGGAACAGAGTCATGATACAGAATACTCTCCGAGCTGAGTATCACTGTGCTTAGCCGTAGATAGCAACTGAGGATTTAAATATGTGTCTGGCAGTCCAAGCCGAGAATTTGAGTAAACTTCTTTCATAGAGTGATAGGGAATATGCCCTTGGCTTGTAGTTTCGAGTTTCAATATTCACCAAGGCTCTCAACGTGGTAAATCATTCTGTTATATAAGCACCATATCTTGCTGTTCCCTAAAAATTGCAGGTCTAGAGATCGTCTTACGGTGACCCTCTGGCGGTAGAGGGAAGTTATAGTAGAGAGTGTATAGTACCTTTACTACTGCTTAGGTACAGACAATATCGAAACGTAAAAGTGGGTGTGCATGTCGACAGTTGGGGTAACAGAGGCTAGCATAAGAGCTCAGGGTGGGAGGTTCAGTTGCTAGATATGGGTTTGATGGCAATGGCGATGATGGCAGTGACAAAGAAATTCCCGATTCGCAGTCCCTGTGACTGGTCATGTTGTACGCGGCGGTCAAAGTCGGCCAAACCGAGAAGATTTGAATATATATTGAATACAAGTGTTTTGATGTTGCACATCACCGCGAATAGGAATGGTGAGCTCAACAGAAGCAAGACCAAACATAGTTCTCTTTGAAACAGATTTGGACTTTTGCTTATGCAGTTGGATGTTTGGGTAGGATTGGGACTTTTATGGGAAATAGCTTCGCCTACTCGTCGAAACTAAATACCGTAAAGCAGCCAAGCCTCGTACAGGGATAATCAATCACAACTATGGTTGAAAGAAGGGCGGAGAAAGGGTTGGGGAATACATATTTTTTGGATGGTCTCCTATTCTATCGCTTCCTTCCAGACGCCATGCTACACTACAAAAGAACAAACGAACGACCGTGATACTCAAACAAGCCACCGCGTGGGTTCTTGATAGCCACCATCTATATCATCTTGTTGGAAATGTTGTTCCTTTAGTTACCTGGTCCCTCTCCGAGCAACCTAGCAATCAAAACATAAGTGAATATCACCCCACCAATAACCAACAACTTATTCCTCCTAACCCAACTCCTCCCCTCCACACCCACCGCTCTCCCCCCCTCAACCACCGCCCCAACCACAGCCTGACTCCCACTCGGCCTCCTCAGCCCTCCCATCCCCGGCCCACAATTCGTACCACCACCACTCCCCGCCGCCGCCGCACCCGCACTACTCAAATCCGGCGCCTGATTCCCCGTCGCAATATCCACCCGGTTCTCACGCATCCACTTCCAATTCTCCGCATCCAGCTCCGGCCACTCGCTAGCAAACTTCGCGCCTCCATCCCCGGCCTTGATATTCCCCTTCTGTCCAGCCTTGCCAGTGATATCCTTGTGTGTTCCCCCACCCGTCGAGTTCCACCAGCGGGAGCGCTGCGCTGCCCACCGACGCTCGGCTTCGGTACCGCCAACGCTGCCGGTTGTCATCTCCTCGCTGGTCATGAATGATAAGAGCCCGATCAGGATCGTGCTTACTTCCCAGGCGGGGTTGAAGGATTTGGGGTGGAAGTCGGAGATCGAGAGGCAGAGGCGCGTGGAGGGTTGGAAGCGTCCGGAGGGGGTGTGCATTCGGATGGCGGGGGGTGCGAAGGGGTAGTTGGTGGGGAAGATGAGGGTTCCCCAGTATTGGCCGTTGTGGTAGGGTGTGTCTGGTGGGCCGGTGAGGATGTAATGCCATCTGAGGAGGAAAGGGATTAGTATGTGAAGGCTTGATGGAGGGGAGGAGGGGAGTGAAGAGGGGATGTACTCAAGAATGTTTGATTCCGAGGGGTGAGCGACGATGAATGGTGGGGGATTGGCAGATATGGTTTTGTATTCCCGGGTTAACTAGTCAATCAATTAGTATTCTGTGCCACTATTCGCATATTTGGAAGTCCTTACCCGGTTGTTGGCTGCTCGACTGGCCATCTCCGTTTGTAGCCCAAGGCTGAAGATCTGGAAATGCGGGAAGAGAGGAGTTTATTATTTAGATGTTGAAGGTTTCTATGCGTGTAGATGTATCCAGTATGTAGTCGAGATGTTTCTTGTCGAAGGAATTGGAATTGTTGAATTGTAGTTTTGATGGAGGTCGAAGTTGTCGTGTGCTGTTTGTGTGGTTGTCTGTTCTTTCTTTGCTTGTGACGTTCAATGCGATGCGGCCGCCGGCCAGTTCGTTTCCCAAGGCTGAGATCACGTGTGCTCGGGTTCTTCAGCCGAGCTGCCCTCGGGACAAAACAAAACAAACACCACGTCAATTCGGAAGTCAATACTGACAAGATGGCCAATCCTGCGGACTCGGGAGACGATGTAAGCTTGTGTGTGTTTTGTTTGGAGTTCTACGTGGTAGCAGAACCAATGGCTGATTGGATATCGACCAGCTCTTCGAGAGTCTCCGAAAACAGGATCCCAAGGCAGAGGAGAAAGCCAGACTGGTGGCAGAGAGAGAAGCTGCCCAGAATGCAAAGGCACAGCAGAGATTGATGGAGTTGGTATGCGTACAAACCCAACTACAATTGCAGGAGCTTACATTCGCAGATTGCCAGCAATTCCTCACTCCCAGTCACTGTCTCCTCCATCCGAGTCATTGGGTTGAATCATACCCGCCGCTCGTTCCTCGACCGAATCTTTGATCCGCTACTCAGCGCGAATAGAGATGCTCCATATACATTAGCTGAAGCTCTACAAGAAGTTGGGACAGCGGCAGACAAGCTACGACGATTTGGTATGTTGCTCTACCCCGCTGCACCAGCTCGTCTGACTGTCTAGAAATCTTCCACCCATCCCTACACACCTTTATCGATCGCCCCTCGCCCATCGATCCGTCAAGTACACCTACAGATATCGACATATACCTCAAGGCTGAAGAGCGGAGTAGGATAACTCTCAAGACAGGCACGGATCTTGGAAATGTGGAGGGCTCAGCATATGGAAACCTCACATGGAGGAATATCTTCGGCGGCGCAGAGTCTCTCAACCTCAACGCCTCAGCTGGAACACGAACTCGGTCCGCGTACCAAGCCATATTCGAGACCCCCTTCCTCAGCGACCCAGACAAGAGATTCACAATCGATGCCCTTCAGAGCAGCACGTTAAAGCCATGGTGTAGTCACGAGGAAGCCCTGAAAGGCATGGGCTTGAAATACAGCTGGGCTACAGAATCCGGAACAAGACATCAAGTAGGCTATACAGGCGTCTGGCGCCAAATCACTGGTCTGGCAGCAAATGCTAGCCCTACGGTGCGCCATGACGCAGGAGATAGCGTCAAGAGCAGCATATCTCACACCTGGCTGTCCGACCAACGCAACCACCCCTTCCTCCCCACCAAAGGCTACCTCCTCAAAACTGTGTCTGAAATAGCTGGCTGGGGCCCCCTCCAAGGCGACATCGCTTTCTGGAAGTCAGAGCTCGAAACTTCCGCCGCACTCGCTGTACCTATTCCAGGAATCAAAGGCGACAGCGGCGTCTCCCTCACAGGCGGCTTCAGAGCAGGCATGCTGTATCCTCTCCCCGTCGGATTCGGATCCACTTCCCAACCCAGCAGAATTAACGACCGTTTTCAACTCGGCGGCCCAACTGATGTCCGCGGGTTCAAGATCTCTGGCCTCGGCCCGAGAGACGGCCCTGATGCGGTCGGAGGCGATATTTACGCTGCTGGGTCCGCTAATCTCCTCGTCCCATTCCCGAGAGTGGGCAAGGACTCACCGTTACGATTGCAATTCTTTGCAAATGCGGGCCGGTTGCTGGCGTTGAGGGAATCGGGCGATCAGGGGAGCAAGAGTACGCAGAAGAGCGTGTATGGGACTGCGGCGCAGCTGTTCGATGGGGCACCGAGTCTGGCGGCTGGTGTCGGGGTTGTGTATGCGCATCCTGTGGCGAGGTTCGAGATGAATTTTAGCTTGCCGTTGATTTTGAGGAGGGGCGAGGAAGGGAGGAAGGGCTTGCAGTTTGGGGTTGGGATTAATTTCCTATGACTTGGTGGCGGGGATTGGATCGGATGGAGAACATGTACATATGTAAGTTTAGAGCAGCTGTACTATACCTGTGTGTGCCAGATGAGATGATAAGACCCAACTTCAGATCCAAACTCCCCGCTCAGCTTGCCTGCACTCGAATATCCAGGTAATCCATCAAGGTAGCTGGTCCACCATTCCTTGTCGCCGAATCATCTTCCTTTGTCCTGATGTACTGCCGCACCCGCGATTTCGAGCCAAGTCATTCGTCATTTTAGCCTCATGTAGCTCACAAGGTCCTCTTGACACACCTCCCAATCTCTAAGATATATATCTCCCTCTCTCCCTCCCTCTCTAACACCTCGTCTCTTCACCTGCTCTTCTCCTTAGAAGCTCGCTAGTGTACTCCAACCACCGCCAACCCTCCTCCCTTTTCTTTCAAATCTCCACCTCATTCACTTACAGTCTTGAACCTTTTGGTCTTCGGACCCCGGACCCAAACCAAGAGAAGAGTATAAAAGCATCACGCAGCATCGCATGGCATAGAGATACGCCAAACATCACGTGTGGAATGATATCAAAGGACGAGGGTTCGGTTTGGAACGACTGGGCGCGTGATGCTATCTCTTCGATATTCCTCCCATTACTCCTGCGAGAGGATTATGAGCGGTCATTGATGACTACTAGGGTAAAAATCAGTCTGCTGTTTGGGGTAGAAGGACTGCCGATAGCAAGATGGTCGTTGACAATAATTTTGAGTATAGGATTCGCAAGTTTTCAGACTTCCCACGATGGCACACTGAACAACATACCACCTCCAGATCCAGACAATCCGACCTTCCTAGAGAAGAAATCCCGATTACGCACCCAAGAACTATACTGCTATGCTATAAAAAGCTGGGGAAACGAATCTAGAACTCATAACCTTGCAACCTTTGCCTTGTTTCGCGCAACCCGTGCACTGGTTCGCAGTACCGAACGAATTGTGCGAGTGGTGTGTATTGAGAGGTTATATACCTAGTGGTTGACTCAAACTTTATCCTCTCGTGGTAAGTGAGTGAGTTCTGGTGATTCACTGACGTCGAAACTAGAACTCTCTATTTATTCACCAAAGGATATTCACTGTTCTTAAACTTGATTTTCTTATGTCGAGTCAAGTGGAGAGTCGAGGTCTACACCAAGAGAATATTCAGATATAAAAGCTGGACGATAAAACGATACGGAGATCACTGTAGCGCAAAGCCTGCCATCTACCATTTGACGAAGGGTTGCATCTGCTCCAGTGGCCGCTGTGGGCCAAATGTTAGAAGAAGATGGGGTCACCCACCGATGCCAAGCGGGGAGTTTTGTCAGTGAAGGAGAGAAATTGAACTCAAGAAGCATGGTGAGAGTCGAGAGTTCTGGCTAGCGATTAAAGAACGACAGCGACGAGGGACGTGATAACAACACCCCATACCGTCTTGAATAAAATTCGACTGGCTGGGAGAAGAAAAGCATGTTCTAAGTTTTTTGGAACATCTGCCCACGTCAATGAAACCGGGAAGCAGTATGGTTCTCGGATGAAAGTCTTCCGGCACCACGCATGCTACCCTGTCTCATCAAGTCGGCGGATTTGAAAGCTTGATGGTTTGACTTTCTCAAGGTCGTCAAGAGTTGCTTTTATATGCGCTGACCCCTTACGTCGGCTCGGCGTTAACCAGGTGGTCTATTTCACCGGGGCGTGAAATTCACGCGGAAGGAACTTCCTTTCACGATCCAATTCTTGGAAAATTAATCGAAAAACGGATCAATATACTCGGTATGGTTGTCGAAAAGAAGATCTCTCATGTCCTCTCTTGGACAGGCAACACAATGCTACCATGCAACGATCGTACTGGCACGGAACGGGATATCCACTGCGATAACTCTTTGCTATTGTGAGTATCGTCTTTCTTTCCATGGTACTCGTAATGCTGCATCTTGCTCTTCGTAAGTCTCGGCGAAGCCGATCATCCGTACACTAGCAGGGGGAAATTGGATGCGTTGACAGTCGTAGGTTTTGTGACAGCGAAAAGTACCGCATTTTGAGGCATACCTTGACGAGAGCCGCCTTAACGTCGGGATTGGAGGGGGGAAATGTACCAGTGCTTTTCTGTCAAGATATTTGGGCACAGGGAGATGGTACTCCGACTTTCCTTGCAGTCTCATACACATGGCTGTGGAAGTGTTTCTTTCAGTGGTGCTTCAAGTTGTGTTAAGCTACAGATTTTCGTCTCTTTCTTCGCCTGACCAGATCCGAAATCTCGGATTCGGAATCATCCGAGCAATCCCATTTGCTTTCTACATTCACTGTTGTTCCTAGTTATGAACAGCTACATGCATTTGTTACGCCTACACTAGGTATTTTGTGTGTGGTCGTTGGAAGTTGAGTTTTCCTTCTCTTGAATATGTATAAATGCTTGCCGCATTACGGTTTAATGTCAAGAATAATACACTGGTAAAAAGAAACTCATCAGAAAGAACCTTGTGTAAGAGCTCGCAATGACCTTGGCATGTGTTCAACCTACCGACTGATAGATGGGGGTTGCTCTGATGTACTAAAATACGATACTCGCGAGGATTCCCGTGCATATAAAGGCTTCTTTCATATGAAGCTTCTGGGCGAAACCTGGAAACTAGTGACAGCACTAGAGAGCTTGACAGTAAGCTCTGACTGTCACCGAAGGCGGTTTGAGCCATGTATGTCTTACATCATAGTACGAATAAAGAAGACAAGAACGGGAGTCAGACCGAGAGATCACGTCCTTTACTCAAGAACTTTTAAACATGGCCAATAACGGCCAGATTTCCGATTTTGACTGTCCAGTCTCAAAATTTCTGTTTTGGGGTGGATCGTTCTGTTCAAGTCACTTGTTTCGGAGAATATTATATTAAGTGCTATCGGGAGTCATCCTTGGCAGCCATTATCAGGGGAAATCAGACTTTACTACGAAATAAACTCATCGACTAATAGGATAAAAAAGCACAAGTATGTCCAAGAGACTGATATCATTCACTATCGGACATTGCTGATCCCAACCATTTATTCCCATCCCTCATTGCCCACCATCCAGCTCACAAGTAAACCATCGAAATCACAACGGTAATCGATATCTTCCAAGCAAGGGTTTCGATGAAGTGGCGAGCCGAGCAAGGAGGAAGTGAGGGTCGTTTAGTGCTACTCAAGCCATTAGCATCCAGCTCAACAACAAACTTTACTCTGCCCTGAAGTAATGCAATAGAGGGTGACGAACAGTGCAGCAGGAGCAGCTCTCGCAAGAGGAGCAGCCGGAGCAGGAAGTGCAGGAACAGTTGTCTCCCATGTTTGCGGTTGGTGTTGGACTTGAAAGTAGGTTTGTGTTTGATTTGAGCTGAGATATGGATTGTGAGTGTGTTCTGAGATGATGGAGAAAGAAGAAAGATCACGGAAATGTGAGTGGTATTTATACTTGGAGGAGAACTGGTTTACTGGAGATTTGAGCTCGTATGTGAGCGGCGCGGGCGGATGTGTAACACCCCCATCTCATATCTACATGATGCCGCTCGAATGAGGGCTGCGCAAAGCGTGGGATATAGGACTCTCAATGTATCACGAGGGGGTTGGCCAAGCGCCAATTTGATAGCTCCCTTTCTTAGTATGCGGTAACACCCATTTCCCATACCATGAGCCAGTTAGCTGGAGATTCTTGTGTTCATCTTTAACGAGATAGGAAGGTAGAAAGTTAAACTTATCAATAAGATAGGGCCGCTGTGCAATGAAAGCATCCGGTTCTGAAAAACGTTACGTTTAGCAGCACACTTTCTCTGCCAACTTGGGATTGAAAAGAAATATATAAAACTAAGCTTCCAGCTAGATTTATCCTGGCCAATGAGTCTAGACACCCACTCCATCAACATGATAAGATAACGAAAAACCATCGTCTAGTGATGCACACTTATGCAACCTCAACACCATGTCCAGTGATCTTCAGTTCACGAAGTTGGGGTTGAGTATCAAATCGGGTAAGCGGAAGTACGTGGCATGGCATCTCTGGCGTGGGGGAGACAAAGAAGGTTCAACGGCGTCCAGCGGATGCGGATGTATGAAACGAGATGAAGATACAGGCGTGATGCTACTGGATGTTGGTTGCAGCCGCTGCATGTGACGTGCGGAAAAACCCAAACATTCGAGCTTCGTACTTGGTAATCTTACAAGAACTTGGGTGTGGGGAAAACATTCATTTGATAATGAGACATCAGGGACAATATTCAACTTTCAACCAATGATGCACTCCGATTAGGTCACAATAAGTTTGATTAAATGAAATCAAGGGTAGGTCTTGGAGCGAATTTCAGTTGCTTTTGATAGATACCTTTGCTCAGTTTTACAATTTATCATCCTTCATGTAAACCCGCCATCCTCCCAATCCATTCAAAAAATCATCAACCCGACATGAAATCCATATCCCTATGCCCAAACAAAACCCGTGCCGAAGAAGTGAAGATCCACGAATGACTGAAATGAAGACGTGTAGAGATCGAGGGAATTTATTTTCCACAGCTGGTGCAAGAGCAGCTGGAGCCGCAGTTGCCTGTCATAAAGATGTCAGTCACACTCTCATACATGTGCTTCTCTCAAGACGTTGAAGTGTTGTTGGTAGTGAGGGGTTGAGAGTGGGGTGGAGAGGGGTCGTGTTGCCAAGACGGCCTGGTAGGCATGTGTGACTTACAGCTAGAGGTACCAGTGCATCCGCAGTCGCCCTTCATGATGACTGATGTCTTAGTGGTCGTTTGGTGTTGTTGGATATAAGTGAATGAGGGTTCTGTTGATGACTTGAAGTTCTTGGTGATTGCTGTGAGTGAGGGAGGAAGTGTTGAAGGCGGGAAAGAGGCCTCTTTTATGTTTCTCTCCACCTCCTACCCAGTCCCAAGTCCCGATCAGACCGGCCCACTCTCACATGGTTGAACCAGTCAAACTTCTTTGTTCTGCGCAGTTTGTGCGCGAACTTTCGTCGATCCTGTCTGTGCTGTGCGCTTTGTGCGCTTTTGCCCCCAGGACGTGGGGCTGGCGTTGTCTGCCTGGTCTCGCTGGGCTGGGGATCTGCTTCGGCTAAAGAGAGGGCTGAGATGTGCTTATGAGAGGACAGAAGATGTTACAGATGATGCTTTTTGCTTTTGTAAACTTTACGCCCATGACTCAACATCAACCCTTGTTCGTCATGTGTTGATAAGACTCTGCTTTCATCATTTGCTGGCCGAATTTTTGAGTTTTGCAGTGGAATGTTTCAATCTTTTGTTGTTTCCAGCATGTTCTAAAACCTTGGCATGTGTTGACAGTTTTTGGTCCATCAAGTTTTTTCAATCCTTTGCGGCACCGGTCTGTACTCAAGATTTTCTTTTAGTAGTAGATCAGATCGGACGATTCAATCTCACAGCGCATATGTACAATGAACGAAGTTCCCATCATGATTCGCTGAAGTCTCGCGGTTCCAGCCAGTGGAAACATGCTCATGAAGCAACATCACACGATAGCTTTCTTAACTGCCTCATTATAACTCCAAAATGCAGTGCAATAGGCACACGGATGGCTACAACTCCCCCTCTGCTCGACCTTCCGACTTTGCAATGTGCAGCTCCAATTTCGGGCGTATTTCATATCCAGATCCTGCACCAAGTTACGATTCGATCCACTTGCATGGAACACGAAGCATGTCGCTTATTGATTCTTGCGTGGGGTTAAAGTATGGAAAGCCACGGTCGACCTGCACCGACATCGCTGTGCATTGGTCGTATCCAATTTACTCAAGTAATGAGAGTTGGGACGATGATGTTTTCAAGGGATCGATACGTGCCTAGACCTAAGCCGCGCATCCCACGGCTTTGAGTCAGCACCTAGGCTGGGTGTGAGAGCTTTGATTAGAAGATCAGCGACGACTGTTTGATCATGAGCTCGAAAGCCTTACTATTATGGGCTGGGGGTGGCGATAAAGCTGTTTCTTTTTGCTGTGACATTCTCAGTACGGACAACCAACATTTCGTAATGGTTACCAAATGTCCACCTTATTCCTCAACAAGAGTTTCACAAGCACGATTTTATCACCATCTGACATTTAACACGCTGTAGACGGGCTGAAAGGGTTCCAGAGTTCTTGCGCAACAAAACGACGTCACCCGCAAGGCTTTCTTCAAGACCAGCAACGAGATGCCAGTAAACAACGTGACGATCATGAAAAGATACGGAAGCCTTCAAAGTCTTATGATGGTGATACATGATCACAAGTGTCACGAACAGTGCCTGAAATGCTGTTTAGTCGCCTGGACGACTCCATTGACCGGTATCCTCGTTGTCACCTAGCGACAGCTCGCTTCGGCTCGCTAAATAGAAAACATCAGCAAATAAGACAGGTGTACGTGAACAGATTTCGGTCGTACCTTGACTTCGCCCTACGTGTTTGCAGAAGTTTAGAGTCCTCTTGCTAAATATCGATTGATTATCATGTCTGTATTTCTACTCTCACAGAGTCCTGTATATCCGCAGCTATCACACTTCTTGTAAGGTATTTATACATTACTTACACTAAGAGACAGGGGCATTTGGAAGCATTAATGTGCTGCGTTTATAGCTTCGAACCGAGCAAGATGTTTCAAGTGTGCTTCCCATTGGTAGCGTGGTTGGAAAAACGATATCTGAAGGATTCGTGAAAACTTCGGTTCAAGCATCAATCATACCCTGTCTGTGTCAAACATGAATATCTAATCAGGATCCACTCACTCCATAATTATGTCCAGACATAAATTCAGACATTAAACAATTCGTCATCGGTGTTTCCTCTTATAGTTACCAAGCAAAAACGGATGCAAGCCTCGGTTCGGCATCCTTCGGTATTGGTGATGCCCTGTTCACGCATAGACACAGCCACTTCTAGAGCCCTTCCCAGGACCCGTTATGTACTGCATACGATGCCGAAAAGGTGAAACGATACATGACCAATCACATGTTGTTCATTGCATGGAATTGTAAGCGGTCATTTCCGATTATGTGGAATTGAGGACGAGCTCCTGGGACTCGCTTAACTAGAATGGGTACTCTAAAGGAGTCGACTAGGAAGAGATGCCGAGAAGTTTATCTATTGATAGACATGAAGAACTTTATAACAGCTTTCGCAGTACTCTTTTCAAGCCAAGATCTAGTATTCTGTGTCTGTCTTCATTCCTGTCCACCAGATCTGCCCAGCCTTTCATTCCTTCCATCCGCAATGAAGTTCATCACTCTCGTCGCCATTTTCGGCACTACTGGACTCTGCTGCAGTGATTATGAATGGATTGCTCCTACGGTAAATGATCGTAGGTTTCCATTCTCAACACAACCCCGAATAAACATTGCTAACATTTCAAAAGGCCGAAGTCCCTGCCCAATGGTCAACACCCTTGCCAACCACGGCTTCCTCCCACGTGACGGTTTGAACATCTCCCTTGCAGATCTCGTCGTTGCGTTCAATGCGTCTGTCAACCTTGCCCCTGCAGCCACCACACTAGTGGGTCAGAAAGCCCTGCTCGCTTCGACCACAGGAAACAATGCCACTTTCGACCTCAATGATATCAATAAACATGGCAGTAAGTGCTGCACCTTCCAACATTCAAAAGTTTAAGACTGATTGAGATTCACGTAGTCATCGAACACGACGGATCACTTTCACGTAACGACATCCTTTTTGGTGATAACCACTCCTTCAACTCTACGATCTGGAACTCGGTCGCAGCATCCTTCACAAACACCACCATTTCTCTCTCAACGGCAAAATCTGCCCGGGCGGCGAGATTGGCAGCTGCGGCTGCCGTTAATCCAGAGTTCAATATGACTGCTGGTGATGCGAAATTCAGCGGGATTGAGACGGCTCTGTACATGACAGTCTTTGCTGACCCTGATGTCGTCGACGAGGCGAGAACAGAATGGGTCGGTGTTCTGTTTGGTAGGTTCTTATGTTTTCCCTGATGATGAAAGCCCCCGCTGACAAAATTCTAGCTGAAGAGAGATTGCCTTATGAGGAGGGGTGGAAAAGATCAGAACAGGAACTGACAGCTGCTGGAATATCAGCCCTTGCAGCACAAGTTCTCACGACATAGAGCAAGCGAAATTGAAGAAAGTTGAATTATTCATTATCAATTTTGCGTTCGTGGATATCATGATGGTGCATCTCTTAAATCAGACTCCCCAACCCAGGTTCATCATCTGATCTAGTATCCCTCAGGCCATGCGGTAGCCAACCACTCATATGGCTGCTCTGGCACATACTGGTTGGTGACCTTCCCATCAAACGGCACGATATGATCTCTCGTCAAGTTATACAAGGCGTACTTTTGATCTGGGCCCGTGCCGATCGTGTATGGGACTGTCTGAACGTTGTTTGCGATTTCCTTGTCCACCATGACTGTCACGTTGGAGATTTGAGCATTGACGATTCGGATCTCGTCACCGTAGTTGGGGTTGATCTGGTTGCCAATTAGTGCTGTCAATGAGTCGCAGAGGTTGGAGACTTACTATGCCCATGCGGTTCCCGTACACAGCAACGATGTTTTGAATGGTAGCATTGCGCTTGGCTTGGTTCAAGCAGTTGCCACATGATTGGTAGAATGTTCCGAAGTTCTCTGCATAGAAGCCAGTAATGTTGTATTTGCCTCCGAGGGAGTTGTCTTGGAAGATCTGGTTGAGTTCGGAATTAAAGTTTTGCTCTGCGTGAAGGAAGGTTTGAGTGGATCCCGGGACGAACCTTGTCTGTTGCATTTCTGGCTCCACCCCCAATGACGCGCAGCTGGGTATTCAATCCCTTGGATGTAAGTGCGTCTTCGCAGACGTCTTCCCACCAAACTAAAAGCTCGGTTAGATTCTATCATGAATATATCTTGTCTGGTGTATGGAAGGAAACGAACCATTCTCAACCCAAGCGTCACCCAAAGCATGGATTCCTTCCGACTGGTGTTTACCGATGATCACGTTCCTAATTGTGCTTCCTGGTAGCAGATTGAAGACTGCATCTGCATCCGTACCTTCAGCCTGCTCATTACAGCTTCCCTTGGGACGTTCATATCTCTTCATGCCGCCGTCAAAGATCTGGCCGGGCATGATGTACATGGCGTCTTGGAGAACGACCGTCTCGGTTGTGACTGGAAATGTGGTAACTGGGAAAGGGAATCGTGGAGGAGGGCGAGCTGCGAGATCGCCTTGAGTGGCATCTGCGTCTCCTTGTGCTCCATCTCCTTGACTTTGTCGTGGGACAACGGCGGCTTGAAGCAGTGCTGGGAGGAAGGCCAGCGAGGCTGTCGTAGAGAACTTCATCTTGCTGGAGCTATACGAACTCAATTGAATACGTCGGAGTTGCTGGGATGATTGAGTTCAAATAATTGAAAGTTTCAACAGGTAAGGGTGTCTAAAAACTAGCTGCAGAGCTGTCAAATAACTTTTCTGAAGGACGAGCTTGTATTTTATACTGCCAGCGATCTGCTCGATCCCCAGCCTCGCCATGTACCCCTCCATAGCTCTGGAGCTCCCCTGCAGTTCCCCAGGGCTTTGGATAAATTTCTCTCCAGCTTCCAGGTACCAAAGATGACGATGATTACGACGGAGTATCTCCTCTGGATATTCCACGAATGACTTTCTCCGTGATGGTTGGCGCCAAGTTTTGCCAATGCCTTGGAGACAGCTCTTCTCCGCTCACTTGGCTGCAAGCCAAGGCTGAAGGGATTTACCCCATGGGAAAAGCGAGCGTAGCCTTGCATGCTCGCCGTCATGTCTACTTGACAGCGGCTTTGAATAATTCCGTATTCACGGACGGAGTGTACACTTCATCGTGTTGGATTCTTGGAAGTCGATGTTGGCTTGTTCTTGACTCGGTAAAATCGGTACATCTATTGTCCATTGGGAAGCTGGGAAGCGGCATAGAAATGGTGGCGTGAGCGGTGACAAAAAATCCGATTCTTCGTCTCGGGTCCAGCTGTGTCACCTGCGAGTCAATGTCTCTGAGAAATGGCTGTCCCAAGAAGCATAGCCGAATGATGGTGATCATGACCATATGCGCGGGGGTTTATATTTTCGGGGCATGAGGCACCTCGGGGTGAGAAAACCAGCTGTGACGGTGGGATTCTCTCATCTGCTGATTCTCCCCAGTCAAACATTTAGTTGATACCAGGTGACTTCAACCAGTTCAATTGTCCAAAAGAATAGTTCTCTGACGCTGCCTAGTTTATTCATGACCAAAAGAAGAGTATCTACAGGTTTTGGAGGCCAATGGAGTACAAAGCTAGAAAGTACGCAGAGAAGAAGCGCCACTCTATTGTCAAACGAAGAAAGCGCGCTGTCAAGTAAATAATCTCACTGGAGAACTTGGATGATAGGCAGCATGAAACAGAGCACTTGGGTCCTCACTGAGAGGACTATCCATATCCTAGCGTCCCAAAGATGATTCAAATGAACGAGGATGGATACTCAAAACTCGCCAGTCAGCTTCAAGGGTGCGATGGAAAAAGTAAATGAAGCTTGAGAGCTGAGAGCACCGAAGTTTCTATATAAGATTCTTTGTTGGTGTTTAGAAAGAAAAGCTTCTCTAAAAGTAGTCAAGATTCTAACGAAAATATATTATACAATTTGAAGAATAAGAATCCATCCCTAGGAATTTGCTGGGAATACCTTCAGCTCACCAACGCTTTTGACTCCCGTGACCTGCCGCCTGTTGAAAATTCTGCCGGGCGGTAACACCAGCAAAATGCAGTGTGATTCTAGATTTCAAATCATGCAGAATCTTAACAGTGTTGCTTTCCTTCGCTTCGAATTTCTTTTGGCTGTCTTCATCTTCCTCATATCGCCCTTCCTTTGCCTTTAGTTTGGATTTTTGAAATTCGACGATAGCTCGATATCAAAGTCAATCTTGTGTACTCGCTTAACGTATGGAGCCGCAAGCAGTCTATCTCAAATATGCCAGTGCCAAAAAGCTTACCGATCTACTGGATAGGCCTTTTGGTACCGAGGGCACGTATAAGATAAGTCTTCCTCGGACTGGTTTATCCTGAACCTGACTGCCAACTCTGGTATTGGGCATATTCGGGTTGGAAAACATATCATCACAGCACCACAGCACCACGACATCTGACTCCGGTCTGCATACACAATTGGAAATCCTCTGTAAAATGGGGCTATCGATCTTTCATACTCTTCAGCCTCAACTTTCAGTTAGAAGAGATTGATTCTTGTCGATAACTCCCTGGTCTGATTTTCGTGGCCAGCAGAGCTGGGTATGGTGGCGAAGCAGTCAGAGCCTCGCCCCAAATCAGTCGGCACATTTGAGGCTCCCATGAGCTGAAATCTGTCCTTTCACTGTTTCTTTTCAGCCTTTAGTCAACGCGTATTGATTTGGCTTTCATTGGCTGTGTAATTCTCTTTCGTTTGAGACCGGGACACCACCTGGCCGGATGGACATCGCCGCCCCCAAAATAGGGTGATTCAAAAATAAACCTTGTAGGGCTACAGAATTACTCAAAGACCAGCTATCAAACGTTTAGCCAGGGGATGCACGTTTTTTTGTTTATTTGTCTCAGAAAACGGTTCCAGGCCTAGAAGGCCATGCCGTGGCTATATACAGAAATACAGCGTTCCGGTCCCACCTGCGAGTACACCTCTTTGTGTCATCAGAGTCGATTGTGCCCCCGTGAAATTCCACGTCACGCTGCCTCTGGCGTCCTTTGTCCCTGTCCTTTGTCCTGTCCCGTTGGGGTGTCCTGCCCGCCATCATCCATGAACCATTCATATCTCGCGGTGCCAAGACTTTTCTATTTACAAACTAAGATGGATCGCCTTGCTCGAGGATACAGGAGCCAAAAGAAACCTCAAACTCCCCTGTCCCCATACACAGGAAATAGATCGTAGAAATAAAAAGAGCTTCAACCTGGTACTCTTCCCAGAAAGGGCATACATGGATGAGTACTCTATCACCCGTGGCAGCTAAGTGCTAATTTGCATGGGACGGTGAAGTCTTTTGTTCGGCGTCTATCGATTCTTATGATTAGCTTCGAACTTGCCACACCTTTCCAAGTAATTTTATACGACCGGATACCTCGACAACCCAGATATTATTTACAATCAGCGCTCATATATTTCTGTCGCTTGAGCAACTGCCCTCAATTGGCTTGTCACATTCCTCTTTTTCTTTTGCCTCTCTTCCGTTGTCCGGATATCTTATCATATCACTATACAGACAATTCGATCTTTTCCACACCACAGGTGATCGACGGCCAGTATTTGGATCAGATGAAGCTTATGAACCTTCTCCAACAGGTCTATGGTACGTCGGAAGGAAAGAACAACTTTTTGGTCGAGGTAAATTTCACCTGTCATGCTTGATTTCCAATGGCTTCGATGCTGAGTCTGCTGAATTGCCTTGGATCACTTCGGAACTGGAGCATCCAATAGGCGCAGAAGTCCAAAGACAATGACATGAAAAAGAAACTGATAAAGACAATGTCGAACAGGATATAAGAAAGAATGCTTTCTTGCGACAGAGGCCTGTGTTTACTAACCCTACTCTAGGAAGTGGAGCAATCGATTGTCGGGCCAAAGTCAGCATCAGTAGTAACCACAACCCGTCAAGCTTCACAAACTCAACGAGTCGACGAGCCAGAAGTTGAAATATCTGAAGTCAGAGACCCAGAAGCACAACAATTATCACGAACTCCTGTCCCAGAAATCCAACTCCGACAAGCAACAATGAATCAAAATGCTGCTGCACAAACTTTTTCCCTTCCCCAGTCTCTAGTTTCAACGGAGAACCGAAGACGTGATTCGGAAGCTTTTTACGACAGCCGATCGAATAGTAAAGCATCATCGATGCCAGGACCTTCGCTGAGAGATCGATTGCACGATGCGCGGATCGAATGCCCGCAGCGAGCACATACCTTCTTCGTCCCTCGCTCGATTCTGGAAGACCTTATCAACGTCAGTTCAGTCGCACAGGATCTCCGATCACACAATTCCGAGATCAACGAAAACGATGCCACCAAGTACGCCAGTAAGGCATGCGAATCGGCACGACGCCTGTACGCGACACTGGCATATATAGAGAAGGGTGCTGATATTTGTTTATTCTTGAATGAAGGCATCACGGACGAGCACTTGCCGCTTGTTCGACAGTGCAGTGCTCGAAGCAAATTTGCACTATTTCGAACGAGTGGAGAGTCTATCAAGGCTTTGGAAGCATGGCAGGAGGAAGACCTGGGGAAGTTTGGTCGATCTCAGTGGTGGATGATCTCTCCTGTATTCCACCTGGGACAAGACCTGTATGATTTGGATGCCAACATGTTACTGCCATTCGTCCCATTCGACACCACCAGAGATGAGCTGGCCCATAAACAAGGAGGATATAGTGAGGTTTATCCAGTACGCATCCATCCTGCACACCATACATTTTGGCATCCCCATGAGAAATCTGTACGTGCACGCTGGGAGGCTATCCAAACCTAATACTAACTCGAAAACAGGAAGAGGAGCCTCTTGTTGCTGTGAAGAAGCTCTTCAGTACTGACGAGGATGACTTCACCAAGGAAGAAACTATACTCAGGGCCGTTGCCCCGAGACATCATCCGCATCTGATCAAACTCCTGGCAACCTACAAGCATGAAGGAAAATACCATTTGATGTTTCCATACGCAAACGCAAATCTCAAAAAATACTGGGATGATCGACCTAATCCAGCTTTTGATCGTGTCACTGTCCTGTGGACAGTTCGACAGATGGCTGGCATTGCTAATGGACTGTGTGCCATTCACAGCTTCAGGCTTTCCAAGCCATTGGTCGTGAAAACTGGAGATGGGAAGATGCGCGTCGCGAAGGGTATTCCGCTCAAAGTTCGTGACGGAGAAGAATGGTATGGACGTCACGGAGATATCAAACCAGAGAATGTACTTTGGTTCCGAAGAGACCAAAGAAAGAATGAGCCGAATGAAATCTTACAAATTGCTGATTTCGGACTTGGCCGGTTTCACGGACGTGATTCGAGGTCCGCGCAGAACCCCCGCACAATCCAAGGCTCTCCGACTTATGAGCCACCCGAATACAGGCTTCGACAGCCTGTTTCACGAGCCTATGATATCTGGAGCTTGGGCTGTGTATACCTTGAGTTTGTCACCTGGCTTTTACAAGGATCTCAAGCATTAGCAACCTTCTCCAGTCTCCGTGGACGCGTAGCAACCCGAAGCAGCCTTGACGACGACAATTTTTTCACAATTGTGAACGATGGTCAAGAGCCAAATGCAGTTGTTCGTGACAAAGTTGTTGATTGGGAGAATCAACTTCACCATCATGAGCGATGCTCAGATCTCATTCACGACCTCCTCGAGCTCATTATGAAGGGTCTTCTCGTTATCGACGCCAAGCAACGCTACCCAGCTGACTGGATCTTTCAACAACTGAAAGCGATTATGATACGAGCGGAGAAGGATGAAGCATACTGGTTGAAGCCCAATCCAGATCCCGTGGAGCCAGCAAACGACAGGTCAATTTCGACTCCGGCTGTTTTAACGGTCCCTACAGCGAAATCGAAGCGAAAGACCGTCACGTACACAGAAGACACAAAAGGCCCAGCAGCGAAGGGTTAAGCTCAAAAGGAGTTACCCACGTACTTGGTGCTGAGAGGCGAAGGGGCCCGCAGTTCCCTTTCGACCAATCGTGTCGTGCAGCATTCATGGACCTGGCCCTCCATGGGTGCAGCGGCTGAAGACGAATTTTGGCGAACACAATAAACCATTCGAGCAAACAATAGAAGAATTTAAAGCTGATTTCAAGTCATTTCCTGACTACCAGCCGTACAGAACGGAAAACAGCATATCGTAAGTGTTATCGCCAACCGCGAGTTGGACCTACAACTTACAAATATGACGAATATGGGCCCGAAGAGAGTGTTACAAGGACTTGTGGGAAGGACTGAAGTACATCGAGTCAAGGCTAAGTCGGGTGTAGACTGAAAGCGGTGTTGAAGTCCACGAAAACGGCCTGTATATCTTGACAAGTTCATTAACATCCCAGCCTTGCACGGGATCATGATAGATCTGTTGCAAGAAGCAACCGTTGTAGACGTCCTACCAATTGCTTCAAAAACACCTGCACGAACTATGTCGTCGTCGTTATAAGCTTCACCCGTCCCACTAGTTCATTTCCTCGTTGTCTCTGCGAGCCTAACTCTTTACAAACCTTAGCGCTTCGTAATTTGCACTGTTGTGATGGCCTATCCACAGCTTACCCAAAAATGCTTGGTGCTGTATCATCGTTGTGCCAAACGCAAATGCTAGTAGAATTATTCGCGCGGGCTGCAGTAAGCATCTCGACTGATTACTGCGATGCAATTTTTGCCTTTTCATTTTGGGATTATGAAAGTGCATGTGAGAAGTCACATTTCACAGCGAAGCCACATCTCGGAATGGGTCATCGCTACTTCCTGGCCCCTTGCCTGATGCATTTCATCCGGTGGCAGTACATGACGCTATCAAATATATCCGTTGGAGCCTATTGCTCGCTGTCCAACCATTCTCTTCGGCTGTACTTCCTCCCCAATCAAATCTGGTACTGTCCAGCGGGTTGTTACGTTCATCGGTGTAACCCCACATTCTTGTCCTAGGCTGATCAGCGACCGCAAGGATGTAACGAGCATGGAATTATGGATAAGAGGAGTGGATATCTCACAAGCGGTCGCGATTTCGAACGTAATTTGTGGCTGAATAGTGATAATAACAATGCAAGGAGAGTCTAAGGTGCCGGGAAGCGCAGGTAGTGATCATGACGGAGAAGCTCTCACAACGACTTCTAGTACCACTTTTTCTGAAGCGATAAATATACTCGTGCCAAGTTCTTATGCAGGAAGCGCGGCCTCCTCAAGCATTGCGGCGTCGAGCATCAGCAACCCAGAACTCGAGGTTGATACTCAGGCAAGTTCTCGCTTCGCACCTCTATTTCCATCCCTGACTCGCGTTTGCAGAGCGAAAGTCGTAGTGATTCAGATTCCGCATTTTCTAGCATCAGAGACTCGTGAGCGACACCAAGATAGCCTTTCAGAGGATATGGCTTATCAAAGTTCACAGAACCACGTCTTTACGAGCGAGTGTTTACGACTATGTTGAGGAGAATGGTCGGACTTTTCACAAGTACAAGGAAGGCAGTATGGGTACACAAAATTTCATGTATGAGAACTGTGCTGACTGAGAATCCCAAGAATATGTATTACCAAACGATGCGGTACGTCCCACTTGTTTGATGGGGGAACTTAGCTGATTAAATTGTTCAGATCGAGCAAGATAGATTAGGTAGCAACTGCTGTCTCCAACTGACAAGTCTACTGACCAAAGTGGATAGACCTCCAACATCAGATGTGCCTTATACTGCTGGAAGGTAGACTTCATTTGGCTCCGATCGGCTCAAATCCGCAGAATGTCCTTGACGTGGGCACAGGAACGGGAATATGGGCAATCGATTTTGGTTCGTTCATGTACTCAGGTCTCTCATATCGTGACTAAGTTAACAAAGTCGATCGCCAGCAACCAAATACCCGTCCGCCAAAGTGATCGGGACAGACCTAAGTCCAATCCAGCCTGAATTGTAGGAACTCGCTCTTACCTTACCCATTTGCCTTGCTGAAATGTGCAGCGTCCCAGCAAACTGCCAATTTGAAGTCGACGACGCAGAAGACGAGTGGGCATTCTCCACTTTCTTCGACTTCATCCACATGCGCGGCATGATGACATGTTTCTCCGACCCGCGATCCATACTCGCCAAAGCCTACGATGCCACAGCCCCAGGTGGTTACCTTGAGATGCAAGACTCCGTCTTTCCAATGCACTGTCACGACGACACGCTCGAAGGCACAGCCCTCGATATCTGGGGCAAAGCTTGTGTAGAAGGAGCAGCTAAGATTGGCAGACCGTGGACTAACACCCCGAATTACAGAGACTGGATGGTCGAGCTGGGCTTTGAGGACGTCAAAGAGAAGATATTTGAGGTACCCATTAACACTTGGCCGAAGGGAAGAAAGCAGAAGGAGCTGGGGTTGTGGTGGCAGGCCGACTTGATGGATGCACTAGGAGCTAGTATGGCTATTTTGACGAGGGCGATGGGTTGGACACCTGAGCAGGTGGAGTTGCATTTAGTACAGGTGAGGAAGGATATTAAGAATAGGGGTGTTCATGGATATATGCCAATGTGAGTAAGAACTTGTGATATGAAATGTCAGCTAACTGCTAACTTCGATAGACATGTGGTCTGGGGAAGGAAACCGAAGTCTGCGCTGGAAGACGGACTCACGACTGGTAGCACCTAAACTTGATTTCTATAGATTTGGACCCTGTTAGCGGATTGAATGAGTGCTGCCAGCTAATAACACAAATCCTTTCCATTTAGATCGTATCAAGCGATTAGTATATGGTCCAGAACATCTTCGCTGATGTTAGACGCGGGAACTATGCTTTCTTTATTGCTACTATTTGGCATACAATGGCTCACCAACGGCTATTTCTGAGCGTGTATATCGCGTCTCTGTGCTAAACAATCCGTTCTGCACGGATTCAGATTTGTAGGCAAGTACTGAGGTGCACCGGAACGGCGATGGGCCTGCTGTGCCCACAGGCTCGTATATTTTTTTTCGGTCTATATCTAGCTTGGATCGATAAACTACTTTGCTGTTATTCTGCGAAGCACTATGGATGGTTCAAGTTCGTTCATGGTGCGCTTTAGTAGCTCAGTCCCCGAACCATGGTTGGTGTGGATTAGCTCCTCGCTTAATTTATTTATGATGCGAGACCACCAGGACTTTTCATCACAAAACTAACCAACATCATTCAGTCCAATTGATAATTTATCTTTCCGTCGTGTGTATATAATCTTTCCGTGAAACGAATTTCCTTTCTTCTGACATCAAACATAAACCTCATCACATCATGATAAACGACACAAATCCACAGCTCAAACCGCAGCCACCAAAAAATGCACCCACTGGCCCGCGAGCAGACAGAAGGCAAGGTCGCACAATGCCTGGGGTAATATCAAATATGACACATCGAAATGGAAGACCAGTAAATGAATCGAGAGAAGTTCCCACACGACTGCGGCCGGAGACAAATGAAGCGCTACCCTCAGGACAGCGAACACAGACAAGAAACACTGTTCCGGGCTGCAACTCAAATAATATGCCTCTCCATGGGCGGAACCAGGCTTGGATTCAAGGAGCCCACAATCATGGTAGAGAAAGATCTAACGCAGTATCGGGTGCTGAAAATGATTCTGATGCTCAGGATGATGAAACAGGTTGTTCTAATGCAACTATAAAAAGAGCAACAAATTTGCAGAAGAATCCATTTCCGAACAGAGTGCAGCATCGTTCGAAAAGTCGCCACGGGAAAAGAAGCATCTCCCGGCCTACACTGTCAAATGTTTTAAATCAGAATGATGGGGGGAACAGAACGATGAAACCGCGGTCCAACTCTCACATGAAGCAAGACCCACAGGTAGAAAGTTTTACCAACACAGATACTTATAGTAGAAGCAACACTCCCTTGGCTGCTAGACCACCAATACATCGAAGGATCGAATCACAGAATGATAGTGAATCCCTGCCTGACGGGCCCTCGAGTGGTGGTGTGAACTTTCACGAACGAAATCATGCGAATCGATACCCAAGACATCCAATATCAAATGCAGGACACAGGGACAGCAACGGGTCTCCCCAGCAAAAGCCAGTTTCTGGAACAATTGAGAACAATGAACGCCTTTACCGTCCGCGACACTCAAACAGGCTAGAAAATGAATATGAGAAGATGCGCACAGAGATGCAGAACGGCGAGGGACATCAATTCTCTACCCAGAGCATAAATATTTCTCAGATCATTCTCGAATCTCGAGACCTCCCAAACTTTTACACCTCCAGCTGGCTCTATACGCCCGCCTATGAGCGAATCCAATCTCAAATCACCCGCCCAGGGTTCGACTCTGCCAGGCAGCTTGAAGGAGAGCCACTCTGGAAGATGGAGAAACCAGATAGGGAGGGAGCCCTGGAAAGGATCAGGGAGATAGAGTCCGGGCCACCCAAGGACATCGATCTCAAGGGCGTGCCGCGTAAGAAATGGAAGAATATATTTCATTTCGAGGAGAGGGAGTATCAAGGGATTGATCTTAGTAAGATGCGCAAGGTGTATCGCCCGGCTTTGTTGCATCTTTATAAGAACTGGCGGCCTTACACGGAGAGTCGAAAGGCGCCGAGCCATGACTTGAAAGGTTATATACGATCTAATCGAGGTGTGGATAGCGAACAGCCGCTTGAAATAAAGAGAGGTCGCGTACCCAGAAATCTTGAGGCGAAATTACGTCGATCGTTGGGGAGGAATTTGTCCTTGCTAGCAGCAGATGAAACCCAGTCTCCTCATGGGGAGGAGCAAACAGACATGGAGACTGGAGTCGCAGATACTGAACGGGTAGATCGTGGAACTGCAGAGACTGAGCTGGCAGAAACCGACAATGCAGAGACTGAAAATGCAGGGGCTGAGTTTGCAGAGGCTGAAGTAGCAGAGACTGCAGAGACAGATAATGCCCAGGTAGACACAGAGCTTTCAGAGTCGAACAACTATATCCTAGTAGCGAATCCAGAAACGGGAATTTTGCGCAAGGACGGCAGTGGAAGGCCTAGAGGGGAGCAGTAAAATCCTAGCTACAAAATTTGCTTTTAAAGGTTCGGCAACAAGGAGGGCATCTTCAGGGCCGTCTTCCAAATGGGAAGATCAGGTCCATAAGAATAAGACTAGCTAGTAGTAATCACCGAAATAGTTACTGTACCTTCGTCCAGAAGCAAGCAGGTGCTTGCTCTGTAGATTTATTGGGTGTTTTGTCTATCATCTGTGATTCTCTTCTCTTCTCGCTTAAGCCAAAGCGCTCCTTTCTCTAACAATACAGGTTACCGTTTCTGGTGTCTTTCCTTTCACATTAAATACCAACTCATCCATGCCAAGAGAAATAATGGACGACTTCCTCTGTTTTGATAAGCTTCGCTTACCGAATGAGGAAAGCCGATCTAGTTTGTGGCTGAGGTGGGGGACTAGCGCTCAGCCTCACTACTGCCTGATTGTATAACCTCCCTATCACTCCTCCTCCTGAATTGTGAGAGAAGGTCTATATTCTCTGTGTTCGTACAATTAATTCAACAATGATGGATTCAATTGCCCTCGTAATCACAATCTCGACACTGACCGGTGTCACCCTGAGAACGGCAACATCACTTGATGCCTTGCAAGCGAACTTCACAAAACAAGAACGGAGTATCAAGTCCATGTACATAGAATGCTCAGCAATAAGCGTATCTCTGACCAAAATCCAATCATGCGTCCTGCAAGATATAAGTCCTCTGAACTATTATCAACTCAAAGAGATCTTCGATACCATCATCACTGGATGCCGTGTGCTGTTCGCATGTCTCGAACAAGATATTGAGAAGCTGGCAGATGAAACACCGAGGTCTAAACCATGGAAGCCCTGGGGCACTTTCAAGAAATTCGAGGTCGAATGGGACCAGAAGAAGATGAATGGATATCTCGCGGATTTGAGAATGCAACAGGGTGCATTGATATTGCTCAATGAACTGCTCTTGATGTAGGTTTTCACTTTGAATGGCTTGGGAGATGGCTGACAAGGCTGCAGCAAGGACACGGGACAATTTCATAAGAAGCCACGGGATAATTCTTCTACTGTGATGCAGCAAGAACTTGCGACGCGGCAATTGAGAGAAGCAAATCCAGGGATCAATATTCCTACCACGGTTTATGAGACATCAGCTCCAAGAAGACAAACAGTGAAGCCAGGGCCTGCGACGACATATGATCAATCGTTTGCTTTCGACAATATGCTTGTCAATTCCGAATCTTACCGTCGAAGCGTGGGGATCCCGCCATCAGCTGCTTCTCGCAATCAGCCACAGCCCGATACGGGTCCATCAACCTCATCTACCGTAAAGCAGGAGAAAGACGAACTTGCAAGAAGGGATGCAAAGGAGCGGCATTCACCAGACGACGAAGAACTCCCAGAGTACACACCCTACCCGGGAAATCCAAATACAGCACCAGTCAGCGAATACATACCTAACCCCCGAGCCGTATTCCAAAGCTGCAGTCCTCCAAAAACCGTATCTCCGGATCGCATCCCACCACTCCATGTTCCTGACGGCCCATCCTCCTCCTCCAGCCTCCCAATCACCACAACCCCCTCTCAACTAACCTACACCATCCCAGTCAAAAACGAGCAACATATCCTCGTGTAAATGCATAACCCGAATGCAAGCCCCGTTCAGTACCGCATTAAGACCACAGCGCCAAAACGATACTGCGTTCGACCGAATCGCGGGACGATTGCGGCTGGAGAGAATGTAAATGTGGATTTTATTGCTATGCCTTGGGAAAAGGAGTGGAAGAAGCCGGAGCGGACAGAGAAGTTCCGTGTTGAGTCGATGGTCGTGGTTCTGGGTGAGAACTTTGAGTGGAGTAGGGATGGGGAGAGCAGGGCTGGGGAAGTGCAGAGAGTTAAGATTAGGGTTGCGCTTGAGGGGGAGCCGTAGGTGTAATGGGGAGTGGAAGGACAGGTAGTTGAATGAATGGATGAGGATTCCTAGTATATTGCTAGATGATCAGCTTCATATTGCTTTGGAGGTAGTGTGCAATCCTCTTGTCTGGGCAACTATCGAGTGGAGAGCAATGGGTTTCTGATTTGCTCGGGGGCAGGCATACAAGGGCAACTATTCTTTCGAGAACGGACATAGAAGTTCAATGAAATGAATAGAAATGTGACATTGAAGAATGATAGGTTAGATTTGTCCTTCAATAATGTGCAAACATGTGAAGGAGAAGAGAAATGCCGTCGTTCTTACCCACGGAGAAGCTCATCCTGCTGAGTCAGCAAAGAAACTTTAACACCTCCACAACACTGCAAGCTTGTTCTTCTTCTTTTCCCAAGATCATCGAAACACGATTCTACGGGAAGAAGACCACTATCCCACTCTCTGTGGAATATATCTGACAGGTAAGCGACGGTAAGTGTGGTCATGTCTTTTCTTCTTGTGCACTACTGCACGTCGCTGCAGGTTGAGGCTGAGGCTGAACGGCCCCCAATACTGTACACCATCATGCAGGTCTCTGTTCTGTGAGGCGGAACATCGATCCTTCTTGTTGATGCTCTCCAAAGCTCACCAGTGTTACCTAAACAGCTACAATGTTTGGGTTGAAGAAAAAGCCTGCTCCCGAGTCTTACCTAGATGCGGTTTCTGTGGTGCGACAAGCGCAACTAAACAATCCCATTGCCCGAGGCACTGCAGCTGTAGTATCCGCTGTAATGCAACAACCACCACCACCACCAGTCCCAGACGGATGGTATGCCCCGTGCTTCACTCTTAGAGGTGAGATGACTGACTAGCACAAGGAGAGCGACTTGGCTCCCTCACGATAAGCAGTACTCCTACCTCCACATCGCGAGCGACTATGTCCAGTTCGGATATCCAGATGGGCAGACCATTGCGAAGTATGCCTCGCAGCCGCTGAGGACGCCTCCAATCGTATCTCCACCCATTCCCCCGCCTTCACAAATCCTGTCACCGCCATTGTCTGAAGGACCGCGAGGGACGCCTATCCCTCCCCTTGTTACGACCACTACAGGAGGAAGCAATGGCGTAAACCTCAGTACCGACAATGAGAACCCCACTGGAGCCTCAATACTCGCCTTGTTTGATGTAGCGGGCAATTGGTCGGGGAAAGGGCAGCATGTCGAGTTTGCGCGGAACGAACACATACCACTAGAAGAAGGGGCTTCCCTAGGTCGAGGTGCGAGTGCAGATGTCCACGAGGTTGTCTGTCGAGGGGTAAAGATTGCAAGGAAACAAATATTCTGCAGTCGTCGAATGAAGATCGAGGATGTGAAGCGAGAGCTGGAGATATTAAGGAAGCTCGACCACAAACATGTTGTTACACTGCTCGGGTCTTACACGCAGAGAATGGTCCTGGGCATATTACTATATCCGGCGGCTGTGTGTGACCTGGGCGTATACCTGGATGAGTTAGACGAGGACCTCCGATCAGGCAATTCGGAATTGGGGGAAGCTATGTCCAAGATATGCGAGCGTTTGGGTATACCGGAAAATCTATATCATGCAAAGGAGCGCTTGAGTCGAATTTACGGATGTCTTGCGAATGCGGTCCAATACCTTCATGACAGCGATGTCCGACACAAGGATCTCAAACCACGAAATATCCTCCTTGATCGTAATGATGGCCTTTTCGTTACAGATTTTGGGCTTAGCAGAGACACTACTGACGCTTCTACAAGCGTGACGAATGGAATCGAACGTGGAACATACAAATATTGCGCCCCCGAAGTTGCTCGGTATGAGCCTCGAGGTAGAGCCGCTGATATTTATTCCCTTGGATGTGTATTTCTTGAGATCAATACTGTGTATCGAAAGCTGTCACTCGTGGAGTTTGACACTTTCAGAACCAAGGACGAGGACCACTCCTTCCAAAACAGTCCGGAAAAGTTGAAAGAATGGATGACGAGATTAAGAGCGGTCCCAACATTGAATGATCAGGGTATTTTTGACTTGATGGACTTGGTCGAGAAGATGGTGGCAGATACGCCGACTGATAGACCCGTCATAGCTAAGGTTATCGCGACATTGAAAACTCTCGGCAGCGATATTTACTTTGCAAGTTGCTGTAGCGTACCTCCAACCATCGAAAAGGAGTTCCGTGACCTAGGTATGGCTCCACAGACCCGCTTTGATCTCCCTGAGCTCACCTCTATTTAGTAATGAAGTACAGAAAAGTGAAGGTTTTATATTTCGACAGGGTTACGGAAGTTGAGAGGCTCGAGGCGGCCTTGAAAGAAGAGAGAATGCAGATGGACGATATGGCAGAGGAGATAGTAGCCCTCAAGCTCAATGCAAGTTTCCACCGCTCCCAATACCATTGTTGAATATGGCGCAGCACGTGTCTATAAAGGCAATGCCAGTGACTCGGCCATCAATCCCTCCAATCCATCAGATCCTGACGACGTCTTTAGCTTCTTGAATCTTAGATAAAGCCTCTCGCAGCAACGGCTTTCTTACTCAGCTCGATATCACAAGCTTCGCGAAACCTACTTCATACCAGCTCCCAAAGACCAGATCTGGACACTTGCTGACGTGGATGGTGATGGCTGTTTGAACCGAGAAGAGTTCGACATCATGCTGCGCTTCCTACCCAGATGGGGCCAAAATACCAAAATTGGTGACTTGCCGGCTACCCTACCACCAGAACCTGTTCCACTATCTACGAGGAACCCTGACCGTGGTATCTTGTCTCGAACCAGTACCAGTCGCCACAACACCAAGAGATAGAAAGAGGTTAACACTACCAAATATGATCGAGATTACTGGGGTATCGATAGTGATGATGATTATTGGTTACAACCTCCCTCCTCCGACTTCAAATCAGTCGAGCTGCGACAGAGGCCTGGCATGAAAAATGACCAGGGACAAGATACGGGCAGGGACGTAGACAAATACTAGGGACCCTGGCACTCAGGTGGTAGGACATTGGTCACCATAGTTTCGCTAAGCAGCGGTGGGGAGGAAAATACGGTTAAGGAGAGACTGGGAAGCATTGGAGGTTCTCACGTGGTTGACAGACTTCGCGCGATTAAGAAGTGAAAAGCATGTGTTTAGAAGAACGAAAAGCACTCGGACTGTTATGTCAATCACTATATGATCTCGGCCAGATTGCTTGGCCGTCTCGTGAAGAGGTAAAGGTTATGGACACAGCTGGGCTTCACTTTCAGGTGGTTGAGCTTGAAGCTGTCAGCTCATACCACATTGTGAGTCCTTGATAATCCTAACGAGCGGTCACAAAAGTCTCACTAGCCACAATCTGAAATAGGTTTGATGATTATCTCATTTACATCACCTCAATTGTCTTAAAATTCTATAGAGAAGGTAAATCGCTATGCAAGTACCACCTGGCAATGCAGTTGTGTCTATCCACGAGCCTTTCACTCAACCCAAGCTCATTCCATAAATCCACGTCACCACCAATCACACCCTCTTCGGCGCCCAATTGCCCAACCAAGTCCTCGCACCATCCAACCCACCCCCTTCCGCCTCAAGAGCAGCAACACACCACTCAAGCTCATAAACCCCCTCCGCAGCCAACATCTCTGCCATTCCCCTCCTCCTCTGACTCCCCTCATCAACACAGAAATAACACGGCTTACTCTTATCCCCAATCTCATCCACCAACGGCTTCACAATCGGTAACGCCAGCTGAGTTGTCAAAATCTCAACCACCTTTCCCCCTTTCACGTTCCCTTTCGCCCTAGCCGTCTTGCAATACTCGTTCTTACACCACGCCTTCCCGCACCCTGAGATGAGTTGCGAGAGATATCGTCGCTCGATACGTCGCCGCATCGCCTTTCCCTCAGGGTCGTGCATACTAACATACAATGGCCCATAACATATACTACACACCCCCAGCCCATTCCCAGGCCCCTGACCGACCCTACTCCCCGCCCCAATCTCCCCATTCCTCCCCACGCCGCCGAGCGTCCGCCCACAATTCACAACACGGCATATCTCCGGCTTGGCTTTCGTGATCTTCTCTAATTCATGGTGTTTTAAATGCGTGGACATGTCCCGAAGCCGGATTATCCGACTGCAGAGATGGCAGTCTGTTGTGCGTGCTCCGTCGGCGAGCTCGTGTGGTGTGAGGCCTGAGAGGAGCGTTTCGGCGGATGGGGTGGGTGAAAATGGGTCGCCTTCTTGCGGGACTTCCAGGTGGCAGAATTGGCAGAGGATGAGCTTGCTGGGGCAGGTGGTTGTGCGGTGGGTGGCGAGTAGGGGGAGGTTAGACGCGGTGTAGGGACAGGAGGGGCAGGGATGGGGAGTGTGGAATATGATATCGTGGGTAAGGCGGGAAGAAGGACTGTTGCCGTGGGAGGTGTCGTGCGGACAGTGCCAGTGGGATGTCCATTCGGGGGAGGTCTTCTTGTAGACTAGGGAGCAGTGCGGGCAGAGGATGTTGTTCCGCAGGCAGAAGTTTTCGTGGAGCATCATTGTTCGGGAGGGGACCCATTGTAAGCAGTTTTTGCATTGTTGTTCCTCGGGACTGTGCATTTCTGTGTCTTTGTCTTCGGCGTCGAGGATGATGGGAGATTTGGTCGTGCCGTTGACTGCTTTGGGTAGAGATTTGAAGGCCAGGGAGAACTTTCGAGGACTCGAAGATTCGTTTTCTGAAGGCCGGGCGTAGATAGAGATGTAGAGAGCTTCGGCATTCTCAAGCTCGATGTTCGTTGCTGAGATTTTAATCCTCTTCACTGGATCGCTGCTGAAGTCTCCGAATACATACTCATCTTCCCGCGGTCTTGCTCTCTGACGAGGCGAGTAAGGGCTGACAAATAACTCCAAGTCCCCATCTTCTGTCGTCAACTCAATCTCAATTCCTTGCGTTCGGTCCCAAGAAGGTAACTGGTAATCCACGTAGTCTCCGCTCAGAACCTGTCCTGCCGAGGGTTTCCAGATGCTTAAATCTCCACCAACAGAACTCCCTTCAGCTGTTCCAGGTGCTTTTTGTGCTTTGGCCATGATCTGCTTCATTGTTTCTCTAGCTTGCTCTTCGTTCAAAGCCTCGATATCGACTTCCAGATCCGTGTCAACCACACATATTCCATCTCCCTCCGGCGCAAACTTGTCGATCAGGAACCTGAATTCTTCTGATTTGGATCCCCGCACAGTCAATATCTCCCCATTTGTCAAGGTCGTGAAATTCTCTCGCAAATGTCTCTCCAATAAAGATTTCCAATCTTCGGGATTGTAGCCAGCTTCTAGAGGCCGTAACCGTACGTACGTTCCCTTGGGCAACTGCTTTGCATGGACTGTAATCCTCGGTGGTTCTATTTTCTTAAGATCCTCGTCCTCATTATCGTCCGTCAAGTCGATCGGCGCGTCCGGCGATCCTTCGTCATCCGAATGTATTGACACAGCTTTCTTAATCCTACCCTCAGGCTGCACCACACCCAACGCCTCCAGCAAAAACGGACTCAACCCCACCTCTCCCTCTTCTGCAGAGAACTCCCTGATCCCCGCATATACTACATTTCCATTCACAGAATTTACTAGGCGGAATGTAAGAGGATGCGGTAACTGCTGTTGTGTGTCTCGCCATTGCACCTGCTCTGCGCGCGCCGCGGCAAGGGAGTATGGGTTGAAGGGATCGAAAGAGAGGGGGTTTACGCGATTCGAGGAGGGGACTGTGACGGTAGAGGCGGAGAGGAGCTGCTCGAGTGCGGATTGCGGGAGGAGGATTTTATCTCCTGGGAGGATCTTAGTCTTGGTGCTTTCGGGGGCGACATTGAATACGCTGGACCAGGAGAGCGATATGCCGGTGTCAGGTGGCGTTGCCATGGTTTAGTGGGGAGCAATTGAGGATTCGAGGTATCATATGGTTGATAGAAGGTTTATAGGAAGACGGTATATGGAGTTGGAGGAGTCGGTAATATGTGGTTGCTGAGCGTGGTCCTGTAGTTTTGAGTTTGTCAGAAATTCAAAGTTCTCGAAGTTACCAGCGGTAAAGGCATCAAGCGCCACATCATCACATCACCGATAAGCTGATAAGAAATAAGCTTAATTCCCTAGCGTTCAATCACGTGGCTATACTTATCAGTAATCCATCCCAACAGCCTTGCGAATCTCGGTCCCGAATCCAGTGGGTTCATCATATATCTCGCGTCCGCCCGCCATCTACCTACGTCGTCTTCTCACAATTCCCACTTCTTTTCATGCTATGGAGGACGCGGTTCAAACACCTTCAAACGATATCCCCTTACCATTAACACTGCTCCAGCTTCTCTCCAATACGCTTGTTCTGAGCCAAACAACACCGTACCTACCGCCTTCCAGCCTCCTCGCACTTGGCGCAACTTGCAAGGCTTTCCAATCTCTTGTTAAGAATACATCGAGTGTCTTCAGACATCTTGACCTGACAAGTGTCAAGTCTGCGCAGTTCGAGTTACCTGCGATCGATCATGGTGGCGAGGTGTGGAGGAATGTACAGCTAGGTGAGTTAGAGATGCGCTCGCGTACTACAAGACGGACTTACTTACCAGGAATGCGAAATAGATGAAAACGTGACAGAAGACGAGTGTGTATTTCCTCTCATACTCTACGGAATCCATGCTAACACTATTGCAGCTTTTATGGTGGCCCTCTACAAGGCATATTTAATACTCTTCGCCGGCGGCAGATCCTCCAACATGTCCAAACCCTTATCCTCGACGGCCTATCAGTGACTTCGGATCTGCTGTCGGATATAATCATCCAAGATCACTTCAATGTGCGGATACTGTCTGTACGAGATGTCCAGAATCTGAACGAGAGGAAGCTCCAGCAGGCCTTGCTCTATGCTGTCAGGCCTTCTCGTCCAGAGAATACCCCAAAGCTCCGAGGGCTGTATATATTCGGGCCAAAGGACGCCGCGCTTCCTCCTCGCTACCCACAACTTGCGGACGACCGTCATCGACTTATGGTGCCGAGTGATTTCTGGTCTTCGGATGGTGGGGTGGTGTTTAGTCCTGGAGCGCAGATAGGAGCTCAATGGAACCAGAAGTCTGGCGATACACTCGCGGATGAATTGGCATCTGGGGCTGATAAATGGTATCAGGCTGGTGGAAAGGTCTTGAGCAAGCCTCCCTCACTTGAGTGGGCAAACACCATGTATGCATGCCAGGGAATCATCAGTTTTGATGCCGTTCTCTGCAATGGGCCGCGCCACTCCTCACTCGGTAGAGATGATGGAAAGTCGCCTAGTCCATGGTATCAAAGCTCCGGTGCCCATCTTTCTTCTCGTGTGGCCACCCATTCGGTTGGGGGCTGCGCTGGCTGCAAGAAAGGACCCGAGAGTATCGCGAGGTTCAATCAAGCACCGCTGGGACGATTCCCGCTACTTGCTCCTCCACCTCTTCATTCATCGACTTTGAAGGCTGCAAAGATGCCGTTCCCTGGATTCGAAGATAAGCTGTTGCTGAGATGCGCAGATTGTCTTCGAAGTCGATTCTGCGAGAACTGTCACAAGTGGTGGTGTGAAGATTGCTACGAGATTTCAGATCAAGGCGGTTTCTTCGTTCCAGGCCCGGCTTCATCGCTGGGAGCTGCTGAATCTGTAATTTCGGGGAAGCGCCCCGACCAAAATGTCAAGGTACATATGGGTCTCTGTGTTGAAGACTGTCTTGTTGGCGAAATGATGTCTGGAGCTGGCAGTAATGGCATGTGGGGTTGATTCTTCAAGGACTCGACTTCACGCGGATATGTATGGGAAAGCTTCGATTTTCATTTGGTTTTGATGATCTGGACATCGGCTGACCTGCCAACAGCCCGGAGTCTTTCGAAGTTGCTTCGAATGCGGTCAGAACGTGAGTTACTCATCACTCGTACGGCAAATCACACATCGCTAATATCGGCAGTGCGATTCGTGTATCGCGCGAACCCAGAGAATGTGCAAGATATGTGGAGGCGGATATTGCACGATCCACAACGAAGGATCAACACTTTCCACTGCAGGTCGCCACGCAATCAACGGATGTAGATGCTGAAGCTGACTAGCCCTAGTGCGATTGTATGAGGTGTCCAGTTGCAAATTTGATATCCTGGACTTCAAGCTAATCATTTTCACAGGGTGTGCAAGAAGTGGTCGACGGACGAGGGAGATGTACTGAAAGCCACCCATGGGAGACCTTCGATAGTCAATGTCGACATTCCACTCAATTCGCCGGCCTCATCAACTTACACTCTTCTCAAACAGTGCTTTGCATGTTCGGTAAACTTCTCTCGAGCAAGTAAAAACATCCGGCCAAGTTCTCTCCTCGACCCAAATCTCATCGCCCCGACGTTTCAGGAGAAGCCGTGGTCCACGAATCTCATCTCACAAGGCTTGCATGACGACGAAGCTTTAGAAGCCACACAAGCATCTGACGACTGGTTGGAATATCTTGGCAATTGCTTGCGGTCGCTTCTTTCATGTCAGACACAGGGATGCAAACTTTCGTGGCTAACCAGGAGCCCACGACGTCAGCCACTTCGAGCTCTATTTGTGTCTAACGATCAATATAGGAAACATCTCCGCACTGAAACAAAGATTTATCATCCAATACAATTATTCTCATTGGTCAATCCATTTTTTCATGTCTTGCGCGGTGTTTTGATTGGGTGTCCACATTGTTGTACCTCGCCAAGACCCCGTCCACTCACAACACGCGTCGTCTGCTCCCCCTTCGCCCGCTTAACAGCCACAATAACAACTTAAGCGTCGGGAGATGCACACCATGCAAAACTTTCTTGCCGCTGGCCGCCGAACTATATGCGAAGTGTCTTTTCAGTATAGTGGACCAATTGGATGTCCTCAAATGGTCAAAAATATACATTGTGGGTCCTCGAAGAGCCTCAACGCTCCAGCTCATTACTTTTGGGCGAAGCCTTTCGCCTCAGCCTTCCCCGTGGAACCCCCTCATTCGCAGGGTTTATGTTTAAGCTTCATCGTCGATGTACGTATGCTTGACGAATACTCACAGAAGTCATATCTTGGCAATATGAATTCATAGTGATGACTATGTCAGGTCGAATTATATATACTCCTGTGCCACTATCAATGTAGGTTCTCTCTCACCCTCATCACCATCTTCATTCTCTACCTCTTTCCTTCCTCGTCTTTCAGTGCTTGATTCAGCATTTCCTCGTCTGCATATCTCATTTCCAGTCTATCTCAACCTTCAATATGCAACTCATCACTCCTCTCATCGCCGCATCGGTTCTCGCAACCAAGGTATTCGCTCATCCCGGGCATGACATGCAAGCTGAGATCGCTGAGCGTGCTGCCTTCATGGCTACCGCTCCTCGTGATCTCAGTCATTGCGCCGAGAAGTTGAAGAAGCGTGGTCTGGACAAGAAGAACGTCGCTCGCAGAGCTGCAATGGCAAAGGATGCCCGCAAGAAGAGGGCTATCTCAGAAGGTCCGTTCTGTCTTGCATTCTCCAAATGCCTAAATTAACAACCACAGATTCCCCATACCTCAGAGTTCGAGACACCGACAGCGTGCTTGCTACCTCCCACTTGTCAAGCGAGGCATACACCAACGCCACCGAAGAATCCATCCTCTTTTCCGGCAACAGCTCCTGCATCCTCTCTCCAGAAGTCACTCAAGGCCCATACTACGTCACAGGCGAATACGTCCGCGAAGACATTCGTGAAGACCAAGCCGGCATTGACCTCATCCTCGACACCCAAGTCATCGATGTCGCCACCTGTGATCCCGTCCCCGATGCGATGATCGAAATCTGGCACTGCAACTCTACCGGCGTCTACTCTGGCGTGGTATCCTCCGGCAACGGCGACAGCTCCGACACCACCAACCTCGACGCTACCTTCCTCCGCGGTCTACAGCCTACCGACGACGAGGGCGTCGCTCAGTTCATGACTCTCTTCCCCGGCCACTACACTTCCCGCGCGACGCACATCCACGTCCTGGCTCACTTCAACGGCACACAGTACGAAAACGGCACTTATGCAGGCGGCTACGTCTCACATGTGGGCCAACTCTTCTTCGACCAGGATCTCATCACACAAGTCGAAGCCGTATCCCCTTACTCAACCAACACTCAAGCCATCACCGACAACTCAGACGACGCTATCTTCGCCGAGGAAGCTGCTACCACCGACCCAGTAATCGAGTACTCTCTTCTCGGCTCAGATATCTCATCCGGCGTTTTCGGCTGGGTGGCGTTCGGCATCGATCTCACTTCTGAGCAGACTGTCACTGGTGCCGCGTCGCTTACCGCTGATGGCGGTGTGGCTAGTGAGAACTCTGGTATGGGCGGTGGTGGATCTGGATCTGGTGGACCAGGTGGAAATGGAACGGCGCCTACGGGAGCTGCTCCTAGCGGTGCGATGTTGTCGAACGCTACGGCTTCTGCTTCGAGTGCTACTACTCTTGTGACCAGCACGAGCGCGAGCACTTCTGGTGCGGCTTCTGCGGCTACGGCTGTCATTGAGGTGTGTGATTCTTAGAATCTCCGATTTTACTTGATAGAGTGTGGTGTTGATGTGGTGTGATTTAGATTGGCTTGCTATTTTGGGCTGGGGCTTGGATGGTTTTGGCGGTGTGATTGAGCGGGGTGGGATGCGGGAAGAGTAAGAAGGTAGATGTCGTTCATTGCTTCGGTGACTGTCTGGCGTTGAGAGTCTTGTAAAATATACATACCAGAGAATTCACTGCAGTCGCTCGTTTTCACAAGCATTGTTCTCCTTTATTCACATGATTTTTTTTTTTTTTTTTTTTTTTTTTTTAGTATAAGGATGCGAATTTTTGAGCGAGTGATTTGATAGTGACATTTTGGCTAGAATGATAAGATTTTTGAGAGAAGTCCAGGTTGTTTGGCGATGCCTTGCCTTCGGCCTCCCACGCCAGATATAAATAGCAAAATCAAATTACAGCCATATCAGATCATGCTGAACAACTTCTGTGAATGCTTAGATCCGCAAAGATAAGATAAAGCCTCCTTGGATCACGGTATCGATATATCAAGTCAAAATTGATTTATTTTTTAATTAATTAATTAATTAATTAAACATCAGCAAAAAGATCTGGCTCCAGGCAGCCGCCGGCTGACCGCCGTAGGCGCTATTTTCGCTATTTCAGCCTAAGTTGCATATCGATTAATTTAACAGCTAGCGACCCCTAAAGCGGTATATACTAATTTGAATTAACGACGTAGGCGCCTAAGGCGACTAAGGCGCTATAGGTGCTTATAAGCCTAATTAGGACTAGCGTATAAAATAAAAGTGAGTCCGATTTTTTATTTATTATATAAGATATATTAGTAAGCTTAGAAAGCTTAATAATACCAATCCTAAGGATATTAAAGGTACTTATAAAGGTATACCTTATAAGGGGGCATTATTAGGTTTATATCGCCCGATTAGGCAAGGCGGCGACTTACCCCTGTGTAGAATTTACCCGAATCGAATTATAAGCTTATTAGCGATTTTTTAGCGTGGATATTCATAGCGTTAAAGGCTTAGCGAGACTAGTTTTAAGGACGTGCGTAGAAAGTGCAGGTCTTTTTAAATTCTCGGTTAAAATCCACGCTAGTCTAACTGTTTTTAATTAGTTTAAAATCTAAAAATAAACTTAACTTTTAATTTTTAATTCCAATTAAAAATATTATATCTTTCCTAATTAGGTCTAGCTTATATATAAAAGTGGGTCTTATAAAGGGCGCGTAGAGCGTATAAGGCGGCCTTTTATTATTTAAGGCCGACGTACGACGGCCTCTTATATTTTAAGGCGCCTTAAGCGTAAAAAGCGACTATTCGGCGAAAACAGCGAAAATAGCGGGTGGCACATGCACCCGGCGTCAGAATTTTTTGCTGATGAAATGATTTAGAATAAGAATTTTGAAATAAACGATTAATTATCTTAGCGATTAATTTTCTTAGCGATTTATAAATTGAATAATTAATTAGATAAATCAAAAGTATTTGAATTATACACGTGATAAAATTATATTAGAAATCTAGATTTTTTATAATAATTTAAGTTAAAATATTAGCTTATAAGTATATTTAGCAGTGTTTTATATAATCATAATAATAAAGTTTAAATTCTATAGTTTTAAATAAGAATTATAAATGTTTATTTTATTAAATATATCACGTTATTTTTTAATTTCTTTTAATTTATTTTTAATATATTTCTATTCTAATAATATCGTATACTATAGGGAGGAGCTTTATATAGTATAAAAGTCTTAATTTATTAAGGTATTCTAAAGCTCCCTTATAGAGGGAAGCTCCAGGAGTTCTAATTATATAAGTAGCCTCTAGTTAGCTAAAGCGCCTTAGGGAGTGCCTTAAGTACGCTAAGTGTATAATATACCCTCTCGCTTAGCTTTATAATAGTAAGCGAAGTAATATAAATAGTATAGATAATACTACCTGAATTATAATAAGAGTTAATACTAACTAATAGCGTTAGGTCTTAAGCGCCTAGTAGCTCTAAGTATATAAAGTAAGTAAGTTCCCCTGAATACTCTTTCCTTAAATAATAACTTTAATATAATATTAGTAAATATAGCTAAAAGCTCTTATACTTCCTATACCTCGCGTGCCTCTAACCTCACTGTTACTTATATAATAAAGAAGAAGACTATAAGTTATTTATTTAAAGATTCCGATGTAGTTAGCGTTATAAGGAATCATTAGAACTACACTAATACCTTGTAAAATAGGCCTGTAGCTACTACACCTCCCCCGCTGCTACCTCCCTACTACTACTACTACTACTACTATTACTACTACTACTAACTCCCGCCTACTACCCTGCTATAGTAAAAGCTATCCGTACTATACCTTATAGCTACTATATTCGTAGTAGTTTATAAGGTACGCTAGGCGACCCTTATCGCGATAAAGAGATAGCTTCGCGCTATTTTTATTATTATAAAAATAATAAATCGGGTTATATCGCCGCTCTTACTCGCGCTACTAAACTCTTCGCTAGCTACTTAGTAGCCCGGGCCCTCCTAAAGAGCACACACGTAAGTATTTCCTTATATTATAGTATTAAAATAATAAAGTATTAAGGTATTAATATTAAAGTATTAAGTAAAGCTAACTCTATAATATATATAAGCTCTTATAGTCCGCTAGGCCGCTATTCGGAAGGCCTTAGAAGCTAAGGAAAATAAGGATAAGGATAAGGATAAGATTTATACCGCTATCTATAAGTTATAATAGTAGTCTTATAGATTTTAGATATTATCTAACTATTAATATTAGCTACTACCCCTACTCTTACCTCTACTTTCCGTAGAAAGACTACTATTCCCCTCCCTTGCCTTATTTTTAGCGCTATAAGAATAAGCTCCTACTCTATAAGAGCTACTATTATTACTCCCGCGGCGCGTTTAGCCTTATATACTTCTACTTTAGCAGAGGTTAATATTATAGCTAGCGCTACCCGGCAGTTAATTAACCTTCTTTTCCCTCTTTAGTAAGTAGTATAAGCTTTATAACTTTTAAGTAATAGCTTAGGAATATTACTTTTTTATTATTATAGTTTAAGCTAGCGTATTAGTATAGCTTTATAACCTTGAAGTTATAGCTTAGGATTAAGTCCCTTACTCTTTATATTATTTTAGCGCGGCTTTATAATCCTAAAGTAGTAGCTTAGGATCAAATCTTATAATTCCACCTCTTCTCTCCTCTCTAATAGCGTTTAAGAACTATAAATATAAAGTAAAGAAAACGTAATAAAAGAAAGTATCTATATAAACTATATAGCTTAAGCGAGCTTCTTAATATTAGCTTAAGAGTTTTAAAAGTTTAAAAGAGTAATAAATACTTTAAACTTCTGCCTTAGTGTAATAGCACGGTTTAGCGTTAGCTAGCACGTGAGCGAAATAACTACGGATTAGGTGATAACCTCTCTATTAGCGCGAATATCAAGCTGAGGAGCCCTTGATTCCGTGGAGGGCGCTTAAGCCTATATAGATAAATTCCCCGGGCTATTCCCGATTAGGCCTAATTACACTTGATGTAAAACTTAACGTAAACTCCTATAGTACTGTAGAGCTATTTCCCTTTGTGTATAACTAAGTGGGTAACTGTCGGTAAACCCCTTTAGAGTTAACCGAGCTCTACCGAGTCTTACCGAGCTTTGCCGAGCTCTAGACTCTTCCTAATCGGGTATAGTAAAGAAGTAGTTACTACTACCTTTATATCACCCCCCCCCCTTTGAAAAAATCGAGTTATAAGCCTAAAAGTGTAATAAAACGATTAAAAAAACAAAGTAGAAGTGATTATTATATATTATAAAGAAGTGGGGTAGTGCCGTCAAAGTGTATAGTAAGCAGGGATATAGAGGACTACTAACTAAACAGGTAGTAAGAGTAGGAGAGAGAAGATAATATATTTGTTACGCGCTATTACGCCTATCTATATAACCTTATAGAATAGGCTAACTATCTTCCGACCCAGAACTACACTACCTCACCATATATATCCCCCCTTAACTAAGCAGTCGCCCCCTAACTATATCCCCTGATATATTATATAAATAAAAGAAACACATAGATACTCCTCCTAACCGTCTACCTCTATTATATTACCTACACCCGCCGCTAAGTACTCCTTAGCCTCCTCTGTAAATAATAGGCTCTCTTTTAACGTGATCTCTATTACTTCCTTACTTAGCTAGTCAGCGTTAGCCTCCACCTCTCTTATTAGAACACTTATAGCCTCTAATACCTCCTTCAGGTAATAAAAGGACTTCTCTCTAAATACCTCCTTCTCTACCCTCCTTACTATCTTAAAAGCCTCTATAGCTGTAACTAGTGCCTTAGCTTTCCACCTGTTAATAAAGCTATAAGCTACTACTCGATCCCCTCCTAATAGAACGTTTCTCTAAGCTATTACTACTAGTAAACTCTATCGTTATTATACAACTAGAGTATCAGATAGAGCACTTAACCCGGAAAGCTTAACTATAGTAGCGAACTAAAAGAGAATAGCTCCGTACCGATTTATAAGGCCTAACAGGGTAGCTAAGAGTATAGTGAAATCTCGATAGGAGTTAGCTAGATCTCTCTAAGTTCCCCTTTCTATAACCTCTAAGGTTTCCTTATTATCCTAAATTATAATAAACTATAGTAAGATAGTCCGACGAACCTTTATCGCGGGCCTAGTTAACTTATATAGGATCTTCAGTAATATAATCCGTATATCTCTAGAGCTACAAGGAGTCCTAACCTAATCCACTCCTAGGACCTCCGTATCCTCTCAAGTAAACGTTTAGTCTATAATTTAGTAAACGTAGTAGTTAGTATCCTATCCTCACTCACGAATACGCGCCTACTACTCGCCTAGCTTATATTATATCCCCGGACAATAGAAAGTGCAATTATCCTTATCCTCCTAATCTAGTGAGATACTACCTTAAATTATAATAGCCCCTCGATTAGTAACAAGCATATCATTAATATTTAAATTAATATAACAGAAAAAGGTTCTATCTCCTAGCATAGTATATTTAGCGTAGTAGGAGTAACTAACTAATCTCTACTTCTTATCGGGACAAAGAGCCGTATATAACATATAGTAGGCG